AAAGAGGAAAAATTCCAACGATGGGAAGCCAAGGGAAAAACGAGAGGAGGAACGGGAAATCCTCATATTTCTCTCTCTTTTCAAGCAAGCTAGAAGAGAAAAAAAAACAACAGCCATCAACCAAACTGAGCCTAATAGAGACGGGGATTTTCGAATTTTCAAGCTTTAGATTTGAGGAAAAATCACCCGCTTATGAAAAATTTACATGGCATTTTGAAATTCGTTGAAAATAATGAGAAGCCCTTTGCTCCTAATTGAATGCGCTCCTCTAGAACAGAAAAAAAAATTCTACATTTATCAAATTTTCGAAGCTTCTATACATTTCAAACCATTGCAAAAACGAAAAAAAAAACTCAAAAATCGTTAAAATAAGTGACCGGCTTTTTATTCTTCGCCAAGTTCGCTCCATTGATAAAATACCGAAATCCCTGTATTTTACAATGTTTTCGAGGTTTTTCAAGTTGTTATAAATAAATCGAAAAAGCTCAAAAATCGGTAAAACCAGCATACGGCTCTCTTTTCTCCATCAAGTTCGCCCCATTGATAAATACTCAATGACTTAATTATTTCAAAATTTTTAGGCTTTTAGGCATTTGAAACCATTGAAATTTCAACAAAAAAGCTCGAAAATCGGTAAAATAAGAAAAAGGTTCTTTATTCTTTGGCAAGTTTGCTCTATTGATAAAATACAAAATTCCTTCATTTTTTCAAATTTTGAAGTCTTCTAGACAGTTCAATACGTCAAATCTTGATTTTTTTTCCAAAATTTTTCAATTTCCTCCCAGAAACAACCTTTTTTCTTGCGAAAAGATCTCTGTTTCCGAACCAAATTATTCGCAAAAAAAGGGCGAACAACAGCTGCAACGAAAACTGCCCAGTCATCCATTCATTTCAGTTTTTTTCCCTCTTCGTTTGCACCAATCTCCGCAGCGAAAAAAAAATTGGTAGCAGCTGGCTTAAGGTCGAAAAAGAGAAGGCAGCAAAAAAAAGACCTGGGAGGCAAAGATGAGAATCGTAATGGGGCGAATAGGGGAAAAAAGGTTGGGGAATCAAAAAGCTCAAAAAAGGCAAAATTTTTTGATAAACTTCGCTAAAAAATCTCAGGAAAAAGAAGGAGCCAGGCTTTTCCAAGCTCAGAAAGTTCGCTCTACTGATAAATCAAGGCTACATATTTCCGACTAAATCCGCTCTGAAATTAAAAATTCATGCAGCAAGGCTATTTTAAGGTGAGAAAGCATGCTCTACGGATAAAACTTTGATTTTTGTATATTTGTCCAAATGATACCATTGAGAGGATTTTGTAAGCTTAATTCATTAATAGAGTTTTTCAAACTTTCTTAGTTTATAAAAAGATGTAGCCTTTCTCAGTCAAGTAAATGTGCTCTATTGATAAAAACTCATTTTTGAGGACCTTCAAAACTCTTGCCTTATAATTTTTACCGAGGCCTTTCAAGCTGAGTAGGTTCGCTCCATTGATAATAATAACTTGGAAATTCCGCTATTTTTTCTATCTCTCCTCTAGCAACATTCACTCATTCGTACATATAAGTAATCACGTAAAAAGCTCGTCTTCTTTTTCGTATAGCGAGGGAAAAAATAGGGGCTCAGGAATAAAAAAGAAACATTTTCTCATCGTGTCCTTTTGCAGGCGAGCAACAGCTGAAGATGGATCTATCGTGCGACTTTTTTTTAGAATACTATACGATTTCAATTAGTATCTTTCCTTTCCATTTTCCTTCTTCTTGAGAACGCAAAAGTGCAAAAAAGGCATCAAATATCAAATTTCTCCATTTTTAGCTTGCAAATATAGACAGGCGTTCATTCAATGAACAGCCTGAAATTGGTCATTTTCAGGGTGAGAAAAAAAGTTTAAAGGGATGTAAATTTGAGGGGAAAAAGACCATTTTTTTGAATAATAATAAATGTAGCGATTTCTGACTGAGGCTTGTTTAAGGAAACTTATTTAGAAAATTAAAAAAATGAGTTTTTATCATCAAGAGCCGTTTTTTTGAGCTCTAAACGGCTTTAAGCTATGAAATATTGAAAAAAAAATTCTTGGAGTCCATTTTTTCAGCTGTTGACGCCTCAATTCATTTTCAAATGTATCAAATTTTATCTACGGAGCGCACTTTCCAAGCTTCAAAAATCCAACTATTTTTTGCTTTTCTGGGACAATAAAAAACGCCCTTTTCAAATTTTCATAGTGTCACATTATTCAGTTATGAAGACTCAAGCTGGGTAAGACTTTTTCTTGGAAATAGAATCTTAAAGGGTTCAAAAACTTCGAAAAATTCTCATTTTTTCTTCAAAAGTTGGTCAAAAAACCACAGAAAACCATAAAAATTCTCAATTATTTTTCAAGTCCAAAATTCTAAATTCTCGAATTTCTAATAATTCCGCTCTCAACAGTACAAGTTGCGCTAGGGGTTCCCATAATCTTCAATAAAAAAATTCATCAAAAAAATACATTTTTTTCAAACTTCTACTGTGTCAATCAGTTACGAAATCACAGGACCTTTCTTCAACATTCTACGAAGATTCAACTTCCAAGCCAAGGTTCTGAATTTCAAAAAATCGAGCTCCCAATAGTACAATTTGCTGTAGAAGCAAAGAAGCCTCATTTTTCGCAAAAAATCACGCGATATCGTCTTTTTTTAAATAGTATTTGAAACGAACAATGCCTTTTTCAAACTTTTAAATTATCATTTAATTTACCCATGAAGCTCCAAGCCCGTATCATTTCATTGAATTCTGAAGATCCAAGAACATTTTCCGCAAAACCAGCCAATTTTTTCAACTGTTTCCAAGCCAAGGTTCTAAAACTCGAATAATCGAGCTCCCGAGAGTACAAGTTGCTGTAGAAGCTTCAAATAAACTTTGAAAAAAGCCTCATTGTCCGCAAAAAATCACGCGATATCGTCTTTTTTTTGGATATTTTTTGAAACGAACAATGCCTTTTTCGAACTTTGAAAGTATCATTTCATTGAATTCCTAAGCTCCAAGAACATTTTCCGCAAACCAGCCAACTTTGAAATCTTCTTCCAAGCCAAGGTTCTAAACTTCAAAAAATCGAGCTCCCAACAGTACAAGTTGCTTTAGAAGCTTCCTTTTGAAAAAAGCCTCATGGTTCGCAAAAAATCACGCGATATCGTCTTTTTTTGAATAGTATTTGAAACGAACAATGCCTTTTTCAAACTTTTAAATTATCATTCCATTTACCCATAAAGCTCCAAGTCCGTATCATTTCATTGAATTCTGAAGCTACAAGAACATTTTCCGCAAACCAGCCAACTTTGAAATCTTCTTCCAAGCCAAGGTTCTAAACTTCAGACAATCGAGCTCCCAAGAGTACAAGTTGCTGTAGAAGCTTCCTTTTGAAAAAAGCCTCATTGTTCGCAAAAAATCACGCGATATCGTCATACCACCATCAAATTTTCTTTCTCTTTCCTGCCCAAAATCGTCTTTCCAAGGGGAACACACGTTGCAATATCGTCACTCACTCACTCACAGACAACACAAAATCGCATGTACTACACATAATGCGATCAAAAATTGCAACGACGGCACGAACGCAGCAAAAAAAGTGAGAGAGAGAGAGACAAAGAGGAATCGGAACAAAGCGGCGGCGTCGGTTGGCAAAAAGAAGAGGAGGAAGAAAAAGTGCAAAGTGAGATCAGACAACAGAACAACCCTAAACAAAAACGTTTTTGGGTATGCACTTTTGATAAGTTTCTCGGTTAGCTAGAGGGACCAGATTAGTTGGTTAAAAAAATATAATTTTAAACTTTTTTTAGTCACTTGAAAAACAGAACTCTCAAAGCTGTTGTAGCTGCTTTATCGTTCGCAATTGTGAGAAACTCAGAAAAAAAATTTTTTTGGTACGAGCTAAAGGTAATTCAAGCTCGTTAGAAGTGAACTTATACAAAACTTTCAGCTTAAAAAAATTTTTTTATAAATTTTTTTAGGCTGGAATTGCATCTACACTTCTTTGAACTTTCTTCAAATCAGAAATCAAATTTCATCTACACGTTTGAAAATAACATGAAAAAAATGTATAATTCCAGTTCTAGAACCAGTCAATTCTTCCAGAAAAATCTTAAAAAAAGTGGGGTTTTTGGGTATTTTTTTGCTTTGCGACGTACTCTTGGAATGCTTCGTTTTTCCGCTGAGGACTTTTTTTAAAATGAGTTAATCTTAAATAACTTCTTAAAAGATTAATATCGACAGAAATTGTGCTAATATAAGCCTTTTGAAGCCTCACAGAAGCTTTTTATAGCTAAAGAGAGCGAAAAAAAAAATTTTATTTGTCAAATCCGAAGCTCACTTTTTCCCCAACTTCCGGCTTTCAATGATCTTACCGTTAAATTCTCCTTACCACGCTCTCAAAAAACTAACTACACCAATTCCACTCCTTCTCAAATCGTACAAAAACTCCTCGTATCATTATCAAATTCGAAACAAAAAGCAAGACAGCATGACCTTCGGCAAACAAATCGTAGTAATCCAAATACTGTTATCAACTCTCAAATTCATGAGAAAAGGGAAAAAAGTTATCATATCGGAAGATTGGGACCAGACAAAGGGAAGCCATCACTCCACTGTACATTTTCAAATCCTATTGTCCTTTTTGTGACAAAGAAACGATGAAAATAATGTTTTTGAAGGTGGATCTTCCAGTTTTGGTCATTTTCAAGCTTATATTTCCAGACAAGGAAGATTAGAGTGGAAAAAATCCAAAAAAGTCAAAATTAATAGTTTCTTTCGAAAATTTATCGATCTTAAAATCCCATAAATAATCCACATACAGTCCAAAGCACTGAAGAAAAAACTCAAACTGTAAATTAATCCGAAAAAATTGATAGAACCATCAAAAACAGTCCAAAATTTCGATTTTTGAGCTAAAAATCCTGTTTCCTGAATGGAAAATGAGCAGAAAGAGGTTAGAGCAAACTTTTTCACTAAAAATCCTCTAAAAAGTCCAATAAAAAAGGGGAACCCGCCTAAAAAGCCAAAGAAAAACCGGCAAGACCCTGAAAAATCCCCCCGAACCGAATTCACATTCAAAATTTGACAGTAGAAACCCGAAAAATTTCAAAAAAAAAATCCTCACGTTTCCGTAAGATTCGGTGCAGATGCTGATCGAGATGAACAAGGAGAGAACGTCGCGAAATCTGGAAAAAATGGAAAAAATGGAAAAATGTCACAAAAAAACGATTCGAATGGCTATAAATTTATAACAAAATGTTCCATATGAGAATTTTTTTACAAGGTAAACAAATAATTCATCAGCTGGATCCCACCCCAGGCATTTGGGCGCGAAAAAAATTTTAAAATGTACTGGAATGAGCCCAATTTTTTTGGGGGAGTAGGTTTCATCCCGGGAAGGGATCCGTATGGTATGAGCCGAAAGATGGATTTTTATCACTTTTTTTTTTCCAAATCTACCAACTCTATGACATTTTTCATCAACTAAACTAACTGATCAGAACAAAAAATGCTTCCCTTTTTTTCTGGAAAAAAACCATTTTTTTAACACAAAAAAAAGTACAGAAATATTTTGAAACCCCTAAAAAATGACTCGAAAGGAAAAATCCAAAAAATCTAGTTTTGCCTTAAAAAATTCTGCTTCCTATTTTTATTTTTGGCAACAGAATCTTCACTGAAAATCAATTTTTCTAGACTCTCTATATAATTTTTTTTTCCCGTTATTCTTAAAAATAATGCTTTTCCCCTACTTCTAAAATTACTCTTGAGCTTTTTTTCACACGAAAAAAATTTGGATACCTTCCCCCGGATGTTTCTGAGCCCTAGTGACCACTTTAGTGGCGTCAGCACTCTTAAGTTATCCCTCAGAAACGTCCGGAGTTCCGAGTAATAAAAAAGGGACAAAGAAAGGACCGATTCAGAGGCTCGTTGTTGGTGACGAGCTCGAAGAGGGACGGGAGGCCGTCGAGGAGGATCTGGGCCATATTCGGGCTCAAACGGACGCCCGCAGTCGACGGGTCCTCCCGAACGAGGTCCAGAATGCCGCTCCAGGGGACTCCTGAACAAGTTAACTTTCAAGCTGGAAAAGTTGGCTATTTTCAAATATTTCGGGCTAGCGCCGTCCAGCACGCACCCTAAAAAAAATTTTTTTCACAGTTTTTTTGCCAAAATACCCTCCCCCCAATTTTCTCGTGTTTTTTTGTCAAGCCCACCCCCCCCTTTTTTTGGCAGTAAAAAGTCAATTCACTTTTTTTGGTTTTTTTCGATTTTTAGCTGAAAAAAATCCCGTCTTTTGCACGAAAATTGAACTGGAACGGTTTTTCAAAGCAGAAAAAAACACTAAAATATTATTTAAATAACAAATTTTCAACTCCCTTTTTTTAACGGAAAAAGTAAAAAAATTCTATTTAAAAAAATCGTATTTTTTTGCCAAGTCCTCCCCCCCCTTTTTTTGGCAGTAAAAGACAGTTCTTTTTTTGATTTACCAATTTTTTTAGCTGAAAATCCCTGTCTTTTTGCATGGAAATTGAGCTGTAACGGTTTTCAAAGCAAAAAAAATACCTTGAAATCTTCTTTTAAATTACAAATTTTTCAATTTTTTTCAAACTGAAAAAAATCGACAAAAAAAGCTTTGAAAAAGATCTAATTCTTGCAAAAAAACTTTAAAAAAAGCTTTAAAAAAATCCAAAAAAATACTTCATAAATTTAGAAAAAAACCTAAAAAAACAATAATTCGAAAAAAATTTTTTTAACAAATCGAGATACTTTCCCGATATTATATCCACTACAGTATTCGGGCTGAAAAAAATTCTCAAAACGAAACCGAAAAAGATTATTCAATAATTTTTTTCATAATGATTAAAGATAATTCCGGAAAAAAAGCTCATTTTCATTTCCATAAACCTAAAAAAACGAGAAAAAAATCACCAAGTTTTAATATCAAAAATTATTCGATTTTTCGACTATTTCCATTCAAAAACCGACCAATATCGGGATCTTTAATGATCGGCGGCAGAAGATTTCCAATCGCTTGGAGGGCGTCGACGAAAACCGGAAAATGGCTTTTCGGCTCCATCGTTTCCAGTATCGACAAGGTTTGCTTCAGAGCAAAGTCTCTGAAAATGAATTATTTTCAAAAAAAAGTCCTGATCTAGATTCTCGGTTTATTTGCCTATTTCCTTAGCATAATCTCTAAAAATTAGTCTTTTTTTTTTCAAATTTTGTGATCATGATTTTCTGTTCATTTTCTCCGAAAACCTCTTTAAAATGTCTCAATTATCATCCTTTTTAGCCCTTTTTTTATTCGCAAAAAAACTCTGAAAAATAGTTTATTCTTGTTCAAATCTTGACCATGATTTTCTTTATTTTTTTCCAAAATCTTCTTGAAAATTTCTCAATTATCCCCTTATTATAAGCCTAGAAAAGCATCTGAAAAAAAGAAAAACATTTTTTTAAAATCTGGACGTAATTTTTTTATAATACGTATTCTAAAAAGTCCCCAACTATCAATTTACCTATTTATCTTTATTTTCGAAGTATTTTTCCCAAAAATTAATCTATAAACCATGAAGAAAAATTTCGATTATTCTTCAAAAATATATAGAAAAACCCATTTCTGATCCACGAGAACCGCCAAATTCATCATCATTACCATCAATTTGTACATAATCTTTCATTTTTGAAAGTCCTTCTGGTCATTAAAAGTTCTAGACCAACTTCTATGAATAATTCGGCCCGTAGAATAGTTCAAACGTGTGGGAAATCATGGTGATTCATGGGAAAATGTTAAATATTGCACATTTAGGTATTTTTTTGCAAAACTATCATAATAATTCAAGTTTTAATCAAAAAAATTAGAGGTGAAAAATCCATTTTTTTATTGAATTTTTTTATAAAATTTTTCGAGCTTTTTTTCTCATGAAAAATTATTTCAAGAAAGCGTATTTTTCGGCCGTTTTTCCGTAAAAAAATATTGAAATCCTTTCGTTTGCGATCAAAATCTACAGTAAAAAAATCCATATTGTAGCAATTTTTTTCACAAAAAAAGCCCTTTTCGGTGACTTTTTACACAAATTTTCTTTCAATTCTTTCATTTCTCTTCAAAATCCAGCCTCTTCTTCAAATTTACCAAATTTCCGAGCACTTTTTTCAAAAAATCAGTCAAAAAAGCTTACTTTCGGTCATTTTTCGCAAAAATATCCCTATTTTTTAACTTTCCATCGAAATCTAGAGCTAAAAATCCATCTTTCCTTCAATTTTCTAGCAAAAATCCGTTAAATTGAGAGCTCTTTCGGTCGTTTTTCGACGATTTACTGTTGAAATATCATTTTCAGTTCGTCTTCCATGAAAATCAAGAGCTGAAAATCCATTTTCGCTTCAACTTTACACCGAAAAATCAGCCAAAAAAGCGCTTTTTCTGTAATTTTCAACGATTTTCGTCAAATTATCAAAATCTACAGCTGATAATCCATCTTTCCTTCAATTTTTATCAAAATTTCAAGCACTTTTTTCTCAAAAACCAGTTCAAAAATTCTGTAAAACTGACGCTTCCTCAGTATTATCACTGTAAATGGAAGCGATAATCGCGGGCAAAGTCGTTTCATCGCGAGGCCCGTCGTACCATTCGGGGGCCGTCGTTGAGGTGTCTGAAATATATATTTTTTGAAATTTCAAAGATACAAACTGTCCTAGATTAATTAATCTTAGGAACTTCAGAGTGGCCCCTATAGGGGCAATCTTAAGGGCCATTGTAGGCTCCCCTCTAGGGACCACTTTATCGACCCCTATAGGGGCCACTAAAGCTTGCAAAAGTGGTCCCTATAGGGAAAATTTTTGTCGATAATTATTATGAACTTTAAGCGAAGAAGTATTTCTATGGGGAAAAACTGAATAAATAAGCCTTTTTGAATGAAAATGAAAACCCCTAAAGGGGCCATTTTTCGGCCAGTCGAGCGGCTGTTTTTTGCCTAACCCCTATAGAGACCACTCTAAGATTCCTAAAGATCCATAAAAATCAAGCAAAAAAATTTTTTAGCTGAAAATTCCAAAAACTCGATCAAAAACTCGACTGTAAAAGTCTTTTTCGACAGGGAAAAGGCTTATTTTTGAGCCTGGATGAGTTGAAATTCGAAAAATTATCAATATTATATAAAAAAGAGCTTTCTGGTGAGTAATAAACGAAATAAAAAAATGTAAATTGAATCAAAATTGACATGAAATCCATGAAAAATGACAAAAATAACCATTAATATCATCGACGAATCCTTCAAGTTCCATGTCTGGATCGAAGCGATTCGTGGTTGCTGAAAAATTCTATGATTCAAAAACAGATAAAAAAATGAAGAAAAAAACTTCATACCTATAGAACCACACTAAGTTAAAAGATAAGCTGTATCACTTTCGAAGCTTCAAAAACTACTGAAAATGCTGTACATGTTCTCGACCAATTTAGGATCGTTCAATACATTTTGACAACCTTTACTATCTTATATCAAATGAAAAATGGAATGATAACCATTTTTAAATTGAAAAATATGAGAATTCAGTGTTAAGCTCAAAATCAGACCATTCAAAACCGAGTTTAGAAATAAAAAAACTGAAATTTTATTAATTTCAAGCTTCCAAATCTATTGAAGAGCTTGTAGATGTTCAAAAAAAGTTCATTCTTTTCGAACTTCCCAACCAAAAATACAAAAATCTCAAGTTTCAGCTGTAAAGTCGTCCTTTTAAAGTTATTAACATAGAAATAAAAAAATAACTTTTTCAAAAACCCCAAACAACCAATTTAAGAAAAGCGAAAATGAAGTTCAGTACCATTTTTTTGAACGAAGATTCAATATTTAGTTGAAAAAAATTGTCTTTTTTTAACGTTATTTACACACAAAATAGCCTTATTTCTGTTCGTAGGATGAATATTTTTCCCAATTTCCCCGGTCCCCATGATACTGACGGGCTTGTAGATGTACCTGACAGAAATAAAAGCGGTCGATCAGTTACTTAAAACTTATACTGCTTAATAAACTTCTTGAAAACTCCGAAAAAAAGCATTCAACTACAGAAAAAATGAAATTAAGTTCCATTTTGTACAAAAATTAATTATCTAGTAGCAAAATCTGTCCACTTGATGTTAAATACCAAAAAAAAATGCCCTATTCCCGTTTAAAATTGCCCCGTTTCCCTTCATAAAAAGACTATTTTCCTAATTTCCAAGGTCCACATGTTACTGACGAGCTTGTAGATGTTCCATGGCGGGGATGGAGGGCGCGGACGAGCCGCCAAAGTTGCTTCGGCGTCGGGAAGACGTCGGCGATTGCTGGAGGCGTCTTGGCGACGCTTCGTCTCCTTCTTCGTCTACGGAACTGTCGGTTCTCTCGTCGTGGGCCACGCCGTCAAGGCCCCTTCTCTGGCGTCGGAACAGCCGACGTATCCTGCAAATTTTTACAGATAGGAATTCTGAAATCTGAAACAAAAAAATGATTGAAAAACGAGCAAAAATGAAAATGAAAAAAATTTCTAGCATCGAAAATATAAAGATAAAGTGATAAATTATCAATTTGAAACTTTAATTTTGATGTAGCAATCGATTAAAAATTTTTGATAATAAAATCCTAATTTCTTGAAAAAAATCCACTTTTTTTAAGGTCCCAAGTCCTTGAAAAAAATCTCATCTTTTTAAAAAAATTACTTCTTTTCATCAGAAAAACTGTGCTTCCAAACCAAAAAAACAATATTTTTTTAATGAAAACCATCATTTTTTTGCAATATAAACCTTTTTTTCTATAAGATCCAAGAGCTGAAAAATTAAAAATTTTTTTGAAAATTGAAAATTAAGTATTAAGATTTGTTTTTTTCAAAAATTTTTTTAAAATCCTACTTTTTAGTATTTTTTTATAACCCTCAGAAACCAGAAACCAATCCAAAAAAATTATAAAAAAATAAAAATTCCTAATCGAATCATACAAAAAAAGTCATGAAAGTTTTTTTAGAGTCTTGGAAAAAAACTCTAGTGGTCCCTTAAGTAATCCCTCAAGGGCTGCTTGCAGAGGACACTAAAGTGGCCACTGTTAACCCCTTAAGTGGCCACTGGTTTGACTACTATGGTGGCCACTAGCTTTTAATCCCTTAAGTAGCCACTAATTTGCTTCTTAGTGACCATGAAAGCAGTTTTCAATGGTCTAGTACTACACTAGGACTCCTAAAGAAGCTACTAACTTTTAGTCTCTTAAGCGGCCACTAAATTTACCACTATAGTGACCACTAGACCGTCAAAACCCTAAAGTGGCCCCTAAAAACTTTCCCAGTCACACCAGAGTTAAGAAAAAAACGAAATTTATCTTCCTCTACAACCGGAAAACTTTGAACCTAATTGATTGATCGACAAGACACGGGAACAGAAAAGACGAAAAAAAATGATCGGAAGAAAGATTGCAGCCAATTTTCGCCTTCCACAAAACTTTGAACCCCAAAAATTGATTGGAAGTACTCTAAAACGATTAGAAATTCCAAAAAAGCGATAAAATCGAAAAAAAGTCGTGGGGAAATGACCAAAATTTTGCAAAAATCCCAATTTTCCCACGAATCACGGTAGTTTCCCACACGTTTGGACTATTCCACGGGCCGGAATATTAACAGAATTTTGTCTAGGGCTTTTAAAGACCAGAAGAACTTTCAAAAATGAAAGATTAGAAATAAAGTGATTTTTAATGAAATCCCGTGATTCGGGTGAATAGGAAAAAGGGTTTTGGACACAATTTTTCGAAGATTTAAAATAAAAAAACCTCAAATTTTTTTAGTTTTACACACTGACTGGTAACTGGTAACTGGTAGTGAAAAATAAATTGAAACTATAAAAAAATTGAATTAAAAATCAAAATAACTAAACGAATTAAGTGAATTTAAAAAAACCACTAAACGAAATCTCTTCTAAAAAAAACGAGAAAGCTCTTTTTTTCATGAGTTTCATTGATTTTTGCTCAATTTTAGCATCAAAATAATCACTAAAAACATATTTTCCCTGTGAATTTTACCATTAGAAAACTTTAAAAAAAGAAAAAAGGTTCAAAAATTCTTGGTCTAACGCGCAGAGGTCTTCAATGACCCAAAATAAAACATCTTCGAGCTTTTTTTAATGTTTTTTTTACTCTCAGCAAGGAATTTCGACAGCGTTTTCATTAGAAAAAAACCGGAACATGTTTAAAAATGCTCCAAAACTGTTTTTAAACACAAAATATCTATAATTTTGAAGATTTTCAATACATTTTTCGTTTCTCCATTGAACACAACTCGAAAAAGTCTGTCGAAACTTTAAAAATCACAAAAAAGTTCAAAAACGACAAACTTTCTCCAAAAAGTCGCCAACAGCGCTGTGGCTGCCAGGATGAGATAAAGCTCGAGTTCGAAGTTCTGTCGGGCGACGGGTTCACCCAATCGCATTCAACAGAAAAAAACAATAATCCAAAAGCGTTTCCCGAAGGTCCAGAGGAGTTTTTGAGAGTACCTTCTTATGAAATGAAGCCTTCCCTTATCGTTTATTCACACGTTACGAAACTTTGCGATTATTTCCAACTCAATCCTTTTTCAGCATTTAGAAAAAAAAAACTCCCTAAAATACTGCTCAAAAGGCCCTGCTGTGGGATTTAAAAAAAGCGTTTTTTTGCACTAAATTTATTATGTTTTTTTCAGCCTTAAAAGACCTCTTAACATCTTATATCAAAGAAACTTGTTCTACCAAGCTTCCCGTTAAAAAAGAAAACAAAAAAATCTCTGAAAACGATTTCAACATCAAAAATCATCGAAAAAGTGATTATCGGATTAAAATATGCGAAAAACTGTCGAAATCAAACCTTCAGAAGGTTTAAATGTTTTCTATCTCAAGTGAAATCAGGACTTGCTGTGACTTATGATTTCAAAACCTTATGATTGAGCTTTACACCCAGATAAAGCGGAATACTGATGAAAATCAAATAATTCAAAAATTAAAAATTTACTTTGAACGTGTGTCATATGAAGAAAAACAGGCTGAACTTCACCTGATAGCGTTGATAAAGCCGACAGGCTGCTCTAAAACCTGAATACGAGGTAAAAAGGAACCGAAAATGTGTAACAAAAAGGTTTTGTAAACGGAAAGTACATGTGCACTAACACTGCGCCATAACCATTTGACCGCAAGAACGCGGAATGCGTCAAGGAGACTGCGACGGGCGTCTTTCTCGCGCCGGAGGAATTTCCGGACGCAGATGCTCCGTTTTTACATGTTCTTTTATTCAAAGGCGGATATATTATTTACATTTTTATAAAGAACAGCATCGGGAAGATTTTTCGGGTTTCGAGTCGGCGGAAGGGATAATTGTCGTCTGTTTGTCGATGTGCTGATGATCGGTCAGGATATTTTTCCTGACGTTGTGGAAAACTTCGGTTAAAATGTTCAGGAAGGCCGATTCGATGTTTGTGCTGTCCAATGCCGAGGTTTCTGAAAATTTATCGTATTACTGAGTTTTATTCAATTTTTTTCTACCAATAAAAGCGAATTTATTCTTCTCGGCGTACATTCTGGCGACATCGGTTGGTACAGATCTCAGATGTCGTAAATCGGTTTTGTTTCCGACCAACATGATGAAAATGTTCTGATCGGCGTGGTTTCTCAGTTCTTTCAGCCATTTTTCCACACTTTCGTACGATCCATGCTTGGCTAAATTTTAAAACTTGAATAAAGGCTTGAAAAATGAAATAATTATGTTAAAATTATCAGTGGTTGATAAAAAAACAAGATGTTTTTTTGTTGTAAATGGAAACTGGAAGCTTCAAAGCGCTAAATTAATAGAAAAAAAGAATTTCAGGATGATTCAGTTCAATTTTAAAATAAAAAAACAAGATAATTTCTTTAATTTCATTGGTTTTTTTCGGAAAAAAAGAAATCCTTAAAATCCATCAAAATTAATTTGAAACGAGATATTTCCTGTTTCTTATTGTAAATTGAGGTTCTGAAAAGCTAATTTGAATGAGAAAAGGATCGGATTTCGAGAAAAAGACAGGAATATTTTTGGAACAGAGAATTTTTTTGTATTGCGACAGTTTCCCTAATGCCAAAATCGTTCAAAAAAATAAAAAAATTTTTTTATCGTTTTTTTCCTGAATAATAAAAAAGTTCTGTTTAGTTACGTAAGTATGTGTACATACATTCCTAAAAATGAACTTCTTTGGATTTTTAAATCGATAAATTTATAGGAAAATACTCGAAAAAAATTCCTAGTACAAAAACACAATTCCTAACCTTCCCAGTGGATTTTTTTCGGTCAATCTATTGGCCAGACGGATCAAATCTTTAAAGTGCGATCATTTCCCTCACCAATGTCATAAACGACCAAAGCTCCAACGGCGCCACGATAATAAGCCGAAGTGATGGCCTTGTATCTTTCCTGGCCGGCCGTGTCCCAAATTTGAGCTTTTACTGTCTTTCCTTCGATCTGAAAAAAATCTTTTTATTGTCTAAAAAAATTGGTTATTTTTTTCTCTTATAAACAACCTATAACATAAATAACAGAAAAAAAGAAAAAAAGTCAATTTTGAAATGTTCAATCAACAACTTTCACCGGTTTTTCGTTGGAAACTCTCTTTTCTATCATTTTCTTGGTCAGAAAGAGGTTTAAAAAATATTTATATAACTCCAAGCGTTTAGAAACAATTCAGAAAATCAAAATACTAATTTTTGTGTAAAAAATTCGAAAAATATGGAGTATGACTTTTCTTTATCCATGGAGCGCATTTCCATCTCATCAAGTTTTCAAAATTTTCAAAACCAAGTAATTTTTCACCTGAACCGTTTTCGTCGAAAACTCCACACCTATCGTCGTCTGAGAATCGAGTGAGAATTGATTTTTGGCGAATCTTGATAAAATATTCGTTTTTCCGACTCCAGAATCGCCGATCAGGACAACTGGAAGCATATTTTGAAGAATTGTATGGAAAATAATTTCATAATGTCTTTTAGGACTTGTTGATACGCCTTTGATTGTAAGAGGCCTTTAGAAGGCTTCAATATCAATTGATTAAAAATGATTGATAAACTTGAAAAATCGAAAAAAAACTTCAGACTTTAAAGGTGCATGCCTAGAGCTCCAAGTAAGATTTTGACATGAAATTAAAGCTCATTGATGCGCCTCTAAATTTTGAAAGTCTTTGGATGGCTTCTATATGAATAAACCGCAAAAAATAACTCATAAACTTGCACATTTTGCAAAAAAAGTTTCAAATTTTAAAGGCGCATGGCTTCAGTTCCAAGTAAGATTCTGACACGAAATTAAGACTTTTTGATGCGCCTTCAATTCAAAGATGCCTTTAGGTGGCTTTAATATGAACTAATTGCAAAAAAATGACTGAAAAGTTGAAAAATTAGAAGAAAAAAATTTCAAAATTTAAAGGCGCAGGCCTAAAGCTCAAAGTAATATTTTGACCCGAAATGGAGGCTTTTTGATGCGCCTTTGGATGGCTTCTATATGAACTAATTGCAAAAAAAAAACTGAAAAATTGAAAAAAAAAGCTTCAAATGTTAAAGGCACATGACTTGAGCTCCAAATACGATCTTGACACAAAATAAGTATTCTAAGCTAAAAATAAATGAACTAGAGCCCCAAAAAACTCACTTTTAAACAGGTAGTCGTATTCCTCGTCTCTTGAGCTCATTTCAAAAGTATAACTTCACAAAAAACTGCAAAAAGTCAACTTTTACGGTTTTCAACCGGCTTCTAAGTTATCAACAAGTTATCAACTATATGAAAGGAAGAAATTTGAGAAGTTTCGACATTGCTTATCGCATGAGGTCGGCCAGGAAAAAAGGTGTAGACGGCAAACATTGCGAAAGCATGTATGTTGTGATTCATTTTTCCGTGTTCCCGTCTTTTTTTCCCTGGTTTCGAGCAGGTTTCCAAGTCCTTTTTCGGTTGAGAAAGAGAATATGAGGCTTGAAAATGAGGTTCAGAATACCAATAATAAATTTGGAAGGAATCGGTCGCACGTGGAATGGCTCAAGATATATAAACGATGGCTAATGATCTCCAATAGCAGAGGTCGTGAGTCGTTTTTGGTCGGTCGCGTTTTGAAAAATCGAAAAAAAGCCATTCTCAATGCGACTGGAGCGGCTCAATGTGTTAAGTCGCACGTAGAATGGCTCAAGTTATAAAAGGTGGCTAATGCTCTAGGGTACCAGAGCTCGCAAGTCGTTTTTGGTCGGTCGCGCTTCGAAAAATAAAAAAAACGGCCGATACTTTTCCGAACCGTCCTTTTTCCGGACCGAAACCCGAACCGCTCTATGCTTTTCCAAACCAACGTTCGATGCTTTATCCGAACCACTTTCTCAGTTATTAGTGTCAAATGATTCTTTTAGTGCCCTTTTCCGTTTATTCACGTCTTGTCTTGCACGATCACCACATCTGGAGATGGGTACTCTGGATTTTTTTTTTCTCTTCAAAACACGTTATGTCAAATTACTACTACACTAAGAATAACTGACGAGATAAACGCGAGCTCGGTGGCGGTACATTGACTAACTCGCAAAAATGTCGCTTTTTTCTAGGCGCGATCCCGCATTTCTCTCGGCGCGACCTCGCATTTTTCTCGGCGCCATCTCGCATTTATCTTGCATTTCGGAAATTTTCAAATTGCGAGAGAAATGCGAGCTCGCGCCTAGAAAAGTGCGAGCTGGCGCCCAGAAAAAAATGCGAGACCGGCGCGAGAAAAAAAGCGAGATGTTTGCGAGCTCGTCAATGTACCGCCAGTGTCTCGCGTTTATCTCGGCAGTTATTCTTAGTGTAACTGGATGACACTCAAAAAGAGTTAGACTACAGGAGAGAGTTTGGTAGGCTCGAGGCATAGTGAATTTTTATTTGCAGATCAAAATTATTTATGGCTGACTGCTATCAAGCTAGGCTACAGTATGAGCTTCGCGGGGAAAAGTTTTCGTGGTTCTCAATTTTTTTTTTCCCTTCAAAAAAATTTATTCTCTCTAAAATAACTGAGAGACATTCTTTTTTTTAAAATGAAGGTCAAAAACTGCATTCACACTCTCAAAATGGCTCCTTCTTTCAATTTTCCTGCCTTAAACTTGCTGCAAAATTGATTTATTGCATCGAAATACAAAGTTCCTCTATTCGCGGATGAAGCAGACGTAGACGGCGTGGCAAATCGCCGGGAAAACGAAGAGAAGCAGGAGAAAGATATTGAGACACACCGAACAGGTACACGCCTTCTCCTTGTACCAAACTGCGACCGGCTGGAAAATATCTTCATTTTTTTTTTTGCGTTTTAGTTCATTTATTTAGCCCCCAGACACTTTGTAGAGGCCTTTCTTGGAAAAATTGAAACATGGATTTTGAAATTTTGAACACGTTTTGAAAAAATGAATGCTTTTTCGTGACCAGGTGAACAGGCTCTATAGTCGATGTGCCACGGCTTGAAATTTCAAGGAACGACACTCCGATGTTCATGTGGTTCTAGTGCGCGCTGTCGCGAAGCGTCTCGCCTTTGCGAATTTCGGTCTTTTTTCCATTTTTTCCATTTTTTCTTTTATTTGATATTTTCCCTTTTTTGACAATTTTCTAATTGTTTTTTTCGTGCCAAAAACGGAAATATCCTTGCTTTTGCACAGACCGTTCCATTGGGAACACCTGAAAGTCAAGTACTTTTTGAATTTTCAACTAAAATTGTATGTTAAGACTTTTTCGATTTTATTCATTATTTTTAGTTCTTTGACATATAGTTCTTTCGAGATTTTTTTCGAGATACCATTCCCTAGTTAGATACCTTCATTTTTTTTTTTCATTTTTCTTCTATCTCTACTTTTTTTCCGGCTCTGGAACGCTCTTGATTAAAAACCTCAGAAAAAAGAAATTTTAAAATTACAGGGAATGGTTGAAGGGTAGCGCTAGGAATCAAGCTCAACTACGACATAACTCCCCTGGGCGTAAGTCGTTTCTGGTCGGGCGCAAAAGGAAAATCAAAATAGGCGCGTTTTAAAGAAGTGTCAAATGCAACTTGAAGCAATAGCGGACTTTAAAATATTTTTAAAAAGACCAAGAAGAAAAAATAATAAGAAAATGCGCTCCAGTGACAATTTTCGATTGAAAAAGCTTTATAAGTGAGTTTTGCGCGTAACTTTTCATGAAAAATCTTGACTTTCCGAAGTGACCATTATAGTGGCGTGAAATCCCTTCAGTTATCCCTAAGTACCTCAGAATCCTTCAAAAAAAGTGGAAAAAAATTAAAATGAACAGATTTACACGCGAATTTTTGAACTAGAAAAATTTTTGAGATCGACTTTTTTTATTCAAAAAAATTTTTTTCATTAACAAGACCGATGTTATAGGAAAATTTGAAAGACCCAAAAAAATTATTTTTAAAACCAACCGGAAGGAGGAGAATGAGCAGGACCATGATAATCTTGTCAGTATCCGTAGATTCCGTCATTTTTTTCTTTTTATTCTGGAAAAAAACTGATAAAAATCATTTCCAAAGGAAAAAATATGAAAAGTCCAAAAGGAACGCACAATTATGTAGGTGAAAGACAGGGATTTGTCATGAAAATCCAAAAAAAGAACAGGTTCTCCATAACTACAGACTAGAGATCCGTTCCTCTTTCTGAAAACTTCCTGTTTCAAAAAAAAGGGGGTAGCCTAGCAATTACGGGAAAAATGTCGGAAATGATTTATTCATCCCAAAAAAAAAGGAAAAAAAAAAACAAAGACGAGTTTGGAATAGACTTTAGCCTTGTCTGGCTCAGACTAGAAAAATTTCTTATTTTTTTTGAAAAATTTTTTTAACTCAAAAAAATTCACTGTAATAAATTTTTGAGAAGCTGGTAAAATTAGAAAAAAAATTGCGAAATTCCACAGAAAAAAATCGAAAATCGATGATTTTTTTCTACAGAAAAAGGCTTGATATTGGCTAGGCTTGTCAAAAATCTTAGAAAAGGTCCTTTTTTCAAAGAAAAACAGTCAGATAACCTTAGAATCTGTAGAGAAACGTACTATAAGACTGGAAAAAAATTCGAGAAAAAAAGTTCGAGATTTTTGAAAAAAAGACAAAGAAATCGCGTGAGCGGTGTCTGGTGCAGACTAGAAAAATTTTTTTAAGAATATTTTTTTACAGTTTTTTTCTTATTCTGTAGAAAAAAATACTACAAGGATGAGAATTTTTCAAAAACTCGGAAAAAAATTCGAAAAAAAGACAAGGAACTTTTTCAGGCCTAAACTGGAATCTTTTTGAAAAATTTCTTTTCCAGTATTTTTCCCAGTCCGTAGAAGAGCGTACTAAATATCAAGGAATTTGAAAAATCGAGAAAAATTCGAAAAAAATCCAAGGAATCTTCCTCGAGGAGGATTTTTCTGAACTTTGTTAAAACTTTTCTGGCTCTAAATTTAATATTTTTCAATTTAATTTTTACTACTTTAAGTCAAAAAAACTGTGGAAAAAAACATTCTGAGAAGCTGAAAAAAATAAGTAAAAAAATGTGTAAATTTCAAAATCCATAGAAAAAAAGGATGATCGAAAAAAATTTCTTAAGAAAAAAACTTATAAAATAGTATTTTTTTGTCCCGGACTGGAAAAAAATTAGTCATTTTTTTAAAAAAATGATCTCACAATTATAAAATCTGTAGAGAAACGTACTATGAGACTGGAAAAAAATTCAAGAAAAAAAGTCCGAAAAATTCGAAAAAAACTTTGTGCGGACCAGACTATAAATTTTTTTGAAAAAAAGTTATTTTTTTCAAGTTATTTTTCTAAACTTTAGGAAAATCTACTATGAGAATGAGAAATTTCCAAAAAAATAAAAAAAGGAACTCTAGAATAGAAATTTTTTTGAAAAAAATTTTTCTTTTTCCATTTTTCTCTAGTCCCTAGATGAACGTACTATAAGATCAAGAAATTTAAAAAAATTTGAAAAAAATTCGAAAAAAAGACAAGGATTCTTTTTTTCAAGGAGGATTTTCAAATTTTCCTTCACCTTTTAGAAAAATTTCAACACTTTCCACAAAAAATCACTATAAAAATGGTAGGAAAACCTTCAAAAAATGAAAAAAGACCAAAAAATAGGGTCCTCGTCAGACATTTTGACATTTTTCAACGCTAGACAACTGCAAATAAACCATAAAATGGGGCAAAAATATAGAAATATCGTTAAATTCGCCGCCTTCACTATTATGCAAAGAAACGAGTCATCGCTTCAAAAAAAGAAGGAAAAATCGGAAGATTAGAAAAAAAAGGCTATAAATGATTCATTTTTATCGAGTTTTGAAATGTTACCCAAAAATGGCCGGAAGCGTTTATTTCATTTTTCTGATTCTCGTGTCCTTCAAGTTCCTCAGAAAGGCTACAAGATGATACGAAATCCAAATGTTTTTGAAAAAAACAGAAAAAACGGATACTTTTTTTAAATATTATCAATAGAGCGCAGTTTCAGCGAAAAAAATGAGCCTTGAATTTTTGGGCTTTTTTTCATTAAAAAAATAGTCACTAAAACTAATTAAAATCAATTTCTCCCCTTTTTTTGAACTGTAGTTGTTTTTATCAGACTTAAAACTTGTTTTAAAAATAATTTTTTCCGAATAAAAAAAATAAAAAAACGAACCAATCTGGGAGCACCTCCAAAGCATTGTAAAAACGACGCATCATTTTTTTCTGAAACCTTTTTTTCATAAAATAACCTGGAATTTGTTATCGTCAAAAAATAATTTTTTTAAACACAGTAAATTTTATTCGTTCGTCATGGACCACGGGTTCAACCGGAAAATAAATATTTTTTACAACAAAAAATATGATAAAATCAACAGTGAATTGGCACCTAAATGATTGGTTTTTAAAACAAGATGTAAAATACGCATCTGACAATAAATTTTTGAAAAAAAAAAGTGCGATATGTTGATAAATAACAGAAAGAACACATAAGTATGATAAGAAAGATGAAATCGACCAGGTTAAGACAAAGATTTGGAAATTTTGGAAACGATTTTGTAAGAAATTATCTTTAAAATTCGGATGCCAGGACCTTTAAAAAAATTTTTTTTCCACAATGAGCCATTCCAAATGCGACCCAACATTCCTAACCAATAAAAAACGTATTTTTCCATAGTCCAAGGATTATATAGTCTCCAAATTTTCTCATTTCAAGCAGAAATTTCAAAATTTAAACTTGAGCCATTCCAAATGCGACCTTTCTCTGATTTCCCTATATTTCACTGAAAAATCGATACCAACGATTCCCCAGTAAATATGAACAAAATCGAGGCAAAAATGCAAAAGGAATATTCGAAGAGTGTTCGAAAATCAGAAGGCAGAATTTTTCTCTAAACTCTCCTATTTTCCAGTACTCTCTAGTTTTGATAGATTGGAGGTTATAAACCTAGACTCGACAAAAAAAAAACACGACGATACAATCTGACCTGTCTGCGCCCTCTTTTCTCTCATCGGCGAGGTTATAGAGACTCGAAAATAGCTTGTAAAGAGAGATGGCGCAGAGATATCAGGGAACTTCAAAAGAGCATGTCAAAGAGAGAGAGAGCGCAGAGATATCAGATTGTTCAAGTTAGCACGAATGGGGTATAAGAGCAAATTCAGGAGTCTCCTTCTCGGTCCCACTCGGCGGAGAGCTGGTCGAGACGTCGGAGGGCGGCTTCCTGCTTGGCGTCGTCCTGACAGCCGAGGCATCGTGTCGCGTCGTGATTCGGCGTTTCAGGAGACGTCGTCTTCTTTGATGACGTCACCAAGGGCGACATCACCAGCGGCACCGTACTCCTTGGCCCAGTTCGCGGCATGTCTTTAAAGGGTGAAGTTTAATTTTTCCTTTTTCTTCAAAGTCACAGAATACGGTATGTCCTTACAGGGGTGCTTGAGAGAAAATTTAAAGAAAAACGCCGTGGATCGGAAAGTTAGGCCTCCTCAGCTGTTTCAGAAAGTTCCAAGTTGATAACTTTTTCAAACCCTATGAAGACTCAGCATACTTGGAATAACCTCGGTTCGGCCGCAAACTGTGGGGGACTTGACAAAAAAATTACTTATGTTAGGTGTGCCCTACATTTGCGTCAACGCGGTGGCCGTTGACGCTTTTTGAGATGCTGACGCTTGTTATAATTTAAATTTTGTATGCAGTATTTGACTGTACGAATATAAAAAAGTTATATATTATGTTGGTATTTTGCGTTCAGTCCAAAAGCATCATATCCAATTATTTAAAGCATTGCTCAGGAACCCATGGCGTTTTTTTTTTTGCGACGCCCCGCCCATATTTTTCCGTAAAGTGTAGTGTGTCGTGTGCATACACTGCGGCGTTCTGGCACATGCCACGATCTGAGTAATTTTCGCGAAGTTCAAAATCCTTTCTGAAATTTTGAAATTCAGTTATATTTTCCCCTCTCTCGTGGCTATTTTCAATTTCGCGGCATGTGTTTTTTTGAAAAAAAAAACAGAAAAATCGCGTTTTTTAAATGAGAAAGAGATTCGTCTCAGGACCCATTGAATGCGCCTTTAACATTTCCTGTTGTTTACGCGTTTTTCCCACGACGTCACATGGGAACGGCGGAGATTTTGACCACGCCCCCTTCATTTTTAGTTTTGCATTTTCTTCCACTAACAAAAACGCCTTGAGCCGTTTCTACAAAAATCTAGACGAGTTCGAAAAAGTTGAAGTTATGAGAAATTACGATAACTTGAGGCTATGAGACCAATTTTTTTCGGTTACAGCTCTGTTGCGGATCTAAGTGAGTCCTTAACTAATTTCTAATGAAACTTTTCAAGTTTTCACAATGAAAAAAGTTTTCGAATACTTCTGAATCACATGAAACCGCTAATAGACCACCTCTGAACAAGGCGTTCTTCTGGAAGAACCCGACGTCGGCCATCGAAGACTGCGGATTCGAACTGAACATGGCGGTGGTCGCCTTGTCGAACGCCTCCGGGTCTTCTACCATTTCCATCTGAATGCTCATTCAGTTCATTGTTCAAATTCAAAAAGGGGCACATTTAGCGCTTCTTCAAATACAACATTTTTTTATCTACTCTCTCTGGACTAACTTTTTTTCCAAGACATTAACCTCTACAGGAAGCGAATCCTGAAAAAACCTTCAAAAAAAAGTTTTTTGTAAAATTTGAGAGTCCAAAAAAAGGCTTTCATCTATTCAAAAATTCAGTTGTTACTTAAGAACGCCAGAGTGGTCCCTGAAGGGGTGAGCGGAAAAAAACAACCCCTTGAGCGGAAAAAAACAACCCCTTGAGAAGAAAAAAGCGCCATTTAATGATTTCTTCTGTTCAGTTTTTACTAAAGACGATGAGAGACCATTCATAAATAATACGAGCTCGGTTAGAAGTATGGAAGAAATAAATGTTGAGCCATATATCGTATACGAATGTTTGAAGAAGCTTAGACCTTTACATTCTGCCGGTCCGGATAAATTGTCTAATATCATAATACAAAAACTAGCGGCCCCTTTGGCACTACCTTTATCAATGATTTTCCAAAAATCATTGGACACCTCATGCTTGCCCAGTTTATGGAAAAAATCAATAGTTCGACCTATATATAAGAAAGGAAGCCTTAGTGAGCCTCAAAACTACAGACCTGTCAGTTTAACATGTGTCCCATGCAGAGTACTCGAATCCATTATCGTTAGAAGTTTAAGAAATCATCTTTTGGAACAAAAAAACATAATATCCAAAGCCCAATACGGATTTTTTTGAACAACAGAAATACCGTTTCGCAATTGCTTCAAAAAGCAAAAAAATATTTGATTCAAAACGTATATGAAAAAAAGCCATAGTTGACGTAATTTATCTGGATATAAGTAAAGCCTTTGATTCCGTAACACATCGAAGAATGTTGAACTTACTGGGATCTTATGGTTGCAATGGTCGGCTACTCTCCTGGTTTCAGAGCTATCTCATTGGACGTACTCAAATGGTACGCATAAATGAAGCTCTATCCGATGAAATTCCCGTACTTTCAGGGTGTACCACAGGGTAGTTGTTTGGGTCCTTTGTTTTTTTCTACTTTACATCAATGATATTGATAAAGTAGTCAAACACAGCGAACTATTAACATATGCCGACGATTGTAAATTAATGATAAGCTCGAAAAATAGAAAATTTCGAAAAATAAGCTTCAGGAAGATCTAAACTCTATTCATAACTGGCTAGCAGATAGACAGCTTGTCCTTTCGAGCTCAAAGAGTATACATGTCAGATATGGTAAATCCAATACTGAGAACCCTTCTTACACAATAAATGGCTCAAAAAAATTCCAACAGATGTATTCATCAGAGATCTGGGAGTACATTTTAGTTCTAATTTAAAAATGAATGGTCACGTGAATGTAATTGTGAAAAAATGCAAGAAAATCGTGAATAATCTTTTTAGATGTTTTACCTTCTCGCACACTAACTTCATGAATTGCTACAAGTTGAAGATTTTACCTGTTCTTGAATATGGGTCAGAACTTTTCTGTCCTCTAACAAGAACAGATATCGATAGATTGGAATCAGTTCAAAGGAAGTTTACTAAAAGACTTTTCCCTAAAATGAATTACAAAGAAAGACTTCAACGTCTCGGACTAAACACCCTTTGGCAAAGACGTTTAAAGAAAGACATAACTGCTGCTCACAATTTCATTTACGGATACTATTGGTGCCCATCTCCAATCCCTTTACAAAATACAACAAGTAGATCGAATCAACTGCGAGGAAATGGTCTCAAAATAGAGCGGCCTCTACTTTCTGACATACACTACCGGTTCATCAATCAAAGAGTTTACCATCAATGGAATCACATGGATAGAAACATAGTATTTGAGTATGAAAAAAATAAGTTCAGATCTAAACTCGAGAAATGGTTTGAAAACAACATTACAGAACTAAACACTCTTGATCCAACAAAAATATGAAAGCTACATAATCGACATTTAAAAGAATAACTTCAAGGTTATTCCAATTTACTCAAGTGGGGGGTTAACACGACCGCGAGTCCTCTTCCCTCCATCACCACAAGTTTCCGACACATATGTTCCCAAACTCTCCCTACATCTATTTCGTGAAATTTAGTACTTGTGTGTGAGAAATAAAACATTTTGATTGATTTATAGGGGTAAAATCTAGGTGGTCGCTTTAGGGTTTTAAAATCTTACCCCCAAGTCCCTAGAGGTTAAGGGATCCCTATAAGGGTGAGAGGAAAAAAACAAATCCTTGAGGGGGAAAAAAGTGCCTTTTATAGGGGTAAAATTTGAGTGGTCGCTTTAGGGGTTCAAGATCTGACGTCTGAAAAATTCAAGCAACTAAATTTTTCGAAGCTATTCTTCCCGCAGCTGTTTTTCTACCGTATACCTACCAGAACATCGGTCCTCCGTTCGATTTCAGCCTCTCTCATTTGAGCCGCGGACGGTTTCGGCGGCGCCACGTAATCGGTCATCATTCCAGGGCCGGGGGTCGATTTCAGGGTTAAATTCGCCGAAGAAGACCCGGGAGACAGGGCGAACGGCGTGAAGTCGATGGAGGACAGCGTTTTTGGCTCCGGCTCAGGTTCAGGCTCCTTCTTGGAAGGCGAGATTTTCTTGCAGAACTGATTGAAGTTCGTGATCGTCGTGTTCAGACTACCCGATATTCTAAAAAAAATCTCGTTGAATTATTGAAATTTCCGTTGTGAACTCACGATTTCAACTTGTTATCGAAGTCAGAAAAGTCAAAGCTGTCTTCCTTTTCCGGTTCATCCGTTTCAACTTTCTAGAAGTATACAAATTAATCAATAGCCGCTGAAATGGTCGCATTTGGAATGGCTCAACTTGTCGGAACCTTTTTAGAACCTTCTTTTTGGATCCCAGTTTCACACAGTTTCAGTTTGGTCAGGCAAAAAAGCCTCTAACGCTCTCTTCATAAAGCATTGTCTCTCACTATTTGGCAAAGTCGTGAAAGGTCGGGCGCAACGAAATTTGCTTAAAATCCTACTTTTGGCTGTCGGAAAGCGGCTAACTCAATGCTTACCAGGGAATGGTCTCAGCTCACAGTGGGACTTCTGAAAGAGACCATATTTTCTAGATGTAGTTTTTTACGCTGATTCCAAATCCGTTTTCAAAAGCTGACACCGAGGTCTGTGAAAAAAGTTATGGACCCTCAAAAGTCGAAAATTTCATAGTCTCCGATCGAGCTCATTTTTAGAGGGTATATAGTCCTTGTTTCCCTTGTCACGATAAACCATCAAATGTTTTTAAAAATTGTTTGTGAGCCAAGATATGAGCTTCCAAAGCCCCGCCGCACAAAAGAGAATGCGCGCGCGGTGTCCTATTGCGATCCGACGGCTGTCGAAGCAACGGCAGCGAGGAGCAGTGGAAAGGCGGCGGACTGGGGATCACGAGGTCATAGGTTCGGTGCCCACGCTGTGCAAACTTTTTTTGCAGTTTATTCTTTTTTGGATATTTCCGTGTAAGTGCTCCTTTTTTGAGTTTCGAAACGTAGAAACATGAAAACACTAGGTTTTGAGCCTATTCAAACAGCTGGACTTCTTTTTGTCGCAAATTTTTTTCATGGATTTTTTCGTGATTTTTCCATGTGTATGATGGGCTGGAGTGAGAAAATTTTCAGAAAAATTTTTTTGGTTTTTTTTTTTATCTTTCCTTCTTCAAAATATTGTCTAACCCCAAGTCATCATAGTTACGCTTGTCTTTTTCTTCAATAAACTCTTCGTGCTTTGCAGTGGGCTCACCTATTACCGTCGCCTTTTGCCGTCTGACTATGAATTTTCAGGAATCACATTGAACGAAACATTTTTGTGGGGAGTTTGTTTTGAATTTTTTATTTATGAGTCAAAGAAACCTCCTCGGAAATTTCAGCCACAACCTGAAATAAAATTGAAAGTTTTTTTCTTCTCGTAGAGTGGTAAGTAAAAACCGGAGCCAAAAATTCCGGAAAAAATGTCTGCGTTATGAAAACTTGCGTATAGCCAGCTTTCAAAAGAAGAAAAAAAAAACCAAAAAAATTTTCCTTCACCCCAGCCCATGCTCATACACATGGAAAATCACGAAAAAATCCATGAAAAAAAATTGCGACAAAAAGAAGTCCAGCTGTTTGAATAGGCTCAAAACGCAGTGTTTTCATGTTTTTACGCTTCAAAGCTCAAAAAAGAAGCACTTACACGAAAATATCCAAAAAAGAATAAACTGCAAAAAAAGTTTGCACAGCGTGGGCAGCGAACCTATGACCTCGTGATCCCCAGTCCGCCGCCTTTCCACTGCTCCTCGCTGCCGTTGCTTCGACAGCCGTCGGATCGCAATAGGACACCGCGCGCGCATTCTCTTGTGTGCGGCGGGGCTTTGGAAGCTCATATCTTGGCTCACAAACAATTTTTGAAAAAATTTGATGGTTTATCGTGACAAGGGAAACAAGGACTATATACCCTCTAAAAATGAGCTCGATCGGAGACTATGAAATTTTCGACTTTTGAGGGTCCATAACTTTTTTCACAGACCTCGGTGGCAGCTTTTGAAAACGGATTTGGAATCAGCGTGAAAAACTACATCTAGAAAATATGGTCTCTTTCAGAAGTCCCACTGTGAGCTGAGACCATTCCCTGGTTAGATGCTCATATCAAGCTTCCTAGCGCTCTCTCCATTTTCCATTGTCTCTCACTATTTGGCAAAGTCGTCAAAGGTCGGCTGCAGAAATTACTTCAATATTTCGTAGGGAGAAGTAAAAAACTCTTTTTTTGCACTGATAACTATCTCAAGCTGTCTGCGTCTCCACCAATCAAACGTTATTCTCAACTTTTTCGTGTCAAGACCCTTTCACAACTCCTAGTGGACGCTTCACCTCAGGCGACGCCTTCTTGATGTGAATATTCTTCAGCATCGATGTGCTGGCCTGGAGAAGGACGTCAGCCAGTTGATCGTCCTCCTCCTTGCTCAAGAACGGCGAGTCTGGCGCTTTCGCTGTGGGACTTTGGACAGGAGCCTGTAAATCTCAAACTTCTTCCTGATATCCTGAAAAATTCACCTCTTTGCGAGGTGAGGGCGGCTGATCCACACACGGATGAGCTACAACTTCGAGTTTCGGGGTCGCCTTTTTCTCCATATTTTCCAGAAGGGCACTGTGGAGATCATCCTCCTCCTCGTCTTCATCTTCGTCCGAGGTGATCTGAAAACAAGTCTGAGCTTCAGAAGCGATGAAGAAGTCTCACATTCATCGTCGGAGATCGTTCCTTGTGCGGTTTTTGGAAATTACTGAAGGAGATGCTGGAAGGATCTGGGTGAGGTGTCCCTCGAGCTGGGGCAGCTCCAATTACTCCAGAAGGCGTCTGAGCTGTTGCTCCAAAGAGAGACTTCTGAGAGCTTCCGAAGATGCTGGTAGGAGCTGGAGTAGCTCCGAGAGCTCCAGGAGGATTCTGAGGAGTTGCTCCGAAGAGAGACTTCTGAGAATTTCCAAAGATGCTGGAAGGAGCTGGACCAGCGCTACCGAAGATGCTGGTAGGGGCTTGCTGAGGTGTTCCTGAAGCAGCGCTACCGAAGATGTTGGAAGGATCTGGGTGAGGCGTCGCTCCAGCTGGACCAAGTCCTCCGAAGAAACTCTGCTGCGGTGTCGCTGACAAGGGAGTTCCGAAGATCGAGTTGCGAGGAGCTGGCTGAGCTCCATCCTTGGGCGTCGAGGTGAGGATCCCTTCTTCCGGCTTCAGCGGAGTCCCAAAGACAGACTTCTGAGAACTGCCAAAGACGCTCTGGGGCAGCGCCGACATAGGAGTGCCAAAAATGGAGTTACGAGGAGCTGGCTGAGGTGTGCCTTGAGCTGGAGTACCGAAGTTGAAAGCTTTCAGAGCCTCTTTCTGAGGAGTTCCTATGTTGGTAGACGGGGTCAGGACGACAGATTTGCTGGAGACGTGGACGGGACTCTGCATGGGTGACTCGAATTGGGACATTGAGAGGATGGAAAGTCGGGTGGCTTGGTGCATAGGCGACACGAAGGTCTGAAAACGGAATATTTGACAGGATTTGAAAGAAAAAGTCTTCAAAAAGCTTGAGGACCGATTTCAGAAAGGAAAAACGGTCCAGATGGGTAGCAGACTTTTGTCTAACCTCCCTCAACCCTCCTCAATCTCAATAATGTCTTCAAAACGAGACTTTTCGAGCGAAAAAGTTCATCAGCTGGCCGTTTTTCGCTTTGTGAAAACATTTCAAAGGTTCTATATTTCTTCAAAATTGCCGGGAAAAAAATTTTAAAAAAATGACGGGAAGATTCAGAACGACGTTCTCAAAACAAAAAGATTTTATCTAGCTTCAAAACCTTTTTTTCAGCCAACTATTTTTAGCTGGGCTGAAAAAGAAAGATCCTCCGGTTCAGTTTTCTTAGAAATATCACGGAAAGACTTTCAAGAAAATTTAAACAGACTTTGAAAAATCACTTAACTTTCTCACTTAGCCTAAAGCTGGAAAATTAATATGAGATGATTTGAAAATCCAATTTTTCTCATTCTTAGGAACTTTCGAACTTTCTGTCTTTTTCAAATTTTCAAACCTCGAAGTTCAAAAAAAACTTTCCTACATTTTTTTACGCTCAAAATCGTTTCCCATTCGAACGGGATCTGATAAAAATCAAGAAACCAATTTCAATTTCTGAGTTTCTTTACAAACTTCAAACCAATGGCGATTTTTGCTTCATTTTGCGGTTCTTTCGTTTTTTTCTTTATTTTCATTTTTCATATCATTTTATTTTTCTTTATATCAGTTCCCCTTCAAGTACCACCTCTACGCGGTGATGGGGAGGCAACGCCATTTATGGCGGCTAACGGTACACCGGTCACGCAATTCGGCTTGCTTCTGCTAACAGAATGGGCGGTCTTTTTTAGCCCTGGCAAGGCAAAAAGGATAATAAGACCACAATTATGCTATAACACGTTCAACCCCACGGGTGGAACTTTTTCGCAAGCATACCAGTCAACCAGGACGACAACACTGGATGACCGATTGCATAAGATCTCCTGGAAGACGTGTGGTCCACGCTTCGATCAATAAAAGGCACTAAAAGGCAATAAAAGGTCGAAAGCGAAGATGGACCATCTAAGTATCTAAGTAAGTAGTATATCAGTTGAGTTGAGGCTCGCGGACTGAAAATCCTATACTTATGCTACTCGAAAAAAGAAAATTTCTAAGTCCTCAAACTCACACTGAACGCATCGCAAAGCCCTTTTCAACTCCCCTATATTTTTTTCTTTTTTAGAAATTTTCTCTCCGAATTTCCAGCTTCATTTTTACGATTTTGTACCGTTCAAAACTCTCAAAAAGCACCATGTTTCCCTTTTCGAACTCACACTAAACGCATCAGACGGCCTTCCCTCGGGCGCCGTCAGGAAAGACTTTTCGTTGTCGGAATCCTCGTCGTCGACGTTGTCTTCTTCGGTGAAAGCCTCTCTGGAATCCATTTTTCCCGTATTGAGGTTAGGTACTTGCAGTTGAGGCGCGAAGCGGTTGCGATGCGTTTTGGCGCCAATTCAAAAATAATCCATCTGGTGACATCTTCATCTCATGTAACACTCCAGAGTGATCACTATAGGGGTTAGAGTAAAAATAGCCCTTATAAGGGTAAATCTTAGTTGGTCCCTACAGAAGTTTAGATTCTGACTTCTTTTGGCATGGAAATGCTTCTTCACTCGGAGTTCATAACATCGAGGAGCCACTTTTGCAAGCTTCAGTGGCTACTATAGGGGTTGGTAAAGTGGTCTCTAGAGAGGACCCTGGACAAGAAGCTTCAAGGGACCCTAAAGTTGCCCCTATAGGGACCACTCTGAAGTCTGTGAAACTTACACAATGTGATCAATGAATAACTTCTACAAAACCAAAAAATGCAAAAAGTCTTCGCACGCTTTGCTCATAAACCACAGTCAAGCCAAAAAATGGATTAATCGCAAAAAATCGAGAGGAATTCGAGACGAACGCGCTGTTTATAATGGCGCCGATGTGATCGGCCTCGGTGACATCAACAAAATCGTAGTCGCACGGCAGCGGGAAGAGCAACGTCTCTGCGATCGGGTTGACGCTCCGCCCACTTCCGAAGCTCACCGATGACGTCACGCGCTGGTAGCCTGGCCTGAAAAGAAACGAAAAATAGTGTGACTTGACGGTTTTCGAATGTCTGCGTCTCTCTGTTATCTCACTGGCGAGGTCAGGGAAATTTGAAAATAGCACTGGAACATGAGAGGGTTGCCTAGAGAAGAGGAGGGCGCAGAGAAGAGCATTTTTAAGTCGCGAAAAAGCCTAAGTTTTGAAGGGACGATTTATTGGGAAAATTTTTAGTGGCCACTATACGGTTTTGACGTTTTAGTGGCCACTATTGTAGTCAAATTAATGGCCACTTAAAGGGTTAAAAATTAGCGGCCACTATAGAGGTCTAAGTGTTCCTACTAACCACTAAAAATCTTAGTGGCCTCTTTAGGGATCAATGGATCAAAATAACTGGTCCAATCTGTTTGTTTCAAAATTATCGGAGTTACAGGAAGGAATACTGAATGAAAAACTACTGAAGTGGCCACTAAAATGAAAAATATTGGCCACTATAGAGGTGGGTTTAGTGGCCACTTTAGTGCCCTCTTCAAGTAATCCTTGGCAAGCCTCTATAGTGGCCATTAAAAATTCTCCCAGGACGCAAAGTCGTTGAAAACTAAATTTTTTTTGCGCCAGACCTAGAAACGACTCGCGCCCAAGACTCTCAAAACACAAGTAAAGCTATTTGATTTCAAAAATTAACTTTTGTGGACCAAAGAAAAAAGAACAAATCATTGAGCCAGTAAAGTGTAGTGTGTTTTCCCAGTAAAAATATAATCTTTCCAGATAAAATGTCGCTCAAACTCCGCCCCTTATACATAGATCAAACCAATCAGAGAGCGAGCCATTCACAGAGAGTTTTTAAGGGCGGAGTTTGCTGTTTGGCCTACAACATCTGAGCAAACTATACTATTCAAATTAGAGCGCGAAAACGACAATTTACACTAAAAAATAATTCCTTTTTTTCCGTAAACTTCTGAAACAGTCATGGGATGAGCATGACTGGCGACAGAAAAGTCCCCTTTTCTCGTTTTATTTTTCCAAGTCCCCTTTTTCAGGTCCCACCGAGACTATCCCATTTATTTTTCTGGCTGCTCGCCTTTTCAACCGATTTTTGATTTTATACAGTACACGATCCGATTTTCCCCATCGAACAACGACCCACCCGACGGCCAGCAGCTTGTTCATCTTCTCCTTGTAGACGTCCCCGATCTCCCTGACGGCCTCGAAGACGTTGTCGTCTTGTGAAGGCGCGCATTGGAGGACCCGTTTCCAGGTCTCGAAGAGAACTCGGACGTCTTCGCTACCGCCGTCGGTCAACCTGACGGCGTCGACGACACGGGAACATCTCAGACGAAGGGCGGGGTTTCGAGCTCTGGAAGCTTTTCGTGTGAAATAGAGATTGAAAAATATAACTAAATTTCGGAGAGTCAGAGATAATTTCGAGTTTCGCGGAAATTATAGGGGTTTCGCGCAAGAAAGTTGAAAAAACAGCAAAAAAAGTTACCCTGGAAGAAATTTTTGCTCTACAAATCTGCAAAAGGACACCAAAATCTGCTCAAAAAAACAAAGGTCTTGAAGCGAAAATTGCTCTAATTTGATCTAAATTGGTATACGGTATTTTTGGCGGATAGAAAAACGTGACAAGCTGATGAGCTATATTTTCAAAATACCTGTCAGAGCAAGGAAAAGATGACTAAAATTTGGAGAGACAGAGAAAATTATTCTGATTTGGAAATTACACGGTATGAAGGTCACAATAAACATAAAGAATGGAATGTTTCAAAAATAATGAAATTTTTTCGAGATTCACCTGTTAGGTGCATCACAAAGGGCAGCCCAGCACTGCGTTTGCAATTTCGTCAGTGTCAATTGGGCGCAAATTGTCGGTTCTTGTTGGAATTTCCGCCCCGACGGCGTCACTGTGAAGCTGACCGACATCAGAGAGTCCAGGAACATCTGAAACTCAAAAGATATGAAATAATTGGAAGCTCAACAGTTTAAAAAAAATTGTAAATCTTTAAAAAGAAAGCTTTTTTTTTTTGGAAATCAATTTTCAAGGGGAGAAAAATCGAGTCAAGATAAAAAATATAAGGAAAAAGGCCATCAAAATTCAAAAATGACGAAAAATAAAACTGGAGCTTTGCGAAATCAATTTTTACACGACATTCGTCCAATTTTAGAAGTTCATGATTTTTTTTCGTTACCAAGCTTTTTCAGAATTGGGAGAAATTGAGAGGAAGTTCGCAAAACGTGAATTTTTTTATGGATATTTTTGTTTAAAATAGACCTCAAAACTTCAGAAAAAAATCGTTAAAAGCTTAAAAAGACTATCTAAATCGTTTCAAGGATACTTTTTTTCCAGAAAAATTCGCTAAAAAGCAAAATGTAAAAAGACGAAAAATTTGCCCATCAGGTTATTATTTTTCATTTTAGAGTTTTTTTATTTCGTAATTATGTATTTCAAAAACTGAACAAAATTGAATAGGAGAGTATAAATTAAGTTCGCGAAACGTAGAAATACCTGGGAGTGTTTTATCTTTCATTGTAAAATCGGCTCAAAAAAATAATTAAACGTGAAATTAATTGAAAACGTGTTCTTTCAGATTTTTTTTTTTTGACAAGGTGTGTGTAATCAATATATTTAGCTGATTATGAAGATTCTTAGATCTTCAAAAAGATTTTGAGGCTTTTTTTCTTCTTTTACTGTGAAAATCGGCCTAAAATCAAGCGAACTAAAAACTTGAAACATGAAAAAAAGAGAAAATTAAAAAAAAAAGTCAAAATAACGTTGAAAACTTCAAAAATCAACTGTTTGTTTTTTTGTTTATTGCATCTTCAATGTAAGAATACATGTGCAAACGACTTTCATTGATTTAACTGTGTTTAAACGGCGGCAGGAGCTGTGGCTTAGGCAGAGAAGTTGTGAATTGCGCTCGTAGAACATCAGGTACAAGAGAGGTCGTAGGAAGAGTTACGGTGCCGGCTTTCCAAAGGCCGATGGCAGAGATTGAGCCTTTTCGCTGCATGCAGCTCCCAATTTTATCTACCCCGGAGGGATGAAAGGCTTGGTCGACCTCGGGGGAACTCGAACCTACGACCTTGCGGACGTTAGAAATGAGTTATGCCAGCTGAGCTATGCCAAAAATCAACAGATATACTTGAAAATAACCCCTAGAATTTCAAAAATCAGAACTCTTGAGCTAAAACTGAACTTAAAATAATTCTCTTCCCTCTGAAATTTTTTTCACACGCTTAACATCTAAAAAGCCTTTAAAGGTTCAAAAAAACTTCTCAAAATATTTAAAAATCACCTATTTTTTTCACTGAGAACGGAAAAAAACATAAAAAGAAGAGGCCAAACTTGGAGCTAATTTCAAAAAACGCATCTTTGTGCTCAAATTCCAAAAAGCAACACAAATTTTCGACAGAAAAATCAAAAACTATCAATAATCATGATTAGTGGAATTTGGAATTTTTTTCCGCCTTCAAAGTTTTCTCAAACTGCACCTCAACATACGGAAACCTTCCGAAATGATGAAAAAAATTTAAATTCTGACACCTTTCAATGAAATAGAAAAAAATCATTTAAAAAAAACTTAAAAAAAGAAGCAAAATTGGGGAAAAAAACATAAAGGTGCATTTTTTTAGCTCACTTTTTCAAAAAAACAACAGAAAAAAATCTGAAATAGGACCCGAAAAACTATGCATAAACGTAATTTGCAGTAAAAATGATTATGAAATAAATTATTTTTTTCTGAAATTTTTAAACGTTACCTTAACATTAAAAAAAACCTTGAAAGATACAAAATGATGGAAATTCTTTAAAACCACAAACTTTTCACTGAGATCGAAGGAAAACATGAAAAAGGAAGAAAATTGGGCGCTGAATTCAAAAGAGGTGCATTTTTACGTTGCTATTTCAAAAAAAAACTGAAAATTCCAGATTTGAACTCAAAAACTATCAATAATCGTTATTTAAACGCAAATTTAACATTGTCAAACATCAGCTTAACGTTCAAAATCCTTTAAAAGTTCAAAAAATGATTTCAAAACTTTTAAAAATCACACATCTTCCACTGGAAACGAAATAAAATCATTGGAAAAGAGCAAAGCAAAGAGATAATACGAAATAAAGAAGCATTTTCAAGCTCAAAAACCATTAAGCAACAGAAAACTTCGGAACTGAACTCAAAAACTATCAATAATCGGAACTTCCAACTAAAATTGGACATAAAATACTACTCTCTGAAATTTTCCACACGTTCCCCTAACATCCAAAAACCTTCAAAGACTCAAAAATGAAACAATTTTTTTCCCTAAACTCCCACCTTAACATCCAGAACCGAAAGCGGGCTTTTCAGAAGGTCATCTGCTTGAGGAGCCGCTGGGAGGGATTTCGAGAACAACTCGTCGATAAATTTACCTGGAAAAATCATTTAACCTTTTTCTTACAAAAAAAAAAACTCACAACTTTGGAAAATCTCGCTCCTTTTTATACACCAGAGAAGTAACTTGAGTGTTTCTTCGTTGCTAATAAATGGTTCGAGTTCTAAAAAAATCTTTAGTTTACTTTTTATAAAATGCGGAAAGTACAGTACTTTCAATGAGGTGTAATAAATCGGATCTTGCGATTTTTTTAACGGCGTCTCGTCGGCCAAATCTCGGGCTATTCTGAAAATTTCCGCTTTTTTTCCTATTTTTTTCTACACAATATTTCATTATTTAATTGATTGAAAAGCTTCCCAAAACTTCAAAATTCATTTTTTATATTGAAAATAGATCAAAAAAAATCCTTTTTTCTCGAAATTATACAGAAAAAGTCCCCATTTTTTTCTCCGTCGCTGAATTTTCTACATAAATTTTGAAAGACCTCCGTCTGAATTTCACTATCTATTCAAAAAGTTCCTCAATTCGCAGATGGAAAAAAATATAATATCAAAAAAATCCTGAATATTCAAATTTTTCCGTCTTCTTTTCAATGAAAAAAACTCTGAAAATAACAAAAGAATAAATTAAACTTTTTCGAAATACTTTTTTTCAATCAAATTTATTATCTCTTTGAAAGTTTCCTCAATTGGAAGGTGGATAAATAAATACTTTCAAAGGAAAAAAATCTTGAAAATGCGATTTTTTTCAACGAAAAAAATAGCAACAAAATGATTCAAAAATTTTTCAAATAACCTTCATTTTTTTAAAATTTCCCAGCCAATCGAAATAATTATCAGTTGGATAAATAAAACCTTCCAAAATAGAAATTTGATTTTTCGATTTTTCTACCCTTAATACAATGAAAAATCAAAATTTCAAAATAAAAACAAAAACGGAAAGTCTCAAAACCAACAAAATTTCAGCGTTTCAACATCAAAAAATTACAAAGACCAAAAATATTAACTGAAAAATGGAAGCTTTGACGAGCTGAAATCGTCCAGTGGTTAAAGTCAACGCGTCGATCAGCTTGTCGGCGAGCTGAAATCAATTTTTCATCATTGAATGCAAGAAAAAAAAATCAAATAGTCTGGGAAAAATTTTAGTGGCCACTGTAGAGGCTCGCCAAGGACTACTTGGAGAGGACACTAAAGTGGCCACTAAACCCACCGCTATAGTGGCCACTTCAGTAGTTTTTCATCCAGTAATCCTTCCAATAACTCTGATAATGCACTTAAATATAGTAAACTGTTGATTTACGCGGATGATTGCAAAGTAATGATTAGCAGTTCTGTTCCAGGATATCAAAACAAAGCTACAAGAGGATCTCCATTCCATTGAAAATTTTCTTGCAGATAGAGAACTCATACTTTCAGCAAACAAAAGTCTCCATGTTAGTTATGGGAAACGAGTTCGAAGTGTTGCGAGTTACGAGCTTAATGGTACAACAGTGAATAACGAGGATTGTGTGAAAGATCTCGGAGTTATTTTTTCATCTAACCTCAAAATGCATAATAATATTGAAGTTATCGTCAAAAAAACTATGCGTATTATAAACAACCTATTCCGCTGTTTTTAGCTTCTCGAAACAAAAACTTCTTGACATGCTATAAGGCCAAGGTACTTCCCATTCTAGAGTATGGTTCGGAACTAATGTGTCCATTGACAAAGTCAGGTATTGATCGATTAGAATCGGTCCAGAGGCGTTTCACGAAGCGCCTTTCCCCAAGAATGGAATATAATGAACGGTTAAAACTATTAGGTCTTCAACCTCTTTGGTTTAGGCGTTTAGTTAAGGATCTGGTATTATCACATCAGTTTTTGCATAATAAGTGCTGGTCAGACTCTCCCATCCAGGTACATAACATCTTTGACCGTCCCAGTCAGCTCAGAGGAAATGGTTTTAAATAAAAACGAAACCTTCACTGGTTTTCTTCAATTTCTTATCACATCGCATTACTAATGTTTGGAAGGACATTGAACATGAATTATTGGCAGAGGAAGACAAGAAAAAATTTAAGGACATGTTTTTAGTGTATGCAGAAGATGTTGGCGTCGAGCATATTCTTTCAAGTGTTCACAGATTTGTGCCATGATCAACTTGGTTTTTAAATATCTACTTATTATGGTTCTATGTTTCTTTCTTACACAAAAAACTTTTTCTTCATAGGTGGGGTTAGTTAATCCACCTAGTGGTCTTTTTCCCTCCCTGCAACATCACCATACCATCCCGATGTTGCGAAAAATAAACAAATTGAATTGAATTGAATAATTTTGAAACAAACAGATTGGACCAGTTATGATGATCCATTGGCCCCTAAAGTGGCCACTAAAATTTCCAGTGGTCTAGTAGCAGCACTTAGACCTCTCTAGTGGCCGCTAATTTGACTACTATAGCGGTCCCTAAACGTCTAAAACATGTAGTGGTCACTAAAAATTTTTCCAGATTGATGAAAATTGAAGTTTTCCATGAAAAAAACTTGACTAAAAAACTCCGTTTTTAAGCAATAATCTCCATTAAAAAACGAAGATTACACGGAAAATAATAAAAAATTCACTTCCGGATCATCCCACGTCGCCACGATACTGTCTGTCGTCAATGTCATATTCAATTCCACGGCGGATTCTTTAAAAAAAAAAAATATGAATTGAAGAAACATTTTTCGAACCAACCTAAGGCCATATTGAGAACCCACGAATCCACGCCAATATTTTCCTTTTGTTCCTCGACTTTTGACAAGATACCGTAGGCTATACGGTACATGGTGAACTGGAGGGATTTCTGAAAAAAGGATCCAAAAAATGAGAAAATTCGTGGTAAGTATCTTAATTTATGATTTTTAAAAAAAGGAAATACTTCGGATTCTCTCTAAAATTACCTTCAAAAATCCAAGAATTCCTATAATTTAAGAAAGAAAGTACGAATTCATACAATACAACTAATAAATCAACAAAAAAATCTTGGAACAAGAAAAAAACTTTTTAAATTTTTTTAAAGCTTTCCGTGTTATTTTTAGGAACTGTTCGCACTTTCAAAAACGTCCAAGACTCCCTATATTTTTCCTTGAAAAAAACATTTTTTTCTATAATCGAGTTAATAAATTCGTACAAATCTCAAGATAAAAAAATTAGAAAATTCAAAAAAATTTTTGCATTTCCCCTATTCTCATAAAACTTTCTTTCATATTTTTTTCAAACTGTCCGCACTTCCAAAAACGTTCAAACCTCCTACATTTTTTTCTGTAATACAACCACTACATTCACACAAATCATGAAAAAAATGCTAAAAATTTTTCCTAATTATCTTCAATTTTTTTAAAAATTTTTGTCTTTCCTTTTTTTATCAAACTGTTCGCACTTCCCAAACGTCCAAACCACTCACATTTTTTTCTGCAATACAACCACTACATTCTAATATCAGATTATTTATATTATTTATTTACACAATATTTTTCATAAAGCTTTCTTTCCTAATTTTTTTCAAACTGGTCGCACTTTCAAAACGTCCAAGCCGCTTACATGTTTCTGTAATACAGCCTATACATTCGCAAAAATCTTGGAAAATTCTCAAAGTTTTCTTGGTTTTCATAAATAAAAAAATCACTATCAGATTTTTGCCTTTTTTTCTTTCAATTTTGTCTCAAAAAAAGTCTAAAAATTCTTAGATTTTTCCCTGAAACCAACAATTTTCTTTAACAAAAGATTGTTTCCTATTTTTTTGCAAGCTGTTCGCACTTTCAAAACGTCCGAAACACCTACATGTTTCTGCAATACAGCCTATACATTCGCACAAATCATGAGAAACGCTCAAATTTGTCTTACTTATCTTCATTTTTTGAAATTTCACTTTCCTAACTTTTCAAACTGTTCGCACTTTCAAAACGTCCAAACTTCCGAAAAACTTCCTCAAAACCAACATTTTTCCGTAATACAGTCAACACATTCGCATAAATCATGAATCATGCTCAAATTTTTTTCTTAATTATCTTCATTTTTTTAAAAAAACTTTCTACCCTTTTTATGCAAACTGTTCGAACTTTCAAAACGTCCGAACTCCATACATTTTTTTCTGCAATACAACCACTACATACTCACTAATTTCAGATTATTAATATTATTTATTTACACAACATTTTCATAAAGCTTCTTTCCTTATTTTAAAACTGCCCGTATTTTAAAAACGTCCGAAACACCTACATGTTTCTGCAATACAGCCAGCACATTCGCACATATATTGCAAAAGACTCCGATCGTCAAAAGTGCGCTGCTTTTCGAGCATTCTGCCGATTCCTCTGCTCTCTCGTACAGACTGACGATTCTAAATCCATTTTTTAGCGATTTCTCAAGAAAAATCATTAAATTACTCGATCAAAGGCTTCTGGAACTGATTCAGCACTGCCGAATGAGCCGTTAAAGAAGAAAGTGCAAAATCATGAGCTTTTCTCAATTTTCGAAGCAAAGTCGATTGTGTCAGAATCTCCTGGAACATTTTATCAAAATCAATAAAAATAATTTCTAATGTCCCTGAAAAAGTAGAATTTCACTTGAAACTGATTTTATCTCAAAAATTCCCAAATTACCTCGTCGAGGACGGAATCGTTTAAACTTTCGTCGCCTTTCCTTATCACTGGCGAGAAAAAAACTGCTTAAATGAGTCGTTTAAAACCATCTGGAACTGATATTAGAATATAAAATTGTCCTTGAACCATCAAAAGAATGAAAGAAACGAAGATTTTTTTCAAAAAGGTTTAAAAAAATGAAAATGAAAAAAACAATATCACATACAATATCAAAGAAATGAAGTGAACAAGAAATCCGCGAGGCTAAAACTTATTTCAAAAAAATATTTCTCTTCTCTGAATATGTGAAAATTTAGAAATATTCAAAAATGTTCGAAAATTTTTAAAAAAATTCGTTTTGTTGAACTTTCTCGGAAATAATGTAGAAATTAGGATCATAACGTTTGAAGACAAAAACGGAAAGCGTATATTTATTTTTGTACAGTACTATTAATCAACCTTCTTCGTTATAATATTTAAAACAATTAAACTTCAAAATATAAAAAGAAAAACCGATTCTTTTGAATTTTTCTTCAAAATCATACCGAAAGTTCTATCCATTTAGTCAAAACCATTCTAGAGCAAAAATCCCTTCTAATAATTACTCCTTTAATGAAAAAAACCTTTTAAATTTCAATAAGAACTTGGAAAGAAACAAGTAAGAATATTAAAATTCGCGCTGAAAGTTCGAGCGTAAGATTAAATGCTTGCGTCCAACCAGGCTACCGTAACCCTCAAAACTTCAATATTTCGGCCTTTTAACTTTACAGCTTCGAAACCAACACAATTAATATGATATGGAACATTTTATTCACAAAAAAACAATAGAATTTTATTTATTGCTGAACAAGTTGGACAAACGAGATCTCTGTGGTCGTGGCCGGCGGGAGTTCAGGCCTGAAAAATCGGAAAATCATTTTAAAATTATCAATTGAGGATATTACCAGGATCATTGACACGGATGGACATTTCAATATTCTTCCGGGCGTTGGAAATTTCATTCTTGACCTCTTCGGCGCTGGCTTTTTGGTTTTCCAGCTGCTCATCTTCTCTGAAAATTTTTGGTTTACTTACTTCTTTGTAGGAAAAATTACTCATTGGCTTTTCTTTCAGCCGTCATCCCAACGGCTTTCACATTACTCAGCCATTCTTGCAGGGCGGAAACTGTCGGGGCCAAGGAATCGGCCGACGCGTCGCGGGCCATCCATTCCGAAACCTTAACTTGATATTTTAGGATGAAATTGAAGTTTTGAATGCTTAGAGAAATAAGTTAAAGGTTTCTTAAAGAAAAAAGCGCGGACCGAAAGGCTGAGAAGCGAAAACGAGAGATCTAGGGCACCTTGAAGAGACGCCAGAGAAGCAGGGAATTCTCTCGTTTCTCTGACGTCTCTTCAGGTAACCCTGATCCATCTCTTTTTTTTTCAAAAATTCGGAGTTTTACATTCAGAAGCGCTGACAGAAAGGCTGAAAAGCGAGAAAAAGAGATCTAGGGCACCTTGTAGAGACACCAAAGAAGCAGAGAAGTTCCTCGTTTCTCTGGCGTCTCTTCGGGGTAACCCTGATCTATCCCTCTTTTTATTTTCAAAAATTTGGAGTTTTACATTAAAAAGCGCTGACTGGGGAGCGGAAACGAAAAATCAACAAAAGCCTGAAGAGACGGCAGAGAAGCTGAGAAGCCCCTCAATTTCTCTGGCATCTCTAGTCAACCTTGATCTATCTTTTCCAAACTTTAAAAGCTAGAGAAAGATCAGAGAACTTTCAGAAAATTAGAGGGTAGAGAAATCATGTTAAATTCCCAGAGAAGACTATGAAATCTGGGAAATGAGGAAAAGACGGCGGACAAGGCTAAAGATGGCTTTTTTTTTTAATTTAAAAGACGTTCTTGTGAAAAATGTTTAAAAATCCACTCTAGTGGGTTCTAGAACAAAAAAAGAGACAATAAATCAAATTTTTCAAAGCAAAACAGGATGGTTTTTAAAGATCGGATATAAGTTTTGGGTGGTATGAAAAAAACACCAGCGAAAATTCAAACGACGACTTTTCCGATTTTTTCATATCGCTAGGGAACTTTCCGACGGCCACCTTTCCGACGAAACTTTTTCCGACTTTTTTTCTCGATAAAATCTTCGTTTTGAATCTTTCTATATAAGGTAGGTAGTTGGTTCATGATTAAAACACAAAGAAATAGGAAAGAAAATGTTTATAGATGTTTTAAAAACTGAAAACTATAAGGGAAAAAAGTCGGAAAGGGATCCGTCGAAAAAGTGGCCGTCGGAAAGTTCCCTAGCGATATGAAAAAATCGGAAAAGTCGCCGTTTGAATTTTCGCTGTTCTTTTTTTCATACTACCAAGTTTTGATGCGACAAATACTGAAAAAAACATTGTACAACGCTCCAGATGACGCAGATTAAAAGTGATGAAAATAAAAAAAACATTTTCAAGACCCTTTTCAATGTAAATTTAACACGGCTAGGTTTCAAAAGTTATTTTTTGAAATTTTGAAATTGAAATTCTTTTCAGTCTTCGGAGTAGGTTCTCTGCTGAATCATGGAAAATCATTCAAAAGTTAACATTTATTCAATTAAATTCAAATATTCAGAATTTTTCTATACTTTTTTTAAGGTGCTGATTAAAAGTATACCAATTTTATATTTTAAATGAGGAAATTCGATCAAACAAACCTCGACGACCCTGGCCTGAGAATCCAACTTGGCCTTGATCATTTCCTTGTAAATCGCGTCGATGATCAAATCTTCCAATTCCCGGACTCCGCTCATTCTCAACCTGTAAAATTCTATATTTCCTATGTAAATGATGGAAAAAACCGTATTAGGAGATCATCATAAGAAAGGCGATTGGATTCGGCAGCGTAGGAAATGATCGAAAGTTGGCGGAGTTTTTTCAAAGCCAGGGGGTTGAGAATGATCTGAATAATTGGACCTTTGAATAATGAATCAAGAAAGAAGGGAAGGAAAATATTGGCTGTTAAGAGATCTCCCTCAGAAAAGAATAACTGAGAAAATTCAAAAAACCCTCAAAAAAAATTATTATTCCCTGAAAAATTCAATATTCCTGTTCAAAATATCATTTCCAGGACTGTTTTAAATAACGGACATTATAATTCAGCATTATATTATCAAATTTATTGTTTTTTTATTTGAAAATGGTCGAAAATCCGAAAAAAAGACCTTCTCAACCTACGTTTCAATATCCAGATATAACCAGAAACAATATTTCAATTTCGATCCTTGTTCGTAACAGTTGTAAGCATGATAATAAATATAAAGTTTCGAAAAAAATCGACGATTTCGTCCAAAATTTCAATTAAACGTCTTTTTAAATTAACTTTTTTTCCGACAAAAAAATCAGGTATTTTTCGACTTTTACACTATGAAAAAAACACTGGAAAATGGGTTTTATTTTTTTAATTTTTGAAGATTTTTAAAAATCTTACATCACTGGGCATGTCCTCCAAAGCACCCATCGAAAAAACCTGCAGCGTTTTGAACAAATTCGAATTACTTTTCTCGAGTTCCTGAAAAAAAGATTTTTGAGACAAAATAATTGAATTTTTCAGCAGAAGAACAATATAAAAAGTTAGAAAAAACCTATTTCACTAAATTTTTATTCACCTGGATCTGTGGTTCGGCAAAGTAGGGTGAAAAATTGATGACATTCGGGGCCATCAGAGCTTTTTCCACCAAAAGCTCCGTTTCCGTCGACATTTCTGAAGGTTTTCTCGTGAAATCTGGATCAAAAATTAAAAAAAAAAGATCTAAGAGTTCCCGAGTGGTTCCTATAGGGGTTAGGGAGCAAAACAACCCGAAAAGTGGTCTCTATAGGGGTAAAATCAAGGTGGTCCCTACAGGGGTTAGGCTCTCATCCCTTAGCCCATAAAGCTCAAGTGGACCCTATAGGGGTCTCTCAATTTTATTTAAAAACGCTTATTTATTGAGTTTTACCATGGAAAGGCTTTTTTGTCTTTGTTTAGATTCCATAACTCCAATAGGGACCACTTCTGCAAGCTTTAGTGGCCCCTATAGGGATTGGTAAGGTATTTAAGGGTACCCCTTAAGGGACCACTTGGGAGGTCCTAAATTTTGTTTTTTTCGATATTTTTTTAAACGTCTGAAATCGTGTCGAAACTCAATTCGAACAATTTTTATTTCGAAAAAAATCGCTCAAAATATCGATTTTTTTAAGATTCAGCAAGCTTGGAATATTGATGAAAAAAAGATTTTTGAGTTTCAAAATTCAAAAAAATATGGAATTAACTTCGAAAAAAAGCTAAAAATTTCTTCATCTTTTTACTAGTTTTTTTCAGAGAAATGATTCCATTAAAAAAATAGTTCAAAATGGCTGAAACCAACATTAAAAAAACCACACAAAAATCCATTTATACTTTATTATCAGCACAAAATTGAACTGAACGGAAAAAAACAAGATTAAATGCACCTAGACAAAATATAATCGGTATAAATCTCTAAATTACCGGTAAAAATCAACAAAAATTACACGAAATAGAATTTTATTTCAAAAATCGCTGACTCGTCCTTTTCTTTCCCAATCACCGTAGCGAGTTGGCTCAGGTCCAGCTGGACCTCCTCGCTGAAAAAATAAATACTTTCTGAAGTTTAAAATAAGTTATAAACTTCGCCAGTGTTGGGATTGACGCCACCCGGATGCCTCGGAAGGTGGGGATCCGAATAAGGAATGTCCTAAATTTTGGAAATATTTAAAAAGACCGCTTAAAAATCGATGAGAACCTTTTCAAAAGGCACAAAAAATTCAAAAAGAAGTCTCGAAAATCCGATTTTACCTATTATTTTCTTAAATCGACTTTGAAATAAGACAATTTTCATGAAAAAAAAAATGGCTTCTCCAAATTTTTAAAAAAATTTTTCCAGCTAAACAAAAAAATCATGCATGAACGCTTTCCCATAATTAGAAGTGCCTTGAAAATTTGGGAAAACAAGATTTGAATCAAATAAATAAATAAAGTCCAAACCTTATCATCAAGTTTCCCAATGGGCGTTTTCTCCTTCACGATTTCCTCTTTCGTTTTCTTCGTTTTACTCGGATCCTTGTGTTCGCTGCTCATTTTACTGTTTCCAGTGATCGAAAATCTTCCGGCAGAACTTCTGACGAAAGATGGGCAAAGGCGAAGCATTCTGAAAATTGGAAATTTGGAAGAATAATAATTTAGCAGTAAAATAATGAAACCTCAATTAAATATCAAAAAGCACTTTTTTTCTCATTCAAATTTAAAAATTAAAACAATATATATAAATGAGGGAGCGAATAACTCGAAATGGAAAAAATTTCTAAGTTAGAAAAACGAAAGATTCCTGAGAAGGTGCAAAACTTTATTGAAATGATAAAAAAATGTAATGTTTTCCATAATTCCATAACTTAAAAACTTAACAGACTGAAGAAAAAAAGTTTACAAATAACGGGCTAACAGTGTCACATATCCCTTAAGAGGCTTTCAAAAGGAAATTTTGAGAAAATAGATGGAAAATAACAGGAAAAACTGGATTTCAAACCAATTATCAAAGTCGAACTACTAAAATAGAAAATTTTATTGAAATGCACATGGAAATAACAACGAAAATACCGGTATGACAGTTTAAAAAAATTCAAAACCAAACCTAAGAAGATTTATCTTTTATTTCCACTAAGGCGTCTTTCAAAATCGGAAGGAGGACTTTATGAAGTTCCTGCGAGAACAAGGCGTCCTCATTTTTCAATGTCAGACGAGAAAAAAATACCTTAAAATCAGTTATTTATAATATTTTATCGTGAAAACCTGAGTAACGGCCAATTGTTTGGCTAATCTCAACGTCGCCGCCTTGTGAAACTCCCTTTGAGCGTTGTCGGCGTCGAATAGCATGGAAAAAAGCGGAAAATGGGCCAATCCAAGTGAATTTACATCTCTAAAACATAAACTTTCAATGAAAACAACTTTTTGATAGGGAATCACCGTTCGCCGACCCAAATCCATGTAGAATCGGCGGAAAATGATAAAATGTAGCCGTTGTATTGTGCGTTGAAAACTTTGAACTTGAATTCTGTTCGTGACATCTGAATTTTCTTCGAAATAAAAATGAAATTCTATAGAAAGAAAATTACAAAGAAAAAAATAAGAGGAAATTTGAAAAAAAAATTTTACGGGCTTCAGTTGTGTTTCCCGGCCGCGGTCACTTTGGAAAAATTCGACCATTTGAGAAGGCGAAGGAAATATATTTTTTTACAAGTTTATTTTTATGCTTTTTTTCATCTGCGAATCCTTTGATACTGGAAGCTAAGAAATGTAGAAAATTTCCAATAATGTCGAAAAAAAAAATCAGATGAAACAAGTTCTTCAAGCTTCCCAATAGCATTATAACTGCGAAAACATTGGAAAAAGCCTTTATTTATTAAATTATTCGCAAAAATCAACAATAGGACGTTACAGAAACGATTATTTGTAAAGAAAAGAGTTTGAAAAGGAAGTGTCGACGTTTTCCCTTGGCGAGTTCAAACTTCGTTCAATCTGCAATTTTTAATAATTTTAGGATAAATTTCCTATAGTCAATTCAGCGGTACCTTGTCTTTCCTTTATAAGTCTCTTGTTTTAAAAAATGATTTCAAAATTGGCAAAAGAGCTATGAATGAACTACTTAGTATCTTTATATAATTATAGTTAATTTCCAACCCTATAAATGGAATCCGGAGTTCTCGGCGGAGGTTGTGGCGAATGCATCGGTGAGTTCTAAATGATTTATCAAGGGTTACGGTAAATTTTACAAAGATTACTGTAGAATTGCTGGCTTGGCTGCTCATTCGTTGAAGTTGAATCCTCTTGGCGGTGGAGAGCATTTGAGCGGCACTACTGGAATTTGAAATTTTCAAAAAGTTTATGACTTCTTAACGATTTTCACAGCTCTTTTGACATATACCCCAATCCTTATCTCGGATTTTGTTAAATACGGACATTTTTTTGTCCCGCTCTTCCGAGGGGATTCCAAAAATTGGGCAATACTCATAAAGTTGCCCCTTTGCACGGAAATCTTTAGTAAAAGGCGAAAGATTTTCTCGGTCAAATGCAAAGGAACCAGAGTTGTTACTTGAGGGACAGTGGAGAAGAGACCCCGTATTTCGCTGCCCCCGACTCGCAGCGGCTTGCGCGTCTGGGTATCTTAAGACCTTTTTGTGAAGAAAAGTTTAGCAAAGTAGGGAAAAGTCTCGATTTAGACTTTTGAGCTGAACCAAGATATCTTGAACGGAAGACAAAGAGGCGTGGCCTGTCTGTGCTCTCCACCAGCCATTCACTATCTTGTTTCTCATCGTGTTAGGACCCTTTTTATGATGATTTAAACCGGGAAATTCTACGTTTCAAGATCTTCATTTATAACATTCCGTTCAATAGTCACCAGTTTTGAAAAGCATTTACATTAACATTTACATTTATTCAGTCCTCAGAGTAATCTTGTATCTGCTAAATCATGGAATATTTGAAGAGATGTTTGTTGGTTCGCGCAACTGTCGCCCATCTTTCACCAAGAACTGCTCGTAGGTCATCTCGCCAACGGGGTTTGGGTCGTCCAACTTCGCGAGTTTTCGCCCATGGTCGCCATTCCACGATTTTCTTCGCCCAAGTGTTTTCTCCCGTAGCGATCTTCTTTGCAAAAGTGGAAAGGACCCTTTACGGGCCCTTTTGGCGTCCGTTATGGATCAAAAGGTTTCCATTAATGATTCCTAAACGGGTGGCAACGGTTTCCTTTTTACAGCCTTTATCCGTCCTTTTATCGGCCTTTATCCACTCTTTTTGGACCTTTTTGAGAAACAAAAAATTATAAATTGAGAATAATCTTCATCAGTGACTGTGTATGCACCAAAGTGTCCTACAGTATCAATATCGGACATCAGCAACGGCAAAGACTTTCAGCACCCTTTTTTCACCCTTTTTGGCCCACCAAGAAAAATAAGGCTCAATAAAGGCCGCGAAACGGAACCCTTTTAGCGGCCATTTTGCACTCGTTTTCCGCACTTTCGACTTTGGCAGTGCTCTGAATGTCAATTCGAGAGCAGAGGCGTAAAAAGTAACTTAAACGGAACTAAATTTTGTGAAAAAATTTCCTGGCCTTGAAAAAGCTTGAAAATTGCAGCTACAGCTTTTCAATAATTGTTCCTAAAAGGTGAGCAATAGTTTCCTTTTCACTGCCTTTCTCCGTCCATTTATCGAACTTTATCCACCTTTTGGGACCTTTTTTGGACCCTTTTTGGACTCTTTCTGAACTATTTTTGGACCCTTTTTGGACCCTTTTGATAAACACAAAGTTTTTAATTTGAGAATAATCTTTACCAGTGACTGTGTATGCACCAAAGTGTGCTACAGTAATGAAATCGGAAATCATTAATGGCCGAGGTTTTCAGCAACCTTTTTGCACCCTTTTTCACCCTTTTTAGCCCACCTAGCAATAAAGGTTCAATAAAAGCCGCGAAACGGAACCTTTTTAGCGGCCATTTTGCACCCGTTTTCCGCACTTTCGACTTTGGCAGTGCTCTAAATTTCAGGCTGAGAGCTTAAAGGCGAAAAAAATAACTTAAAAAGGAAATAAATAGTATAAAAAAATTTTTCTGGCCTTGAAAAAAAGCTTGAAAATTGCAGCTTGAAAAAAAGTCCTGATTTTTAATGTGATGATCCAGAAAAAAACGGTCTTTTTTGAGAAGGGTGGCGAAAAATGGAAAAATTATAGTCATTATCATTTTTTTTTTCGTCGATTCCGTGCCGTTTTCAGAGAAGTTTTCAATTTTTTATTTACGGAGCCATTCAAGCCCATGATATTTTTTCATTTCCTCAAAATAAAATCTTCCGAAAAACGCTGGACTCTCGCCGTCCATTCCCTCTTTCTTTCACCACGGCGCCAAACCGTCCCAAGTCGGGACACGCGAGCGACCAAATATTGCGCCAAGCATATGGCTCTTTATCGCTTCTCGGCCTCTTGGCTAAGATCAGTTTGTAGTTACCGTTCTTATCGTATTAACCTACGATATGAGCTCATCGAGCTCTGTATAGGTTATTCCATTTTTGGAGCCAAGGAAGGATTCTGGAGCTTGCTCCGGCCTTCCGAGGGTCGTTCCGGCGTTGCACCGCTGTCGGACTCGGCCCAGACCTCGAGAGGGGTCGAAAAGAACAGAATATCAAGTAATAAGCAATCTAGTCAGGGTTCCTCGGTGAAAATATGATCAGAACTCGAAAAATTGTTTAGAGAAGGCCTTCAGACCTCTTCTTTCATTCTCTCAATTTTAAATAAGTTTTTGAAATATTTTAAAATAGAAAAAGGTATATTATTGATAGACTTCGGCTTAGATACAATATTATGATTTGCTGAATAAAAGGTGCAGAACCTTTTTCTAAAGCTTCAGATGTGGTTTGAACGGAAAAAAATTCTTTTTTTAAATTTTTTTATCTGGTGTTCGAAAGAACATGGAAAAAAATTCATGAAGGGTTTTTTTCAATACTTCTGTACCTTATAATAGAACAGAATGGTTGGAATCTACAAATTCATCGAATTTTGGTTCAGAGAGTTGTTCCACATGTGAACGAATTTTCCTTTTCCTGATGGTTTCAACGGTTTTTTAAGGGTTACGGTAGATTTTATAAAGATTACTGCAGGATTGCTGGCTTGGCTGCTCATTTTTTGAAGTTGGATCCTCTTGGTGGTTGAGAGCATTTGAGCGGCACTACTGGAATTTGAAATTTTCAAAAAGTTTATGACTTCTTTACGATTTTCACAGCTCTTTTGACATATACCCCAATATTTATCTCGGATTTTGTTAAATACGGACATTTTTTTGTCCCGCTCTTCCGAGGGGATTCCAAAAATTGGGCAATACTCATAAAGTTGCCCCTTTGCACGGAAATCTTTAGTAAAAGGCGAAAGATTTTCTCGGTCAAATGCAAAGGAACCAGAGTTGATATTGGAGAAATTGTGGAGAGAGACCCCGTGTTTGGCTGCCCCCGACTCGGGGCGGCTTACGCGTCTGAATATGCCACGCTGATGACCTTTTTGTGAAGAAGAGTTCTGTTTGAACCCTCCATTGAAAAATTGACATCAAAACTTCAGAGAAATCGTTGAAAGATGAAGAAGAAAACTTTAAAATCACACATCCGGATTAAATTTTTGAGTGTATGGCTGGTGGAGAGCGCAGACAGGCCACGCCTCTTTGTCTTCCATTCAAGATATCTTGGTTCAGTTCAAAAATCTAAATCGAGACTTTTCCCTACTTTTGCTAAACTTTTCTTCACAAAAAGGTCAGCGCGTCTGAAGATACCCGAACGCGCAAGCCGCGTCGAGTCGGGAGCACCCAAACACGGAGTCTCTCCCCTTAGTTCCTTCCGATAACAACTCTGGTTCCTTTGCATTTGACCGAGAAAATCTTTCGCCTTTTACTAAAGATTTCCGTGCAAAGGGGCAACTTTATGAGTATTGCCCAATTTTTGGAATCCCCTCGAGAGAGCGGGACAAATGTGAGTTGAAACCATCAGAAAAAAAAAAAGGAAAATTCGTTCACATGTGGAACAACTCTCTGAACCAAAATTCGATGAATTTGTAGATTCCAACCATTCTGTTCTATTATAAGGTACAGAAGTATTGAAAAACCCTTCATGAATTTTTTCCATGTTCTTTCGAACACCAGATAAAAAAATTAAAAAAAAAAGAATTTTTCCGTTCAAACCACATCTGAAGCTTTAGAAAAGGTTCTGCACCTTTTATTCAGCAAATCATAATATTGTATCTAAGCCGAAGTCTATCAATAATATACCTTTTTCTATTTTAAAATATTTCAAAAACTTATTTAAAATTGAGAGAATGAAAGAAGAGGTCTGAAGGCCTTCTCTAAACAATTTTTTTTCGAGTTCTGATCATATTTTTCACCGAGGAACCCTGACTAGATTGCTTATTACTTGATATTCTGTTCTTTTTCGACCCCTCTCGAGGTCTGGGCCGAGTCCGACAGCGGTGCAACGCCGGAACGACCCTCGGAAGGCCGGAGCAAGCTCCAGAATCCTTCCTTGGCTCCAAAAATGGAATAACCTATACAGAGCTCGATGAGCTCATATCGTAGGTTAATACGATAAGAACGGTAACTACAAACTGATCTTAGCCAAGAGGCCGAGAAGCGATAAAGAGCCATATGCTTGGCGCAATATTTGGTCGCTCGCGTGTCCCGACTTGGGACGGTTTGGCGCCGTGGTGAAAGAAAGAGGGAATGGACGGCGAGAGTCCAGCGTTTTTTTCGGAAGATTTTTATTTTTGAGGAAATGAAAAAAATATCATGGGCTTGAATGGCTCCGTAAATAAAAAATTGAAAACTTCTCTGAAAACGGCACGGAATCGACGAAAAAAAAAATGATAATGACTATAATTTTTCCATTTTTCGCCACCCTTCTCAAAAAAGACCGTTTTTCTGGATCATCACATTAAAATCAGGACTTTTTCAAGCTGCAATTTTCAAGCTTTTTCAAGGCCAGAAAATTTTTTTATACTATTTATTTCCTTTTAAGTTATTTTTTTCGCCTTTAAGCTCTCAGCCTGAAATTTAGAGCACTGCCAAAGTCGAAAGTGCGGAAAACGGGTGCAAAATGGCCGCTAAAAAGGTTCCGTTTCGCGGCTTTTATTGAACCTTTATTGCTAGGTGGGCTAAAAAGGGTGAAAAAGGGTGCAAAAAGGTTGCTGAAAACCTCGGCCATTAATGATTTCCGATTTCATTACTGTAGCACACTTTGGTGCATACACAGTCACTGGTAAAGATTATTCTCAAATTAAAAACTTTGTGTTTATCAAAAGGGTCCAAAAAGGGTCCAAAAATAGTTCAGAAAGAGTCCAAAAAGGGTCCAAAAAAGGTCCCAAAAGGTGGATAAAGTTCGATAAATGGACGGAGAAAGGCAGTGAAAAGGAAACTATTGCTCACCTTTTAGGAACAATTATTGGACACTTTTTGATCCATAACGGACGCTCAAAGGGCCCGGAAAAGGCCCATAAAGGGTCCTTTCGACTTTACCTTTGGAAGAAGAAAAAAAGACCAGCAAATTTGGACACAAATTTTCTTTGAACTTCCCACTACAAATCCCACTTTTTCTTGATTTTCCCCCTTTTTTTTTTTCAAACCAACCCATTCCTTCTGGCGATGGAAACCGCTTCCTGAACCGTTGAGAAAAGTCGATCCTCCTTCAGAATCTTGTTAAAGTTGCTGCTGCTCATTTTTCGCTGAATCGAGTCTGAACTTCTTTTTTTTAAAGATTTTTCTTTTGAGAAGGAGAATGACCATTAGCCCCTGCAATGTAGACGTTAACATTGCGCTCCTGCAGCTCTTTTGTCATCTTTAAATAATTTTGAAAATGATCCGAATTGTATTGAAATACATCTTTCAATGCGTTGATACCCATGTAGTCCGAATAGGCGATTGGGGTACAATCAATGATGAAGAATTTCGGGACGTTGGCCTGAAAGAAGCTTTTTTTTTGGTTTCCTACTAACTAGAAGATTAACCAAAATAATCAGTTCATGGATTTTTTGGACTTTAAAATCTCGAAATTTGAACATTTTTCGGAACTTTCTCCAAAAGGATCATGGAATTTCGGTACCAAATGGCTCAATTTTTGCTTTTTATTTGTTAGAAAAACCCGTCCTACATTAAAATAAAGACCTCTAACTACATTATCGAAAAAAAAAAAATGAATTCCCAGGTAATCTATCCACCTTGTTGGAGGCAAACTTGGCCTCCCAATCGCTGAAAACAGCCTTGAGAGATTTTTTGAAGCGCTCAACGTTGGTGAACAAGAGTGGACCATCGAAACGGAAAACGCAGAGGTCTGCGTAGCGGTCCGCGTCGCGGTCGACTCCGCCAAATTCCACATCTGCCACATTATCGCCTCTCTTTGTGAAGTATGACCAGCGAGGCCTGAGATGTCAGAATTTTTGGAAGCTCCTAACCAAGTCACAATTTTCAATTTCTTCTTGAAACTTTTTGAGACCTACTTCAACTCAATAAATTTTTTTTTATGAATGGACTTTGCCTTTAGATATGCTAAATAGTTGGAAAGCTCCAGGAAACAAGAAATTTCAGAGCTTCCAGAAGTTATAAGTCACCTAAAAGGGAAATTCACGGAAAAAAAACGTTCTGGGTTGGATCCAAATGGCTCTAAAGTATGCAAATTATCAAATTTATTACTTTTCTACTGTCCTTGTTTACTTGTCAAAGTACTAGATATCAAGACACTTAAAAAATAATTTTTGGCTATATCTGAACGTGATTATGATGCCCTGAAACTTCGCACAAACTTTCAATGGCTACTGAAGCTTTTTGGTTTTTGGGAGTCCCTAACACTAAATTTTTTCCACGGAAATGGGTGGCAGCTTGTGAGACCAGGTTTGATTCAGCGTCAAACACTGCATTTAAAGTCAATCAAAAAGCTATCAATATTTGGATTGGTCTGAAAGAAGTTTGATCGCCTTCTTGAAAAAAATCCAAATACTTTATTTATATCTTTTCACAGTTTTTCAAAGCGTTTTTCTAATCCAGAAAATCACAGTTCCAGTTCTAATTGAGCAAGAAGGTTCGGTTCTACTTATGTTAAAAATAAAATTTACAGTGCGTCAAGGTATTTTTATCACTTTCCGAGAAATTAAACCATTTTGAACTTTGCAGACTTTAAAACTTCTTAACTCGAAGTAAAAACCAACCATTGTGATCTGAAAACGATGGAAACCAAGGCGCAGAGAATCGAAATCGCTAGACCTTCCATCACGTTGATACAAGCCGTTGAGAAAAATGAGACTATCCAAATCGTCTGAATTTTTTCAATTTTCATGGTCAAAGTGTAAAGCTTGAAAAAGCATATGGATCTTCTTGGAAGTCACTGAAAAATTCCTGAAAGCCCAATTGTCTCGAAATTCTTATAAAAAATTTTAAGCTTGTTTCAACGTATTCTCATCATATTGTATTTGTACTATTAGGAAATTAAATAGCGGCCTTAAAAATGAGACGTTTTTGAAGTGCGAACGTTTTGGAGTTTTTGGAAGTCTTACTTTATTTGTACTTGAAAGGATACCCTTCTATGTTACACTAACATGACCACTTCTTCAATACTTAATCAGGTCTTGAATATGAAATACAGAAAGTATTGATTTATACATTTTTGTGCCGCTCTTTCGAGGGGATTCCAAAAATTGGGCAATACTCATAATGTTGCCCCTTTGCACGGAAATCTTTAGTAAAAGGCGAAAGATTTTCTCGGTCAAATGCAAAGGAACCAGAGTTGTTATCGAAGGGATAATGGGGAGAGACCCGGTGTTTGGGTGCCCCCGACTCGCAGCGGCTTACGCGTCTGGCGTCGCGCTGAAGAAAAGCCATTGAAAAATTGACATCAAAACTTCAGAGAAATCGTTAAAAGATGAAGAAAAAAACTTTAGAAACACCCATCATGGTTTAATTTTCGACATATCAGTTTATCTTTTGATTTTAGAGTTTTTATTTCTTGTTAATGTTTTTCAAAACTGGTAACTATTGAACTGAATGCTATAAATGAAGATCACGAAACGTAGAATTTCCCGGTTTGAATCATCATAAAAAGGGTCTTAACGCGATGAGAAACAAGATAGTGCATGGCTGGTGGAGAGCACAGACAGGCCACGCCTCTTTGTCTTCCATTCAAGATATCTTGGTTCAGTTTAAACATCTAAATCGAGACTTTTCCCAAATTTGCTAAACTTTTCTTCACAAAAAGGTCAGCGCGTCTGTAGATACCCGAACGCGCAAGGCGCGTCGAGTCGGGGGCAGCCAAACACGGGGTCTCTCTCCATGGTTTCACAAATATCAACTTTGGTTCCTTTGCATTTGACCGAGAAAATCTTTCGCCTTTTACTAAAGATTTCCGTGCAAAGGGGCAACTTTATGAGTATTGCCCAGTTTTTGAAATCCTCGAAAGAGCGGGACAAATGTGAGTTGAAACCATCAGGGAGAGGAAAATTCGTTAACTTTTGAATCAACGACCATTTATGACGTTGCCGCCATAAATGGTCGTTGATCCCCATCACCGCGGAGAGGTGGTACATGAAGGAGCTTTGAAGTCGTGGTTTCCCCACTACCAACATTTCTTAAACCCCTTGGTTGGGGCGGGGATCGAACTTGTGACCCTGTGGACCGTAGACAGGCACACAACCTGTTGCGCTACGGCGCGCCCCTTTGAAAAAACATTATCATTTTTCATATTTTAACTATTTCTCTTAAGTTTTGATGTCAATTTTACACTGAGCGATAAAAAATGTAGTCAACTTGGGAGGGGCGTGGCCTGTCTGCGCTCTCCACCAAGCAGGCACTGTCTCTTTTTTTTTCAATCGTGTCAGGACCCTTTTTTCCGCTATCGGCTTCTTAACTCACAAAATCGATTTTTGAGATGGTATACAAAGTCTTCAACTCGTCATATTTCTTGAACATTGAATACAAAGCCGCCGTTATGATAGACGCCAAAACGCACTGAAAATCGATAATCTTCTCGATTTTCCGGTTTTTCAAAACCTTGGGAAGATCCCTGAGCAATGGGCCAATCCACAGTATGATGGCAAGTAATAATCCGCTGCTGAAAACCGTGGAGAGCTAAAAAACGTATTTTTATAGTTCGTTGAATGGTTATAGCTGATTCACGGCTAGCTTGGGACGCTAGGGGGCGTGGCCTGTCTGCGCTCTCCATGAGCCAGGCGCTTTCTCGTCCATTTTCGTGCCAGGACCCTTTTTCAATGGCTCAAGCCAGCCGTGGATCAGCTATACGTGTACGTTAGTAACGTGGAATTTTTTGCTTGGAAATGATAAAACTTTTTTTCGCCCGTCAATAGCTGCGACTCCATGAGCATTTTCACAAAGATTTGTCCAGACCAGAAAAAAATTATTGACCAAAGTCTTGGACCCGCTGTTGACGTTGACCATGGTCCTGCCGAGAGCCGTCGAAATCGGGTAAACCGGAAAAAGTCCCGACAAAATCCCGGTCATACCCAGGGCGTAGAGCTCCTCAAATTCGACAAAATTGTCCCTTCTTCTGGTTTTCTCAACTTGATTGTCGTCGACAGTGTATCCATGCTTCTTGGCCAACATTTTCGCCATCGAAATGTGTATCGCGATTGTAACTACGGCGATTCCTAATGACTGCACGAGACAGTCTTTTAGAATGGACCACATGGGTAGTTGGGGCAAAGGAAGCCTAGAAAAAGTCGCTTTTCCAGTATGGAATTGACTAGAAAATTTTATTTATGTGGGGGAAGTGTGCCATTTTTCGGGGAAAGTGCGCCATTTTTTGGGGTAAGTGCGCCATTTTTCGAGGGAAGTGCGCCATTTTTTGGGGTAAGTGCCACACTTTTCGGGGGAGTGCGCCATTTTTTTCGGGGAAGTGCGCCATTTTTTTCGAGAGAAGTGCGCCATTTTTTTCGGAAGAAGGGCGCCATTTTTCGGGGGAAATGCCACATTTTTCGGGGGGAGTGCCACGTTTTTCGGGGGAAGTGCGCCGTTTTTTGGAGGAACTGCCCCATTTTTCAGGGAAAGAGCGACATTTTTCGGGGGAAGTGCGCCATTTTTTGGAGGAACTGCCCCATTTTTTAAGGGAAGTGCCACATTGACGTCACTATTAAAAAGAGCCCTGGCACATGTAGGCTTGGAATTGATTTTTATTCTTTTCGATCGAAAAAAGTTACTGGAACGATTTTTAGTGACCAATTTAGGGTTCTGAAGTTGTAACTACTATAGTGGCCACACGTCACCTCACAAAGGTGTTTCTTAAGTGAACCCTATAAGGGTTAGTATGAAAAACAGCCCTTATAGTGGCCGAAAAAGAGGTCCTTATAGGGGTGAATTCTAGGTGATCCCTATAGGGGTTTAGGGTCTGACCCGTTAGCCCTTAAAGCTGAAGTGATCCCTATAGGGGCCTTTTAATTTCCTTTAATTTCATTCCTATATGGGCCACTTTCACAAGCTTTAGTGGCCCCTATAGGGGTTGGTGAAGTGGTCCCTGAGGTTGCCCTAAAGGAACCACTTCTATTACCTCTATAGGGACCAGTTTTTAGGAACAAATCTTATAGAATATCAGAGTTTTTCAAAAACAAATATGAAACCACAGAAATCAGATTCATCAGATTATTATTTATATTTTTTCTCAAACTGACCCAGCTGGAATATTGCCGACAATGATAACATCATTGGCATCGTGCCAATTGAAGACGTAAGACAAGGAAGTTGTAATAATGACCTTAAAATCGTTAATCTAAAATTTCACCCTAACAAAATCCCTACCAAAATAAGTTCATAAGGTACCGGGAAGCGAAGGTTGCACTTACGGGCAAGCCAGGGGGACAAAATCTCCTTTCCAACGATGAGAAAGGTCAAACTACACACAGAAATGGCGATAGTTTGAAGATTAACGATTGGGAGTCGGATTGCGAGGTCATAGAGACGCTGGAATTTCAGGAAAATGAATTTTGAAGCATGGGATTTGAGAAAATTTCGATTTTCAATGCTCCTATAGTCTGTTCAGATCTTGAACGTCAAGTTGTCGCTCAAGCTCCGCCCCTAATGGCGCGATAAACCAATCAGAGAGCGAGCCATCCACAGAGTGTTTTTTAATGACGTCATTGCACTTGACATTCAAAATCTGAACAGAGTATAGGTGGTTATGCGGTAGAAATTTCTTGATTTTACGCAAAAATTTGACTTGAAAAAGATATTTCTAGCTTCATTCTATCATATTATTTTTCTAAAACCTGTATTTTGATCTATAATTTGACAAAATCACCCTGAAAACGTATCCAGGCCCGGAAATTTTCGGAACAATTACACCGAGCATATCGTCGAATTGAGCAAGAAGAACGTGTACGGCGGCTCCTAAAATTTTACCCTAATTTTTTTACAAAACACGGCGTTTTTTTCCGTAAAGTGTAGTGTGTCGTGTGCATACACTGCGGCGCTCTGGCACACTTCAACGTAATTTTCGCAAAGCACGGCGTTTTTTTTAACGGCGGCCTCGCCCATATTTTCCCCGTAGAGTTAAGTGTGTCGTGTGCATACACTGCGGCGCTCTGGCACACATATAACTGAATTTCAGAAATCCAGTTATATTTTTCACTCTCTGGTGGCTACTTTGAATTTCGCGAACTTTCAACACGGCATGTGTTTTAAAACAATAAAAAAAAAAGGAAAGTCGCGTATTTTTTAATGAGAAATAAATTCGTCTCATGACCCATTGAATGCGCCTTTAATATTTCCTGTTTTTACGTGTTTTTTCTATGACGTCACATGGGAACGGCGGAGGTTTTGAGACCCCGCCTCCTTAATTTTTGGATTTGCATTTTCTTCCACTAACAAAAACGCCGTGAAAAACGAACTGTTCGCACTTTAAAAATTAGATCTATTGCTGATGACAGGATCAAACTATTAGATTGGAAAGAAATATTTATCTACCTGTCGTGAAACCGGAGACCAACGGATCCGAAAAATAGGCCATTAGAAATTGTAACCGAAGCACGCCGCATAGGAACTGTAGTCATAAGGAAAATTGGACTTTAATAAATTTTTTTTGGTATATTTTCGGTAATTTCCAAGCCTCTTTAAATTCTTCACAACAATTTTAAAATTTTTCAGTCTGAAAATATTCCGGAAATTCATATTAAATTCTCTCAAAATGCTGGAAAAAGTGATCAAATCTTGAAAAAGGCCTTTTTGCAAAAATTTTTTTGAAAAAAATCCACCTGCCAAATACCCAATGCAAAAGTTAACGTGGCGGCAACTTGAATCGGAGAAATGGCCGAATTTTTCAATAATTGTCCCATTTTTGGTATAAATCCACATTCGCTTCCATCACCTGAATATAAATATTGATTTTCAAAAAAAAATTTTTTTAACTTTATCAGTGGCAACACCTCCCATTAGTGCTACAACAGCAAACGAGCCTGAAAAAATGGAATTTTTCTAATAAAAAAATACCTATACTAGCGTGTCTCGAAGTCCCAAAAAAACATGTAGAAAAAAACGCCGGGAAGCACGAAGAATACAAGCCGAACACTGGGTCAACACCAACAAGGACCGAATAGGCGATTCCTTGAATTTTCACTCATTTTTCAAAATTATTAGAATTTTTTTGACCTTGCGGGACATGCATAACTCCTGTAGTTAAGCCACCAATAATATCCCCAGCCAGGTTTGTTCTGAAATTAAATTTACTTTTTGAAATCCCGATGAACAATAACTTTTAAAAAACATTTATCCAGAATGATTGGTCTAAAAATCATATTCAAATAGCTCAAAACTATGACAAAAATAAAAATATTGAGGAAAGTGGTGAATTTTAAGAATTGTTTATACAATGTATAAAATAAATTTACTCTTCTCAGGTCGAATTTTGATTTTTGATCCAGTTTAGTAATTGAAAAAAAATATAGATAAAGGATCAAAAAAATGAGCTTATATAACGAAATTCAACTCCAAAATAGACAATATTAGCTGAACAAAACAAGAAAATCAAGAAAAAATTGAAATTCCTGACAAACCTGACATCGTATTTAGGTAACCAATCAAAAATCGGTACAAATGATACAACTGCGGCCAGAAAAGCATCAATACTACGAAACGGTCCGCAATACGAGTCTTTTAGCTTCCTAAATAAACTTTTTTTAAATATATAAAAAAAATTTGAAAACAGACGATTTGATCTTTTTTTATTGACGATTTTTTTCTGTGCCGTTGTAACTGCTGCCCCATAGTCTGTCTCATAGTTCTCCTAAAAAGGATTCAAAATTACAGAGAAAAACAAAAAAAAAACAGAAAAATTGGCTTAATCGCCTGCTTCCGGTATTTGTGAGATTTATCATTGAGGCGCGCTTTTTTTCACGCTTTTTCGCGTTACTAATGTTTTTTTTTTCTTTTTTTGCGAGTTTTTTGACGTCCTTTTTGAAGTGATTCCGCAAAATTCAAAATAGCGGCCAGAAAGTAAAAACCTCAATGTTGAAGAGTCAAAGAAAAAATAGAATTGGATTTCCTGGCGTTATCTTTTGTCATATTTCATTTCTTCTTGATTTCTGCACATTATGAGCTATTTTTTCACTTCAGAAACTTTTCCTTTAACGCAAAATATCAACTTTTTCTGGCAAGAGTTTTTTTCAGTGACGATTATATACAAATACTACGAAACGATCACATTGCTGTCCCACTTTGCGTCCATTACTGAAGTTTTAAAATTTCCACGTGTTCGAAGATCACGTGGCGATACACAAACAGCAGTTTCTGCTGAGAAGTGTATCTCATTCCCAAAAACTTCATGCGCCCTCGCCGATCGGTTCCCCACTGGAGAGCCAGCTGTTTTCCAAACAGCCAGTATCGGTCTTGAAGTCGTCAAAGTCCCGTACTTGGGCCAGAAGCTATGCTTCTGTGGATCCTTGTGATCCCGCTATACTAAACCGCTTCAAGTAGCGTCGTAGCTTGGTCAGAGGTCTTTCAAGTAAGACCTCCATCGTAGTACAACTACATGGCATAAAGCCATCCGAGTTGATCGAAATCTGGTGAGGCTAACGCCAAATCACCAGCTTGCTCCAAGCAGAGTCATGCTTGGGGAGGTACGAAGCAATACCTCTATCGTAGTACTACTACGTGGCATAAAAAGCCATCCGAATTAATCGGAATCTGGTGAGGCTAACGCCAACCCACCAGCTTGCTCCAAGACGAGTTATGCTTGGGGGAGGTACGAAGCAATACCTCTATCGTAGTACTACTACGTGGCATAAAGCCATCCGAATCGATCGGAATCTGGTGAGGCTAACGCCAACCCACCAGCTTGCTCCAAGCAGAGTTATGCTTGGGGGAGGTACGAAGCTATACCTTCATCGTAGTACTACTACGTGGCATAAAGCCATCCGAATTAATCGGAATCTTGTGAGGCTAACGCCTACACACTAGCTTACTTAAATCATAGTTATGCTTGGTGGGAGGTACGAAGTAATACCTCAATTGTAGTAATTGCTACAAAGCGTCTAGTAACCTGAATAAAATCCCCATGAAGACAAGGGATAAAGCACTAGATCGCTCCAAGCATTGGTCGCTTTCTCAGACTCTCACGTCTCGAACTCTACGGGCATGCTGCCACATGAGTAGAATCAGGCTCTGAGGAAGTTAAGACCTTGTATATATCAAGTTAGATATATACATATATGACGGCATGAACAAGCCATCTTCAAGATCAACCCATTGAAGAGAAAAATAGTTCAAAACTCCAGAGCTTCAATTATAGCTAGGAGAAAGGAGCACCCGGAAAGAGGGGCTCTGTCAGACATCGAGTCAAGAAGACTTGATCTGTGTTGAGTTGAGGAGCGACCAAATAAGGTGTTCCTTAGACAATGGTAGGGAAAATCCCCTCACTGTCAAAGTTAACCAGATCGAGAGTTGCCCTAGAGGATCTCAGTTCAGTAGAACTTACAGGACGGGTTTGTCCTGCTAAGATCCGAAAGTCGAAATCTAAATATATCATACTGACACCAAAATCAGTAATCACTCGACTAAGGGTAAAATTGCCACCTCAAGCAGGTCTCTCTCTCGCAAGACGGCACTCAATGTTATGAGTGTTCGAAGAACCTTCCAACGAAGGTCGGTCCCGAGCACAGCGTGAAAGTTTAAAAGGGATCAGAGCGGGATAACGAGACCCAAAGATTTTGAACGCTCCGAAATTCTTCCAGCGTATAAAATCAAATCCTCCGCGGCACAAAAATGCCCAGAAGGACGACATCAGCTCACGGCTGGAAAGTTTGTCATCACAAAGTGAGACAAGACCTCGTACTCCGAAACTGGAAGTTGCTTCGACACACTTTGAAAAGCATTCCAATCAAAAGCCCGATAACCGGAGTGATAGCGCATGCTAACAGTCTGGAAAGGGAAGAGAGTTACAAGGTAAAAAGTATGACGATCGCTTCTTCCGTGCAAAAACGTTGCGTTACGGATGACGACCAGTTTGATTCTGTATCAGAATTAAAAACGTCATAGTGTCAGATTCTAAAGCAAGGCGGATCTGATATAAGCCGATCGAGAGCACGCAACAGTGCCAAGTCCAGCTGAGACTTTCCATCATATGGTAGGATCCAACAGGAAATATCGATGGAAAAGGGCCTAATAGGAATTAGTCGGAAACTCGACGGAGCCTAACAGTGCCAAACGGGGACAGTCTGCGAACTAAAGTGAGACGTCCTCGTGGATCCGAAGCTGCAGTGATTGGGTAGCTGACATTCCGAATCTTCGCTATAAGCGATAAAAAAGATTGGAACGTCCAAAACGGATCGCAATCAAGAGGAACGGCCATATCTAGTCTTCCAAAACGAACAAAATGTTCGGGGTTCCACCGGAGGCGTTCAAGACGCTTAGGTGGGAGCGGAAGGCAATAAGCCTACGTGAGTCGTCTACCGCGACGGCGATTCACCGGAGTTTCTCTTGAGTGCTCTGAAAACAGAGGTTTCATCGCAAGAAACAGTAATCGACAGTCCAGAGATTCCTGGACGGCGCTGTGTGCTACAGTCATAGCAGGATTACTGGGCGAAACCTTATAAATGAGCGTATTCGATTGCTTAAATAGGCGAATAAGTATAATCGAAACCCTGGAGAGCAGCTTCCCAAAACTCTATCGAGCAAAAAGGATGCCCTAGCTACCAATCCTCCAGAAGTACTATCAGCAAACACTCTTATGACCGTCAGCTGAAGGGCGAAGTCGGAGATTTTTACTTCGGCTAAGAGCCCATGAAAAGAATTCAGTGATGCGTAATCATAGAGAACTTCTGAGAAGGAATAAGCCTGATAGATAATCCACGAAAGGAAAAGAAATTTCCAAAAGAATCCTTGCAAAGAGGCGGGGAGGTATCGTGGTATGCGACCTCAGCGGAAGTTACGTCAGAAAGTTAGACGCTTCCAGAAAGAGGTCACTAGACTTGTCCACGTGCTTATTGAAATCAATCAGATGGTACATTCGGAAAGGTTCAAAGACCGAATAAGAGGACCAGGGAATTGTTCCACTGGCGTCTCCATTGTGATCATAGATTTCCGATAGCACGCAAGTCAGTTCAATGAATCAGAGATCAAGAAATCCCAGAGCGGATAGGAACTCAAAGGAGGCCTCCAGTGGGATAATATTGCATCATATATGATCTCTGGAAAGAGCTTAGCCGGTAAATCGAGTGGTTCAACCATCAGAAAATACCGCAAAGCAGACCAATGGGGAAACGGAGAGCAAGCGTAACAAGGGAAGAACCTCAAAACGCTGGTCGCTACGACCTCTCGGTTCCACCAGGTTCATTGGACGCCACAGATCGCACAGGAAACGCAAAAGAAAGGGACTAGAAAATGGACGAATCTTCGGATGAACGGTTCATAACAGTCCTGGCGAAATATCATTCCTGGAGAGGCGAACCTTGGCAGATTCGTAGATCCTGACGGATCCAAGAGTGTAGGTTATGCACCAAGTGAGAATCCCAAGTTCGAGCAAATCTGTGTAGAGAAAGCGAGAATCTGTTTGGAACTAAAATACGCCGTTCTATGAAACGTCGTTATTTCCAATAAGCCTAATGAGCTATTGGATTCGGGATTCCAGTTTAGATTTTTTTTTTCTCGGTATGGAACAATGCAGTAGTTCCATTGCTTACTAGCAGGATTGATTCGAACAACTTTTGAATTCAGAGGTGCTCAAAGAGAAGCAAAGACAAACCTCTCCAATTGCTAGAAGAACGGTGTCGAATACTAAGAATTCGTCTGAACAAATAACTAACAGGTCTCGGACGATAGCTATCGCTAGTGTGAGACCAGGGCAAGCTATGCTCTCAGTTATCAGACTGAACGGGATTCTTAGCTATTAGAACGGTGAAAAACTGGCTTCGGACCCAGATAGGCAGAGCAACCCTCGAATCGGTTGGCGATCCGTAGAGGAGCACTGAAAGAAGTCCTGAGAAGCAGTTCTCTCTAAACTAAGCGAAATTGTGTCAAAATACACATCGCGAAATCCTGAAACAGGACCGTTAAGGCCTCAGGAGACCCATCAAAGAGAGACTATCATCGTGCTCACACCGAGCTAGTTCAGGAGGCACACACAACAAAGAAGTTGAAGGTTGAGGTTTAGAGGCTGAGCTATCAGTCGAAGGCGTCGCCAGATGGCCCCTTCGCGAGGAGAGCTTCAGATAACGCTCAAACGCCTTGCAAGCAGGAAAATCCCAAATTCCGAGGCTTTGAACTAGCAATGTGATCGTTTCGTAGTATTTGTATATAATGTTATATTTTGCTAGACAACGCAGTTGTTGAAGTAAAATATCTATTATATATTAATACGAAGAAACGATCAGATTTCCCACCCTAGGTATCTTCACAAGAGAAGATACATTTTCCCACCCGTGGGGAATTTGGTGAGGTAATCAAAGCGTACAACAGGCGCAGAAGGTCAGTGAAAAATACGGGCATACCCGCATGGCCATCGTTACTGTTAACAGCAGCTCAGCTGAACCGCTACAAATTGGCGAAACGGTTGTCTGAGGTGAAGCGAAGAACAAAAGTGAAGCCGCAACGCTCAGGTCATGCCGCACACAAGAGCTGCGTCATTCCCAAAACAAGAAGTGTAAATTAACTTCGAACATGGTTCGGGCTCGGACGCATGAAGTTTTTGGGAATGAGATACACTTCTCAGCAGAAACTGCTGTTTGTGTATCGCCACGTGATCTTCGAACACGTGGAAATTTTAAAACTTCAGTAATGGACGCAAAGTGGGACAGCAATGTGATCGTTTCTTCGTATTAATATATAATAGATATTTTACTTCAACAACTGCGTTGTCTAGCAAAATATAACATTTTGCTAGATAAAAAAACAAATTTCATTCCCTGCAAAAAAAACGTGAAAAAAATAGCACGTACAAAAACCACGTGACAACGTGTCATTTCATTTTTATGACCTGGTTTCAAAAATCATTTCCGCTTCCCTCACGAGTCGTCATGCTCCAGAATTCAACGCAAAGATGAGTTTTGAACCTTCATAAAGATTCTAGTTTCCAAAATAAGTTTCTGACTTGTAAGCGCTAGTAGATTAGGCCCGCGGGACTCCCGGAGTGCCGATCCTCTTCCCTTGCGAATTGGATACGCAAAGTCACGCCGAAGCCCATTCCGGTGGCCGAGGCACAAACTGTTGGCAGCGCGATGCTGACAAAACGATGATGGGACCCCCGCGGAAAATGTCGTCACGGCCTTCGGCGTCTAGGATAGTTCTGACAAGGCCGAGCGGAACTCTAGCGCACCGCCTAAGTATTTCTGGATCAAGCTTTCCTAACTTACTAACGACTTTACACTGCTAATCAGTCAAAAACTGCGACTCGAATGATGCAAACGATTTGCTTTTTTCAATGTTGAAATTATTGCAGAAGAACTTGTTGGGATCTGTCCATGCAGTTCGACGACACTATATCCATGGTGGACGGCATACGATCAACTGCTGGGCCGGTCAAACATTACCAGGTACCAGCCCAATGCTCTAAAAAGCAGCTTAGGGTTTTTTCTGTGTTATATTGCAAACGAGAGAATGAACAAAAGTAAATTCACAATGAATTTCGAGAGTGCTGTAGCCGCTGAAGGGCTTATCAGTAATGATCAGAAACGTCGGGGGCGCGTACGGTTTTCGATACCGAGGTCCGAACTTGTGCGTCTGGTTGGACTTATTTTTGCGAAGACTGGCCTGGCCGAAGTCCTGCGCCGGCTTGGCCCAGGTCAAAGCTTAAAAAAAACTTGAAATTTGATTCGGAAAAAGCCGGCCCCCGCTCAACCCTGTCACGGCCCTCGGTAACGCCGAACGCGCACCGGATGTTTCTGAGCAATTATAGAAACGCTGACGAGATTTCAAAGATTTCAAGGACTTTTTTTCTTGAAATTGCAATTTTTGAAATTGGAAAAAAAATTTGAGAGTATGCGATAGTGCGTCTGGGTGTGTTTACACCATAAACACCATAATTTACGAAGTGTTTTGACTTGCACTAAGAATAACTGACGAGATAAACGCGAGCTCGGTGGCGGTACATTGACTTACTCGCAAAAATGTCGCTTTTTTCTAGGCGCGATCCCGCATTTCTCTCGGCGCGACCTTGCATTTTTCTCGGCGCTATCTCGCATTTATCTTGCATTTCGGAAATTTTCAAATTGCGAGAGAAATGCGAGCTCGCGCCTAGAAAAATGCGAGCTCGCGCCCAGAAAAATGCGAGACCGGCGCGAGAAAAAAAGCGAGATGTTTGCGAGCTCGTCAATGTACCGCCAGTGTCTCGCGTTTATCTCGGCAGTTATTCTTAGTGTGCGTATCAAAAAAAACCCTATCGAGTTTTTCAGTTTCAAATTTCATGCGTGAAAAAAATGGAGTGATCTTCCTATCCTTCGCTTTATAAGACAAGCTCGTTTCTGTTAACCTAAGTGTTTCACGTAGCAAAATCGTCACTGAAAAAAAAAAACAGCTGTCAGAAAAAATGTGAAGCTCAGCGTTAAAAGAATTCTTTCTAGAAAAGTATCTGAAGAAAAGTAAAGAAAAGTATATGAAGTGAAAAAAATGGCTCAGTGAACGTAGTATGCAGAAATCAAGTAGGAATGAAATATGACGAAAGACAACGCTTTGTTCGAAGTAATTTCCGGGAAATTCAATTTCATTTTTTCTTTGACTATCCAAAATTGAGTTTTTTCTTACACTGTCTGACTGCTATTTTGAATTTCTTGGAATCACTTCAGAAAGGACATGAAAAACTCCCAAAAAGAAAAAATAACTTTTACATTGGTAACGCCTAAAACGGACGTGTCGGAGCATTTCTAGTGACAATTTAGTAGCGTCAGCAATCTTAAGTTATCCCTAGAAGGGCTCAGAAACGTCCGGAGCACGTCTGTTTCGCGCTACCAATGTCCGAGAAGAAAAAAGAAAAAAATTAAATTAAAAAAATGTTAAAAAGAACGCTTCAATGATAAATATCAAAACAGGGCAAATACCGGTGGTAAATCGCATAACGGAGCTCTTCGTTATAGGTCCCCTTTCGTAATTGTGTGCCTGCCCCTTTAAAATTTCAACTTTTGCATTCTACTTCTCAAATACGTATTTAAAAATACGCTAATTAATGAAAAGTCAATGTCTATTTCACGCTGAAAAATGCAGAAATCATTATTTCAAATTTCAATATGAGCATTTAAATTTTAGAACGAGCATAGAAAATTTATACAAAGCACTTTTCATTGTATGATATATGAAATTTATATCTTATTGTTAAAAAGTAAACTTGGAATATATCTAGCTTCTCTTGGCCAAGGGTACATTATGCAGTCAAGATCTAGAGGAGACATATCCAGATCTGGCGCTAAGAACCGCACCAGCGTTCGTGGTGTAATGGTCAGCATGGATGCCTTCCAAGCATTCGACGGGGGTTCGATTCCCCCCGAACGCAGAAACATTTTTGCCGTTTTCAAAACTAATAGTTTCCATTTTAATTCTGACTGACCATTTCACCACCTTTTGAACAATTTACCTGGCTCATATCGGCTCTTTTCGATTTTTCTCGCAGTCTTCCTGCTAACAGAGCTGTAAATTTTCGTTTTTCACATTTTGAGGGTTAATCAGATCTGAAAAAAAAAGCGAACCTTGTTTCTCCATTTCTGGAAAGAGTTGAGCAAAAAAAGCCAAGTGAAAAAGAAGACAATGGGAAAAAAAAAATCAATGATTTCATTCAATTTCCTCTGGGCGTTTAACTCAATCTAATTAAGATTGACCTTGCATTTTGAGGATTTTTTTTTGGCTTCAAATTTTAAAAATATACACAAATCTATAAAATAGGCAGAAAAATAAGAGAGTTTCAGAAGGGAAAATTGAAAATTTACATAATCCCGCATTTGATTCCAGTAAACTGCGTGTTCTGAAAGAAGTGATGATTTTTATTTGTGAAAAAAATGTTCTGAATTAGTAGAAATCTTTATTTGAAACAAAAGACCAGCAAAACAATGACACAGGGGTTGAAAAAGGGTACACAAATGTAGAAAAACAAAGTTTATGGCAAGTTTTAAGTAGGTTTTCGACTAGAATAAAGGGAAGCAGTAGGTTTTCGTATGGAGTAGAAAAAAAAAACTAAAAAATAAGGTTCTAAGTTTGAAAACGGTTCTCGAAGGTTTTTTAAAGGCGCATAGACAAAATGGACCAAAATTACAAAGGAAAATGAGTCTCTAAATATGTAAGCTATTATGACCGAACTATTTTCAAAAATACCCTGAAATACCGATTTTTCTCTGAAAATGAACATCTACAACTCGTCATGAGAATACTTGAGCAAATATTCGCCATATTCCGTGGCAGCCGACGCCTCGAATCTCCTATGATTGCTCGAAATTTCGGAATACGACAGTTTTCCGTCCTAAATTATTCTTATTAGAAGAATAGAACCCTTAGGACACAAACTCCATTAGAATCGCATTTTTCAATCAATCGCTGGGCTTCGACCTCGGCTTCCAAATCCTGATCCAACCACAGATAGAACTCAAGAAAAAAGCTTTATTTCTAGATTTATTGAGCAAAAAACCTCTTCATAAGACAATCTCCCATCAGCATTCCTGTCCATCATCACGTCGAACCTGAAAAAGCCGAGGTTTTGTGATTGGGTAGGTCGCGTTTGGAATGGCTTTTCTGACGCCTTCGTGCGCAAGTCGTTTCAAAGTCGGGTGCTAATGAATTGTCTTATTTATCCAAAAAGCAGCCGCTATAGCCGAAGCCGTTCCAAATGCGGCCAGCCAAATGCATGAATAAGAAAATTCATTTCAATTTCTTATCAAGGGTGACAGTTTGACCTAGCAGCACTCTTTTTCACCGAGCGTAAGTCGTTTCAGCGTCGGGTGCAAGGAATAAATATTTCATATCTTAAGAACCGCTCAGAAGCCGCTACACTTCAAGCCATTCCAAGTGCGCTTATGGCTTTTCCAACTTTTCTTAACGATTTTCGTAAGAGACTTGGTCTAAAGTTTTAGAGCTCCTCTGTTTTTCAACAAGCAGCGCGTTGGTCTGAAATTTTAGAGCTTTTCTAGTTTCTAACTTGCATCGCCTTCTTCTGAAGTTTTAAGGCTTCCCTATTTTTCATCTAGCAGCGCTTTGGTCTAAAATTTTAGAGCTCCCTATTTTCTGACGCCTTTTTCTGAAGTTCGAGAGCATCTCTCTCGCATGCTAAGCAGGGTAACCCAGCCGTGCTAACACGGGGTCTCAGCGGGTGCCCCCGTTTTAAACCCGTATATGCCCAGCTGATAGAACTTTTGGCAATTTTTAGACCAGCTGGGTTGAATATTATTCTTACACCCGTTGTTCCCCCGTTTTAGCAAAACTGAGACTAAAATAATCTCAGAAAGACGGGTTTAATACGGGTACACCCTTTGAGACGCCTGCTCAGCATGCGAGTCTATTTTTCATCGAGCAGCGCCTGGGTCTGAATGTTTAGAGCTTTTCTATTTTCTGACAAGCATCGCCTTCTGAAGCCTGAAGACCCCAAAACAACCCTAAAATTTACCTTAAATGAAACTATAATTATGATCAACATAAAGTTTTTCCTAAGGCTTCTACAGACCTTCAACAATCCTACTAGCCCTCAAAATCGACCTAAAAACTCCATAAAATCCCTAAAATTCGCCTTAAACCCTTCTAAAAAACACGCAAAGTGTATGCACGCAATGCGCATATCCGCATACAGTACTCCTCGCAAATGGAAAACTCGCTCTTGTCGTATAGATGATTCACGGCTAGCTTGGGACGCAAAAAGGCGTGGCCTGTGTGCATTATCCACCAACCAGGGCACTTTCTCGTCTCTTTTCGTGGCAGGACCCTTTTCTCGATGGCTCAAGCCAGCCGTGAATCAGATATAGCACCATTTTTAAGCAGCGCCTTCTTGTACAGTTCTAGAGCTTTTCAAAGTCAGATTCACTGAGAAAATGACGGCTTCTCCCTAAGCCATTCCAAGCGCGGTCATGACTTTTCCAACTTCTCTTAAAGCTTCTCGTAAGCAGCGCCTTGGTCTAAAGTTCTGAAACATTCTTATTCTTCAGTAAGCAGCGCCTTTTCAATGGCGGGTGCACTGAAAATCTGTCCCTAAGCCATTCCAAGTGCGACCATTTTTCCGCAATTTCTCACATAGCTTTGTCGAAGTCTCGAAAAGACGGATCCTCAGAACTGATCAGCTCGTCGAAACTGACATATCCGTCGCCATTTTCGTCGAACTCGGATATCATCACCTGAAAAGTGGATAATATACCTTTTTCGCCACAACTCCCTTTTTTCTCTGCGCTCTCTCGTGTTTACGTGCTTTCTCATCTAGCTGACGAAAGAGAAGAGAGCGCAGACAGGTCAGATTGTCCCAAGTATGAAGAAAAAAACCTCTGTCAAAACGCCGACCATATATCGTTGATGGGTTGGATTTAGCAAGGCCGGAAGTTCTTCAATGTCCAATTCTTTGTCCGAATCCAAATCGGCGGCTGAACCTTCTCATAAAAATCATGAAGTAGGCTTGAAAAACATTTTATTCCTTTTTCCCACTTTTTGCAAAACTTTTGAGCTTTTTTGAGAAATCTTTTAATCCTGAAAATCGAAAAATTCAAGCTCCTTTACGAAATTAACTTCGTTGAAAATCAAAAAAAGTCATCATTTCCAAAATTTTTGAGGCCTTCATCTTGAAATTTTTTTTGAAGAATTTTTGTTTTTTAGAAATTTCGTACTGGCGAAATTTTTAGTGGCCACTATAGGGTTGTGACGTTTTAGTGGCCACTATAGTAGTCAAATTAGTGGCCACTTGAGGGGTTAAAAATTAGTGGCCACTATAGAGGTCTAAGTGCTACTACTAGACCACTAAAAATTTAAGTGACCACTTTAGAGGTCAATGGATAAACATAACTGGTCCAATTTGTTTTGTTTTAAAATTATCAGAGTTATTGGAATGATTACTGGATGAAAAACTACTGAAGTGGCCACTAAAACGGAAAATAGTGGCCACTTTAGTGTTCTCTCCAAGTAGCCCTTGGCGAGCCTCTATAGTGGCCCCTAATAACTTTCCCAGTAGGATCAAAATTGCTAAGAAAGAGAAAAAACATTAATTTGAACGATTATAATGGGAAAAAAACTGAGAAATTTTTGAAAGAAGCATTTTTCGCATTTTCTCCACTCAAACCTTCAAAAAGCGTTTTCTGCCTTTTCAATTGGCCCTGCTCTAGTTTGTCCAGAGAATCCAATGAAGTATCCTCGAGAATCGACGCCTGGTGCTCTTCCCAATTTAACTGAAACTTCCGAAAATTTATCAGTTTTTTTCTATTATTTCTATAGAAACCTACCATATCATTCTGATCGACGTCGTATTTCTTCAAATGTTCTTCAGCCAATTTAATATCGAAAGCTTTAAATCGCTCCACAATCCAACTTGTCAGCTCTTTTTTTCAGCTGAAAAAAAATATATTTTTCAATAAATTTTTTTAAGAAGATCATAGACTTTGAAACATGCAAAGTAGAGAATTTAGTTAGAGACTAATTTTTTTCTAGCCAAATTATGAAATATTCTGGTTTTACACTTTGAAGTTGAAAAAAATTGAGCGAAAACATGGAATTTAAAGGGTTATTCATAAATAACAAGACAATTTTTTTTTCAATCTTTTTGCCTTCTGAAAAAAAATATCTTTCCAACAGAAATTTATAAAGAAAGATTGGAAAAATTATCAATAAGTCATTTTTTTCAAAAAAACTTCCTTTTAAAAATCCTCCAAAGCTCCGTTGTCATTCGAATTATTGAAATTCGAATGTTCGGTTGAAAAACTTTCTTCTGTGTGCTTTTAAAAAGTTTTTGAACAAAAAAATGAAACGATTCATAATTAATTTAAATTGTTCTTGTGAGACTGTGACCAAAAAAAACTGGGATAAAACAAAAAAATCTTCGAAATAAAATAAAGAAAGCCTGAATCCTATTTTTTTAAATTATTTAATAAAGTTTTTATAAGAAGATTTAGAAAAAAAGAAAAAAATGGATCTAAACTTTAAAAAAATAACTGATTAAGGTCATTCAAAAGTTCCAAGAAAAGGTACAGAAAATTATATTCAACTTTGTCAAACCTCTGAACAAAACCAAATCAAAATCGAATCAAAATCAAAAAAAAAAAAAGAAACCTTACTTATGGATCCATCATTATTTTGGTCCATTTCCCCAGCCACAATCGTCATTCTCCGAATTTCTTCCATTTCTCCCAATTTTCTCGCCTTCTGCTTCAATTCGTCTCTGTTTTCGTAAAGTTCTGAACATTTCCTCTCTGTTTTTCCTTTTAAAATTGCTCCAACCGAGCAAAGTGTCCAGCTCCTCGATGTCAATCTCCAAATCGATCGTTTTCATCATTTCCAGAATATCTTTTCTCAAGTTTTCCAACTGAACTTTCAAACTTTTCTCAAGAATCGAATTATTCAAAACCTTGGTCACATTGAACTTGGGAAATTTCTTCGCCGGCGTGTGAAATATCAAAAATACAACGAAAATGAGGAATATCTTCATCTGGAAATTAAAATTGTTGGAAAATTCTTTGAAAATCGAGAAATTTAATGAATGATCGAATCATGTGGACAATGTTCCATTCCGGGAAATGAAAATATTTATAATTATCAATTAAAAAAGCTGAAAAACGTACAAGATCATGATGGAAATGTTAAAGCGAGGTGCGGCTGGAAAACTATTTAAAGGCGCATGGAATTTATAAAAGTTTCGAGGTGGGAAGCCGTTTTCAAGGTATATTAGTTGGTTTTTTAAAAAAACAAGAAAAAAAGGATTTTTTTGAACAGAAAAAAAGGTTATAAAGGACCATAAAAAAATATTATAAGACAGGGAAATTTAGACAAAGAATGGCAACTTAGGAACAAACCAGTTAATGGACGATTTGGACAAGAAAATATGAAAAATGTACAATTTCAAGGTCTAAAACTCGTCATGAACGACTTTGTGAAGGTCTTCTCCGTAATTTGTAGCCTCGGAGCCGACGAAAAGAGCATGAGCATCGACGATTTCGTCAATCGACAGTTTTCCGTCCTGGAAATGGAGAAAAAATGGTTTTTTGAAAGAAATCATTAAAAATTTGACATTTTTCCATTATTTTTTCATTTCTTCGTTATTTTTCCTACTTCTTCATTGATAGAATGAGAGTTCAAACTTACAGAATTTTAAAAAAAGACTCCAAATTCTCGCAGAACCAAAATTCATATTGCCAGTTGCAATGTAAACATTAAAAAAAAAAAATTTAAATCTGAATTGAAAAATTAAAAAAAGTCATGCCGTGTTCAAAGTAATTTCCGCGAAATGCAAAATACCCGTTAGAGAAAGGAAAAGATCACTAAATTTTGGAGAGTCAGAGATCATTTTGCATTTCGCGGAAATTACTTTGAACACGACATCAAATTTTAATTTTTTTTTCCTATCCAAGAAAGTTATCAATAGAGCAGATTTGCACAATTTGAAGCCAAAAATGAATTCGAACATTATTTTTATCGGCTCCATTGAGAAGATGTTGAGCTTCTTGAGCCGCGACGGCGTCGACGTCAGGAATCAGCCATTTTCGGATCTAAAATTTGAAATTTATTTTTCATTTTTTTAGCTAATATATAGGTAACTTCATACAAAATTTGAAAAAAATCAGTTTTTCAAGAAAAAAACAAGTTTTTCAAGAAAAAAAGGTCTTGAGACGATGAGAAAACTGGAAGAAGAGCATGTTTTAATGCAATTTTTAAAGATTTTCAAACTTTCTGCAGAATTAAATTTACTTTTCAATTTTAATTTTCGAAATTTCTAAACATTCAATAACTTTTTTCACCCTTAAAACTACAGGTTTTTCAAATTTTAGTTTTTTTTCCAAAAAAAATCCCCACCTCATCACCGGTCAGCAATCCGTCTTTATTGTGGTCATATTCGGTCATGAATCTGCAATTTTTTCTCAATTATTTTTTTTCTGTCCTTCCCAACCGATTCTTCTCGACGGCGTGCCATTCACTCTGTGGTTGATCATCGATTTCGCCAAGAAATTCGTGAACATCGATGGCGGCGTCGCCGTTTCGGTCCTTTTCCAGGAGGGTTACCTGCAAAAATGATTATTTGAGTTAGAATACCATTAAAAAAAGATTTTTTCACAAGCATTTTTTTGAATGTGTCTGACGTGTAGCAGTTCTAAAAAAATACAGCTTATCCTTAATTTTAACAGGAAATTTTTTTGATAAAAAGTGTCTAAATCCTTGTTTTTCCTGACCATTTTTCGAATTTAAAGCCATTTTTTTGCACATTCCGAAGCCTGAAATCTACTTTCCAAGCAAGCGAAAAAAATTCGAAAAGTCTCAAAAGTTTATAAGAAGAAGAAAAAAATTTGATTTACGTACATTTCTATAAATAAAACTATTATTCTTTCTATTTTTTTCTGTCATTTTTTTCAATGGGCTAATGATTTTGATGCATCGGTTCAATAAAATACAACTTTTCCTCACTTTAATCAGAACATTTTGATTACAACATTCAAATTCTTGTTTTCCTGCCCTTTTTTCGAGTTTAAAGCGGTTTTTGAACATTAAGAAGCTTGGATATTACTTCCCAAGCGAGCAAAAAAATTCAGAAACTTTTAAAAAAATCCAAAATGAAAAGAAAAAAAGTGTTAAACACGTACATTTTTTTATGAATAAAAAAACGATCATTTTTTTCATATTTTTTTGGCATTTTTTTCAATAAGTTATTGATTTTTAATGAATCAGCTTGATGAAATACAACTTTTTCCTCATTTTAAATAGAAAATTTCGATTAAAAATATCTAAGTTCTTAATTTCCTGCCCCTTTTTTTCGACTCTAAAAACACTTCTAAACATTTTTCAAAGCCTGGAATTCACTTCCCAAGAGAGCGAAAATTGAGAAAACTTTCAAAAATTCAAAATGAAAAAGTGTGGAACGCGTCTATTTTTGACAAAAATAAAATTCAAATTCTTGTTTTCCAGCCCTTTTTTCGACTTTAAAGGCCTTTCTAGACATTTCCAAAGCCTAGAAAATACTTCAAAAGCAAGCAGAAAATCGTGAGAACTTTAAAATCAAGATTATCTCGGGTAAAGTCGGAATGGTGGATAATGAAAGCTAAGAGGCTCAAAAAAGGCCGCAGAAAAGGTCCCTATATCTAACCTTCCATTTTTCTCGGATCTCAGAAGCTTAAAAAATGGTGGAAAAAGGGGAGAGGCAGCAAAAATGGTACATAAGAGCAGATTAAATGGCGCAAAAAAGGAGCCTTTGTCACCATAAAAGGAACATTTTATGGAGCCTTTTTCCACCTTTTCCGACTTTCCCTGTTTCCAGAAAAATACAAAAGAAAAAGAAAAATGCGAACATCGACAAGAGTCGAATGCATATGGGGATAATTTTCCGGATTCAAAAACGCCGCCAATTCCAAAACGTTCAGCCTATCGTCGCGGTCAAGGTCGGCGGCTGAAAAATGAATTTTCCTTCCGAAAAAGAAATGTAAACCTTTGAAATAAAGTTCATCCTCATTGAGAAGCTTCCTGTCTTCGGCGTCGAGTTTGCTGATGTCCGAATCGGGGAAAGAATCCTCCAAATATTCGTTCCAGGTTATCTTAACGATTAAAACTTGATTTTGAAGTGGTCAAAAGTTTCCGTAGGTTTTTAAAGGCACAATATTGATTTTTTCAATGAAAATTTCGAGGCAAGGAGCCCTTTTCACGGTTATTTTAAGCCACGAAAGACATTTGGGCTTTGAAAAACCATTCAAAAACTTCGAAACTCGGAAAAATTGAAATGTTGAGTGACGATTCTTAACATTAAAAAGCCATATAAATTCATTTTTTTGAACATTAAATTCAAAAACGACTTGTTTCTTAATTTCTTTTTTTGAATAAAAATAAGTTTTTTATGAATCATCATCTCAATATTTTCGAAAATCAACCAGAAACACACAAATCCATCCCCATCCACGTCGATTTCCCGCATCCTTTCTTTGGTTTCTTCTTCGTCCAAGCTCGTCATCGAACTCTTAACCCACGAAACCAATTCTTCTTGTTCTGAAAGTCAAAAAATTTCATCCAATTCCTCAATAAATTCCTACCAATGAACCCATCTTTATCATTATCCATTTTCTTGGCCAGAATCCTCAACCTCCTTTGAGCTTCTTCAACTGGAAGGGAGTCAAACTCTTCGGCTGTTTTCTTGGATCCTTAAAAGTATTTTTAACGCTTTCAAAGATTTTTTAACACCTAAAACGGCTTGGTGATCCGCATGATGATTCCCTTTTGCCTCATGAACATGGCGATTCATACGTGCCGCGGCTCCATCCGTCTGTAATTTTATCATTTTTATCAAATTAAAAAAAATTCTCACTTCTCTCTCCTTATCGGCTAAGACAAATGAAATGAAAATCGCCAAGATGAGAAACTTCATCCCGTTTCTGTAAGCTGAAGATTAAGAAGACAAAAAAAAAGAAGAATGAAAGAAAAAAGCGATTAGAGCGACAGCTGTTGCCAAAGATCTCATTTCACTTGATTTTCAAGCTTTTTCTCATGAACTGCATGTGATTCGGGTTGAAACAAAGCCCAAAAACAATTTGTTATCAAGAAAAAGAGTAGAAAAAAATTTGAAAAACTCGAAATGAAATTCAAAAAAATTCACGCGAAGAACATAAATTTTAATCTGGAACTTCTCCTTTTACGGGAGGTAAACTTTTCAATTAACTGAAGAACAGTATTATGTAACAGAAATACACTAAGAATAACTGCCGAGATAAACGCGAGACACTGGCGGTACATTGACGAGCTCGCAAACATCTCGCATTTTTTCTCGCGCCGGACTCGCATTTTTCTGGGCGCGAGCTCGCACTTTTCTAGCAATTTGAAAATTTCCGAAATGCGAGATAAATGCGAGATGGCGCCAAGAAAAATGCGAGGTCGCGCCGAGAGAAATGCGAGAGCGCGCCTAGAAAAAAGCGACATTTTTGCGAGTTCGTCAATGTACCGCCACCGACCTCGCGTTTATCTCGTCAGTTATTCTTAGTGTAGTTTCGATATTCAATCAAAACTATATTGAAAATTAATGAAACGGGCCCGTAAAAAATTCTCAAATTATCAAACTCGCCACGGTAGAGCGCGTTTTCCTCCATTCGAGTTGGCCGCAGCTTTTGCCCTTTTTCGTCGTCTTTTCTTCGTTTTTACGCGTGTTTTTTGAATTTCCAGATCTTCCAAACATTACGATCTACAAACAGAAGATTCGAGAAGCCAAAGAGAAAGTTTCGGCTTTTGTTTGCATCAAAAGATCGTTTAAAATCTGATGTTTCATTTGTTTTAATATTAGGGATATCCTTGATACAAACTTGGCTTTGAAAAAACAAAAAAACGGAGATGAAGCTCAATGGCCCGAAAAACGGAAAGAAAACCACCAGGAAATCGACTTTTGCGGCGAGAAATTGCATGTTAAAAAGCACACGTTCTCTTTTTTTTTTTCAAGGGCGTTTTTCCTTTCTTTTCTGCCAGTTTCTCTCTTCAATGAGGCTTTTGGTGAAAAATGCTGCAAGTTTAATGAAAAAATGAGGCGAAATTGTTTTTGATCTCCACAAAATGCAGCGTTTTTTGAACTTCGATTGATTTTTCTTCAAACTACAAAGTGCGTCTCCTTTATTTGTTCTCCATGCTTTTTTCTATCCGAGCATTTTTTTATCGTTCTTCTTTTCTTTTCCGTGTCATTTCTTGACTTTTTGAGTTTTTATTAGAGAAAATGGGAGTTTTTCAGCTTGAAATTCCTGAAAAGTGACGAAAAATGGAAGGTCCGTTGTCGAAATGGACGAACATGGTTCACGGTTGGCAATACCGTTGGTTCAAATTGGACGGCGACGTTTTGCTTTATTACACTTCGCGTGATAAAATGAACAAAAGCCAACAGAGAGGTTGGATTTTGACGAAAAAATGAAAAGATTTTATCGAGAAATGATAGAAAAAAATGTGATAAAAAAACGTGGGAAAATTGAAAAAAATGACCGGTATTATCAGAAAAAAAGCTGGAAAAAAATCTTTTTTTCTGATTTTTTTCGGGAGTACGCGATCAATTTTTTTGAAATTAAACCGCAATTACAAAGATTCTAGATTTCTTAAATTCGGCGCTAGTATAAAAATATTATTTTTAAAAAGTTTTTAAGCTCATTTTTTTGTTAAGAATTTCAAATTTATTCAAGGTTTTTGGGATGGGAATTTTTTTATTTTTCCACTCTCACGTTGTTAAATTGTTCAAAGAGCCTGTTTCTATAGCTAATATCGGCCAAATATCAGTAATAATTTGGAAAGGAATGTTTTTTTCTTTTGTATTATTTGCTGAAACTTCAGAATTTTTAAGAAATTCGTCTGAAAATTTTGAAAAATTTCGAATTTTAATTGTCGTTTTAAGGCTATAATAGTGATTACTACATAATCAAAACAAATATTTTTAATTTTATCTTTTTTTTTATCGAAAAAAATCGAAAAAAAAAGATTTTTCACCCTTTCCAGCTGATTTTTAGCGTTAAAAATGGTTCAATTCGATATTTCACCACAAAATTGACGTTTCTTTTTTTAATTTCACAATCTTGAATATTAAATTTATGTGAATTTCAGGATGTATGCGTCTTCAAGGCGCCGTCGTCGGCATCGACGGCGAAAATCACAGTCTTTTCACTGTCACCGTCGATGGAAAGACCTTCCATTTACAGGTGCCTTTCCTATTCTTCCACTGAATTTTTTTTTCGAAAGTCATTTTTGTTTTACTCGAAACGGCCGAGCTTAAGTCAAAAAAATAAGGTGGGGTATTGAAAAACTGGAAAATTGTCTTTGAAGGGAAGGAAAATCGAAAAAAAGCATTTTTTTATCACAATTTTTTTAATTGTAAAAATGGTTTTTTTACAGATTTTCAGAACCCATAATTTTTTTGGGAACTTCTCATTTTTTTCTAAGAAATTTTATCTAGAAATTGGATTTTTTTAAAATAACTTTTTAGCTTCTTTTTCAAAAAGAAGATATAATAGACTATTTTTATAAAAATTGCCTTTTTCCATTTTTTTAATGTTATAATTATGTTTGGATAAAATCTCAATTCAACCAGAGTTTTTAGGAAAATTAAAAATTTCCCGATTTTTTTGAAAAAAATTTCGGAAAAAAATGAATTTTCATCAAAACGACTTAATTTTTTTGAATTTTCACGTTTTTCGCGCGCCCATTTTACAAGTTTTTTTATTCATTTCTATATTTTTTTCGAATTCTTGTTTTTTTCCCTTTTTTTCTTTATTATATTTTTTTCTCTATTTATTTTTCAGGTCTTTTTTTCGATTTCATCCATCTCTCTCATTGTAATTTCCTATATAAGTCACACTTCTGAATGTTTTTAAAAAAATGTATTTTTCGATTTTTCTTCAAAAAAATAACCTTTTCAGTAAGATTCTGGGATCAATATAGTTTTATTTTTCTTTTTTCTGGATCAATTTTAGGATCGCCTCCATTAATCCTATTGTAATTCTCTATAGTAGTCACTTTTTTTCAAACTATTCAAAAATTAATTTTTTTCAACTTCATATCGAAAATGAGCTCCGGAATAAGATTCTACTTTCAATTTTTCTTCGTTACTCTCATTTTTAGCTTATTTTTCTAAATTCAGTCGCTCCAATAATTGTATTTCCTCATATTAGTCACTTTTACTAATTTTTAAAACATTAATTTTTTTGATTTTATTCGAAAAATATATTCCGCAAAGGTTTCTAATATCGGTTTTGCTTCAAATCTTTTTTTCTGGCTCGTTTTTTCGATTTCATCCTTTTTACATGATAGTACTTTTTTTATATTAGCCGCTTTTTCCGGATTTTTTTAAAAATCAATTTTTCAACTTTATATCGATAAAACGGCTCCGGAATAGTTTCTGCATGCATTTTTGTTTCATTTATCATTTCTAGCCCATTTTTTCAATCTCATCCATTAACCCTATTGTAAATCTCAATATTGGTCACGTTTCCGGATGTTTTCTACATGTTTTTTTTTTCCTACGGAAAGGTCCAGAATTCACTCACGTGCCGTTTTTTTCCCGCCTTCTTTTTTTGCACTTGTGCCTTTGAGTGAGTGAAATGCGCGAATGTGCTATTCAATTTCGCCTCTTTTATAGCGAGAAAAAAGCCGGCTTTCATTCATTTATCCCCTGGAAAATTATGGGATTTGCTTTTAATAGCCGAAAAAAGAAAGTGAAAAATGATGATTATAAGGTTCTGAAGGGTTATAAATGAAGCTGGATTTGTGGATTTTAGAAAAAAAATTGGGGTTTCAACTTAATTTTTTTGTTGATGGAGAAAATCTTGAGCTTGGTTAGGGCTTTAAGTGGTCACTTTAGGGATTTTAAATATATTTTTTTAAGGATTTCCGTTTAAAAATAGGGCTAGAATAGATTTGATTCGTTGATTTTTATGAGATTTTAGAAAAAAACTGGATTTAAACTTAATTTTTTTTGTTGATGGAGAAAATCTTGAGCTTGGTTAGGGCTTTAAGTGGTCTCTTTAGGGATTTTAAAGATTTTTTTTAAGGATTTCCGTTTAAAAATAGGGCTAGAACAGATTGCAAAAAAAAAATTTTTTTCAAAAATTGGAAATTTTCCCTCGAAAAATAATTAAATTCTGTCCTCTTGTTAGAAAAGTGGTCACTTAAGTAGATTTGAAAAGAATATTTTGCATATTTCTGACACTAAACCTTCAATTTTTGAGAAACCAAGCTTTAAATTTGAGTTTAGAAGCTCTTGAGGGGTCACTTTAGTGTTTTTAAGGATTTTTACAGTTTCTGAAGCTAAATTTACAATTTCTCCGATGAATTTTTGTAAGCTGGACTTTGGAAAATAGACTAGAACCATTTTTGGGCAAATTGGTCCATTATAAAGTTAGGAATTTTTTCGATTTTACCGATTTTTGAGGAGTTTCCAAGCATTTTATAAAGTTTTTAAAGAGTCTTATGCTGAGAATTGCCGAAAAAAGCTTTTATTTCAACTTTTATCTCCATTTTATTGTCGTAAAGTTTTTTTTTGTTTCCCTTTCCGAAAAAAAGAGTCGGCGACTTTCCCTTTGGAACGTGGGTGAATGTGTGGAAAATTGGTTTTTGTTTACTTTCTCTCGTTTTTCTCGATGGCCGACGAGACAGTTTTGAGCGACTCGTTGAATCTCCCTCTTTTGTGGCTGTTCGGATCGAATCCTTGAAGGATTTTCTGTGGTTTAATGGTTTTTGGTCTTTTTTTTGATGAGTTCTTGAGATTTTTGTGTGAAATGAAGAGCATAAAAATCAGTGGTTTGAGGCAAACCTAGCTTGAAAAATGGTTTTTGCCAGGATTTTGAAGGTGGTTTAGGGATTTTCGTGCAGCCAAGTTTGCTATAGAATCGATTCCTTGAAGGATTTTCTGAGAGCCATTGATTTTTTGGTCCTTTTTGAACAGTTTTTGAGATTTTCATGTGAAAAAAGAACTAAAAATAGTGGTTTTAAGCGAAAATTGGCTTGGAAAAAGGTTTTTGTCAGGATTTGAAGGTGGTTTAGTGATTTTTGTGTAGCAAAATTTGATCTAGAATCGATTCCTTGAAGGATTTTCTGAGAGCCAACGATTTTTTGGTCCTTTTTGAACAGTTTTTGAGGTGTCCCATGCGAAAAAAGACTAAAAATCAGTGGTTTTAGAAAAAAAAAGGCTTGAAAAGGTCTTTCCGCCAGGATTTTTGAAATTCTCCATTAATTTATATCAGTTTATGATACCTTTAAGAGAGTTCACGAGGTCTATAGATTAAGAAAAAAACCAAAAAAATCAGCCATTTAGCCGTGGAGCACAACTTACCCCCAGAAAAAAAGGCCTTTTTTTAGTCTTTTTTTCAAATATTTCTGTATTGAAACCCCCTCTCGAAATTAAGTTTAAAAAAAAAAAAACCATTCGTTTGGATGATTTCGCCGCGGAGATTTCAGCCGGAGATTTGCGTTTAGGGGACCAGTTTCGCTTGAATCGTTCGATTTTTCCAGGTCGTTTGAGGATCCTCCTCATCTGTGTTTTTTTTTTTTCGTAGTTTGACGATTTTTTTCAGAGAGTTTTGGTTAGGAAAAATTGATGTTAGAAGTTTTTCCTCATTGACTCAACAAAAAAAAAATCTGAAAAGCTTTTTTTAAGACCCAAGTGCGCTCCAATGAGAATAAAGAAAATTGAAAGTTAGGTGAACTTTTAGTATTGTAATCCGATTTTAAAAGACCCACCTGTCGACATTTTTTTTTGTTTGTTGATCAGAATGACTTGATTATGTATACTGATACGGTTGTCGGTTTTGTTTTTCCACTGGTTGGAATAATATTTTTCATTTCATTGGCTTTTTTCGGATTTTTCTGAGTTTTTCTGTATTTGAAAAGAGCTTTTTTTCCAATTTTATGTTGATTTTGAGTACGTATTTGTCTTGAAACTCTTTTTTTTCTAATTTTTCGGTCCAGTCGACACTTTTTAACTACTTTTAATTGAATTTTGTGACCGAAAAAGCTTTTTTTGAAGAGTCTGCTCCAATGATAATATTTGTGCAAAGAGGCGGCCAGCCTTCAAAGGGGACCAATTTGAAACTTTTTTTGGGCTCCATTTATAAATCGAATAATTTTTATCTCAGTATTAATCAATTTTTCGTAGTTTTTTTCCCATTTCAAAAAGCTCCTTGAGAAAAAAATCTGTTCATTAAAAAAAATTTTCGACGTAGAAAATCAAAAGAGCTCTTTTTTTTCCATTAAGTGACCTCCGTTGAGACCATTTTGTTATTTCCTAACGATTATGAGTCTCCAGGGAACCTTTAACGCCGTTTTTCAACTAGCAAGTTCGCCCCAAAGATAGTGTTCCAACTTCCCTTTTTTTAAGATTTTTTTTTTCGTTTAGATTTGGTTCTGCTTCTGACGTTCTTCCTCCAGAGGTTTTTTAGCCAAAAAAAAGCTAGGACTGAAAAAAGCCGTTTCTCGCTTGCAAATGCGCTCCAATGATAATTTTGTTTTTTGTCGTTGGAAAGCATTGCGAATAGAACTTTTTCACGTTTTATAATGTTTTTCAACGCTTGGGAGATGCAATTTTCTCTTTTTTTTTGTTTTGGTTTTGGTTCTGCGGCAGAAGAAAAACGGCATTTTCTCGGTTGCATATGCGCTCTAATGTTAATCTTTTTTTGGCTCTGAAATCTTTTTTTAACTTGAAAAAAATACTGCGATTGAAATTTTTTTCAAGTTTATTAATTTTTTTAAAGCTTGGCACATGCAATTTTTCGGCTTTATCTTCAAAAATTTTTTTCCTGATCTCATTTTTTTGATTTTTTTCCAAAACGTCCCCTCTCGATTATTTTAGGTTTCTCTAGAAAAAGCTCTAAAAACAGCTGTTTTTTCATTGTAAGTGTGCTCCAATGATAATCATATTTTTTCCCAACAAAAAGCTCTAAAAACAGCTGTTTTTTCACGTCAAGTGTGCTCCAATGATAATCATGTTTTTCCCAGCAAATAGCTCTAAAAAAAGCTGTTTTTTCCAGCGGAAGTGTGCTCCAATGACAATTTAGGCTTTACAGGCTTGTAGGAACACTTTTTAACCGGAATTTTAGACAAAATGATTATTTATTGTTTTTTTTCAGCGGTATTATCTGTTTTAAGTAAGCTCTAATGATAAAAAATAGCTGTTTTCAGGGTTTAAAAGCTTTTTTTTTGCTCCTTCTTGAGTCTTTCTCCAGGTTTAATCCCCTTTCCCTCGTGGGTAAAACAAGTCAAATATTAGCCTCCGAAGTGAACTTGTCACTGAACATTTGCACACACACAGCACTGGAAAAAAGAACTCAAATATTCGGCGTCAAAAAGCCGAAAAGACCGGATATACCCCAGGGTTCATTGGCCTCCTGACATGCCTTTCATAGCCCCTCTCTCTTCCTTTTTTAACTTTTTCTCAATTCAATTTGCACTGTTTCAAGGGCTCATTCAATGGAATGGACTCGTGCAAAGGAAATAGCAGAAAAAAAAAGAAGGAAGCCTTTCTGGAAGGTCTTCTTCCTTGTTATATTGATGTTGGATACGATTTTTGGAGATTCTTTGTGACTTTTTGGCTGGAAAAAGTGAGGTTTGAAACTCAGGGACTATTTGAAAGTTCTCTAGAGGTTTTTCTAGATTTTTTTAAAAAGCTTTTTTTACAAATTTTTTCTGGCTTAAAAAAAGCTTCAAATTCAGTTTTGAGGCTTTAGAATACTTTTCCTGAAAGTTGTGTCCATTTTAAAAAATTTTTTTAAGATTGCATGTTTTTTTCTTGATTTTTTTGATTAGGAAAGCTCGAAATTTAAATTTGAGACCCTTTTTTTAATTTTTTTCCTTGTTTTTTTAAAAAAATGTGTTTTTAAGATTTCATTTTTTTTTTGATTTTTTTGACCTGGAACCCTCGAAATTTCAAATTTGAGACCCGTTTTATTTTTTTCTCGTTTTTTTGAAGTTTTTCTAATTTTTAGAAAGGATCCTTTTTTTGAGGTTTTGAAATGAAATTTGATGATTTTTTTCTGCTTTTTTTGGCAGAAAAATCTAATTTTTGTTCATTTTTACTGGTAAAGTTCAAAATTTGAAGTTTGAGGCATTGTTGGAATCTTCCTAGCCATTAAAATAGCAGCTTGAAAATTTTTTATTTATTTTTTTTGATTCAGCAAGCTTTTTTCGACTTTCTCCCCAAATAAGATCTTCAAAATCTCATTCCCCTAACTCCAAAATAATTCAGATTGTTTTCCATTTTCGATATTAGGATCGAGAAAACAAGATTATTATTGTTTTCAACTCTTTTTTGGCCGAAAAGTTCCTCGAAAACAATCCAGAAGAAGCCCTTCAGTGCAGACTTAGTACATGAAGATGTTATTAGAAAAACAATGACGAATTATTTTTTTTGTTTTGATCCATTGGCCGGAAAATATCGATTTTTGAGTAAGAAGGGATTTTTTTGGGTTTCATTCAAGCTCTAGGCTCTTTTTTCAGAATCAGATGCGCTCCAATGATGAATTGATGCAATTAATTTTGATTTTTTTGGCTCTTTTTTGTCGTCAAATGCGCTCCAATGATAATTTTGAAAAAAAAACATTATTTTTGATTTTTGGCGCTTTTTTGTCATCAAATGCGCTCCAATGATAATGGTTACATTTTTCAAAAGATTTTCAGGATCTTTTTTCGGAAAGCTCTTTTTTGGTCATCAAATGCGTTCCAATAATAAAGGAAAGCATTTATTTCGATTTTTCGGCTTTTTTTTGTCGTCAAATATGCTCCAATGAGAAATGAATGAAATTTATTCGAATTTTTTTGAGAATTTTTTTCTTCTCAGCTTCTTTTTCGTCGTCAAATGCGCTCCAATAAGAAATGAATGAAATTTATTCGAATTTTTTTGAAAAATTTTTTTCACGAAAAATCTCTTGGCTCTTTTTACATCAAATGCGCTCCATTGATAAATACTTTTTTTAAAACAAGTTTTTTTGGATTTTTTTCTCACTAAATCTCTTGGATCTTTTTTTGTGGTCAAATGTGCTCGAACGGTAAAAAAATGATTTTTTTCACCTCAAAAAATTGAAAAAAATATTTTTTTGACCCCCTTGATTCGATCCTCTTCAGACGTAGAATCAGAGTTTTTTTCCAATTAATTTCGAAATTGAGAAAAACAGAAGATGGCGACTATCTTTTTTTCCCACATCTTCTTGTTATTTCCTCCTCTTCCTCTCGTTTTTTTGAGCCTCTTTATTTTTCACATTTTTCTCGTGGCGTTTCACACGATGTTATGGCGGCTTTGACATTTGTGAGGAGAAAATTTTTCTTTTTTGACCTACTTTTTTTAGTTAATGTGAAAAATTCGGCGAGGAAATGGGATTCAAATGCGAAAAAAAAGATGTTTTTGGAAATTTTTGAATAGACTCAATGCGTTGCGGTCGCGTCGCGGTTCGACTCAAAATTTTGAGTTAATGATAATTCGGAAATACTATTATGGTTTTCTTAGAAACTTGAAAAATGATATTTTCACAAGTCTATAGGCCAAAAATGAATGGAAAGTTACTAAAATATCTAAAAGTGACTAAAATATCTATTACCGGCTGTAAAACATTGTACTCAAAATGCCCACCGAGCGCACAAACTTTAATTTTCGACGGCTATTTTTTCACAGATGTTTCCTGTTTCAATTTCATCACAAAAACGTTGAAAAAAAACGCGAAATGATGACGCGTCAATAAGAAGAGTCTGAAGTTTAAAATGTTTTTTTAAAAAAATGACAAACTTTTTGATGTAATTTTTTCAGATCATTTGAAAAAATTTCACAATTTAGCTTAGATTGGTGAAAATCGACAGAAAACCTCTGTGATTCCAAGATTTTGAGCTTAATAAGGTCGATGAACCGTGGAGCGCATGAGTCCGAATTTTCGCGGCCATTTTTTCACAGTTAGTTTTTGCCTCAATTGGACTGAGTTGAGTTGAAAAGAGATGAAAACTGTTTAAAATTAAAAAATGAGGCTATTTGTGTCGAAAATGAAGAGATGGGGATTTTTTTTTGTTTTTGTCGTAGAGCTTGATCCCCTTGTAGACGGTTCACACTACGTTTTCTGCTCTGCGATCTCTCGATTCCCAAGTTTAATTGGACGACCTCTCAGCTGTGAATCGGGCCGAATATTATGTTTACGAACCGCTTCGCCGTCTCCAGATGTTTGTAAAGAATTTGAAATTAATGCGTTTTGATCCATTTTGAGTGTTTCCGAACGGATTTTACAGAAATTTTGAATATTTTCAAGGCTTTGGAAGTTTTTAAGCTTGATTCTGCAGAAGTTTGGGTAGGAATTAGGTATTTTTATGGATTTCGAGAGGCTTTTTTTGGCTTATCATTTGAAAAATGATGCTTTTACATGAAAGTTAGAAGATATTTTATTTTAAGCTTCGAAAAACGGAAAAAATTGACCAAAATTCTTCACTTTCTTGATTTTTGAAAAGTAAGAGAAGGACTTTTGAAGATTGTCCTCAATGAACTATCAGAAATTCCCTAATTTCTCAATTTTTCACTTTTACCTGATCATCTCCGAACTAATTCCCATCGAAAAACCGCATTGGAATTGTGTTTTCAAATGATTCACCCAACTGGTTTCCTTGCCGTTCTCGATGTTTTTCCCCCCAAACTTTTTAGTTTCTTTTCCTTCTTTTTTACTTCCTTCCTCGAGAATCTTCATGTTGGTTTCGTTTCCCTGCATACCATTTTTCTTATTTATAAGAAATTTCATCGAATTTTCTTCAGATCTCCCAACCGATAAATCCATAAAAAAATCCCATCTTTCGATGGGTTGGCGGAGCCGTTTCCGTAAGGTGAAAATGAGGAACATTTTGATTTTTTTGATAATTTTTTTGATTTCTAAATAAATGTATGTTTTAGGGTCGCGATGAGCGCGAAAGGAACCAGTGGGTCAAGGTTTTGGAGTCGGCCATCCGGGATTGCAGGTAGAAATTGATTTTTTGTATCTAGGAAATTTTTAGTGTCCACTATAGGGTTTTGACGTTTTAGTGGCCACTTAGGGGGTTAAAAATTAGTGGCCACTATAGAGGTCTAAGTCTTACTACTAGACCACTAAAAATTTTAGTGGCCACTTTAGGGGTCAATGAATCAGCATAACTGGTCCAATCTGTTTGTTTCAAAATTATGGCCACTAAAATTTTCCTTTTCGGAAGTTTTAGACTAGAAAATGGACTTTTGAGCTTTTTTCAAGGACCAATACTTGATTTCATGAAACTTGAACATTTGAAAAAAAATTTTCGAAGCTTTTTCTTAAAATCCCTTCATATTCCATTTTTTGGGATCATGCTAGAGGCTGAACGCTGAAAGTCGAGTTTGAAGTAGGTTTTTGAAGATTTTAGCGAAAAATCTGCGGTTTGGCTTATTTAACCGTATAAATGATGGTGATAAGATTTATTTATTTCTTTATTGTCAGAAAAACGCAAATAATTAAGATACAGATAGAAAGGAAATAATATAACATTGGACAGACAACAAAGCTAAGAAGGTCATATGGTGCCCTAACGAGCAGCATGGCGACCGTTCGCAAAAGAGAAGAACAAAAATAAGATACCCGGCCGAAACTCTAAGATTTTTTTTTGAATTTTCAAAATCGATTATAATCATTTTTAGCGGATATAACCGCCGGCCAAAGACGAAAGAGTCGCCTTTGGAGTCGCTGTCCCAGAAAGTCACCGAAAGCGAACAATATTTGGACGTTATCATCGATCAGGTGGGACTTTTCAATCATTTTGATTGAAAAATAGCCGGTCTACCGTCGAAAAATGGGTCCTGACAACGTCGGGTGGAGCGCAAAAGGCTGGGGTGTTATCCAGCCGATGTATGGGCTCAAGTTAGATCTCCAGTTTCCCGCCAAAAAGCCGCGACGCGTACGCAACGCTTAATCATTCTTTGATTGAAATATAGCCGAATCTAAGGTGAGCCATCGAAAAATGGGTCCTGACACGATTTTTTTGAAAAAGGAAGAAAAAAGCGCATGGTTGGTGGAGAGCCCAGGCAGACCACCCCCCTGTGTCCCAAGCTCAGTGCCTTATTTTTTTTTGCCCGGGCAGGCCAAGCATGTCCAAAGCTAGCCACATGCTTGTACGTCTGGCCTGTTCCAAGTTCAGTGCCTTATTTTTTTTTTGCCCGGACAGGCCGTGCCTTGCCCCAAGCTAGCCACACGCTTGTACGTTCGACCTGTTCCAGACTCTGTGCCTGTATTTTTTTTGCCCAAACAGGCCAAGCATGTCCCAAGCTAGCCACAGGCTTGTACGTCCGGCCTGTCCCAGGCTCTGTGCCTGTATTTTTTTTGCCCAAACAGGCCAAGCATGTCCCAAGCTAGCCACAGGCTTGTACGTCCGGCCTGTCCCAGGCTCTGTGCCTTATTTTTTTTTTTGCCCGAACAGACCAAGCATGTCCCAAGCTAGCCACAGGCTTGTACGTCTGGCCTGTTCCAAGTTCAGTGCCTTATTTTTTTTTTGCCCGGACAGGCCGTGCCTTGCCCCAAGCTAGCCACAGGCTTGTACGTTCGACCTGTTCCAGACTCTGTGCCTGTATTTTTTTTGCCCAAACAGGCCAAGCATGTCCCAAGCTAGCCACAGGCTTGTACGTCCGGCCTGTCCCAGGCTCTGTGCCTTATTTTTTTTTTTGCCCGAACAGACCAAGCATGTCCCAAGCTAGCCACAGGCTTGTACGTCTGGCCTGTTCCAAGTTCAGTGCCTTATTTTTTTTTGCCCGGACAGGCCGTGCCTTGCCCCAAGCTAGCCACAGGCTTGTACGTTCGGTCTGTACCAGGCTCTGTGGTTTTTGCGAAAAAAACCTGGCTCAGCCCCATTGAAAAAAATGTTTAATCCTAACTCGAAATTTTAACCGAAAAAAATATTTTTACCGGCTGAATTTCTGTTGAAATAAAAGAACCAAAAACGAAATTTTGTCGTAGAAAGACCTGGTAATAGACTAGAAAAATTGACGCTTTTTGGGACGGGTGGGCCTTAGAAAATAGCCGGGGGAGAGGGCGATAGGCTGACGGGCCCTGGCTAGCCCGTGAAACAGCTGTGAACAGTTGTATCATCCATTATTTTGCGAAAAACTCGGTATTTTCTGAATTTTTCCAGGTCAAAGAACTCGAAGCGGCCCGCGACCTGGCCTCCAGTGAAAATCGCAAAAATATCGACGCGATCTTGGCGTCGACCAATAATCTGCTCAGAACCGTTCAGCATGCCATTATTTTCCTCAAGGTCCTTTTTTGTATCGTAGATTTTTCTTTAAGTCAATTATTTATAAAAAAGAGCTATTTTCGAGAAAATTTCGATAGGAGTAACCATCAGAAAGGGGAAATTTACGGGGAAATGCATTTTTTAAAAAGTAAAGTTTGAAGTTTTGTACATTTTTTTCTTATGTCGAAAAAAATAATTAATAGCAATTTACGTGACCTTTTATCATTTCCTGAAGCCTTCAAAGCTCAAAGTCATGTGTTTCGGTTCAAAAAGGGTGGGTTTTTATGAAAATTGTGGAGTTAGAGTTGAATAAAAATAATTTCAAGATGGCCCGGAAAAAGATCGACTCGAATGGGAATACGAGTGGAAGCGAGGAAGTCGGGAAAATTAAGGAATCGACAGGTAATTTTTGGGTTTCAGGTAAAAAAAGACAGATTTTTTTTTGAGGCGTAATTTGATGCTTATCGAACGAAATTGGAAAGAAATATATATTTCCATTTTTCAAGTTTCCAGCAAAAAAATAATATTTTTTTCAGCAACTTCCCCTCCATCTACGCTCAAATTGACTGAGGAAATTGCTGATGGGGTGAGTTTGGAATTGAAATAATTTCATTTTGTAGAAAATTGAATGAAAATTAACCTTGAAAGGATCATAAAAGCATTGAGAATGGCTAGAAGAGTTCACAGAAAAATTTGCTTTTATAAAAATTTCGTAGCTTGAAGCCAAGCCAAAGCCCCGACACGTTTAGCCATTCCCAATGCGGTCAAGGAGATTTTCTTTGTAGAGAATCGGCCTGAAAAACGGTTCGAGAAGACGTATTTATGTACTAAAAAAAGAGAGAAAATCGCTTTGCCGCATGTGGAATGGCTAAAAGTGCGTCCGACTGCGAAACGGCTTCCGCCTGGCTGTATTCCAGAACAATAGATTAAGCCGCAGCGCAACCGCGACGCGTTAGGCCATTCCCAATGCGACCAAGGAACTTTTATTTGAAGAGAATCGACCTGAAAAACGGCTCGATTTGATGTAAGTTTGAGTAGACGCAGTTATGTACTAAAAACGAGAAAAAATCCTTTGCCCGCATTTGGAATGGCTAAAGGGCGTCCGACCGCGGAACGGCTTCCGCTTGGCTGTACTTCAAAACAATAAGTTAAGCCGCAGCGCAACCGCGACGCGTTAAGCCATTCTCAGTGCGACCATGAGTTTTCAGCTTTGTTAGAGGTGAAAATTTAAGGCGAAAGGGTTTTTTCTTCTAACAGTTGATAAGTACAAAAAGACGTATTTATGTAATGAAAACGATAGAAAATAGCTTTGTCCGCATTCGGAATGGCTAAGAGTGCGTCCGACCGCAAAACGGCTTCCGCGTGGCTGTATTGGTATGCAGAGGGTTAAGCCGCAGCGCAACCGTGACGCGTTAAGCCATTCCCAGTGCGCCCAGATATCTTTTATTTGAAGAGAATCGGCCTGAAAACTTGTTCAATTTGATGAAAATTCAAGAAGACGTATTCATGTACTAAAAAGAAAGAGAAATAGCTTTGTCCGCATTTGGAATGGCTAAAATGCATCCGAATGGCTGAATTTTTGAGCAGAAGATTGAGCCGCAGCGCAGCCGCGACGCGTTAGGCCATTCTTAGTGCGCCCAGATATCTTTTATTTAAAGAGAATCGGCCTGAAAACTTGCTCAATTTGATGAAAATTCAAGAAGACGTATTCATGTACTAAAAAGAAAGAGAAATAGCTTTGTCCGCATTTGGAATGGCTAAAATGCATCCGAATGGCTGAATTTTTGAGCAGAAGATTGAGCCGCAGCGCAGCCGCGACGCGTTAGGCCATTCTTAGTGCGCCCAGATATCTTTTATTTAAAGAGAATCGGCCTGAAAACTTGCTCAATTTGATGAAAATTCAAGAAGACGTATTCATGTACTAAAAAGAAAGAGAAAATAGCTTTGTCCGCATTTGGATTAACTTAATTTTTAACATGAAAATAAGAAAAGTATCAAAAAATCCTCGATTTTCTTCAATTTATCTTGATTTTTCATCAACAGCTCCCTGAAAGTAACTCGATTTCCCAGGGGTCCAATTAATTCTGCAATTTTCCTGCCTTTTCAATCTTTTTTTTTCAATCAGATTAATTTTTTTTTTTTGCCTCCCCGTTTCCTTGTTCAATTTTCTGGTTTATAAATAGAAACGCGTGAAATGTCTGAGATTGGGTTGTAAAGGCGGAATGGGTAGAAACGCCGTGTTTTTGGAGCTATTTTCGGATTTTGCTACGTTTCTTTTTTGGTCTTTTTTCTGGAAATGATTTTTTTTTTCCGTTCAAGATTTTCCGGAATGAGTAAGACGATTTTTAAAACTTAAAAAATGATTTTTAGCTAGTCTTGGAACGAATTTTAGTGATGAAGAGGCTATTTTTTGTGTTTTATTGACCTTTCAATCATGGAAGAATGAAAAATTTCCATTTTGAGCCTTTTTTGATGAAATACAGATTTTTCAAGTTCTGGTTCTTCACAATTTTGATAATTTTTCATCTTATCCATTGAGAAAAATGGAACTTTCCTTATAAAGAACAATTAGAATGGCTCGACGCGTCGCGGCTGCGATGCGGTCGCTTTAAAATGCCCCCGACCCGCACCTACTTACGCCAAGGAGCATCATAAAACATAATGACGTATCAAAGAAGAAAAAGAAAAAAAACTCATATTCGAGCGAAAATAATGAGATGAGAAGGAATGAATATTATAGAACGGCGAAACTTTTTTTTTTTCCCGCCATCCCCCCGCTGGTCTTTTTTGATTCGCGTTGCCAGTTTCTCAAATTGCTTCTCTTTTCCTATCCCTCTAGCAAAATATGGATTCTCAGTTTTTGTTGATGGAAAGAGAAAGAAAAAAAGTCCAAATATCCCATGATTCGAGCCTATTTTTGTCCTTTTCCGCACTGGTTCTGCTTTTTTTGTTCTTTAGTGAGAAATGGCTGATTTTTTGGAAAATTTTCCTGTTTATATTATTTTTCAGTTTTGATATGTCCTTTACCTTGAGGATCTTTTAAACTCTATCTGAAATGAAAAATCTTATTTTAAGCACTTGGCATAATTTTTGAACTTTTGAAAGTTCGCTTTGAGACTTTTCTGAAACATCGGCTTGAATAGGACCTAAAAGTTATAATTTTTGAGAAATTGTTCGTGGAAAACCAGTTTTTAGCCAAATTTAAAACGCATTTTTCTATGAGAACCTTTTTTCCACTGATCGAAAAAGCGGAAAATTTTGAAAAAATCGTGTTTTAGTTGATTTTGAACGGAAATTTGGGGAATTTTGAGATTTTTCTGAAACATCGGCTTGAAAATAACCTAAAAGTTATGCATTTCCGAAGTTTTTTCATTGAAAAAAACCAGTTTTTTTAGCCAATTAATAGACTCATGAAAATATTTTTTTCCACTGATATCAAAAAAAGAAATTTCAAGAAAATCGGTTTTTTTAAAAGATTTTGAACGGAAATTTGTGAACTTTTTGAGATTTTTTTCTGAAGCTCCGGCTTGAAAAGAACCTAAAAAGTTATGCATTTCCGAAGTTTTTTTAATTGAAAAAAACCAATTTTTTTCGACGAGAATTTTACTCTTTTTAAAGTTTTTGAAAAGGAATTTTTTTGAAAATAATATTTTTTTCATGGAATTCTAAACAGAAATCTGTAAAATTTTTGAGATTTTTTTGTGAAGCTTCGGCTTGAAAAAGAATCCGAAAAAAACATAAATTTTTCAAAGTTTTATCGTTGAAAAAAATTTTTTTAAACAAGCATTTTTTTCTTGTTTCAATGGCATCACACAGAAAAATTTGAGGAATAACATTTTTTTCAGATGATTTTGAATAGAAATTTGTGAACTTTTTGAGATTTTTTTCTGAACCTTTAAAAAAACATAAAAGTTATGCATTTTTCAAAGTTTTTTTCATTGAAAAACCCAGTTTTTTTAGCCAAATTTAAAACGCATTTTTTTCTATGAGAACCTTTTTTTCCACTGATCGAAAAAAAGCGGAAAAATTTTTGAAAAAAATCGTGTTTTAGTTGATTTTGAACGGAAATTTGGGAAATTTTGAGATTTTTCTGAAACAACGGCTTGAAAATAACCTAAAAGTTATGCATTTCCGAAGTTTTTTCATTGAAAAACCAGTTTTTTTAGCCAATTAATAGACTCATTTTTTGAAAATATTTTTTTCAACTGATATCAAAAAAAGAAAAAAATCGAGAAATATCATTTTTTTCAGATGATTTTGAACGGAAATTTGTGAACTGTTGAGATTTTTGTGAAGCTCCGGCTTGGAAAGAATCCGAAAAATATGGCATTTTCCTAGCATAACGTTTGGTAACGATTTCAAAGAAAACAAATCCTTTTTTGAATTTTGAACGAAAATTTGTAAACTATTGAGCTTTTTGTTCAAAATTCTACCAGAAATTCCGCAAAACTGACATTATTTTCAATTTTCCAAAAATGGATTTCTTAAACTTTCTTTCACAAAAAGAGCTTATTGGAAAAGCTAATATGCAATTTTTTTTTCGGATCATGTTCAATAACTAACCGCGTTTGAAGCCGCTGCCTTTTTTATACGGCACTTGAAACATAATGTGTGCTGGGCCGACGTTTAGATCGAAAAAAGACGTCATTTTCTTTGCGAATATGGGCTTTTTTCGTTTCAAAACCACTGAATTTTCAGCCAACGACCCACGCTTCAACTTCCTCAACACCGGACAGCAAAGATGAAAGGGCGCTCAAAAATATGAAACTTCATCCGGTCTCCTATTCGAGGTATAATCATTTCAAACAAAAAAATGATAATAGGAATAACCCGGAAAAAAATTTATCATCATAACAAAGTAAAAAAATGAAAAATTTAAGAAACAACAGAAATAAATAGAGAAAAAGATCAACTTTTTGGGCAACCCCCAAAATGTGTTGATAATGAAAAAAACATGAAAAATGATTATACCATTTTACTCGGCGAGGAGATCGATTTAAACAACAATTCATATATAAATTTGATCATTTGGACCAATTTTTCAAGCGTCCTGGGTGACAGCGTGGATCAGAGTGATGTTGTCGCCCTGAAATTGGAGTTATTGCTAAAAGAAAAAATAGTTTTCGAAGTTTACCTTGAGCAAAATCCGGCCGAGCTTGTTGCGGTTCTTGGTTTTCACGTTGTACTCCTCGGCCTCGTCGAAAACGATGTTCATGAACTCGTCGAAGCCTTAAAACCATCGTAAAATATATTTCTTCACGGCTTTTTTCCTAACCAATGATGTAGCCTTCGATGCGGTGCGTGACATCCTCGTACAGCCAAATTTGAACCCGAGTTCTGTTTTGCAAGTACCTGAAGTATCAATAGATAAAACCTTTTTCAAATTACGTAAACTAACCTGAAGATCAGGTTAACTGGCTGAACCATGATTTTTTGCAGCTTTCGACCCGACATTTTTGATTCACTTGGTGGTTTTTTTCTGCCTGAAAAGTTCAAAAATAAGCTCATAAAATTAAAAGAGAAAGTTTAAAAAAACGAGAAAATAACTCAATAGATAAGAAAAAACTTTCCCTCAAAATTTGAGCCAGTATGAACCGAAGAATCAAATATTATCTAAAAAAAAAAAGGAGGATGAAAAAGAGCGGGTGATTAAGAGAAAGGAAGTAAGATATTGCTTTCAAAACATATATTTCGCATTTTCCTCTGAAATAGATTTTTCGGTCAAATTTTTCTGAATGGAGTCAATTTGAAAAATTTATTTGGCAAAGCAATAGCCGAAAGAAACTAGCACTACTCGCGAAAAAAATGCTTTCTAAAACGGTCCAGAAAACGTTATTTCCTTTTTCTCCTAAAAATCTTCCGCTTCAAATTTTAGCATGAGTTTGAAATATTCACAGAATCCATTCAAAGAAGCGATAAATGAGCTTAAGATGGTATCATATTTTATAGAACAACCTCAAAAATATTTATTCAAAGCTAGAAACAAATTAAAAAGAAAATAAACAAGAAAAAATATTCGAAAATGAACGCGGCCGCGCCGCGCGCGAAGTGGGAGGGAGAAACCTCGACGCGGCGCGGTTTTGCGGACTGCACACCCGGCGACTACCGTAACCCTGAAAAATGAGAAATGACCTGTTTCAAAGGTCATTATCACAAATTTCGCAACCTTGGAAAAATATGAGATTGTTTTGATGTTTTGAGGCATTTGATATGCTATCATGGATTCTTATTATCAATATCAACAAGTTTCGAGAGTTTCCCTCTTTATATTTTCATAAAAAAACAAGAAATTTCAGAATCAATAGTTATTAGGTTATTTCCATTCTGTTTTGGTGCATGATCGGCATGTGATTTTTCGAAATATTGTGAGAAAATAGAAGAGAGAGATGAAAATAGTGAGAAATGGGGCGGAATCATCGGCGCGTGGGACCATTCTTTTTTCTGTTCGATTTCAGTTTTTTCTACGGAATTTTGTTCCTTTTTGGTAACTACAATGTCGAGTCTCTCCTGATGTTTTTTTTGATAGCGGACATCATTAGGACAGCCTTCTTATCAGTTCCCATGCGAGGTGTGTGTGTTAATTTTATAGGTTGGCTGCTGAAATTTCGAAGTCTAGTCATGACCTTCTTTGCTCTTTTTCCGGCCTTTTTCAAGATTTTATTGACTTTCACCATTGAAAAAAATGAACTCTGAAACGCTGCAAAAGGTGGAAAAATAAAATTGGAACGTGTAAACAATGGAAATGGACTACGCGGCGTTTTGAATCATTTTCGAAAACGGATTCGCCGGCGGATCGTTTCGAGACAAATCCTCTACGGTTTTGTTGGTTTTTTAGTTTTTCGAGTAGTTTTGAATGGATTTTTCGGCTCTTACCGCATTCAGAAAACTTGCAGTATTCACAAAATTATTTATTTTTTGGTTATTCAAAACCTTAGGTCGCACTTGGAATGGCTAGACGCGTCAAGGTCGCTTTTTATTTTTTCGGAAGGCGTCAGACTTGAAACGACTTACGCGCGATCATCAAAAAGCTTTTTAGAAAGCTCTTAGTCATTCAAAATGCGACCATTTTCTTTTTTCAAAAGCTGATAATATAATTTGAACTTCAAAGGGAACACTTACCCAGAAAATAATATAAAAGTGACAATAATTTAAGTTTTTCCACCCGTTCTTTTGTCTCAATCACGATGGTTCCTCTCCCTTGACGGAAATTGGCTCAACCAATCTTGAGCTTTTCCCTCTTCTTTTTTTTGCTCTTTCTCTCACGTTTTCGTCCCCTTTTTAGTCGTAATTTTTATGTTTCCTTTGTTGAGAGAGGGAAAAAGAAAGATTTACTTCAAAAATAATGGTTTTGAGTGCTATTTCGGAAGTTTTTTGTTAGCTTCATCCAAGATTTTACTTCCAAAAATGAATTTTTCTTCAGGATGTGCGAATTTTAGCGTTTTTTATAGAAGAAACAGCCATTTTTTGGCTTTTTAGCGCGGGAAAGTCTGCTCTGAATTTTTTTCAGTTTCAGTCTTTTTTTCACATTTTTTTCTGACTTTGTTGAACAGAAATCGACTTTTTCATCAGAAATACTTTTGGATTTTTTTAAATTAATATCCTTTGATGTACAGAATGACCTTTTTTAGGGCAGAAAAAAATACACTTTTTCTCTTAATTAGGCTCAAATTGTCCTTGATGACCTTTTTAGGGCGAGTCTTCGTGAAAAAAATTTGAGCTTGCAGTTTGAAAAAAATAATCGAAAAAGTCAATGAAATATGAAATTTATGGACGTCTTCTCTATTTTTTTTTAAAAAGGGCTTGATTTTGGATCAAAACTTGGGCTTATAAGTTGAAAAAATAGCTTTAAAGTCAATAAAATATACAATTTTTGACCCCTAACTTTATTTTTGCAAGAAAAAAGCTCGAAATTTGCAAAACCAGTCGAAAGGTCAATGGAATATTGAATTTCATTTGTTTCAAAAGCCTATTTCTCCTTTTCTTTTTCCTTATTTTTTTTCGCTCAGGTAAACAAAATTGTTACACACACCCCTTGACACGTCATTTTTGCTCTATTTGACTGAGAATGTTTGCATTTTTTGTACCAATTTTTTTTTCTGCAAGCCGACAATTTTAAGTGTTTCAAGTGATTGACTCACCTAATTGGATCATTTTTTCCTCAATATTTTTCCATTTTTCAGCAGCGACGAAGAAGAGTTTTACGATGCTGATGAAGAATTGATCGATCTCGATAAGGTGAGAGTTTTTTTTTTCAAAAAAAATGTGTTTCCCTCGATTTTATGTCTTATTTTGTTGAGGAAAAGAAGTTTTCTGATCATTTTTTAAAGTGAATTCGAATTTTCAGGGTTATAATAACGTCTAGGGGGTTTTTTTACTCTGTTCTAACAAAATTTGAGGATAAAATTTAAAGGCTACCAAAAATAGTTATAAAAATTCCGCAGGGAAAATATTTTATTCCAATAACTTGGCTTACTGTTTCAATTCCTGAATATTAATATTACTTTATAAATTTTGAATGTTTTGTAAATCTAGAACTCAATTGAAATGAGAAGTTACGTGGTCGAATTTTGGCTCAAAATACTAAAAATTGCATCCGACCTGAAACGACTTGCCCTTTTGGGCCGTTTGGAGGGAATAAGTAGGCTGTAGATCCCCTAGCCTGAGCCGCAACGCGGCCGCGACGCTTTGAGCCATTCCAAATGCGTTCATGGGGATTAATTTTACCTGTAACAATGCATAGATTACTGTAGGTTCGCTGTAGACGTATATTTCGGCGAATTCGTTTCAAGACCCTTTTTTTTCAGACTCAATGCTCTTTTAAAATTTTTCTTAAGAGTTTGAGGTGTTTCAAGAAGCTTTAATTGATGATAAAAAAGGATTTTGAATAATAAAAAAATTTTTCGCAGTGTCAAAACAAGGAAGGCTCACGAATGGCGCCCGTTTCATTCAAAGAAGAAGAATCGTTCGATTTCGGCGATGATCACGAAGATTTCGACGCGATTTATGACAATCCCGAAGAGCATGACGTCGGAAACGTCCAGCAGGAACACGGATCCGTCCTCATGCACCTTATTAGTCAGGTGCTTTTTGGGAAAAAGATGTGAAACTGAAGGAAAATGACGAGATTTAACCCTTTTACGTGGGAGTTTGGACAGGTTGATCAGTTCAAAGTGAAAATTGTTGAATTAAAAATAGGCTTCAGTGGTTTTTCGGCAAGATAAAGGTGGATTTTTGATTCAAGAGAGATCAACAGAGGCCTGAAGAGACGCCAGAGAAAGAGAGATTTTTCCTGCTTCACTGGCGTCTCTTTCTTCACCATTATCTCCCAGCTCAATTTTATTTAGTCGTAGTCATTTTATCAACGGAATAGTCGCAAGTGATAGATTAAGAGCAGCACGAAGAGACGCCAGAGAATTAGAGTTTTTCCTGCTTCTCTGACGTCTCTCTGTCGACCATTATCTCACACTCTGGCTCATTTTAATTCAGTCAAAGGCATTTTATCAATAAAAGGATAGATCAACGGCACCCTGAAGAGACGTCAGAGAAACAGAGCTTCTCGGGTGTCTCTTTCTTCACCATTATCTCTCATTCCGGCGCTTTTTCCATCGAAAAAAGGCGCAAGTGATAGATCAACGGCGCTCTATAGAGAGACGCCAGAAAAAGAGAGTTTTTTCTGCTTCTCTGTTGTCTCTTTCTTGCCAGTGATCTTTTTTCGTTTGCCTGAAAAAACGAAGCTCCACGATTCAGCATATAAAAAGCAAAAATCAGAAATCAACAGCGGCCCGAAGAGAGGCCAGAGAAAGAGAGTTTATTCTGTTTCTCTGACGTCTCTTTCTTGTCAACGCTCTCTCACTTCGGCTCATTTTTTTCCTTCGCTTTTCTGATCCTTAATACTTCAAAGACTAAACAGAAGCGATAGATCAACGACGGTCTGAAGAGATATCAGAGAAAGATAACTCTTCCTGCTTCTCTGGCGTCTCTTCAAGCTCTCATTGATCTCTCACTTTGAAAATTTCTATTCCGAAAAGCTGCGATAGAAAATGAACTATAGACAGAGATTAGCAGTTGCTTAGAAATAGGCTAGAGAAAGATAGTTTCTCTGCTTCTCTAGCGTCTCCTTATTAATGACGATCTCTCGTTTAGGATTTTTTTTTTTGCGGTACATTCTCGATGATAGGATTCAGAAATTAAACAAAAAGGATCAAATGATGGAATAAATTGATTATTTTATTAATTTTGAAGGTTAGCGTCGGCATGGACCTGACCAAGGTGACGCTGCCGACGTTCATCCTGGAGCGTCGGTCCCTCCTGGAGATGTACGCCGACTTTTTCGCCCACCCCGACCTCTTCATCGAAGCCGTCGAGTTGACGTCGCCCGAGAAGCGCATGATGTCCGTTTTATACAGAAAAATGAGCCCTGGAGCTTGTTATAAAGAGGAAAATCAAGCTTTATCATCCCTTGGAACCATGAGAAAGGCTTTGAAAAGAGGATTTTTTGGCGTTTTTCGGAAATATGTTTTTGAAGTTTCTAGCTACTGAAAAATAACGTTATGATTTAAAAATATCTTGAAAAATGCTTCGAAACTGTCTTTGCAATGTTTTTTGGCTGATTTTACAAGTTTTACTGTCAGTTTTGCTCCAAAAAAAAAAAGTTGAAGGATTTTTGGGATATTTGAAGTTGGAAAAAAATATTTCGAGTTGAAAAAAATTAGTAAAAAAAAAGGTTCCAGAAAAGTTCAGGATGAATTTATAATTTTTTTGGGAGTTGGGTACTATAAATTGGAAAAAAACTGAATTTTTCTTTGAAATGTTAGTTTGATTTCAATTCTCAATTTTGAAGTTAAAATCATCTATAATCCATGAAAATCATCAAAAACTGAACTTTCAGTTCGGTGGTCCGCTACTATTTGAACGCTTTTTACGCTGCCAGGAAGAGCGGCGTCGCCAAAAAACCGTATAATCCCATCTTGGGAGAGACTTTCCGATGCAGGTTCGTTTGGACTCGGATTTTTGAGAAAATTGTTGGAAGAAAAAGGTTTTTGGTTCAAAAATCTTGAAGGAAAACGGGAGAACACGGTTTTTTACACAAAAATCTTCAAAGAAAACGGAGGGAAATGAGGTTTTTTTGTGGTGAAAAATTGATTTTTTAGATATACTGCTTCATTTTTATTTTATTCAACTGGACGTTTCACTGAGATTACCTAATTTGTACCAAAGGGTACACGCTTTCCGATGCAGGCTCGTTTGGAATCGGATTTATGAAAAAAATTTTTAGAAAAAAAGGTTTTTTTAGTTGAGAAAAATTTGAAGAATTAGAGAAAAATGAGGTTTTTTGGGGTGAAAAAAATTGGTTTTTTTGGAATTATTACTTCATTTTTTTATCTTATTACACTCAATTTTTCAACTTCTTAGCTTCAGAATGAACCAATTTATTAAATTTTTCGTTAAGATTACCTACTTTTTTTAATGTCTTTTAGGTACACTGTCCCTGGAGAGGAGCCAACGGGCAAGAAAAACCACGAGCGGTCCTTTTTCCTGGCTCTGACGAGAATCAATTGACTTTTTGTGGCGGAACAGGTAATAATTATAGAAAAAATGATACAAAAATAACTTTTCTATCGAAAAATTGGAGGAAGAGTGATTTTTAGTCGGTTTACGAGAAGATTTTTAGGGTAAATTGTGATTTCATGGGCGTTTCTGGGTTTTTTGTAAGTATAAACGCAAAATTCTGGATTTTAGGCACTATTTATATGTTTTTAGGGGCCTCTAGGTTTATTTAAACTGTGAAAAAATTGAAGAAAAAAAGATTTTTTAGTCGGTTTTTGAGAATTTTTGGGCTTTCTTGGGAAAATTTGGAGATTTCATGGGCATTTTTTGGCGTTTTAGAACTATAGGCACAGAAATCTGAATTCTAGGTATTTTTTAACGTTTTTAAGGAGCTCTAGGTTATTTGAAACTGTGAAAAAATTGAAGAAAAAGTGATTTTCAGTCGATTTTTAGAAATTTTTTTTAGACTTTTCAGGAATTTTGAAGATTTCATGAGAATTCTATGACGTTTTGTAAGTATAGATTTGGAAAGTTCAGTAGAAATTTTTTTTTTCCGTAATAAGAGAGCTTTTTTGTCTATGAACCTATAGAAAATCTTGGAATAAGCAGTACATTTTTTGAACTTTATGATCAATTTTTGGTTTTTTTCTAGGTGAGCCACCACCCGCCGGTCTCTGCTTTCTATGCGGAAATTCCCAGCAAGAGGATTTCCTTCAACGCTCACATTTACACGAAATCGTCCTTTTTGGGCCTTTCGATCGGTTTGTTTCGAAATTCTTATCATAAACTTTCTATGTTGCAAAATTCCTAATATCCATTTTTTTTTTATTTTGAACTTTTTTTGAAAAACTAGAGCATGCTGAGGTTGAAAAATTGAAAAAATGCAGGATGAGACGTCTTAGACACGCCAGACTGGTCCCTAGAGGGATAGGGCGGAAAAAGAGCCCCCAGAAGGGGTAAAAGTGGCCCCTAGAGGGGTAAAATTCAGAAAGTCCCTAATCCTTATGCTATAGTGGTCCCTATATGGATATTTTGAATTTTTCGTTCATATTTTGCAAAATTTAGTGCCGCTATAGGGGGAGTGATCCCTCAAGAAAAATCAAAAACTGTTCCTAAGGTTGCCCCTCTAGGGACCACTCTGGCGTTTTTGAGTTTTAAGAAAGACGGCTTGAAAAAGTTTTTCAAAAAAGATTTCGATGCTATTTGGCGTTCCTAAACGGGATGAGGAGACGTCAAAAAATTTTGGCGCGAAATTTGAAATCTCAAGTACGCAGCCAAATTTATTCTTCATGCCGTTGAATACTCAGTTTAATTTGCAACGATAGTTAGCTGTGACGTCACGGTGGTATGAAAAAAACACCAGCGAAAATTCAAACGGCGACTTTTCCGAATTTTTCATATCACTAGGAAACTTTCCGACGGACACCTTTCCGACGAAACTTTTTCCGACTTTTTTTCTCGATTAACTTTTCGTTTTAAATCTCCCTATATAATGTAGGTAGTTGGTTCATGATTAAAACACAAAGAAATAGGAAAAAAAAAATATTTTTAGATGTTTTAAAAACCGAAAAAAGATAAGGGAAAAAAGTCGGAAAGAGATCCGTCGGAAAGGTGGCCGTCGAAAAGTTCTCTAGCGAAATGAAAAAATCGGAAAAGTCGCCTTTTGAATTTTCGCTGGTGTTTTTTTCTTACCACCGACGTCACAGTCCTTTTATCCGAAGCGCGCACTTACTTTTTTTTTGTAAATTCAGAAACTTTGACGCCTCGCTTACCTTCCCTCACCCCATAAGTAATGCCGTGGGTAACTAATGAATGAATAAAAAAAACTATTAGAGAGTGCAGGATTTGATGAGACGCTAGAGAAATAGGAAAATGTTTGGTTGTGAAAATTGAGGGTCAAGGTAGTCGTTTAAAAAATGAAACACCTTCCCAAGTGAAACAGGAATTTCTTCCAGGCGTTGCCAACATCGGCGAGGGAATCGTTCGGCTGCACGATTTCGACGAAGAATATCGGATCACTTTCCCCAGTGGTTATGGCCGTTCGATTATGAGCACCCCGTGGGTGGAACTCGGTGGAAAGGTACCTTTTTTGGCTCACTAGGAAGTTTTGTTCGTGAGCAGTTGGGAATAGCTCAAAATTGGCTCAGAGTAGCTTCATAAAAAGCCGGAAAAGTTTTGAAATATAAGAAATATCGGAAGAAAATCGCTCAGAGAATAGCTGAAAAGGGTTATTTGAGGAATTTTCGTCAAGAATTTTGAGCCCCTATAGAATGGCTTAAAAATAGCTTCGAAATAGGTTGAAAACAGCTCGGAGATGAGCCCAAAGAAGCCCAAGAAGAGCTGTAATTTTCAGAAAAATTGGAACTGAACTTTTTTTTTTAGAATAGTTGAGAACAAAGCCTGAAATCGGCAACAGAAAAGCTGTTAAACAGCGCGAAAATGGCTCGAAAATGGCTAGAAAATTGTTCGAAAATAGCTCGAAAATGGCTCGGAAATGGCTCAAAAATGACTCGGAAATGACTCGAAAATGACTCGAAAATGACGCGAAAATGACTCAAAAATGGCTCGAAAGTGGCTGGAAAATGGCTAGAAAATGGCTCGAAAATGGCTCGAAAATGGCTAGAAAATGGCTCGAAAGTGGCTCGAAAGTGGCTAGAAATTGGCTCGAAATTAGCTCGAAAATGGCTCGAAAATGGCTCGAAAATGACTCGAAAATGGCTCGAAAATGGCTCGAAAATTCTTCATTTTCGGTTTTTTTCCAGGTCAAAGTGATTTGCGAGAAGACGGGTTACTACGCAGACATTGAGTTCCTGACCAAGCCGTTCTTCAACGGAAAGCCGCATCGCGTCCAGGGACACATTTATAAGTTGGTTTTGATCATTCTTTGAAAATTAGTTCACAATATGAAAAAATACATCATCATCTTGATAGGAAGAAAAAATTTGAGAGAAGAAATGCTGAAAAGTTAGAAGGGCCTCATTCCATTCTTTAGAAGTGAGCTTTTCGAATTTCAAAGACAAAAGTTCAGTACCAGAGTCTTTTTGTTCGTTATCAATACATACAGCGGTTGAGACATTGAAAAATGGGTCCTGACACGATAAAGAGAAGAGAAATAGCGCATGGTTGGCGTAGGGCGCAGACAGGCCACGCCCCTCCCGAGTTGGCCTCGAATGGGCTATATATGAATAGTGTACATCAAACTATACCTTCTCAAACAACTAATCAATTCAACGCCATCAGAGAGGGCCAGAAGAAGGCGTTGCTCTCGATCCGCGGCGAATGGAACGGCGTCATGTTCGCCAAGACGCCCAGCGGCGAAGAATCGACCTTCATCGACGTCAAAGCCGCCAAGGAGGTCAAGAAGGAGTGCACCCCGGTCTTGCAGCAGGGCGAACGCGAAAGTCGCAGGTTTTTATCCCGAATTTCTTCAATCCGTCCAATAAGTTTTTCAGACTGTGGCGACACGTGACGGCCGCACTCTTGCGTAACCGCATCCAAATTGCAACGACTTCGAAGAGGATGATCGAGCAGAGACAGAGGGCCGAGGCGAAGGTTTGAAGATGAGAAAAAATGAAAGAGAAAGAAATTTATCGGAAAAATCCCAATTTCCACAGAAAAAACTGAGATTTTTCCCATATTCAGCCTTGAAAATGGTCGAAATGTATAACCATAATCAAAATGACAAGAAAAAAAAGTACACGAAAACTTTTTCAGAAAATAAAAAAACACGGCATAAAAATACTCTGAAAATTTTCCCTTATTATAAAAGAAGAAGCGTCTCCATAGCTTCAAATTATCGTACTTATTCTCATTTTGCTAGGAAAATTTTCAAATAAGAGCATTCTTTAAAAAAATTAGACAAAAAAAAACGTTTAAAAAATTTTTCGAAAAATGTCGTCAAATTAAATAAGTTGGACGTGGAGTGTGTCTGCGGACTATGCATTTTTTTGAGGTTACGGTACGCGAATTTTGAGAAAAGAATTTTTCATTTTTCGCTTTTTTTTTTTTTTTATTCGTTAATTCAACTGTTTTTTTAGAATTTGATAGGCATAAGTTTGAAAATAAGCTTGGAATTTGCCGTAGTTTTTGTCAATAGGGTGAGGAAGGCAATTTTTTTCTGTTTATATTAAATTTCTCCATTTTTTTGCGATTTTTCTCATCATTAGGATCTCGATTTTTGTACTAACCAGGTAAAAAAATACAAAAAAAGGTCTGAAGAAAAAAATAAATTTAAGGAATTTACAAACATTTTTATTTTTTTAAATTTTTAATCTTTTGGCTTTTTCCTTTGATTTTTTTGTTTTAAAATACTTTTTTTATAATTTTTTTCAAATTCAGGAACGTCAGGACAAGGGCGAAAAGTGGAAGACTTTGCTGTTTGAAGAGGATGGCGAGGACGGCTGGGTGTTCAAAGAGCCGCTCGGCTCGAAACGCCGAAAGTGAAAAAAATTCACTTCAAAAAAATTGAAAAAAATTCAGTTTAATTCTCCTTCCAGCGACATTTTTCTCTATTGTTCTCTATAAAAAAATATGGAATCAACAGATTATTTTCGGTGATGAAATGAATTTTGTGGATACTCGAAAGCTTTTTCTCCACCTTTTTGTTTGTGTTTTTTTTTTTCTGAATGTATTTTTCATTGCCTAACGGTTTTTACTCCCGATTACTTGTTCCTTCCTCCCAATGGTGATAGTTTCAATCAACCTTTTTTGCAGCTACTGGTGACTAATCTTTGTTTTCCCGGTTTCGGAGCCGATATTTTTTCTCTCAACATTTCCTTCAAGCGAAGATTTCCCACTTGTTTCATACAATTTGATTGCCGACTTAATTCTAAATTATGTTTATTATCTGTTCTTCAAGTAAAGTGGATAAAATTGCCGTTTTTCGAAGGATTGAAGGATTAGTATGGTGAAATAGAAAGATCAATAGAAAAAGCTCGAAAAAGAGAAAAGAGTGTTCACAGTAACCTCAAAAAATGTATGGCCCGTAGACACCGCTTACGTACAAAACTTTCTTTCACGACAATTTTTAACATTTTCAGGATTTTTCCAATTTTTCCAAATTAATAGCGTAATTTTAAGTATTTCTCATTGTTTCGGTTGATAGTTGGCCAGCATAATTTTCTCCAATTGCATTAAAAAAAGAACGTTTCATTTTGTGCATAAGATGTTTGGAGAAGACTAAAACCGTTCATGTATTTTTTTGTTAATATTTTTAATTTTTGTGTCGAATCGTTTCGGTAGGATTTAGAACTTTTTGCAAAAAGAAATTTTTTTCACGGGAGCTGCGGCAGCAAACGGCGAGTCTGTTCTGAAAAATTTTGACCGGAAATTATGTTATTAACATTTAAAAATCTATTTTCAACAATTTATAGTTTAATTGATTATCATGATGTAAAAAATTAGTTTTACAATCTCCTAATCATTGAACTTGAAATTTCCACGAAAATATTGAGTCTGATCTGGCCAAACGTTTTGACCCCGCGCCGTATGGTCATTGGGTCAAAGGCGCCAAAGAATTCTCTCGAATGGCGCCAAATCTCGGGCGGCGAAAAACAACGCGTCATTTTGTCAATTTTGCTCCGTTCTGGACGGTGTGTTGCTGCTGCTCGTCTTCATAAATGGTTTGTTTTTATACTCCTTTACAAAATATCTTAAGGTGACTACAGATTACCCAACCATTTAATTATGATTGATTCGCGGACCAGTTTTGAAATTTTTTCTTAGGATTTTAAATGAAAGTTAGAGTTTTTTCCGTGTTATTTTTTTCTTACTACAATTCATTTCTTGCAGGCGTCTTCCGCGTTTCGGAAGGATGGACAGCCGTATTGTGAACGTTGTCTGAAGAACGACGTCTTCCGAAAAATCTTCTTTCTGGAAGATAAGTTGATTTTCCACTTGATTGTTACTAATATTATGTATTTTCCTAGATCGACGTCCTGATGAATAAAAAAAAGCCGCCGCTTTCGAAGATGGAAGGCGATTTCGGATGGAAAAAGCGCTCGGTTGGAGATGGGCGAGATGGACAGATGGACGCCTTTTTTGGTATAAATTTTGAATTCTCGTGTCCCTTTTTGCGTTGAGAAACCTTCAAATCAAAAGTCGGTTTTTTAGTTTTAGTCCTTTCCCTTCCATTTCTAATTTTTCCAAAAACAGTGTTTCTCAAAGCAAAAAGTATTGTTGAAAACTTTCTTCTCGAAAATTCCCTAAACCAGCTAAAATATGTAAATTTTTCCAGGTGATACTTCAAATATACTTGCGGGATATATCGCATAAAACTATCGGATAATTTTTCTCCTCTAGGTGGCCAAATTCAAAAAACGCAACGCGGTCGTGATGCGGTCCTTTTTGGCGGGAATTTCACGCGTTCAAATTTTTAATTTTCTCGGAAAATTAGATTTTCCTAGGACTACTTGCTAAGCCACAAGCTACAGTTGCAAACCACGATTATTTTCATTTTTGAATTCAATTTTTTACAGGAATCTTTTCATTCAAATGTTTTCGTTTTTGTTCCTTCTTCAAGTTTTCTGACTCCTGAAAAAAAAGTTTGAATTTTGATTTTTCAAATAGTGAAGGCAATTTTAAATCGAAGTTCTATAGTCTAGCTTGTGGCTCAAAAAGTTGTGGATTTGAAATTTAGCTGGTAAGTTTCGAATTTTCAATTTGAACTAGAACGCAACACGTCGCGCTGCTTGCAGTCTTTCTTTCTGATCAGATGAGAATAATTTTCTTTCAAACAGGCGATAATTTTAAATTTCAGTTCAATTAGGACTGCGACGCGGTAGAGAGCTATCGTTTTTTATTCTAATGGCAATTTTATTTTCAGGCTTTTTACGATAAATAACTGTCTATCAACGGCCAAATTGTCAAGTCCCGAGCTACAGTACTTCTCTTTCGCTTCGAAACCCGATACTCCACGAAAAACAAATGTTGATTCACTTTGTAATTTAATTATTTTTGACTATTGTACAAAAAAAGAAATTGTAAATTTCATCTTTCAACGTTTTTCAGAATTAGATCCAATTTTTCAGCTCACGACTTGACAAGTTGGGCGACATATTAGGTTCGAAAAAGAAAGAATAAAAATGACCGAGTTTTTGGACAGAAAAAAATGAACTAATAGCCGACCACTTCGCCCACTTTTTCTGTTTTTTTATTTTTTTGAAATAATATTTTTTTAGAGCTACTTATACGGAGTTAAATAATCGATAATCTTAAGTTTTCTATATCTTTTGTAATCTCTAGGCATTTACTCCTAGTCAGAAGTTTTTATGAGCAAATTTTTTCCTTTCAAGATTTTTTACGTTTAAATTTAACAAAGTCCAAAAATTCATTTTTTTTTATTTCTTCCTGGTTCTATTAGATTAGTGATAAGTTAGCTATAAGTGAAGTTATTTTTTTTTTCTAGCTCCTTTCAAGTCTGTGATAGGTGTAGTCTTTATAGCATCTCACGTAAGTTAGCCGTAAGTGAATTTTGACCGATGGTTTCATGCGATATGACGAATTTTACTCAAAAATTCAAAATGAAGGGAAATTTCGAGAAGAAAATTTACTTTTCGTTTTTTTTTCTTGTGCATGTCCTGTCCTTTTGGGGTGAATGTTGCCGGCTTCGGGCCTTTGGTCGGTGGCGGCGCAGAGAAAAAGTCGACTGTGTTCCTCGGCTTTTGTCCGGCCAGAGAGAGTACGGGAAAACTAGAGAGCTGTAGTTTGCCCTCTTCGAAAATCCATGCTCTCTCGCCGGCTTCAGCCGAGCACACATGCGCCTTTTCCTCTGTTGAGTGGCAGTACTGTGGGGCGAGGCTCTTTTTTCCCTCCGGGCTCGTCAGTTCGAAGGTGGCGTCCAGTATATCGGGTCGTGTATAAATAAATTCCGTTTTTATATGCGAATTTTTTAAATCTCTGTTGATTAAGACAGTGCGGGTTTTAAGCTTTTTATCAGAGTAGTTAAATATGAACGCTTTTGTTTTAGGCAGTCATGCGAATGATGTTCGGCAGTTTTTTCGCTTTTCACTCCAAAAAAAAATCTTTCAAATTTTGTGAAGTCTGTTCAAGGTTCAGGGTTTCGTGAAATTGTAAAAAAAGTTTATCATTAGTTGAAAAAAAGTTTTTTTCTATTCAAACTTTTTTTCGGATCAATTTATTTTTTTAGGAAGTTTACGAGATGTTACAGAAATATGGAACTTAATCAACTGGAAAAAAATTAGCTTAATTTTTTTAGAAACAGTTTTATTTTTTTATTCTAGGTAGTCTAATGAAATGTGTTTGCTATACTTTTCGAAATAATGATTATTTTAAAAGGTTTTCAGAGGATCCCTTAGCCAATTTCTTCTGGGTTGATAAGGAAACTCCATTTAATAATGAATAACTCACTTGAGAAAATAAATTAAATGAGAAAATATTAGTATTGATAAATTAATTAGCAGGGTTTCTTTTTATGAACTTCATTGTCTAGTGCAGAGGTCGAAGGTAAGAAGTTCGATGTTTGTAAACTGGTTCAGGAAATTTTATATACTTTTTTTCTAAATTATCTCCAATTTCGTGGAATACATCAACTCAAAAATCATTACGCTCCCTTGAAAAGAAAAAATTTTGATTCTGTTAACACGTTTACAAAATTTGAACCACCATACATTGGGCTTCTGGTTGATTATTTTTAGCTTCTAATTTTTTTTTCTTACCAATGGGCTCTCATAAAAGCGAAATTTATTCGTACACGACCTGATATGAGTCCCGAACCCATGCAAAGACATTCGAAATGCTGGTTGGTATAGTGGTAAAATGATTGTTTGCGGAACTTGAGACGAGGGTTCGAATCTTTTCCAGCGTTATAATTTTTATAGTTTAGTTTTGAGTAGTCGATTTTTGGTTTGAAAGTTTTCAAGTAAAGATTTTTTCGAATTTCTTACTCTTCTCATTAGTCTGATAAGGAAGGTCAAGATTTTTGAGCCTAATAAATCAGTCAGTTAGATTTTCAGGAAAATTATTAGCCGTATTTGGTTCATAAGCTCTTAACTCGATTGCTCTCTGAATAAAGTTTTTAGAAGTTCGTTTTCAAATCATTTTTTTGATTAAGAACCTTTTTTTTGAGTGTCAAAACAAAGACTCATTTTCTATTCAAAGTAAGATTAAAAATTGCATACAGACATCTCTAGAAGGTGTTAAATTTCTTTCATTCATAGAGTGCTTGAGTTTGAGACTTGATTTTAATTTTGATCTAATTTTTCAAAACTTTGTTCCAATAGACTAAATTATTATTTAAAAAAAATATTTTTGTGAGCTTTTTTCTCAACTTTTTATTCGTTTTTTTATTTACAAACAGTTTTTCCAATTTTTTTCAAGCATTTTTCATTGAAAAAAATTAGCCAAAGAGTGCTTTTTGAAAGTTGATTTTTTTCCGCTTGAATAAACTTCTTTTTGTAGTTTTTTTAGAAAAGAGAGAACTTTTTTTAGTTTTTTTCGCGTTTCAGAATAGATTTGATTAATGCGAACCTTCTTCAATTGTTCTCGAAACCACCCATTTTTCAATGATTTTTCCCCAAATTAGTCAAATTTTAATGTCTTTTTAGGGTCAGCTAAATCATCTTTAAAAGAAATTTTACGAACTCATGAATGAATCAAGTTGAGCCAACCAGTATCTAGAGTCTTTCTGCATGGGTTTGGGCGCCACCGGACAGTGCCTTGCAAGGGAATTCGTGTCCCTTTTGTTGTCTCACACTTTCTGAGCTTCATCCTGAGCCAAGTGAGCTCGAGCTCCTCCAACTTGATCGTGAGGTCATTTGAAACGAACATGCTGAAAGTGTACTTTGTTGAAAGATTGCTCTTATACAAAAAAGTTTCCGATTCCTTATTCAAATTTCATCTACAAGGCTATTGAGTCTTTACTCATTTAACTTTTTCTAAGGAGCAGTAGATTCAAACTTGAAACTTTCCCAGCTCATCTCAGTCAATCACCAACGAGTTCAGACGAAAATCAAGTAGCTTGTGAATTTTTATCGATTGAAAATTTTGAATGAAAGCCAATTTCGTAATTTTTTTTTTATTGACAACGTTTTTTCAGACTGTGATTGAGATCAGTTGGGCGAGATTGAATAAATGAGCCTTTCTTTTAGTGAATCGAAATTTATTTCAATTTTTGAACTTCTCCAGTTCACCATAGTCCTTTGTGAATTCGAAGAAAAAGTCAAAAATCTTCGAAAACAGTTTTTTTTTGACAGTGATGTTTGAAAACTCCAATTCTTTAGCGTCTTGCACATCAGTTTTTGAACTAGGAAAAAGTATTAAGAACTTTTTCGAAATGTTCGAAACCTTGCAGTTGAACTTTGAATAAAATCGGAAATGTAATCTTTATACAGTGAACATTTCATGACTGCGAGTCTCTTGGAGTTTAAGCTTTTATTGAAAACTTGTTGAAGTTAAAGATCTTCTTTGGTTCATCCAAGCTAGTCACTCGAAAATCGTCAAAAACTTGTAATTTTTTTTTTCTAAAAGACTTCATTTTATTTCACTCTCTTCTAATAATCCTTTGTATTAAGCTTCACTGAACTAAATGATTTACTTGGATGAACCTTTGAAAATGTCAAAAGAGACGAAAGTTTAATGAAAGCTTGGAGCTCAAAAGACTCAATTTAAAAAAAAATTAAAAACATCCAAGAGCAATCTTTCAACATAGGACAAGTTCAGCACGTCGTTTCAAATGGCCTTGTGATCAGGCTGGAGGAGTTGGAACTCCCTTGGCTCAGAATGAAGTTCAGAGAGTGTGAGAGAACAATAGAGACATGAATGCACTTGTAGGTAACTGTCCTTTGCCGAGCTTGGAGGTGAAAGAAGCTTCGCTTGACAAGACTCTCACCAGGCCTCAAGCCACCTACCGAAGAGTCGGCCTCAGGCTCCACTGCACTCTGGAGTCTGAGGTCGAGGACTCCGGCTCGGGCTCCACAGCCAGCCTGTGGAGTCTGAGATTCCGCCTCAGACTCCAGAGGCAGGGCTGGGGAGCTCGAGTTCGGGGCCCCCGACCGGCAACGGGAGCTCCAAAAGAAAGTCCGGCAGCGGCTCTGACCCTGCCGGACAAAACCAAGTACAAAAGGGGGAGGAGAATACTTTATTCAAAATCATGGTTCAGAGTGTCCGGTTCGATACCACCCTCGGAGTACGACGTCGTCCGGCGTCCATCCCGTCACATCGCTCGACCTGAAAAACCACCCCATTAGCCCCCAATTCCCTCCCTTCGTTCTCGGAACCCTCCAACTCTGGGGCACCTTGGACGTCTTCTCCAAATGACCCAGAGCCGACCCTTTTTTTTCTTGCAGTGACCTGAGTGGAATGCTTTTTTGACTGAAAACTTCTGAATAAAGAACCAATTTTTTGCAAAGTTTCTCAAAAGGCCAAAAGCTCTCCGAAAAATGACAAAGTCCATTGAGACCCTCTGAAAAAGGAAAGATTGCCAAATGATCCAAAGACTTAATGAAAGGTGAAGGTATTTTGGAGATGTCCAGACAAAAGTCCAAGTCTCCTCTGATCAGTGAAATCATGTTGATGTTGTAATTTGCAAGTTTCTGATGAATAAATATTCCAAGTCATTCTTCTACTGTCTTTTCAAAGTGTTTCTCAATGACTAAGTATTCAAGTTCAATGGGAAAATCGACTACACTGTCTTTTTTCTTTCAAGTTTTTGATGAAGCTTCGAAAGTGTTGAAAAAGCTGAACCTAAGTTGTGTTCTCACATTAGGTTCAAAGTGTTATAAGTGAAATTTCTCAAGCTTCAATGAAGAATTGGCATTGCTACAGATTGAAAAATTAATAACCTTTCCATCAAGTTCAAAGAGTCTAAACTAAAATTTTTCCAAGAAGTTGCAACATTCAAATTTTTTTAAACATCATTAAATACTGGGGCATTATGAGATGGAAAAGCTGAAAAGTTAAAATTTTGAAGGATAACTAAGGACCTAACAGTGATAAAATAAACTCAAAGTTGCCAATTCCCCCTTGACAATATATAAAAAATGAGCCTATAGCCAAAAAATCCGAAAAACTAGAAATATTCCAGTCCAAACCAACTAATTCATCAGAGACTTGCAATTCCTAACCAACAAAACTTCAACAATCCAACGAAAGATTTGAAATTTCGACACAAAATCTCCAAATTCCCTTTGCGATTCACCAAGTCAAAGAATCATTTGACAATCTTCCCTCTTTCAAAGGATCTCAATGAAAATTGCCTTGTTTCAGAGAACTTCTCCTCGACTTTTTTGTGAAACTTTGCAAAAACTGACCCCATATTCAAAAGCTTTCAGTCAGACTAACGGATCCAAGTTTTTCGTCAATCGATCTTTAATTTATTTAAACTAATCAACTTTTTGATGAATACTTGTGTTGCAAACTCAAACTTAAGCTAATTTTTGAAATGAATGAAACGCTATTAAACATTTTTCATGAACTTATTGATACAACAGCGGATAAAAAAATCCATTACCTCGATTTCTACAAATTCAAGTTTTCCTAATTTTCCTAAAACTTAAAAAAATGATGAGCCTTTTTGGATTTCCACCAACTTTTTTTAAAAAAACTATCTCTTCCGAAAGTCACTTGAAACTTAAAAAAACTCATAATAAAAATAAAGAAAGTGATCGAGTTTCACCCGCCTCAGAAAGCTATACAAAAAAATGAAAATGATTATGAAAGAACTTGGAAAATTCTGATTTTTTCATAAGTTTTTGATAAAATTCATTCGATTCTATGAAATTTGACCTCAATTTTTTTGTTAAAAAGCATTTGATTAAAAAAATGTAACAAGACAAATAAAAAGACTGGCCCAATTAAAATTCGACTCGAAACTTAAATCTTATATATATATATATATATTTTTTTGATACACTAGTAATGACTGAAACATCTTATTTTAAAAGTCAAAAAGTAGTAAAAAAAAAATTCCGAAAACTGAGCTTTTCCAAAGATTTTGAATGTTGGTTTGTTGCGATTGAACTTCTAAGAAAAAGCCTCAAAATTATGGAAAAATTGAATCTGCAACACAAAATCTCCCATGAACGCGATAGCTAGAAGTGTTTTTCATTTCGAAAAATGGAGGTTTCGGATTAAATTTGATAAATCGATGGGCGAAATTCTTGGATCCGTTAGTCGACCTTCCACCCAAGCCCTGCAAAAAAAGAGACCGACCCTGGGACATTTGTTCCCAGGAAAAATCCCGAACTTTCCTCAACTGATTTATGTTGAACTGAGCTCGTATGAAAACAGAGTTTGATTTTATAAATATTTCAAAAAGAGTTCTAGAATAAAAAGAGCATCCTGACCAAAATAAGTCGAAGAAACGTAAAAAGAAAAATTTTTGAGTATAGGACAAAAGCGCCGATTCCAAGAGCGCCGTTCAAAATTAGCGCCAGTCCGCAATGCGCCGTCGCGTGTATGCGCCGTGTATACAGACGCCGCTTTCTTTTTGCGCCGAGTCCGTTTGCGCCGAATCGTTTTTGCGCCGTTATTTCAAACTTTTATTTATTCGCTCTTTTTATATTATTTTTTTAATAATTGTTTACTACACATTCATATACGACTCGAATAATTTTTCGCGCCATCTGTTAATATGGACCTTTCTGCCGCATTTTCGAAAAAAACTCGAACTATTGTTTCAAGAAAAATGAGTTCAACGTTACGAAAAAAACGATTTTTCTGCTGTTTCACGTCTGCTAGAATTGAAACTTTGCCTTACCTAACGCAGAAAATTTGCAATCACAAAAAAAATCACTCAATATGTCGTTTAAAGCAATAATTTTTTTATCCATTCTCTTTTTCCTTACGTTTTTCTGTATTTTTTTCGAAATCAGAAAAAGCATATTTGCTTTTTTTATTTTTTTACTTTGAAAAAGAAAAAAAGGGGAAAAAAATATTTTACCTGGACCAAAGTGGACCTAAAACTCATCATTAACGGATGGCGCGAAAAATTATTCGAGTCGTATATGAATGTGTAGTAAACAATTATTAAAAAAATAATATAAAAAAAGAGCGAATAAATAAAAGTTTGAAATAACGGCGCAAAACGATTCGGCGCAAACGGACTCGGCGCAAAAAGAAAGCGGCGTCTGTATACACGGCGCATACACGCGACGGCGCATTGCGGACTGGCGCTAAATTTGAACGGCGCTCTTGGAATCGGCGCTTTTGTCCTATACTCAAATTTTTCCGCAGAAATTTTCAACGGATTTTGTGACTGCCTATTGTTTTTGAGCCTTCAAAAAAAATATCATTGGAAATTTTGAAAAAAAAACATTCAGAACGTAAAATGAGAAAGTTGAAAAGTCAAAAGGAAAAAAAAATGAAAGTCTGCGGAAAATCTTGTGAATTTTTTCGTGCTTGGATACTACTACTTCTTTTAGTTCCTTTTGATGGAAAAAAACAATGAAATGAAAAAAATTCCTGAAAAAAAGCTAATTATGAAGGAAAGGATGTGTTAAAAAAAGATGTAAAAAAATCAGGAAAAATTTTTTTAATTTTTTTGAAACTTGTAATTCTCGTTTTTTTGTCGAAAATTCGGTTTTGGAATTTCTGAAATTTCAAAAATGTGGTAAAGAAAGAAAAAAATTATTTTTTTCCGCGAAAAAAACCTGAGATTTTTTTGAATCACTGGATTCCTATAATTTCTACGGCTAGTAACTAAAATCAAACTTTGTCTCCATACGATTATTTGAAAAAGTTGATTTGAAGAATAGACAAAAAAATATAACAGGGAATAAAAAAGGAAGTTTTTTGGCCTACTTTCGAGAATTTTCCTAGGAAAAGACGCCCAGCCGCCCCAGTTTTTGGACGATCCCGATCCCAGAAGGGAAGGAAATCGAAAAAAAAAAGAAAAGCTACCCATTTCTGCCGTCGTCGTCCAGGAAGCCGTTAGTGGTACGCTTCTTCGATTTTCGTTGGCCATTTTCTAAAAAAAAAATACAAATCATGAAGATATGCTCCTTTTTGAATCAATCCGCTGGAAAAAAAATTTCAATTGATGACCGAAAAAAAGAAATAAGAAGCCAAGTTCAAAAACGTATATCAATTAAACAAATCCTCGTTAATATTGGCAATTCCATCGACCAGTGTACTGAGAATCATCTCGACACGCCTCTGAAAATTAATTTGAATAATAAAAGACCGTATCAACATATTATTGAAAGATCGGAACGAAAAACGGCGCGAAAAACCATACGAACCAAAAATTTTTGAAACTTTACTAATTGATCTAGAGAACATTATAAAATTTACGATTCAAAAAAAGTTGAAAAATTTTGTTTCTAGCCTGACATGCTGTTGTATATAAGAACAAAAAAACAAATGCTACAAGTAAATAAAAAAAGGAAAATATTATCAAAAATCAAAATTTGTCCCATAAAATAAAAAAATTTTTGAAAGATTTCTTACGAAAAAAAGTGACAATTTTGAAGATTAAAAACACTATATATTATAGTTACCCTAAAAAATACGATTGTAAACAATAATAAATTGAATTTAAATGAAAAACGAAACGAGCAGCAGCAACACACCGTCCAGGACGGAAGGAGAAAGAAAAAATGACACGTTGTTTTTCGCCGCCTGAGTTTGGCGCCATTCGAGAGAATTCTTTGGCGCCTTTGACCCAATGACCTTAGGACGCGGGGTCAAAACTTTTGGCCAGATCAGACTCGATATTTTTGGCAATTTCCTTCGACATTTGAACGTGAAAAATGTCATTCGGCATAGCAAAACCTTCTTAATTCCACGAAAAATGATTTAAAAAATTTTCACCCTTCAACAAAGGAACAAAAAAGTTCAAACATTTTGGCCAGATCAGACTCGATCTTTTTTTTGTGAAACTCTCATCAGACTGCTTTCACGTACTGTCATAAAAAAGTACAAAATAATTTCAATATAAAAATAACCAAACAAGCCAAAACGATCAACTGTTCAAACATTCTGAACCCTAGGAAAAAGCCTGAAGCCGCTTCGTTTCAAAAAAAAAATTTGCTCTTGAAAATAAATGTTGACTCCTCGTCTAGAATACCCAAAAATTTCCACAATAAAAAACAAAAAATGCAAGAAATTTGAAAACTTCAAATCTCAGTAGTTTAAAAGTACAAAATCATTCCAGCTCATGAAGAACTGGAAAATGTTTTGATGGAAAACAAAGGTAAAAAATTTAAACATTATTAATTCAAAAAAATAGCTATATATAAACAGATTGAAATAAATCATCTTTTTTTGAGGAAAAACTTCTGTATTTCTACAAGAGCGGTGCGGAAATTAAAATGCGTCGTCCGCAATCACGTGGTGTTCACAGGCGGGAGGGATACAGTACTCTGGAGAAATAAAAAATCGAGTTTTCAAAGGATTTTTTTTATCTTTTGTGCTCATGAATATGAAAAAATAGGAGCTCTGCTTTTAACAGGAGTCAATCATTTTTAAATAAACGATAGTTTCATTTTTGTACTAATGAAAAGCGATTCCAGTCATCGTGAATTCTTTTTTTTCTTCTCTCCTTTGCATATTAACACAGAAAAAGCCCTCAGCTGCTTTTTAGAGCATTGGGCTGATACCTGGTATTGTCCAGCCGGTCGAGCAGTTGATCGAACGCCGTCCGTCATGGGCCTAGCGTCGTCGAATTGGATGGACTGATCCCAACAAGTTCTTCTGCAATAATTTCAACATTGAAAAAAACAAGTGGTTGGATTATTTAAATCGCAATTTTTTAACTAATTAGCTATGTAAAATCGTTAGTTAGTTAGGGAAGCTTGATCCAGTCAGGAGAACTACCTAGGCGGTGCGCTAGAGCTCCGCTCGGCCTTGTCAGAACTATCCTAGACGCCGAAGGCCGGGACGGCATTTTCCGCGGGGGTCCCATCATCGCTTTGTCAGCATCGCGCTGCCAACAGTTTGTGCTTCGGCCACCGGAATGGGTTTCGGCGTGACTTTGCGTATCCAATTCGCAAGCGAAGAGGATCGGCACTCCGGGAGTCCCGCGGGCCTAGTCTACTAGCGCTTACGAGTCAGAAACTTATTTTGGGAACTACAAGTTTTATGGAGACTTAAAACTAATCTTGACGTTAAATTCTGGAGCATGACGACTCGTGAAGGAAGCGAAAATGATTTTATAAATCAGGTCATAAAAATGAAATGAAACGTTGTCACGTGGTTTTTGTACGTGCTAATTTTTTTCGATCGGGGTTCACGTTTTATTTTTTGCAGAGAATGAAATTTGTTTTTTTACCTAGCAAAATCGTCACTGAAAAAAAAAACTCGCCAGAAAAAAATGTGAAACTTTGCGTTAAAGGAAAATTTTCTGAAGGGGAAAAAAATAGCCCAGTGAATATAGAATGCAGAAATCGAGAAGACATGAAGTATGAAAAAAGATAACGCCAGGAAATTCTATTTTATTTTTTCTTCGACTTTCCGAAATTGAGTTTTTTTTTCACTGTCTGACCGCTATTTTGAATTTCGCGGAATCCTTTCAAAAAGGACATGAAAAACTCCCAAAAAGAAAAAAAAATATTCGGACATTGGTAACGCGAATGAAACATGTCGGAGCATTTCTAGTGATCCCTTTAGTAGCGTCATCATTTTTAAGTGACCCCTAGAATTGCTCAGAAACGTTCGGAGCACGTCCGTTTCGCGTTACCAATGTCTGAAAAGAAAGAAGAAGAAAAAATTAAATCAAAAGGTGTGAGAAAGCGCGCCCTAATGATAAATCTCTTGTCGAATTACGTGAGGCACTAGGACATTGGTAACGCGAAACGGACGTGCTCCGGACGTTTCTGGGCGATTCAAGGGATCATTTAAGAGCGTTAAGGCTACTAAAGTGGTCACTAGAAATGCCCCTGACACGTCCGATTCGCGTCCCGTTCGCGTTACCAAGGTCCGAGCAAGCTGTAGAAATACCGGAGGCAAATAGGTTTTATGATTATCCTTATGCATTTTCTAGCACTAAAGTTAATTTTCAACAATGATTAGTGGTTTTTCATGATAATCATAGTTCCGTTATAAAAAGTTGAGAATGTATTTTGTAAATGAATTCTTAAGCTCACCCATTGTTCTCGTAGCTTAGCTCCTACCAAATTCCATTTCCTCGGTTTTTAGTAACTCCTTGGTCATGTTGCCGACGTTGATCTCTGCAAAATACATAAACAGGAAGGAAGAAAATGAAAGGAACTCGCCATTTCTCAGCTTTTTGGCTTCGAAGGTATTGAAGGGCTATCCGAGTGAAAAATCCCTTAAGGGACTGCTTGAAATTTCACGTTTTTCCAAACATTGAAAAAAATGGATTCATTCAAAAACGTGGCTGAACAATGAAACAAAGCAAGGCCGGTGCCAACCGAAAAATTAAAAAAAAAAGTCCACTTTGACCCCCCGATCTCGGTGGATTTTGCATTGGTTAAAGCATGAAAATGTGCAAAAAATTACAACTAGAAATGATTTCCTACACGTAAACACACAGAAAATGAATCGTTCGAAGTTGGAAATCCTCAGAAAATGGGCACTTTTTCCGAGGAAAGGGAGTTTTGGTTCAAAAAAGTGTGAAGAAAATCCTTGGGCACTCGGGTTTTCAGCACAAAAATTGCAATAGAGTCAATATTAGCGGGGAAAAAATTCAATGTTTTGGTCAATATTCACATGAAATTGCGTTAGTTACTTGGCTCCGAATCGATTTTCGAGCTCATTACTGACGGGCCGTCCGATTTGGTGTTGACGGGTCATCGCCGCCATTTTCCGGAGTCTCGACGAGGCGTATCTGAGAAGTTTTGGCCGTTTTATTGTTAAAAAAATAGAAAAGTCGTGAAAATTCATTAAGAATCCTATTGAGATGGAAAAAAAAAGTGAAGGGAATTTCGATTTTTTTTTCTTGATAAAATAACTTTTTCTCAATGATTTTGTACTATTGAAGATTCTCTAAACTCTGAAAATATTTATTCAAAACCAACTTGATAGCTTCACGTCGACGGACCATTGAAGGGTCTGAGGAGAGGAATTTGTGGGACAGGGCTTCATCCGTTCGCATTCTACGACTGAAAAATCGCATTTATTAAGGTCGAAAGGTCAAACTGTAAACTATAAAAAAAGTTGTTAAATTTCATTCTTAAGAAACTTATTGTCCTTAAAATGCTCCGAAATTAAAGTTTAATTATTCTAAAAATCAATCAAATCCTGGCCAAATCTGGAATTTGCTTTTTTTCAAATGCGTCCATGTACATATTCTGAGAATAAAAATGAATAAAATCTTAAAAATTAGCAAAATTTCGCCTGTCCCCTTCATTTACAAGATCCATTGGAGGCAATATCTCCGAATCCGGCGCCAGGAATCGCATCAGCGTTCGTGGTGTAATGGTCAGCATGGATGCCTTCCAAGCATTCGACGGGGGTTCGATTCCCCCCGAACGCAGAAACTTTTTTGCCATTTATTTAAGTCATCCTTATATCAGAAAGTGAGGAATTCTGGTAGACTTTGAAGTTTCGAAGGGCTTTTCGAACGTTTTTAAAGTGCGGACACTCTAATTTTCAGCGAAAAAACTTGAATTTCAAAGGATTAGACCAAAAAAAAAAATCAAAAAATAACCAATTTACGTGTATTTTTTCGACTAAAAAAACTTTTCCTATAGAAAAAATACGAAAATAACTAACACAGGAGACTTTTTGAGTGCCCAGGTGACGAAACTGAGGGATTCCTGGGAGGCGTTGACGGGAATGAGGTTCGGGTCGCATTTGACGTTGATCACGTTGTCTTTGACCTCGTCTTCCCGGTCGTACTCTGACGTGAACGGATGGAAGCCGCCGAGTCTGAAGGATGAAATTTGGAAGCTTATTCCAGAAAAGTGAAACAAACTTTTCGCAGCACCCAACAGAATTCAAAGAACTTTTAATGACCCTCTGAAAGGGTAAAGTAATCTTGAAAAACTTTTAGACCACAAAAACGCTCTTATCCAACGACGTAGTTGTAAAAGTACATGAATTCCTTGTTTCTATGATTTTTTCTGTTCATCAATGAAACTATCGAAGATCACGGCCTAACTTTCCAAATGAGGAAGAAACAGCCGTGGCCTAACTTCCCAGCTTAACCTATTATCTAATTTCAGAATATATCTGATTTTTTGAATTTTTCTGTCGACCAATGGGAGTCTCAAACGTTTCCTAATTTCAAAAATCATGCAAGGCGACCTAACTTTCCAAAGAAGAAAAAAAAACAGCCACGGCTTAACGTTCCAAAGAAGAAAAAAAACAGCCACGGCCTAACTTTCCAAAGAAGGAAAAAACAGCCGAGGTCTAACTTTCCAAATAAGGAAAAAACAGCCACGACCTAACTTTCCAAACAAGGAAAAAACAGCCGCGGCCTGACTTCCCAAACTTTTCCCTCACTCAAATGATCCTACATAAGTGGTTTTCTATGTAATTTTATCATTTCTAAAGAAGACAAAAAAATATTTATAAATCGACCTAGTCGGCATATATTTCCAAATGACATAAAAATTTCAAATTTTTCTTTTTTTAAAAAAATCATGAAAAATAATGCGAAATGAAACGAACAAGCAGAAAGTGACGACGCCCATGCCCCAGACGTCGCTCTGGACGGTGACCGGCGTCTCGGAGACGTGCATCTCGGGAGCCGCCCATTTCACGTCGAACTCCTTGGGTTTCACCGACCCGTCGACCTTCTGAAGTGATATCAAAACTTGAAGAATGGTTCGAAGATACTAACAAACTGAAAAACTTCATTCTGATCCTAAAATGCCTAAAAGCCTTCCAAAGAGCTAAAATTCTCAACAGAGCACATAAGCTGTTCCAAAACAGCCGCCAATCATTTTACTTAAGAAGCTTCTTTGCAACTATCAAAATTTACCTGAGCGCTTCCGAAATCGACGAGTTTGGCGATCCAGTTGCGTTTTGATTGGAACATGATATTGTGAGGGTTCACGTCCAAGTGGGCGATTCTGAAGAATAGAAAATATGATTCAAATTCAAGCAGCTCGGGCAGAGTCGGAATGGTGGACAATGGCCGCTAAAAGGGAGAGGCTCAAAAAAGGCCGCAGAAAGACAGCAAAAAGGCAGCAAAAAGGGAGCAAAAAGGCTGCAGAAAGGGTGCAAAAAGGGTGCAAAAAGGGTCCCTCCCATTTTTTCTGGGTTTTCAAAGGCTCAAGAAATGATGGAAAAAAGGAAGAGGCAGCAAAAATGGTGCATAAGAGCCGGAAAAAAGACCGCGAAACTGCAGCAAAAAGGTAGAGAAAAGGCAGCAAAAAGGGTGCAAAAGGGGAGCAAAAAGGCCGCAGAAAGGTCGCAAAAAGGGTCCCTTTGTCGAGCCTCCCATTTTTTCTGGGTTTTCAAACGCTCAAAAAAAAAATTGGTGGAAAAAAGGAAAAGGCAGCAAAAATGGTACATTACAGCCGATGAAATGGCGCAAAAAGGGTGCAAAAAGGGTGCAAAAAGGCGGCAAAAAGGGTGCAGAAAGGGAGCAAAAAGGGTCTCTTTATCGAGCCTCCCAGTTTTTCGAGTATTTTAAAGGCTCAAGAAATGGTGGAAAAAAGGAAAAGGCAGCAAAAATGGTTCATTACAGCCGATGAAATGACGCAAAAATGCAGCAAAAAAGGAGCATTTCTAAGGAACCTTTTTGCACCCTTTCAGACCTTGTCTATGCACAAGATGATCAAAATTCCCAAAACGAACCCTCTAAAGTGCAAGAAATGAAGGGCGGCGGTGACTTGGCGGATCGTGATCGCGATTTGTTCCTCCGTATAATAATCATTGAAGACGAATCGACTGAAGACGTCCTCGTAGAGCCGCTCGCACATCAGATACAAGAAGCCGCCGCTGAAAAATTGTACCTGGAGAGCTAAAAATGACGCAGAAGACTGGTGAGTACGGACCCTTCCGTACTGAAAAAACCAACTTTTGATAAATGCAAAATTCAATAGTTACCATAGCTAAAATCTTGGTAACGCGAATCAGACGCGCTCCGGAACTTTCATAGAACTTCTAGTGACTACTGTAGTAGCGTCAGAACTCTTAAGTGATCCCTAGAACTGCCCGGAACGCTAGCGAGCTCTCAGAACAAGTGGAGGTAATTTAAGACGTATGGAAGTCGGTTGAGGGTAAAAATTCAGAAAAATTTAAAAATTTCACAGAAATACTCACTAGAGCGCAACTAAAAAAAATCCCAAAGGGTTCAAAATTTTCATAATTTTCCAAGCTTCTTTACAGAGCACTTTGAGGGTTGTCTCATCTTATAGAAAAAAAATTATTCGAACAGCTAAATGAAGAATTAACTCTATTCAAGCTACTCGGGCCCAGGTTTTCTTTTTTCAAAAACCGAATTAAAATGGAATTTTCAACCTTATAAAAAGGTATTTCAATCTTTTTCCTAACGAATTTCACGCCTTCAAAACTATTTTTTTTGGCAATTACCTATTATAGGCAGCAATGAGGCGCTGGACGTTCTCGTGTTGGGAGTCTCTGAGCGTTTCGAACTCCTTGATGGCCTGGTCGGCAGGATGGCGGATTTTGGCGACACAATGGGCTCCGGCTTCGGTTTGAGAGTCGACGGCTTCCCGGATCACCGAAAAGCGTCCTTTGAACAGTAGGCCGGCGATCTGGAACCATAGGAACTATTTTTATCAATCATTTCTTCTAAAACACCGGTAGATAACGGAAAGACCTTGAAAAACTATTGAAAAAGGTTTCTTTTTGGTTTCTGAAGTTCAGAAGGTTCTATTAAACCTTTCATTTCACCCAGGAACCCCATGAAAATCGGTAGACCTTTAAAAGTTGTTTAAAAACCTTCCTGTTCCGTTTCGAAAGCCCCAAAAAGGTTAATCAACCATTATTTGTGCTGAGAAACCGGAAAAAATCCAAAAAAGCGGTAAATTTTTTAAAATACTTCAAAATTCCATTTTCGAAAGCTTTAAAGGTATCAAGAAAGGTGAGAAAAACTAGAAAAAAAATTCGTGAAAGCGGCTGTTTTTGAAGGCTTTTCTGTGCTCCAATGCTAAAATTTGACCAAAAAAGCTTCCTTCATGATAAAAAAAAATCGCTTTAAAAGATGAAAAATTGTAAAAATCCTATCCTATCACTGGAGCAATCTATATACAAGCGGCTGTTTTTGAAGACCTTTTGGTGCTCCACTGCTAAAATTTGATAAAAAGCTTCCGTCATGATCAAAAATTGTAAAAACCCTATCCTATCACCGGAGCAACCTATATACAGAAAAATGGCAAGGACATAAAATAAGCTATTTTCTCCCATTCCCACCTGGAACCGCGTCGTCGGCTCGACAGTCTGAAGGCTCAGATCCGATGGAACATCGACGTCCATGGTTCTAACCGATTCTTCTTCACTCTCTTCGGAGATTCCTTCCAGTTGGTTCGACGACTAAAAGTCGATTTTTTTCTCTTACTTGAGAGTTTTTTTCAAGACCTTATGCGGCAGGGAGACGACGTTCAGTCGGATCTCCCCACGCAAAACGCCAATTTGCAGTTTGGGGGTGCCTTTTCCGTGGGTCTGGACGATTCGGCTGCTCAGGGAGGGCAATCCAAGGCCGAAGCCGTTCTTGGCCGTGACTCGGAATTGGTAGATTCCCAGTGGGTGGAGGTGTTTCACCACTACAGCTTCATCGTCGATCTACAACTTTCAAATAGAAATAGGACTTTAAAAAGGGACAAAAGCCTTGAAAATCAATTAAAAGCTGTCTTTTTCAATAGATTTTTGAAAACTAAATTTCGAAATTATCAACTTTCTAACTAAAATTCAACTTGGTATTCGTATTCTTCTGAAGAAAATAGACGCTTAATTGACAAAAAAAAAAAATTGAAAAAAATGCCATTTTTTTCTCAATGGAGCGCAACATGATCTCGAAAAAGGCCATTTTTCTCAATGGAGCGCATCATGATCACGAAAAAAAGGCCAGGTTTATCAGTGGAGCGCACTACAAACAGAAAAAAAGGCCTAAAGTTTGGAAAATCACAAATGTCCGTAAAATAAACTACTTGCATTCAGGCACGTACAGAAAATGGTTACTGCGAAAAAAATCTTTTTAATAATAATTATTTTTTTCTCTTTGAAGTAAATCTTGAAAATTCCCAACTTTCTAGCCAAAAATTTAACTTTTTGATCTTGATAATCCTCAAAAATTAGACACTCAACTGATGAAAAAAACTCGAAAAAGGTCAGTTTTATCAGTGGAGCACACTAGAATAAAAAAAAAGGCCTAACACTTTGCAAAACAGGTTTATATGCAAACTGATTCAATTTCAGAGCGGAAATCGTTCAAAAAATTGTTTCCAGAAAAAAAAAACTGTTCTTGGCCGAAAACTAGACTACAAATGCGCTCTACGGACAAATAACTCTGTACAGGGATTCATCAAACTCTATTTTTCTAATAACTCGAGGAAAATTGCGCACTTGGCAGTAGGTTTCTTGTTATTGGGGACTTGTAAAAAAAATCTAGTTTTAAAATTTTTCCATTGCCTATGGTTTTTTTGGAAGTTCATCGCGTCTTGTCACTTTTCCAGTGTCTGCGTCTCCCTGTTCTCTCGCCGGCAAGGTCAGAGAAAAATGATAAAAGAACGGGAGCATGAGAGGGACGAGAAAGGTGCTGACGGAGTATACTTTGAAGAGTTTCAGGCAGGAGATGAACATTGAAGAGTCTCTCACATTGTCATTGATGAGGACCCAGGGAGCTCCGTGGTCGTCGGGACCGGCGTGGCGGTACTCCAGACGGTAGGTGATGCCTTCGAGGTAGGTCGGACCCTCGGGAGCCTCCCAGTGGATGAAGAGTTCCGTGTCGGACGACAGCTTGCACTCGGGTCGTCCAGGTCGGGATGGGGTCTCTGAAAGTTGTTGGAATGGCTTCAGAAGTTCCGGAAGATGTTCTAGGAGCCTCAGGCGGCCTTAAAGTCTTAGCAAGCCTTCCAAAAAGGTTTAATTTTTCTCTTCCCCCTCGATTTTTCAGTCTTCTCCCTGTACCTCCACTGATCAGCCGGCAAGTCGTCTTGTCACTTCCGTACTCATTTGAAGCCGAGCAGACGTATTCGCCCAAATCGAAGGCGGCCGGAGATTTGATTGTCAATCGGGCAATGTTGTGGTCCTGGAAACAGCCGAGGGCGTCATATAAGTTTTTTTCAAAGGGTCAGAAATCAAGTAACTACTCAAATGTTGATCTAAAACTCTAGGTAGATCTTTTTAAAATGCTCTAAAACTCGAATAGGCTGAAAAAAAGGCTGCCAAAATCAAAATTTTGAAAATTTTTTTAAAAATCTAATTCAAGTTCTTATAACCTCAGTACAAGGAAAAAAATGAAAAAAATTTCTTTTTTTACTCGATTTTTTTGACCTTTCAAAAGCCTCAAATAGCCCCTTTTTTTCACTTTTTCGTGAATGTAAGGAGCTCTAAAACTCGAATAAACTTCGATTTTTAAGAAAACTTGACCGTATTTCAAGATCTTCTAACTCCAGTACAAAAAAAAAGCTGTAAAAATTTTTTAACTCGATTTTTTTGACCTCTCAAGAGCCCTAAATAGCCCATTTTTTTCACTTTTCGTAAATGTGAGGAGCTCAAAAAATCGAAAAAAATTATCTATAACTAAAAGTTTTCCTGTGTTTTTGCACACGGAGATGCAAAGTTCCCTCAAATTTCATCAAAATGGAAAAACTATTTCGCTTTTCAAGTAACCAAATATCAAAACAAACCTGCTCGATCTTGACATTTTCCCCGTCCTGGAGCACCTTTCCATGGATGCTCCACTGGACTTTCGGCGCAGGGCTTCCGGCGATCGAACATTCGAAAATGGCCGGTCGGCCTTGGTTGAGGTAGACGTCACGGAGGCGGGACACGAAAATCGGGGCAAAAGCTGGAGAAAAACCGGGCTATTTTTTATTGTATAATTAAGGAAAAAACTTCTTAGATCTTGGTAATGTAAACCTGACGCTTTTGAGCATTTCTAGGGATTCCTTTAGTGGTTTTATTCCTCTTAAGTGGTCACTAGAGGGTTCAGAAACGTCCGGTTTCCGTTAGCGGGGTCCAAGTGATTTTTTAGGAAATTCATATATTAAAAACCATTTTTTCTGATCAAATTTTGAATCTCAGGGTTGCAAGGAAGCTTTACTCCTTGCAACCGACTTCAAAACGACTTTCGCAGAGTGAAAATTCATTGAAAAATTTGGGGAAATTCATGGGAAAAAGCAAGACGATTTTCTATCAAAAATTCGGTTGAAAAAAGAGAATGTGACAGTCAAAACTCAAACGCGACGCTCCTAATCCATTCCAAATGCGACCAAAAGGGTTTTAAAGCCCAAATTAGTATAGAAGGCCTCGACTTGGAAATTTAACAATAATTCTCCGATTTTCACTCGAAATTTTTGGATTTTCACTTGAGAATCCATATGAAGCGCAATCATTAGAAAAAAACTTTTTCATATTTTGAATTTTTTTGTATAATTTTATCTAATCAGCCAATCCAAATGCGACCAAAGTGGTTTGAAAGCCCAAATTAGTATAGAAGGCCTCGACTTGAAAATTTCCCAGTAATTTTTTGATTTTCACTTGAGAATCTACATTGAGCCCAATCATTAGCAGAACATTTCAATTTTGAAATTTTTTTGTATAATTTTATCTACTTAACTATTCCAAATGCGACCAAATGGGTTTGGACGCTTGATTTTTAAAAAAATTCACATTAATTTTTTTGGATTTTTTTATTTAAGAATCTACATGGAGCACAGTCATTAGCAGAACATCTCCTTTTCACATCTCAAAAATTTTTATATTATTTTTTTAATCAGCCATTCCAAATGCGACAAAAAGGGTTTGGAAGCTTGATTTTAAAAATTCACAATAATTTTTGGATTTTTATTTAAGAATCTATATGGAGCCCAACCATTAGCAGAACTTCTCATTTTTTGAATTTTATCTACTCAGCCATTCCAAATGCGACAAAAGGGTTTGGAAGCTTGATTTGAAAAATTCACAATAATTTTTGGGATTTTTATTTAAGAATCTATATGGAGCCCAACCATTAGCAGAACATCTCAATTTTGTTATTTTTTATTATTTTTTCAATCAGCCATTCCAAATGCGACCAAAACCGCATTTTTGAACAGAAAAAACATTTTTCGTCTATTTTTGAAGTGAAATTGATGTCTCGCTAACAGAAATCGTTGACAACTTTTCTTTAAATACCTATCCCAATTCTTCAAATTAATCTATAGACCCTTTGAAACGTACTTCCGTCGGTGTTGCGTTTCGTGGCCGATGGGGCGACTTTTTCGATGTCGGCCTTGATTCTTTCGATTGCACTCGATGACGGGGCCTGGAAAATTCGAAATTCATCATTTTTAGTCTGTTCTGAACCAATTCTGTCAAGAAAAACGGCTCTTTTTCATCTTAAAACCACTTTTTTGGCCAAAAATCTGATGTTTTGAGAGTAAAATCGTTTTCAAGTTGAAACTTTTTTGTAAATTCCCCTAAAATCGAAATTCATCAATTTTAGTCCATTCTGAGCCAGTTGTGTCAAGAAAAAAGGCAATTTTTTCATTTTTAAACCCGGTTTTTCGACCAAAAATTGATGTTTTGAGTGTATAATCGTCAATTTTCAGGTTGAATTTTATTTTGTAAGTTCCTCAAAAATCAAAAATCGTTATTTTTAATCCTCCATGAACCTTTTTTGTGTAGGAAAAAGGCCCTTTTTTTCATTTTAAAACCACTTTTTTTCGACCAAAAAAATTGATGTTTTGAGAGTAAAATCGTTAATTTTTCAGGTTGAATTTTTATTTTTTTAAGTTCCACTAGAATCAAAAAAATTCATCATTTTTCAGTTCTCCATGAACCCCTTCCGTTCAGAAAAAAACGACTATATTTCATTTTTAAAATCTTTTTGACCGGAAAGAGTTTTTTTAAATTTCCAGTTTGTTAATTTTTCTTGAGTTGCACTGGAATCCGCCATTTTTTTGACCGCATTTTTCCGGATTTTCGATTCAAAAATACATCAATTCCAGTCAAAATTCCGATAACTTTTCTCTAAAAAAAACACGATTTCCAAAGTTCTACTTCGTTCAGAAATATATAATTTTCAAACTTAAACTATAATTTTTTTGGTCCTTTCCTTTTCCTGCCACTTTTCTTGATAAACCCCTTTTTTTGAAGATTTTTACCTTATTCAAAGCCGTCGCATGTTCATTGGACTTTGGCTGGAGGCCTTCCTGCGATTCGCGAAGAATGTCCGTGTATCTGAATTCCCCGCCCGTTTTTTCAATTATTTTGATGTTTTTCCACCTTCGCCGCTCCCTTACAGTAATATCTCGGTTACGGTATCCCAGGAAGCCCTGGCGTACTGTAGGGGCTCCGTCTCCGAACAGTTCGCGACGATAATCTCTGACGCGACTGTTGAAGGAAGCTCCGCGAGCCGCCATCAGGTAGGTATCGGGGCCGATCTTTAAAGATCTTACTATTATTTTTTAAACTTTTCCTTTCACAGAAACAATCTGAGCCTCTCAACAATGAATCAAAGCGTCACGGTCAACTCAAACTTTGACCAATTTTTCGTGCGCCCGACTTGAAACTACTTGCGCTAATAGGTACCCTGTATCATTGAGAAAGTCGCTCAAAAAGTGGCATAGCTTGATTTTTCGATTGAGTTTAAAATTTGACCTAATTTCCACTAAATTATGTTCTTCTTGATATTCCCGTTGATTTTTCTCATCCTCAAATTTAAATTTTCCAAAAATTCATTTTTTTTATTTCGATCTATGAATAAATTTTCCCTCTTTTTCTAAACTTCCTTAAGAAACTTCTGAACATCTTTTTCACGATTTGAATTCCTTAACGATGGCTCAACGCGCTCGGTCAGCTCAAATTTTGACCAATCTTCCGTGCGCCCGACTAGAAAATACTTGCGCTCATAAACATTCTCTATCAGTTTAAATTTCGATTGGGCCTACCTGAGACCTTATAAGCGTCCTGATATTCACCTAATTATGCCCTTATATCAAATTTTCTCGTGCGCCCGACTAGAAACTACTTGCGCTCATGGGCATCTTCTATCAAGTAAAATTTCGATGGGGAACCATAAGCGTCGTAATTCTAACCTAAACGCCTTTATATCAAGTTTTCTCATCTTCATAAGTTTTTAAGCTTCTGTCATCCTCCAAAACCTGATAATGAGAGTCCCAAGGGGAGTCGTCGACATCGTAGCCGGGATGTTGAAGGTCCAAGTCCTCCTTGTAGAAGTTGCTGGGCCGATACTTGTCCAGGTCGTTCAGGTCGACCGGTCTTCTGTTCTTGTCCCTCTCGAGCTTGTCCTTCTGGTCTTTGAAGTCGTCGTCTCCGTCGTGTCTCAGGGGCTTCAGCTTCTTCTTCCGGTCGTCCATGTGGGCGTCTTCGTCGTCGAGTTCCGGGGCTTCTTCTCCAGGCGGTAGGAATCCGGGCTTTCCTCTCTTGGTCGCGATCAAAACCTGTAGTTGAGTTGTATATTTCAACTTGAAATTGGCTAAGGACTGATTTAAAATCAAGATAATGTGCAGTTTTTCAAGCTGATTTCAAATATTTGCTCAGAGTAGGTTCTCGAAAAAAAAAAAACACATTATCGATTCTAAAGCTTCATTTTCCGAGATATCATTTTCGAACGAAACAAAAATAGGTTCTTCGTGAGCTCCATCTGCCATACAAAAATGAGCTTAGCCAATAGGTCTTTTTTTGACTTTAAGAGCTCATAACTTTGCTCAAAGGCCTTCTCAAGTATTTTCGAATAGAGATTCAGAATCTACGTGAAAAACTGCATCTATCGTTCGAAAATCCTTTTTTTCCTGAAAAACCTTATTTTTCGTGACGAGACCTATCTTATTTTCAAAAAGGATCTCATTCAGTGACCATTTCCGACTTTGGGAGCTCATAACTCTGCTCAAAGACCTCCTAACCAACTTTTGATCCCAAATTCGGATTCAGCATGAAAAACTGAGCCTAGCCTAATTTTCCCAAGCCACCAACTTCCATAGAATGCTCCCTTCCGGGGCTGAGAAGGACTGGACTTTTCGTTCCAGGCGTTGATCTTCTTGGCGATTTCGGCGATGGGCTGAGGGTCAAGGCCGGGGAGATGACTCTGGAGGAGAAACTTGTATTTTTCCCTTCTTTTATTTTTATTTTTACTTGATAAATCCGTGAGAGCCTTCTTTGGTGTCGACGGTGAGGTCGGCGCCGTGAAGTCCTTCGAGGAAGAGTGGGGCTCCAACTGGGATCGACGGATCGTTCTCGGCTTGCTCGAGAACCTAAAAACCGCGAATAAAAGGGGGAGGATAGCATTTGGAATGGCTTATTCTTAAATTTATTCCAAGTGCGACTAAAAAGTGAAACTTTCCTAATTTTTCTGTTAGCAGTCTTGTTAGTAGAAGAAAAATAACACTCAAAAATAAAAGATCCATTTTTCAAAAATTCTAATTATCTCAAGTTGGTTTTTTTGTGCTTCAAGGCTTTTCCTTCAAGATTTCTAGTGGAAATCGAGAAAATATGACAAAAATGAGTTTTGAAGCTTCCAATTATTCAAAAACCAAAAAAAAAAATCGCCGCTAAAATTATCTCAAAGTGCGCTCCAATGCGAATCCACACGAAAAACCATGCTCGGGACATTACTCGGGACACTCACTTGGACGAGGTTCAAATCAGCCGGTCGGGACTTTGAGACGAGCCGATTGGGAGTCGGACCCAACTTGTCGGCTTTTTCGAGCAGCTTGCGCTCGATACCCTTGTCGATGCATGAGATCTTGGTATGCGGCGATTTTCGACCGTTTTTGCCGGCAGGATCCACAGGCGCCGTGACCAGCAGCGACGCGCTCATGCTTCAGGCTAGTTATTTGTTTCTTGTTGAGAAGAAAATAAAGTAGAAAAACCCGACAAAAAGGGAAAAACAAGAAGCAAACGCTTGTGTGGTCCATGAGGACTCTAGAGACTACAGAAAATCGGTTATCTTCCCAAAAAATTTAAATTTTGTACTTATAAAAAATCCTACATGATCCGATGAACCAATGGAAAGCTGAAACGGAAAAAATATGACCTCGAAAAACTCAAAAAAATCAATAAAACCTTTGAACTTTCCAAAAAAAGCTCTGTTTGAACTGTAAATTGAGGTTTCAATCAGCCTTTTTCAGAGCCCACGGGGAAAATTCTTAGTGGCCATTTTAGGGCTTAGACATTTTCGTGGCCACTATAGCAATCTAATAAGTGGCCACTGAAGTGGTCAAAATTCTTTAGAAGTCTAATCGGTACTACTAGACCATTAAAAACTACTAAAGTGTCCCCTATGACGCAAAACCGTGGCTTTTATAGAGGTGGTTTAGTGACCACTTAAAAGTTCTCTCCAACTAGCCCTTGAGGTGCCTCTTAAGTGACCACTAGAGTTTTCAGTGCAGTTTTTTTTTCAATAACTGTTTGATTATCACTTTTAAACGACAAAAACATTGTAAACTTGTAACTTTTAACGTCAAGAACGCTAAAATAATCTTATCTTCCGATATATCTTCCTTTAAACTTCTGAAAAAGGCGGGGAAGTGGCTGATTGGCTCAAAATCTTAAGTTAGAGAGATCTGACCAAAAACCTGAGAATCGAGAAAATCAAGAAAACTACTCGCTACCAAAAGGCCCCCAGAAGCAGAAAAGGGGCTAAAAAGGAAGATTTTGACGCTAACACGGGAAGTGCAAAAGGTCGAGGTATTGGAACTTAATGAAACTTGGTATATAGGTACTTCCGAACACCCTGAATCCAGAGCAGTTGAGAAAAAGTGCGCCTTTTTGGTTTTAGTCGAGTTAGGGCGCCTCAAAGTTTGCACGCCAAAAATGCATTGAAAGGGAGGAGGGAATGTGTTGCGGATGGTTAGGCAAGGAAAAATGGAGCAAAAAAATTTTTTGTCGAAATTCTTTCTCAGATGGGCATTAAATGGTGAATTTCAAAATTTTGAGCTGTTCTTTCACTCCATCATCAAAACTTCCTCATTTTTCAAATAAAAAAAATTAGCAAAAAAAATTTCACCAAAAAAGGACCGAACCTGCATCATAGGTTCCACAGCGCAAGGCCTCTAGCCACTACACCACGCCGCCTGCTGGCAGTTAGAGATAGCCGCCGCAACACATTCCCTCGTCCCTTCCAATATAATTTTTGCGTGCAAACTTTGAGGCGCCCTAACTCGACTAAAACCAAAAAGGCGCACTTTTTTTCAACTGCTTTGGATGCAGGGTGTTCGGAAGTACCTATATACCAAGTTTCATTAAGTTCCAATACCTCGACCTTTCGCACTTCCCGTGTAAGGGAAAAAAAAAGAAGGACCGAAGAATTCAGAAGAGTTCTCAAACCTGAGTTAAATCCATGAAAATACTGGCTACCAAGAAGCTCAAAGAAGCAGAAAAGAATTCGAAAGAGGAGATCTAGACGCTCAGAAAAAAAGAGGGACCGTAAACGTAGAATACGGACTTCCTATGAAGTTTTTTTCTCGATTTTGAAAATCCGAGCAAACATCGATGAAAACTGACTAGCAAGAGTTTCCAAGAAGCAGAAAAAGGGCTAAAAAAGGAGATATCGACGTTCAGAAAAAAAAAAGAAGGACCGTAAATGTCAGAGCAATAGATTATGGTCTTTAATAACTACCTATGAGGCTTTTTTTCGGTTAAAAAAAATTGCTTTCAACTCTGACCAAAACTTGAAGAAAATCGATGAAAATACTGGCTACCAAGAGGTTCCAAGAAGCAGAAAAGGAGCTACAAAAAGAGATATCGACTCTCAGAAAAAAAGAGGGACCGTAAAAGTAGAATACGGACTTCCTATGAAGCCATTTTTTCGATTTTAAAAATCGGAGACAAAAGAGCTATAGACGCTCAGAAAAAAAGAGGGACCGTAAAACTCAGAAAAGTATATCATGGACTAGAATAACCACCTATGAACCTGTTTTCGATTTCAAAAGTTCGAGCTCTCAATTCTGAGCAAAAATCGATGAAAATACCGGCTAGCAAGAGGTTCCAAGAAGCCATGAGTAAGAAAGTAAGTTAACAAATGAGATCCCGAATCCCAGAGAGAGGGCCACCGACGGATGAGCAAAGCAAACTCCAGGCCCTCCTCCTCAGCCAAGGTTCACGGGAAAAGAGATTGTGCGAGAGAGCGCAAATAGTCGTGGATTTTCCGCCGCCACCGCCAACGACAAGGAAAATCCGCTCTTACTACATTCGCGAAAAACGTCTGTCACACTTTGATTGGTTTCTCATCGATTTCGAGTAGTTTATTGGTTCCAAGGGATCTGGTTTTGTGAGAGGGACTCGCTATAAAGTTAGAAAAAGGGCCAAAAATTGCGGAATCCCTTTCGAAGCCAGAAAAATCCTTAAAAAACCCACACCCATGCACAAAAAACACACATACAGGACACAAAAAAAAAGTTATTCCCAATATTTTCCAAAAATTTCACCTTTCGATCTTCAGCAGGCAAGCCGGCAAGTACAGCGTCAGGGTAGGTGACCTGGAAAAAAAGAGTTTCCAGGAAAAGCTTAATTTGGAGCTAAGGTACAATGAAAACGGTAAAACTTAACACTGAAAATCATATTTTGATTTTGAAGTCTTCAAGAAGTTTTTATATTGAATCTAGTCTGTTACAGAAGTTTCAAAGCCCTCAAATTTGTTCAAAAAATGATCAGAAGCTGAAAAAAAAAATAGAAATTCCAGGAAAAGCTAAGTTTGAAGCCCAGGTATAGAAAAAAACTATAAAAATAGACCTTGAAACTCATATTTTGATTTTGAAGTCTTCAAAAACTTTTTATATTGAATCTAGACGGTTACAGACGCTTCAAAGCCCTCAAAATTGTTCAAAAAATGATCAGAAGCTGAAAAAAAAAAAACAGAAATTCCAGGAAAAGCTGAACTTGGAGCTGTGGTATAATAAACACTATAAAAAAACACTGAAAATCATATTTTGATTTTGAAGTCTTCAAGAAGTTTTATATGGAATTTAGACTGTTACAAAAGCTTCAAAGCCCTCAAATTTGTTCAAAGAATGATCAGAAGCTGAAAAAAACGAGATTTTTAGTGTTCAAACTAACATATTTAGGAGCTCCAGAGTGATCCTTATAGGGGTTAGGGGTCAAAAAAGTGGTCCCTATAGGGGTAAAATTAAAGTAATCCCTATAGGGGTTTCTGACTGCCTCAAAGCTCAAGTGGTCCCTATAGGGGTCTCAATTTTATTAAGTTTTACTCATGGAAATGCTTCTTCTCTTAGAATTCATAACAGTTATCGACACTTGCATGTCCCCTCTAGGGATCACTTTTGCAAGCTTTAGTGGCTCCTATAGGGGTTGGTAAAGTGGTCTCTCCAAAGTTGCCTCTATAGGGACCACTCTGAAGTTCCTGAGTATATTCCCTACTCGGACCTTGTTAAGGCAAAAATTTCAAGTGATCACTTAAGAGGGACTGACAAAACGCTTAAAAACGCCCGGGGCGCATACGGTTTGCGTTACCGAGGTCCGAGTAAAAGCCAAATTTTTTAAAAATTTGAATAGTTGGCACGCCCCCTAAGGATCAACCAAAAACAAGAAAAAATAGCCAAGCTGAATTTTCATTCCTTTTTTTTCTCGTTTACCTTAGCCGGGATAATCTGTCCAGGCCTCTGCTGCGGCTGCGACTTCTTCTTCTCTTCCGGGGCGACGCCTTCGACGACGGTATTCTCCGGGGTCAAAGTCGGCGTGGACGGCTCGGATTCGTGGATGGGGATCGGCGTGGCCGAGCCGGAGCGTGGGAGTTCCTAGAAATGTCGAAAAATAGACCAAGTTGCTTCGGAATGACGTGAGAAAGGTAAAGTTTTCGTTTAGCGTAAAAAGATTACAGTAAAAAAACACCTAATTTTAAATGTAGTCCATTCTCTAACTTCTTAAGGTACCGTAGTGCAAAACCTGGACATCTAATTATTTTCACGAAGTTCCTCAATTATCTCAGTACATAAGCGACTCGAAAAGGTTATTTTTTTGGCTTTCCCAAGGAATTTCGGTCAAAAAAGCCTAATTTCAATTATAGTCCATTCTAGATACTGTAGAGCGAAACCTGCACATCTAACTACTTTCAGGGTTTTCCCAACTTTCTCAGAAAATATTCGAAACAAGAGAAGTCAAGTTTTTTGCTTTTAAAGGAGTTCCGGTCGAAAAATGCCTGATTTAAACATAAGTCCATTCTAGAGACTGTAGTAGTAAACCCGCACATCTAACTAAATTCACAAAATTCCCCATATTTCTGTCCAGAAACGACTCGCGAAGGTAATTTTTTTCGGCTTTTCTAAGGAGTTTCGGCCAAAAAATGCCTGATTTCAACTTTAGTACATTCTCTGACTTCTTGAGATACTGTAGATCAAAACCTGCACATCTAACTATTTTCAGGGTTTTTCCGAACTCCAGAAAAGACTCAAAATAAGCTGATAGGGCGATTCTTTTTTGATTACCTAGATAATTATGGTAAAAAAAGGCCTAATTTTATTTATAGTCCATTCTCTGACTTTTGGTACTGTAGAAATGAACCTGCACATCTAACTAATTTCAGGGTTTTTCCCTACCTTCCCGTTCAGAAACGACATAAAATTTAAGAAGGTCTTAATATTTTTTTTCAAAATGAGTTGCCGTCAGAAATGCCTAACTTCAACGATAGTCCATTCTAGGCACTGTAGTAGAAACCTGAACATCTAACTACTTTTGAAGTTTTCTTAATATTTCCTACTCGGAATCGATCACATTTTGGGGATAACCGGATCCAATTTTCTTCTGTTAAATCTGTAATCCATCAGGTCTTTTCCGGAAAAAAAAGAAACAAGTCCTAAACTGACCTAAAACTTTGTAAAATCGCTTAAAATCAGGAAAAAAGTACTACGAATCGAGAAAAATGAAACAAAAGGCCGGCTCGGAATTCTAACAACACGGCTGAAGATTTTTATTGCGAATGGAGTGCAGATGTTCCAAAAAGCAATGTAAAGTTGTAAAGGGGGTATATTTCCAGATTTTCTCATTTTCCTGTTATTTTCCAGGTTCACTATAGTATTACCTTGATCTCAAAGTCTTCCAGGCTGGCCAAAGATCCGGCGATCGAGCCTTCTTCGGAAATGTCCGAGAGGATTCTGTTCGCGATTTCCTCCTCGATTTCACGTCGCTCGCCTCGGATCATCCTCAGAGGTACCTGTCAAAGTATATTATATTTTTTTTGAAAAAATTCAGGACTGAAAAAAATGAAAAATAAAAAGATCTCTTATTCGAACTACGGCCTACAGTAATGCGTCATTGTAGGGCGTGTTTTGAAACATTAAAATATAGAATTGAAAGGTGTATTTCTGACTTTAAAAAAAGCCTTGAACTTCTGAAAGATAAGGAATTTACAAACAGTAGTGCGTAATTATAGGGCGTGTTTTGAAAACTCAAAAATTAAGAACCTACTTACTTGATTTTTCGGTATCCATCTTCGAATAAGCTCTTAATAGAGCTCTGAAGCTTTTGAATTACCATGGAGGTGAAAAGACTGTGGTGAGTCATAGGGCGTGTTTTGAAGAGTTCGAAAAACAAGTCGATTTTTCTCTTATTTTCAGTATAAAACTACCCGATTCAACCTATTGCTTTTCAAGACACTTCTTATTTTGAAACAGAGCGCAACCATCAAAAGATACGAAAAATTGTGCGTCATAGGGCGTGTTTTGAAAATCCAAAATTGAGACGCTTTTTACTCTCATTTTTAGTATAAAACTGCCAAATTGAACTTTTTGTGTTTCTAAAGAAGCCTTGAATTTTAATAGAGAGTGCATACATTAAATAGTACAGACAGTTGTGCGTCACAGGGCGTGTTTTGAAAATCCAAAATTGAGACGCTTTTCCTTTTTTAGTATAAAACTACCAAATTTAACTTGTTGCTATTCAAAACGCTTTTAAAGTTGAAATAGAGTGCAAAAAGTAAATGATAGGTATAGACGATTGTGCGTCATAGGGCGTGTTTTCAAAATCCAACATCCAGACGCTTTTTACTCTTATTTTTCAGTCGAAAAACATCAACGTGAACTTTCGAAGCTGTTTTTTATTTCAAGACACCTTCAATGTTGAAATAGAGTGCAAAAAGTAGAAGATACAGTCAGTGGTGCGTCATAGGGCGTGTTTTCAAAACTCAACATCCACACGCTTTTTACTCTGGCTTTCAGTCGAAAAACATCAAAGTGTATTTTCGAAACTACTTTTTCATTCTTAAGAAGCCTCTAGGCAGTGGTGCGTCATAGGGCGTGTTTTCAACTTCGAATTCCGACTAGTTTCTTGCCCATGATTGTTTGAATTCAAATTGATGTAGAACTGATTTCTCTTCTATTTCCTTGATTGATTACCCTGGGCAAGTCCTCCTGCTCAACGAGAGGCTCCTTCGGGGGCTCTCTTTTGGCTCTGGACGGAGTTTCGCCCTTGTCCTGCGGGATCAGCTTCCGTTTCTCAGCCATCGGGTCGACTTGTGGTTGTGGTGGACCTAGAAACTTCAATGGTTGCTCGAAAAAATGATCGAAAATCCAGAAAAAATCATGGAAAACTTTGAAAACCTATGAAAAATTGCGAAAAATTGCCTCTTTATGCTTATAAATGATCTAGATTTTTGAATAGAAACGTTTTTCAACCAAATTTGCCACAGAGAAAACTGAATATTCCACTTTTTCTCGTTCAAAAATTGCTCAACAGACAGTGGTGCGTCATAGGGCGTGTTTGGCAAAGTTAAGACAACCATTTTTTTTTTTCCGAAAAAACCTTTATAAAACCCTTTTTTCAGCTTTTTTTTTCATATCCTTTTTAAGAATTTCCCTTTTTGAAGACCCCCAAAAAAGCTTCAAAAAGTCATTTTTTCGAAACTGACCCTGGCGAATCGGATGTCCAAACTGATCAATGGGAATCGGGCCGTGTTGGAGGGGCTAAAAACGCAAAAAATGCAGTTTTCGAATCGAGGATTACTTTTCGGTAATCGGCGGGACACTCGAAACGGTCGGGAGCAAAGCGGGCGTCGTCGAGGGAGACAGGACGACGGCTTGGGTCGTTCACCGCCCGGCCGACGTCTTCGGGACGCAACGGGCGGCCTGGATTGGTAGTTTTGATAAAGTTCGTGTCACTTTTTAAAGATCAGAATTCGATGAAACTTCGTACAGAGCTACTTTTGGACACACTTCAGATCACTAAATTTCAAAAAAAAGTATATTTTTCTCTCTCGAACCCATTTTTGCATAATCAATAGGCTTTTTTTAAAAAGTCGATGTCAGCTCCAGAACAGGCTTTTTTTTTGAGTTGAGGCTTGAAATTCTAACGCAGAAGAACGAAAAAAAAACCTCTTTGGAAATAGTTTCTAGCTTCAAAAAACACTGAATCCTTTCTAACCTCTCCAAATGACTATTTTTTTTGCCGCGTTCAAAAATTGAAGAATCAAACCATTTTTTCTAGAAATTCCAACTTCGTTCTAACTTTCCCGGAAAACCATTCATACTAAAAAAAATATTGCAAACTTTCTTCAAAAACTCCAGAGCGGGGGGCCACTTTAGCGACCTTTACCAACCCCTATAGGGGCTACTAAAGCTTGCAAAAATGGTCCCTTGAGGGGTTTTAGTTAGTGGTCCCTATAGGGGACATGCTAGTAGATAATTATTATGAAGAAGCACTTTTTTTAAATAAAAAAAATTAAATGAACAAGCGCTTTTTTTGAATGAATTGAGAGACCCCTATAGGGTCCACTTCAGCTTTACGGGCTAAGGGGTCAGATCCTAAACTCCTATAGGGACCACTTATTCGGCCTCCTTAAGCCCTATAGGGACCACTCTAAGATTCCTAAGTTTACCTCCGAATAACCCTTCAAAAAATTCCATAAAAGTCCCAAAAGAGATACCGTATTCGTCGACAGGGATCCTTTGGGGTTGCCTTTGGCCTGGATGTCCCCGTGGGTCTTGTCGAACTTCCGGGGGAAGTCTTCTGCGAAAAAAAACTCATTTTTTTGAAGGCTGAGAAAAATTATACATCATCCAAATACATTTCTATCAAGTCAAAAGCTTTAAAATCAGTGAAAATATCAAATAATTCTTCTTTTTCTTCTACCTCGGATCAAAACGCGGATCGTAGTGGTCGGGTTCGTATCGTCCGTCAAACGCCTGTAAATGACCTATTTTCACCAATTTTTGTCTAATTTTCAAACCGCCGGATCAATAACTTGTCCAAATTCGTCAATGAACGGCGGGTGTTCTTTTCTCGGTTGAGGTACCTAGAAATGTAGATTTTCGGCCGTTTCAACAAAAATAAATATTTCCTGAAAATCATATAGGTGATTTCCTTTTGAAGAACACGTCCAGTCCCAAAAAAACTTATTTTTTTCCAATTTTGAGGAGCAAAAGGAGTTTCCGAATTTAATTCAAAAATTCAATCTTTCTAAAAAGTCGTATTCCTCATTAATAACACTAAAACGACAAAAAAAAATTGAAAGAACGTTTTTCCAACTTTCAGTTAAAGTTATAGTCCGTCCGCCATGACTTGACAGTTTTCGCGTGTCTGCGTCTCTCTGTTCCCTCACCGGCGAGGTCAGAGAAACATGAAAATAGCGCGTAAACAGGAGAGAGACGGCGAGAGATAAGGAGGGCGCAGAGAAACCCCGCTATTTCAAGTCGCGAAAAACGGAGTCTATCTTTAAAAAGTGGGCTTTTGGGCCTTGCTTTTTTTTCACCTGTTCAACAAAGCCCGGAGTTCTCTCTTTACTATTACGTTTATAGTCCAAGCTCCCAAGTTTTTATTTGACGTTCTACCTGTTCGACAGGAGCCGGGGCTCTCAATTCGATGCTCTAATCTCTCTCTTTTCCACTCACTTTCTAGACGCAAGCTTCCCAGTTTTTTTTTTCTGACTTTTACCTGTTCGACAGGAGCCGGAGCTCTCGGTTTGATGCGTAGGTAGTCGTAGATCTCGGCGGGTCGGACTGCGTTATCGCGTCGTTTGGCCTGCTCCTGCGCAAGGGCGATCGATGGAGCCTACAGGAGCTCTTTGGTGATAAAGCTATCGTGTTTTCGTTAGTAATAAACCAGAAAAGTCTCACAAAAATTCCAATTTTTAAACTTGAAGCGAAAAAAATTAATACCTAAACACACGTTCTGTGATAAAATCGATGACTTTTCAGTAATAGAAAGCAAAATTTAAGAAAAAGCTGATTAAATTAAAAACCGAGTCCTAGAAGCAGAATATATAGTGTTTAGTGACTTCTAAAAAATATTGGTATGATTTTTTTTAAATAATCAAATGACGAAAAAAATTTTTTGTTATTGTTCTGTGCAGTAAATTATGATAACTTTTTTCCTAAACACAGATTTTTCCAATTTTTTTCAATTTTTACGAGGCATTAATGGGGAAATTCATCACCCAATTTCGTTATTTTCTCTTAATAACCCAAAATGATCATCTCAACAGTCTTGTCAACTCATTATTCACATGAAAAGGATCATTTTTAAGAAGCTCAGAGACTTCAATTCAGATTGAAGAATTCAGCTTAGAAGTTGAATTTTTCTGAAACTCACAAGAACCGCTTCGAGAATCTGCTCCGACGGTGTTTGCTGGACGAAAACGCGGCGCTCCTAGAAAATTTACACATTTTTTTTTTCAGAGCTCAAGCTTTTGATCATCTGACACGGGAAGTGCAAAAGGTCGAGGTATTGTGATTTAATAAAAATTGGTATTTAGGTACTTTCGGAGCTCCGGAAACCTAAGAAGTTGAAAAAAAGTGCGCCTATTTGGTTCTAGTCGAGTTAAGGTCCCTCAAAGGTGAGAAGAACTACAAATCTTTGAAAAAAAGTCCTACGTAACATTTTTTTAAAAAAACTTAATCATAATAAGGGCGAGGTTTTATATTTTCAATTTTTCTGAAGAGTTTCCCAAAAAAATATCATTTTTTTAACTATAAGATTGGCGATAAATCTTCTCTCTCATAACCCATCCAAGAAAATAAAATGTGACTTGAGAAAAAAAAAAACATTAAACACGTAAAAACCTAATTTTTTTTTATCAATCAATCAATTTATTTTCGCAACATCGGGATGGTCTAGAAATCTCAAGAGATAAGCTTGGGAGAAGAGAGAAGGCTGATCATTTTTCAAAAAATTGAGAAAAAAATCCGGAAAAATGATTACCCATAGACTCTACCTCCCTTACAAAATAAAAAAATCAATAAATCCCAAAAAAAAGATAGTTTCATAACATAAATAAACAGAAAGAGCGAAAAAAAGAAAAATGTCTTTTTCTTTCAAGCCTGAACTTGATGGCGAGGGGGATTTCTGTGCAAATATATGTGCTTCTTGCAGCTTGGGGCCGATCTTTCGTTTCTTTTTTTTTGCTGGATTTATCGATTTTTGCTCGAATTTAGACTAAAATCGATGGATGTTCAAATTTTGAAATGATGAAAATTAGCGTAAAAACTGAAAATTCTGGAAATCCGACGTCTAATTTTTTAAAACGTCTAACCTTCTTCGACATCTTTTCTCTTCAAAATAATTTCAAAACATATTATTTCTTGGCCAATTTTCATGAGAAAAATGACGAGAAACACGAAAAATCCTCTCCTGCGGTGTAAATCGATCAATTTTCCCAGATCCTCGTTGCAAAATCACGGAACAAATGTTCAACAACTATTTTCCGCGTTTCTTTTTCTCGGGACTTTTCCGAAATCCATGTTTTAAATTCAAAAAAATTAAAAGAAACTCAAAGAAAACGTTTAAGACATCATTGGACGGAAAAATACTGATTTTTTCCACTTATACCTAAATTTTTTCCAAACTCACCAGCCACTTGTGTTGATATTTGAACTCCCGGAGGCAATCCGCGGCCAGGGGCTCGTTTTTCAGCGATTCGTCGTTGATCCAAGGATGTTGCAGGGCTTCATCTACTGTCAGGCGGTGACTGGAAAATATTCATGAAAAATATATCGATTTTTCAGTAATTTCCGTTCACTACCACGTCCACAACATCCATTAGAGTGCTAATCTTTTGAAAAACCTCAAAATCAGAAAATTTCAACTTTCTTTCCGGCTTATTCTAAAACTCAAAAAAGAGAGAGGAAGCCAAATTTTGATAGCATATTTCAAAAAATGGTCCGGAACACATAAATCCTTCAAAACTCGGCTAAATTCCTTAGTAAATCGAGTACTTTTTTATAGTTCGGTCAAAAAAATTACCCATTTTTCCTCTTAGAATTCAAAAAAAAAACTCAAATACGGAGCTCTCAATTTTTTTCCGAGTCGTTCTAGAGCTGAAAAAAAGTGAAGGAAAATGATGTAAAATTAAAAATATCTCTTTAAAAAGACGCTTGAAGGCTTCAAAATTTATAAAAAGTCTCTGAAAAAAACGTGAGTGAATCGACTATTTTTTTCTTCACACAGCTCATATCAAATTTTTTTCATGGAAAGATTATTATTATGAAGTAGGGAATATTCAAAACAATAAAAAAATAAAAAAATAAAATACAGGAATTTTTGATTCGGATTTTTTTAATGGACAATTTCTCCTTTTGCATGTATAGACTACTATTATGGAGTGGAAATTGATTTATAAAATAATAATTTCTCAGAAAATTCACGGACACTACCACGTCCCAGATGTCCATGAAGTATTTGGATTCAATTTTTTCCTTTAAAAAAACAGAAATTTTGAATTTTCCTCGTTCTAGAGCTCAAAAAAGTGAAGGAAAACCAGGATTTTTTGAAAAATATCCGTGTAAAATCATGATTAAAGGGCTTCAAAACTCATAAATCCTCTGAAGTTTTGCTCAAAACATGAGAAAATCGGCAATTTATCGATTTTTCAAGGACAGTTTCTCTGGATGAATGACAAGATTATCATTATGAAGTGGAAAATATTCATAAAATATTAATTTCTCAGGGAATTTCCGTTCACTACCACGGTCCCAACATCCACTAGAGTGTATAAATTCAATTATTTCCTCTCAAAAATTTAACAAATCGGGACTTTCATATTTCTCCTCCGAATGGTTCTACAGCTCAAAAAAGTGAAGAGGAAGCAGAATTTTGATAAAATGTCCCAAAAAAAGTTTCGAAGTTCATAAACCCTTCTCAAGTCTTCAGTAAATCGAGTACTTTTTACAGCTCGAAAAAACTACCGATTTTTCCTCTTAGAATTCAAAAAATACTCAAAATCAGGGACTCTCAATTTTTCCACGTCGTTCTAGAGCTCAAAAACAAAGGAAAAGCATATATTATTGAAAATATCCCTCTGAAAAAACGCTTGAAGGCTTCAAAATTTTATAAAAGTATTTTTTTCCTTTTAAAAACAAAACAGAAACTTCAAATTTTTTTCCGGCTTGTTCTAGAGCTCAAAAGAGTGAAAGAAGAGCAGGTAATTTTAAAAATATCATTGTAAAATGATGATTAAAGGGCTTCAAAACTCATAAATTTTCTGAAATTTTGCTCAAAACATGAGAAAATTGGCAATTTATCGATACCACGTTAACAACAGCCCTTAGAAAGCTAAAAATCAATGTTTTCCTTTTCAAAACCTTAAAAAATCAAGAACGCCTTTCTAGAGCTCAAAAAAGTGAAGGAAAGCATGTGAAATCAAAAATATCTGTAAAAAAAAACGCTTGAAGGCTTCAAAATTCATAAAATCCTTTCAAAATCCACTCAAATCATGAGAAAATCGGCAATTTATCGGTTTTTCATGTACAGTTCCTCCTAGTGAATGGAACGATTATCATTATGGAGTAGAAAAATATTCAAAAAATAAATTTACAGGAAATTCTCGTTCCCTACGACAATCCCAACATCCATTAAAGTGCACAAATTCAACTTTTTCTTCAAAACCTTAAAAAATCAATAAAGCTTTTTCTAGAGCTCGAAAAAAACGAAGAAAAAAACACATATTAATAAAAAAATATCCCTAAAAAAAGACGCTTAAAGGCTTCAAAATTCATAAAATCCTCTCAAAATGCACTAAAATAATGAAAAAATCGGCTCTTCATCCATTTTCACTGACATTCTCTCCTTGTAAGTCCAAAAAAACTCTCGAAAATCTGAAAATATTCACGCTGGGATCTCCTGGAGCAATTTCTTGACGAAATCCATGGCGTCCCAGGAGAATTGTTGCAATGGAGCGTCATTGAATCGGCTGGAATCGACATTGGCCAAGGTTTCCGCGTCGTTGTCGCCATGGAATGGAGAAATTCCGGTCAGCCTAAAATTATATTTCAAGGAAATTATAAAAGTACTAATTTTATATGTGAATCATTGAAAAGAATTCGAGAAAAACCTCAAAAATTTGAAGTTCCAGTCATAGAGAGGATCTTTTTTCGAGAAATTCTCAACTTTTTCAGGAAAAAATAAATTTTTTAAGATTCGTAATGATGAAACTGCCATTCTGAATCTTGGGTCTAATGAAAAATAATTTTTTTCGACTTTTCCGACCACATTTTCTGATGATAATGTTGAGCATTGGCTAAATTTCACGACTAAAATCAAATTTTCAGATCCTCAACTCAAAAATCTTTGAATTAGGTTCTACACTGATGAAGATCTGATTATTAAATTTAAAAAAACACAAAAATAAACTAACAAAACGTAAGTGAGCGTCCCCGTGCTCCACATGTCCGTGGCGAGGGTCAACGGATATCCCCTCACGATTTCCGGCGAAACGAATTCCGGCGACCCTTTGATCTCGCCGGTGATCAGACCTCTCAGAAGGCGTCTTCAAATGTTTTTTTCATAAGTGAAACAGAAAAGTTGCTTTGAGAACTCTGAGAATGAGCTAGAAAAGTCCTAAAAAGGTGAGGAAAGGCTTTTGAGCCTCTTCTCGAAGCCTCAGAGGATCCTTTTCAAGTCGCCAAAAACTTTGAAACAAATGATATGAGAACAAAAAACAATTCATCAAGAAGAGAAATTGACCAAAAACTACCAATAAAAGTCAAAATTCCCAGGTGGTCCTATCCTTATTGAACGGTCCAAAAACCGTTTTTTTTTTTCGATGGCATGCTTGTGGGGAAAGAGCTAGGATAATGAAAGTTTGGCTCAGTGGGTTATTTTGTACTCTGAATCGAATGGCTTTCACAGATTTTCGATATCTTTCCGTATTTTGCCAGAAAGTCCAAAAATAGAGAGTAGGGGGTCCTATGCTTAATGAACGAAGTGTAGGGGTTCGGGGTTTGACCCATTAGCCTCTAAAGCTTCAGTGGTCCCTATAAAGGTCTTTCAATTTTATTCAAAAAATGCTTATCTATTCAGTTTTCCGCATGAAAATGCTTCTTCGCATAGAGTTCGTAAAAATGATACACTAGCATTTCCCCTATAGGGACCACTCTTGCAAACTTCAGTGGCCCCTAAAAGAGTTATTAAAGTGGTTCCTAGAGGGGTCGCTCAGGTTTCCCCTATAGGGACCACTTTGGAGTTCCTTTGAAGATCCTCAGCTCAAAAAAAAGGTGTGAAAAAGTTGCCTTTCAACATTTTTTAAAGAAGGATGTGAAAAAAAATCTTTAATGAATCTTTTTTCAAAAAAAGCTTTTCCGTTCTGCCCGATTCTATCCCTTTTTGTACCTCGATTGCCCGAAATCGGCCAATTTCAATCGATTATCATTCAAAAGAATCGATTCGGGTCTCAAATCCAAATGGGCGATCCGATTGTCGTGCATGTGTTTAAGGGCAAGGAGGAGTTGTCTGAAAAATAATAATTTTTCGAAATTTCAATGACTTCAAATCGATAAATTGAACTAGAAACAATAAAGAAATGAGATGAAACAATACCTGACAAAAATTCGGACCAACTTTTCGCGATCCTGTCCTTTCGGATCGGAAATTTCGACACCTGGATGGGCCAGCGAGGAGAGGCCATCGATTGTTGAATTCGCACTGTAAAAGCAATTAAAAAACTATTAACAAAATAAGAAAGTTAATTTGAAGTGAATTATTATGAGAAATCTTAGTTTAGAACGTTTCATCTTCGAAAACTCAAAACTACGAAACCCCAGAAAAATTCAAGAAATAAAGAAGCAGTTCAAAACTTTCCCCTTATTTAAATAAAATAAACTTTCCCTAGTTTTGAGTTCATTTCTTACTTTTTTGCTTTGAATCAATGTAATTCAGCAAAACTACCTATCTTTTTTCAATTGATAAGAACATAGAAAACACGAAAAAAATAGAAAAAAACTTCATGAAAGTTCATTCAATTCAATTCAAAAAAACAGTGTTTATTGAATTTGACGAATTTCCACATTCTATAAATTTATTCCCACATATTACCTTTTTAAAAAAATGACTACTCAAAGTATTTTGAACCTACTTGATGATTCAAAAACCAGAAAACAACAACAAATGAAAGAAAAAAAAAGAAAAACGAAAAAAATTTCAAAACTCGTGAAGCGATTTACGAGATGGTGCAGTACAGTGTACGCAACTGTGCACAGTAAACTCCACTTCCCGCTCAATTTAATTTTCTCTCAACTTTATAAATTATGGTTTATTTTTCCGCTTAGCTTATCTGAATATAGATAAACGAAGGTTAAAAAGCATTTTCATATTATTTCAATTATTTTCAACCAAGAGAAGGTATTTTTCTTTCAAAAACTCACATGTCCTTAAGGACCAAAATCTCAGGAACCCGTCGTACCATTTTAATCCCGTTTTTAGTCGAATATCAAATAAATAGAGAACAAAATAGCGATCAATAAAGGGAAAGCTCAGGTGGAGTCATTACAGAGTGTATAGATGGGTTCAGAAAACCCGTTTTGCTTGACGGCCAGGCTCATTCGGCAGTGGAAAAAAGATAGATGTTGTGTAAAATGGGGGCTCCGTCCGCAGCTGGTCCGGGCCAGCGGCAGTAAAACTGAGGGCTCAAGACGAAAAAAAAAGAAGAAGAAGGAAAAAGAGGACTATAACTTTTTCCGTTTTGACAGAAAGGTGGCTGTTGTCGTATTTTATTTGAATCGAAGATTTTTCAAATTTTTTCTCGAAATCTTCAAATAATAATAACTGAAACCTATAGAACATAGGGTCAAAATTTCAAGCTGGAGGAAAAATTCTATCAATCTTTTTAATAATTGTGACTGAAAAAGGGGCTCTTGGGAAATTTTGTTTGGATCGGAAGAAATTTTTGAAAAAATCTTCAAAATATTTGAAATTTATGAGGATCGAAGCTTCAAGAAAGCTCCGAAAAAACTTTCAGAAAAAAACCTTCAAAAAAAAAACCCCACAAATCTTTCTAATGCTCGAGAATCATGTACAAAAAATAAATAAATTCAAGATTATTTTTTTATTTTTCGGAGTTCTTCTTTGAATGATCTCATGAAAATCCATCTTTACGTTAACCAATCCCAAAAATTTCAGAAAAAAAAATTTTTTTCGATCGAAAAAAATAGCGGAAGCCCTTCTGAAATTCATACTAAAAATCACAAAATTAATATTTTTTTCCAATTTTTCTACTTCATTTTTTTCAATTCAGCCTCATGGACCACCTAGCATTCCGTCTGTAACCAATTTTTAGATTTAAAAACAAGAAAAATTTCTTTTTCGATTATTTCTCATAACCTTTCTGACCACTACAAGCCTGAAAGTACATTTTCAAATATATGAACCGTCATATTTTTCATCTCTAACCCCATAAATCAAAAAAAAAACCACAAACTTTGGAAAATCGCACTCGACGGATAATAAAACGGCATGTGGGCGAATCATAGCAAAAAGATGGGAAATCTTGGGAATTTTTGAGTTTTTCGAAGGGGCCGCGCAGTGACATCTGTTTCGTTACTTCGGAGGACCGCCATTTGATTTTCCGATTGGATTCAGCTCCATTCGTTCTTCCTCAACGATCGGAAAGCGCAGTTGCTTCTTCATCTTCTATTTTCTCCAGATTGTTCTATTATTTTTCTATGTTTTTTTTGAAGCGCAATACAAAAGAAACGCTGAAAATGTCTAATTCTCATAGATTTAACTCATTCTTTGGGTGTAACAACCTTCAATTTCGATTTTCTAGTACCTTATTCATTATTTTTCGATGTTCTCTTGTTCTGAATCGTTTTCTCAGCTCAAAATTATAAATTAGTTCATATTCTACTTCTCCGAGCTTTTTAAAGACCTTGTCGCATTTAGAATGGCTCAAGGCGTGTCGGACCCAAACTACTTGCGCATTGAGGATCAATAAATATCATCTGCAGGCTTTAATCTAACCGCAACGCGACTGCGACGCGTAGAGCCATTCCAAGTGCGACCATGGTGTTTCAAATAATTTATCAAGAGCTTATTTCGAATCATTTCTTTTTTAAACTTTTCAAGAACACGCTTGATATCAAATTCGAAGAGAATCAGGATAAAACCAACTTTTTTAAGAGTACCAATACATCAAGGGCAAACTTTCAAAATTTATTTTAGAGTTCTAGGTGAATCACCTTCCTAATAAGGACTAGACTTCAAGCTTTTCACAGTTCCAGGTGAAATTTAGAGCTCTTAGCCGATTTTTGACTCGATTCAGAGAAAATCAAGGTAAAGCCAACTTTCAGAAGATTGAAAGTACCTCAAAGAGTATTTGAACAAAATTTCAGAATATCCCAGAATCAAAAAAAAAGCCACCTTCCTAAACTTCAAGCTTTTCCAAGTCCTAGTTGAAATTTTAAGCTTCAAGTCGTTTTTTGACTGAATTAAGCAAAATTCCAAGGTGAAAAAATCTTTTCTGAGTCTCTCAGTACCTAAAGAAGCATTTGAGCAAAATTTCAGAAAACTTTCGAGTCAAAAAAAAAAAGTCAATCTTCCTAATGAGGACGAAAATTTGAGCTTTTCCCAATTCTAGTTGAAATTTTGAGCTACGATTCGAACTTTTAACCGATTTTTCAAGTTCTATCCTTATTGTTCAATATATTACCTTTGTTTCGATCTTCTTTTGAAGAAATTTCAGGCAAAACCAATTTTTTGGGACAACCATCTATGGGAAAAATTTTTAGTGGCCCCTTTAGGGTTTCGACGTTTTAGTGGCCACTATAGTAGTCAAATTAGTGGCCACTTGAAGGGTTAAAAATTACGGGCCACTATAAAGGTCTAAATGCTCTAGACCACAAAATCTTTTAGTGGCCACTTTAGGGGTCAATGGATCAACATAACTGGTCCAATCTTTTTGTTTAAAAATTATCAGAGTTACTGGAAGGAATGCTGGATGAAAAAGTACTGAAGTGGCCACTAAAAAGAGAACCTCTATAGTGGCCCCTTAAACCGGAAATAGTGGTGGGTTTAGTGGCCACTTTAGTGTCCTCTCCAAGTAGTCCTTGGCGAGCCTCCATATTTTCCCAGAATCAAGAATTTTTGGGCAAATTCTCCAAAAATTCCAGGTTTCAAGGTAAATTACCTTCCTATTGAGGACTACACTTCAAGATTTTCCCAGTTCTAGTTAAAATTTCGAGCTCTTATTTGATTTTCTATTCGATTTCCCTTTCATTATTCTTATCGAATATCTCCCCTATGTTTCAGACCCCCTTGGAAGAAAAATCAAGTCAAAACCAACTCCTCGAAGACGACAAGGGCGAGTTGCTGATCCCGAACGACCTGATGGAACTGAACGACCCCGATGTGATCCAGACTGTTGTGCATGTCCACGGCTCGTTTCAGGGCCTCATCGATCGGCTTGAGTTGCGCCAGGAACTCCTTTCCGGTCGACCTTTCGGTGACCGTAAAAGGGGCTCCACTAGCGGCCTTCCTGCAAAATACCACCACTACAGTCGTTCCTGAGGTTCTTAAACGTCTTAAAAATCTTTCAAGGCTTTTAGGCACCTACAGCTTCAAAATGGGCTTTAAAATGATAGAAAAATGATCCAAAATGGCTCAAAACAGAACCTAGAAATCACTTACCTTGCTCAAAAAATGGTATTACAATTCAAAAAAGATAGATAATAAAAATAAAAGAGAGAATGAGATTCCAAAGGTAAGAATTCTAAATCAACTAATTCCGACAAGGACACGACTATATTCGAAAATATTTTCGCTTAAGTTTTCACTTGGTGGTATCTTGCAGGAAGCTTCTTCCCGAGCTTTTCCTCATTTTCAAGTAACTTTTCCCTCCCATTCATATGCTTCCATGTCCCAATTTTTTGCTTCATTTTCGTGCCATGCAGTTTGGAAAATGAAACCTGAAAAAAAATCACGAAAATCAAGCAAAAAATCCAACACACAAAAGCACACAAATGGAGAGAAAACACTTACTTTTTCCGGGTTGTTATACCTTTTTCGGAGTAAAAACTCGGGAAGAGAGCCATTTTCCGGACGTCACTCATTTCCGCCATTCTCGATAAGCCACCGACACGAACAAGTGGACATGCACGCGATTTGCGCCAGTCGAATTGGTTGCTTGGCGCAAATCGAGTGCTGGCGCTTTTTCTTAAAGAAAAAGCGTGGTTAATCAAATACGCGGACCCGACGTGGACAAAGGGATTTACGTGTTAATTAAGTACAAATCCGATGAATGAAGAGCAATTTTTTATTCTTCTGCCATTTCAGGACACGCGGCCGGGCGGTCCAAAAACGGCGGGAAAGCACATTAAAAAAAATTCTTTTTCGAGAAGTTTGGGTACAATCGAATGAATCACAAGGCTAGCGAAATGAAGAAAAAAAAGAATACAATTTAAATACAATAATATATGAAACTAAGCGAAATTAAAAACTGAAAAACGTTTGGCTGGAGCACTGGGAGGGGCGTGTGGCAAAGTTAACCGGATTTTTCACCGATGAGCAAAAATCATTTGAGAAAAAATAGCCTTTGGGAAACAGTAACCTGGGTGGTGGAAGAAGAGAACCGGATGAAGAAAAAAAGAACATAAAATTTTGCTACAGTAATCTGGTGCGCATTCCTTGTTTGAAAAATACGGTAACCTACAAAATTGTAGGTTACTGTATTCTTTAAAGCACTTCAAATATCGTTGCAGTGAAAGAGAGGTATCTAAAAGCTTCAAACATCATCTCAACCAAGGTCTACAGTAACCTCAAAAAAGATACAGTAATCCCTGGGCACTGGAATCGACTGTTAACTTCTACAAGGCTACTGTAACCTAGATTGTTCTGAGCTTTTTTTTCATTTCTACCGTAACTGCTTGACAAAACCTACAGTAACTTCTCGTTCCAAATCATACAGTAATCCTCAATCCCTAAATCTACAGTAAGAAAATGCGCACCGTAATCCGAGAAAACAGCTCATTCCTGGGCACTGGAATCAACTGAATTTTCATACTACAGTAATTTTTGGACTACTGTAGCAATAGACATATAACCCGAACCGTTGAAAAAACCAAAAACAACGTGTTTCGGTTGGGTTTTTTGCTGACATATAGACATATAGAGTCAAATTGGTCCGATTTTCGACCAATTTGGCTTGAAAAAAACGGAAAAAACGAGGAAATATATGACAAAAGTGTGTGTGGGTGGGCAAAAAAGGAGCTGGAAAAATATAAGATTTGATTTGATTACTTTTCTTCGTTCTCAGAGATCTCGTAGAGCTCTTTGACGCGTCGCGATTCGATTGGGACACGTCTTCTGGGGATTTCCACGTCGTTGTAGTCGCCGTCGGCTGGAAAATCGAAAATTTGAGGCTTACAAATTTTTTGAATGGAAAGCCAGTCGCATGGAGAGAGCCTCAACGCATAAATTAGGGCCGCGACGCACTCTGAGCCATTCCAAATGCGACCAACGATTTTTCAACCTTCTAAAGGTTTCTAGCTTTCAGAATAGTCAGTTCTAATCAAATAAGAACTGAACAAAGAGAAAAACCGGAAAAGAACCGCTTGAAAAATGCGGAGAGCCATTTCAAATGCGACCAATAGTTTTCCCTAAAGAGGTACCTTCAACGGTGACGGTGCAGGAGGAGGTCGCCTGGCCGGCGTCGTTTATGGCGACACAGGAGTAGATTCCGCTGTCGCGCCACATCGGATCGTTGACGATCAGGGAGCACAGGTAGGGGCCGTCCTGGACGAACTTCACCCTGGACGACTCGACGATCGGCCGCCATTCCTGAGAGGAGGAAATTGGTTGATTGAAGTTCTTCATGTTGGCTTCTTACTAGAAATTCAACCGAGAAAAAAAAAACTGTGACAAAAATAGCCGCGAAAAACTTAACATTTGCGCTCCATGGACAATTTTCATTCAAATCGGACCTCGGTAACGCGATTATTTGGTTTTTTTCTGGGCATTTCTAGGGACCACTCAAGAGGGATGAGGCTACTAAAGGGGTCACTAGAAACGCCTGGACGTTGCTAACGCAAACGGCCGAACTCCGAACGTCTTTGAGCGATTCAAGGGATCACTTAAGAGCGATGACACCACTAAAGTGGTCACTAGAGATACCCGGACACGTCTGTTTTGCATACATACATTGGTAGTGCGAAACGGACGTGCTCCGGACATTTCTGGGCGTTTCTAGAGATCACTTAAGAGGGCTGGAGCTACTAAAGTGGACATGGATCAATAATCATGAATATCTTTGTTAATTTCCATCTCCCTGATCATTTCAAGCTCATTTTTTTTTTCACAAATCAAGCTCAAGACAACATTTTCTTCCTTTCACCTTCATCCACTTGAGCTCAGGGAATGGCTGTCCTTCGACTCGCACATCTAACCGCATCGGATGAGCCGATGAGAAGGTTTTGTTGACCAAGGGCTGGATGAAGTTGGGTCGGGCTGCATGGGGAAAAAGTGTTCGCATTTTACAGAGAAGTTATACTCACTGGCAATATCGACCATGATATTTTGCTGGGCATCACCGTATTCGTTGGTCGCAACGCATTGGTATTGTCCAACGTTGTCCTGGAAAAATCGTTTATTTTTCGAAAAGCAACGCTTTAAGCCATTCCAAATGCGGCCAAGAGGTACGATAATTCATTTGATAACTTGGTAACTAATAACTATCAAAAAAACTTCAACAGAAAAAGCTCAAATCTACTTTCAAATTTCAAAAAATTCAACGCGACCGCGTCGAGCCATTCCAAATGCGGTCGTTTTTTACATTCGAACCAAATTTTATTATGCCAACAAAAGACTTATTAACTTAACAAGTAAAATTCTTAATTTTTATACGAATCTTGAAACGTATGTTCAAAAGGAACTAGGGAACAAGAATCGCTTAACAAAATAATCGAAATCTAGTTAAATTTCAACTTTTTTTATTCTTTTTATTATGTTGAAAAACTACTGAAACTAGTTCTTCCTATAACAAAAATCTACTTTTTGAAACAAAATCAAAAAAAAAAAACTCAAACTTCAGTAACATAGAAACTTTCTGAGAAAACCTATTACGATGATAATTATTATTAAAATCACCTTGCTGAATCCGGTGATGGTCAAAGTGGTTTCAGTGCCTCCGTACGTGTAGACCTTGCACTTGGACGTCGGACTCGTCGTGTCAATGTCCCAGCCTTTAAAAAGCGATCATTTTCCCATCCCAAGCCTTTCCAATTCAAAACCTCGGAATTTCCACTTGATATCCGGATCAGGGTAGCCGGAAACGTTCAAAATGATGGTCAGGGTGTCGTTTTCGGCACAATATCTCTTTTCGGTCACACCTGGCGCGAACCACGGAGCGCACGCTGCAAATTCAGAGAGGTGGTTTGTTGGTTTTCCGCGCAAGGCATGTCACGCGCCTCGATAGCTCAGTTGGGAGAGCGTTAGACTGAAGATCTAAAGGTCACCAGTTCGATCCTGGTTCGGGGCATTTCTTTTTTGCTTTTTTTTATAGAAGCTATTTGTGTTTCATATGGTTTTAAAGATTTTTTGAAGCTTGGAAATTGAATAAATTGCTTTTTTCAAGATATTTGATGGTCAAAAAGGACATTTCAATTTTTTAAGAGTGATAATTTCTCACTTTAAACTCGATGGAAGTTAAATTTATCTCAGGATATAAAAAAAGCTTTGAAATTTAAAAAAACTTGATCTAAGAAAAAAATAGAACATATAAATCGTTGCAAAAACATTTTTAAAAATCGAAATCTTTTAAAAAAACTTGAAAAATAATTTCCAGAAATAATTTACTTATTAAAAAAATTATACTATTATTTTTATCTCCAATTCTAAAAACCCTTTATTTTTTTAAAAAAACTGATGTTTTTTTGTGTTTTAATATATCCTACTCTTTGAAAACTATCCAAAACCAGGCCGCTATTGACGCCAAACTGAGCCGAGGCGTTCATCAGCCTCGATAGCTCAGTTGGGAGAGCGTTAGACTGAAGATCTAAAGGTCACCAGTTCGATCCTGGTTCGGGGCATTTCTTTTTTTGCTTTTTTTAAGATACCTATATTGTTTTTGGAGATGTTTTGAAGCTCTTCAAGTGTCATTTTCTTCAAATTTCGTTGTTTTTAAAGTTAAAAAACCATATTGTTCAGCATGACGAAGATCCAGAGCTCTTTCTGCGTAGGGATCAAGAAGCGGGATGACTTTGTTGGTTCGTTTGTCGAAGACTGGCTGTGGTGGGGCCATTAATCTGAATTTGACCAATTTATATGATTTTTTTGATTTTTCAATAAACCTAGAAGGAGGAGAAGCCGGCGATGGGTCAGAAATACCATAGATATTTTTCGGCTCTGACCCGGAATTGGTAGGATTTGCCGAGTTCCAAGTTTCGGACCTTGCAAACTGGTTCCGGGATGTTGTAGTCCAGCTGAAAAGGAACCTTTGAAAATGATTTCTGAACTAAAAAATTCCAAATTGAGCCAAAAAACGTCAAAAAATGAGAAGAATTTGTATCGAAAATGCTCATTTTTTTTTACCATTTCTAAAATTATTCCAAACCTTCAAAATTTGATTTTAAAGCTCAGAACTAAAATTTCCATGTATCGCTATCTGAAAATTATGAAATTACCCTAGAGGATTTCCAATTTTCATTGACCTGCTCGCACTTGGAATGGCTCAAATCTTGGAAGTCTCTTCCTTATTTTAAGAGTTCTATGGTACCAAGGAGCGAAAGTCGTTTCAGGTCGGGCCAATCGAGCCATTCCAAGTGCGACCATGGCTTTCAAGTTAGAACAAACAGAAAAGACCAAAAAAAAGGGATTTTTGAATTTTTCGAGTACTTTTTTATTAACTTACAACAAACCTTACTTGACCAACTTTCATAACAAATCCTAGATTTTCAGGTATTTTTTTTTCAAAACCCTTCTCTCCCAAACCCACCAAGGTCCACTCCTTCTCGGGAAGCTCTCGAATTTCGATGACGTAGGTCACTTGAGGGTATCGCGGTGGAGCGCGTTTGGTCGGGATCCACGAGAGGGTCAAATAATGGCCGGTGACCTCCTTGATGAACGGACCACGGTCGGGTGGCGTTGGGAGGCCTGGAAATGGGATTTTTTAGGTTTTGGAGTGCGAATTTCAAGACTTACTGGCATAGTTGAGCTTCTTGAATCCGTATTCTTCGGTGAGGTAGGGCGTCACGTCGATCTCTCCGTTGAATTTGATGTTGTCGAGGAATGGAACTGGAAAAATGTGATTTTTTGAACCTTTTCCCTGTCGAATTCGAGCGAAAATTCAGACATCATCGCATTTTTTAAATTTTTTGGGGTTAACAATGGATTTTGTCAACAAGAAAGCTTAGCTAGATTCAAAAATGCGACAATTTTAAAATTAGCGCCAAACTGGGAAATGTCTAGAGGTCACTTGAGGGTTTTGAAGTTTTAATGGCTACTGTAGCCGTCGAGTTAGTGGCCACTTAAGTGGCTAAATTTTAGTGGACTCTTTAGAAGTCTACGTGGTACTACTAAACCACTACGACGAATAATATTGGCTTCTACAAAGGCGGTTTAAGTGACCACTTTAGTGTCCTTTTCAATTAGTCGAATAAGTGGCCTCTTAAGTGGCAAAAATTAGGGGCCTCTTTAGGAGTCTGCGTGGTACTTTAGACCGCTAAGATGCAGAATACTGGCCTCTATAAAGGTGGGTTTAGTGACCACTTTAGCGTCATTTTGAATTAGTCGAATAAGTGGCCACTTAAGTGGCTAAAACGGGCCTTTTAAAAAGTCTACGGGGTACTACGATACTACTAAGTTGGTCTCTCTGAAAGTGACCACTTTAGTGTTCTCTCCAAGAAGTCCTTGGCGGACCCCTTAAGTGGTCACTAGAGCCTTCTCTAGAGAACGCTTTCACAAGAAGCAAGTGCTGTAGGGGACCGTTTAGGCTGAGAAAAATGACATTCAAAGAACGTTCAAGCTTCCCTAAAGTTTCTACTGTCCTTATAGTGACATTTCCCCCTTCTGAATCCTCACCAGTGACGTCTAAGACGGCGGAAGACGAGGCGGTGCCGTGGCTGTTCTTCGCGACGGCGACATACTCTCCAGCGTCGTCCATCGTCGTGTCGAGGATGATCAGGGCGTGCGATCCGCCGCCACACGATTGGATCTTGATCCGGCCGCCCGGGACGATCTTCTTGCCGTTGTGGAACCATTCGACATCTGGAGCCGGATGTCCGACGACGAGGCAGTCGAAGATGGTCGGCATGTGGTTGAAGACGTGCTTGTTCTTGAGTTGGCGGACGAATCCGGGCGGGAATGGCATGCCGCCGCTGGAAAAAGTTTGATTATCAATAGAGCAAATAAGCTGCATCTATTCGGGCTATTTTTTGATTCCCTACCGGTCATTATCTCCACCGAGGCCAGCATGTCTTGGTCGGATGACGTTCAGGGATCCTTCAGTCTTTGCCGATCCGAGCTTGTTGGTGGCTTCCAGGCTGTACTCGCCCTCGTCTTCTGGGGCTCTGAAAAAGGGCTGAATGAGCTGAAGATGATCAACAAGGACGTACGAGTTGACGATGACCAGATGATGGATGCCGCGTTCGTCGGTGAAGATGACGCGTTTGCCGTCGGGGCCGTCGCTGATGATCTCCTGGCCGTCCTTGTACCATTTCACCGTCGGTGTTGGGACTCCGGTCGCGCAGACGATCATCTCCACGACGCTTCCCTGCAGAAAAGGGGGTTTGGAAGGTCCTAGCCAAGACGAATTCAAAAAAGGTTTGTTGTACATAGACACAGGTCCGGTGTGAAAAAAGCGGCTTTTTGTTCTGGATTTTTCTGGAAAGAGGAAAAGGACAATGAAGCAAAAGCCGAAAAAATGATACTTTCTATGTATAACTGCGCAAGTCGTTTCAAGTCGGGCGCACTTTAAAATAGCCCCATCCTTGCTCCAATCCATTTAAAATTGATCTATAGATTTTTTTTTTGATGATGATTATCTAGATAGGATGGGGCTATTTTAAAGTGCGCCCGACCCAAAACGACTCGCGCAGTTACGCATAGAAAAGTATCATTTTTTCGGCTTTTGCTTCATTGTCCTTTTCCTCTTTCCAGAAAAATCCAGAACAAAAAGCCGCTTTTTTCACACCGGACCTGTGTCTATGTACAACAAATGTACATGTGTCTAATCCCTTTCTCAAACAATTATTTTTCTTCGAACAACCCTGAGGTTTCCCCCAATTTTCGTCCACCAATTCCCCTCCCTACTCAAAATGACGAACACAATAAATAAAAAAGTCCATATTTGTGCACTTCCGCCCCAACAATTCTTTGGATTTCGTCACAAGCCGGAAAAAAAGTGACTCAGTGCAAACGTTTCTTCTACTTTTTCTTCCATTGTCCCAAGTTTATCGCAACTTTTTTCTTTTTCTATTGACCTACTAGGGCGGCTCCCGCGGCTACGTATGTGTGAATGAAATGAGCAAACTTTGACCCTTTTCAATGATTTCTTTTTTTTTTCTCGTTTCTAAAGCTGAAAACTTGAGTTTCACTACAGTATTTCATTGTTGAAAAATGAAAAAATTCAAATTTTTTTCGATTTTTATAGACTTGCTGGACTAATATAACCTTTCAATATCTGAAAAAAATTCAAAAAAATTCGGTTCTTTTTCAAAAAAAGGATATATTCTTCTTGATAATCGAAAGACCTTTTGTACTTGAAGATTTAAAAATCTGTAAAATGCGACCGTTTTCCAAAAAAAAAAATCCACGTGAAAATCTGAAATTCGGACAAATTTCATCACAAAATCTCAATGAAGGACTACTGCAGTAATTGAAAAGGAAAAATTCAAAAATCTGTAAAATACGACCGTTTTTGATTTTATCGCTTCAAAAAAAATGAAAAAAATCCAAAAAAAGCCATTAGACAGGTGTATGCCCTTCTCAGACGAAAATTGGTCAAAAAAATCCGAAATTCGAAAAAAATTTCATCACAAAGTTTCAATGAAGGAGTTCTTCAATGATTTGACTGAAAAAAAATCCAAAAATCTATAAAAAGCGATCATTTTTTTATTCTTTAGGCCTCGATAAAGGCAACGAAGTTTTAAAAAAACCATAAATCTGTAAAATTAGAAAAAAATTCCTCTCAAAAACCGACATTATATCTTCTCAAATTTCGCCACTTTACCCAATTTCAAAAATTTTCTATTTTAAGCCAGGTCCAAATTTGGACCTTGAAAAGAGCACTCAACCTCCTTTTTTCAGTTGATTGCCTCTCAATTTTTTATAGTCCAGTCAAAGAATATATATACTCAGACCTTGGTAACGCGAACGGGACGCGAATCGGACGTGTCGGGGCATTTCTAGTGACCCCTTTAGTAGCCTCAGAACTCTTAAGTGATCTCTAGAATCGCCCAGAAACGTCCGGAGCACGTCCGTTTCGTGTTACCAATGTCCGAGTAGAGAGATTAGTCAGGCGTGGATTGCGTTGGCGCAAACTTGATTCTTTTTTTGTTGATTTACATGAAAAATGAGTCATTTCGGAGCATTTTAAAAGCTTTGAAATGACTGTAGAGGGTCATTTTGGTCGTTTTCTGTGGGTTGGGAGAAACTTGATTTCTCGGCCTTTTTTTCAGTTGGTTTTCTTGAAAAATGAGTCATTTTAAAGCTTTTTTCAGCTTTTAAATCGTGGAAATCGGTCATTTTGGTCCATTTTTCTGTGGATTGAAAGAAACTTGATTTCTCCGCCTTTTTTCTGTTGATTTACTTGAAAAATGAGTCATTTCGAAGCATTTTAAGAGCTGCGAAATTGCTGTAAAGGGTCATTTTGGTTCACTTTTCTTCGGATTGGAGGAAACTTGATTTATCCACCTTTTTCTGTTGATTTACTCGGAAAATGAGTCATTTCGAAGCATTTTTTGAGCGTTTGAATCCTGGAAATTGGTCATTTTCGTCCAATTTTTCTGTTGATTATTTATAAAGTTGTCTTATAGAAAATCATTTCTGTTTTTTTGCGTTTTTTTCAAGCCTAAAAAGGGTATGGAAAGATAGCCTGAGTTAATTTTCCAGTTAATTTTCAGAAAAATCACATTTTCCTACTGATCTTCAAGTTTTTTAGAGCTACCCAAAGTCCTCAAAACAACTGAAAATGAAGAAAAATCTTTAAAAATCTAGATTTTTCCTCCTTGAAGCGTCCCCTGTTTCATTGAAAAACATTCTAAAAAAAGAATAATTTTTTTCCCAAATTTTTCTGCCATTTTTTTCTCGGAAGTGTCCCCTGTTTCATTGAGAACATTCTAAAAAAGAATAACTTTTCCCAAATTTTTTTCTTAAAAAAGTCCAAATTTCGTTCCCTCAACTAGACCGTTTCTCAACATCTTTTTGTTCTCCCAAGCAGAAAAAAAAAAGGTGAAAGACGAAAGTTTAAGCCGGAAACAAATAAGGTTTTGGCACAAGGTAAGTTTTTTTTTTCCCTTTCGCTACGTCAAACGTTCCACGTGAGTGTTCCGCTACAAACGTCACAGGTGAAGCTTAAAATTGTCTGAGAAAATTGTGAGCAAAATTTTCTGGCTTCTTCTTTTTTTTCTTTCCAAGTGTAACCCTAAAGTCTCTTAGATCCCGATTTAAAAATCGGGATCTTTTTCTTACCCTAACTCCGTAATTTCAAATTCCGAACTCATTATTCAATATTACTGCCCGGAAACCTTATCACTTTAACCTCGTACGATACGGAAAAGCCACCAAAAATATCGTTCCAAAGTACGGAAACGAGACGAAAAACTTATCGCTTATCAGATGATGTTTATATCAACGCTTCTTATTTTCAGCTTGATAAAATCACCTTTTCACCCTTTTTCCTGATCAAACTACGGTCCGGGATGATTTTTTGTGTTGTTTTCAGTTCACTTACGGTTAACCTAGTTAGTTGAGACTTTCGGCTAAAAATGTCCGCACTTTACAGATTTTTCGGACTTTTTTATTGCATTTACTGTAGAAGTTGTTGACTGAAACTTCGAACTAGAAAATATCCGAGTTTTACAGATTTTTTCGGGTATTCCAGTTCAATTACTACAGAAAATCTTGGTAGTAACATTTGGATGAAAAATGTTCGCACTTTACAGATCTTTTGGGTCCTTTTTATTAAAAAATACTATAGAGGTCTTTTGGTGAGATCTCCAGTTAAACATGTTCGCATTTTACAGATTTTTCGGACTTTTTATCACATTCACTATAGAAGTTGTTGCCTGAAACTTCAGAATTGAAAATATTCGCATTTTAGAGATTTTTTTCGGTTATTCCAGTTCAATTACCACAGAAAAGCTTCTTAGTGAAATTTGGATGTAAAATGTTCGCATTTTACAGATTTTTTGGGTACTTTTTAGTACAAAATACTATATAGGTCCTTCGGTGAGATCTTAGGCTAAAAGTGTTCGCATTTTACAGATTTTTGGACTTTTTATTGCACTTCCTGTAGAAGAAAATTTTGGTAGTGAAATGAGGATGAAAAATGTCCGCACTTTACAGATTTTTTGGTTCATTCTCAGTTAAAATTCATAGAAATCCTACAGTGAGACTTAACGCTCTAAATATTTGCACTCTACAGGTTTTTGAAAGATTTTTTCGGGTCAATCAATATAATATTGATTTTTCATCTTTGATCCTTTTCCAATCGATTGATACCTCATGAATGCTCATGTTGTAAAGTCCTCGTCTGATTCTCGGCTTGCATTCCTCCGGCTCCTTGTTCTTGTCTTCATCACCCGGCTTCGTCGCCTTCGATCGATCTCCTGAAAAAATCGATTTGTTTCAGTTATTTGAATGTTAAAATATCGATTGGCGCGGTGACAAAAATGATAAATTCGCGGATTTTCCTATCATTCTGCACGTTATGGATGACGACGGCACAGCCGACTATTCCACTGAAGTGTCCAAAGGTGGGCAATTCGATTAAAAAAGGGAATGGCTCGCTTGCGTAGCGGTCGCGTTGCGGTTTCAGATTTTTTTAATGGTCCCAGATTCGTTTTTTCAACTTTTTTCATGTAGAAAACCTTTCGTGCAAAAATCCTCAGTATAGAAAAGCGTAGCCGCATTGAGAATGGCTCATTTGCGGAGCGGTCGCGTTGCGGTTCATTACAGTAACCTATCAATTCTCCCTGTCTATCTTTGAATTACTGGAAGAAAGAATTTTCACTAGCCATCCCAGGAGTCTTGTATCAGGCCAAACAAGGTCACAAATAAACTTTTTGAATCAAGAATTCCGACCCAAATCTCTCCCATTTCCAGGGCTGGCACCACGACGAACAAGGCCGAACATGTTACTATGTGGCCCGGAGGAAAATGTCCCTGAACGACGCTCATCAGTACTGTCACAAGCTTTCCGAAGGCTCCCACTTGTTGCGGATAGAATGCGGCGGCGAGAATGACTTCGTCACCGGTTTTTTTTTCAACTCAACAATAAGTCTAATATTCGAAGTTAAGGTCTACTGCGACCACCGAGCAAAGTTTGGATTGACGCCCGTGCTCGGTTCGATATTCTAGACGGTTCGGCCGGTCTTTTCGGTCCTGGATTCGTTTTCCGGTGGCCTAATGGTGAGTGATTTGGTCGTGAAAAATCGAGAAGAAATTGTGCAAAAAGAGCTGCGGAAGTTAGAGCTGCTAAATCTCTGAAAGTGCGCTCCACCGCTAATCAATATGGCTGACGGATTTTTTGATCTTTTAAAGTTATACTTCTTTATGAAAAATCGTGAAAATGACATTATCAATGGAGCGCGCTTTCTTCCTTTCATCGCGGCTATTTTTTCCTGACACAGTCGAATATGTTCCATGTTCCTTTTTTTTCTAAATTCCGTCTGATATGTCTGCACTCTCACTTTCCCTTCCCCTTGCTTCAAGGTTGCTTCAAAAAAGTGCCCCGAAACTTCAAAACCATTATGATTCGACTAAAACCAATCCATCTCAGGAAAAATCGTCCGATTCACGAAATGGGCCGATGGGAATGGCGTAAACGTCATAGACAAGCTGAACAAATGCGTTCTGATGGAGGAGACGGGTGCTTGGACCAACGCCGACTGCGACTCGACGGCGTCGGTCATCTGCGAGAAGCGACTCCATCGACCTTATGAGAAGTTCTGTCCGAAGCATTGGGTCTACAACAAGGAGACCGCAGCCTGCTATCGGACCATTTCCAAGACCAACATGACGATTTTGGAGGCCGATGATCGGTGCTTCAGTTTCGGTATGTTCGGGGTCCCATGGGTGTGTTTCTTGAAGCCCAGTTTACATTGTGGTCACTATGAATCTAAATCATTCAAATCCTCGTTGAACCTTCTGAAGTGGTCACTAGAGTGCATAGAAGACTACTGAAGTTATGAGGATGCTTTCTAAAAATCACAAAGCTCCAGTTAGACACCTAAAGTGGTCACTATAGGTTCTAGCAGCCCAGGAACTTCATTATGACTTCTTCAATGATCAATACCAAGTCCAATAAGCTTCTTTTAATGCTCTAAAGGGGCCACTTAAAATTTTAAACGTCTAGGAGCTCCAATTAGACCACTCTATAACTACTAGTATCTTCCACGGTGCTAAATTTGACCCCTCAAGTGACCACTAGGAATCTCATTTGGACCTCTCAAGAGCATACTAAATACAATGATCTGAACTCCTTCCAGGCCTTGAACATCGACAGGACGCCATGCTTACAAGTGTCAGCGACGAAATGGAGAACAAATTCGTCCTGGGTAAGACTTCTAGGAGGAGGTTCATCTCTGTGAAACTTCCAGAACTAGCCAAGGAGAAGAACAGCAACTTTGAATTCGTCTTTTTGGGCGGATACGGGCGGTCTAACAACGGGAACAAGTGGCACTGGATGGATGGTCAGTTTGAAAATCGAAATTGTATCCAATTAGCTATGGAGCGCACAAAAATCATCGTCAGGAGCTATTTCTTCAGGCTCCTCATTCAAGTACCAAAACTGGGACCGGGGAATGCCGTTTGGCCGGAGAGCCCTGGCCGTTCTGGTGATGAACAAGCGAGGGAAATGGGTCAATCACTACGCCGACAGAATTCTCTCGCAGTTCAATGCCGTCGCCGTTTGCAAGTTCAAGTCATAGATCCTTTTTTTCCTTCTCTTTTTTTTATTGCCTCCAAGGCCCTAGAAATCATAATATATACCTTCATACTTGAAATAAAAAAAGAGCCGCGGAAAATTATTTGATAACTGTGCTCCATGGAGAAAATTGACCGGATTTTTGAAGTAATCATCTTCATGAATAATATCTATAGCCTGGAACTCCACTGAAAAAAATCAGATCAAGTTAAAAAGCTTCTACTTCAATTTTTTTTCAATGGAGCGCGATTGTTTTTATTTCCGCGGCTCATTTTCAATCAACCTCTCAAAAAAGTCATGCTCCTCGATCTCATATTGTTTTTTTTTTATTTTTGTTATCAATATTTGAATAAATATCTTTGAAATCTCCTCTTTAAAAATAAAGATTGAGAGCTGCCTGAGAAGGAAAAATAATCAAGTTTTTTTAAGAAGGAAAAAAATTAAAAAAACCCTGTTTCAATATTGAAAAATTGGATCAATATACACACAAAGGTGTCATTCAAGTTGATTAAGATGATTGAATATCTGATAAAAATTATCAAGAAATCCAAGTTTCAGCTAATTAAAAATTAAGCCTAAGCTGATAAGAAGAATTATCTGAAAAATCAACTCAAGCTTATTGAAAAACAGAAAAAATCAAGCTCCGAGCTCCCTGAAAGACGTCACAGAATCAACCAAACAAAACCAACCGTCAATGACGAGTTCGGCCTTGGTGGAAGCCGTTCCGTGCTCGTTGGTGGCGACGCATCGGAAGTAGCCCTCGGAGAGGAACTGGACGTCGACCAAGGTCAGCTTCTGAGTTCCATCCGCGGCGGCTTCGATCTTGTACTTCTCGCTGGAGAACAGCTCCAGGCCGTCTTTGAGCCATTTGATCGAGGGGAACGGGTTTCCGAATGGGAGGCATTCGAAGGTGACCGAGTCGCCCGGCTTGGCCCGCTTGATCGTCAGCGGGATCGTGAAGCCGGGCGCCTTGCCCTCCCGGATCGACGAGTCGATGTCCCGGGGCTTTCGGTCGCCGCCTAAATTGATCATTTCTGAGAGAAGGTGAAGCTTCAGAGGGTCAAGCTGTTGTAGAAAGATTCAGCCGATTCGGTAAAGCTTCAAAAGTTTTTGAGAAGAGGTGATTTTTCATTCAGGGCATCCATCATTGCGAAAAACTTTGAAAGCAGCCAGTTATTTCGAAAAAGCCAATAAAGCCATTTTATAAGACCAAAATTAACCTGAACTCGATTGACCTCCAGATGAAGTCACTGAACTCAAATTTATGAGGAGTTTGAACTTTTTTCGAGTTTTCCTAACGTCTATGAGGGGATTCGAAAACTGAGCTTCTTCCGGAAAAGTACTGATTCTAATGGTTTCAGGCTCAAAAATCAAAGAATCGTTGAAATTGAAGAAAAAAAAACTGACGAATAACGTTGACATCGCAGCTGGTCCTGGCCGATCCGTAGGTGTTCTCAGCGACGCAACGATAACCTCCAGCGTCCTGACGGATCGCCGAATCGATGACCAGTTCGCAGACGCCGTCGGGAAGCTCGTTCTGAATCAACCACGATTAATTTGTTTGCAACCAATCAACCAGGATTCAGAACTCACCAGCTTCAGACGACCGTAGGGGAAGACGCGTTCGCCGTCCTTGAACCACTTGATCGTCGGTTTCGGATCGCCGCTGAACTTGCATCTCAGCGTGAAGGCCTGCTTCTCCGGGATCTGAATTCTCGAATAATATTTTTTCTGTCTTCCCTGAAGCTCACTCTGACACTCTCCAAAGGCTGGACGAGCTTCGGCGCCTTGTTGGCGTCGAATCCATCGCCGCCAGCGGACGGGCTTCGGGCTTTGGCATCGCCTTTCGGCAACTTCTTGACCGTCGCGTTACCCTTGTCTTGAGCGGATCCGGAAGGATTCGTGGCGATGACACGGTAGATTCCATCGTCGTCGTAGACACACGATGGGATGAGCAACGTGGCGACGCCGTCAGGAGACAAGGAGATTTGGATCCTCTCGGAAGGCTGCACGATGGCGCCGTCCTTGTACCAGGTCATCTCAGGCAGCGGGCTAGCGTCGACTTTGCATTCCAACTTGAGAGGCTGTCCTTCGGTGGCACGAGCGTCGCCCAACTTGATGGCGAATCTCGGAGGTTTGCCTTGGTCCGAAGACTTGGCGCCGAGGCCATCGTCGATTCTGACAAAGGATTTGGTAGTGGCCGAGCCGTTCTCATTGTTGGCAACACATCGGTAGGTTCCTTCATCAGCGACGGTGGCGTTCTTGATCCTCAACTGGTAGGAGCCCTTGGCTTCGTCGATGTTCCAGTCGTAGCGAGGGTCCTCCCAAATCGGACCGCCATCCTTGGACCATTTGACAGTCGGGTTGGGCACACCGGTGACCTTGCACTCCAAATCGATGATCGAGCCAACGGCCACGGTCATGTCGGAGAGTTCGATGATGAACTTTGGCGGCTTGCCTTCGTCCATCTTCGGCTTCTCCGTCTTGCCGAGGGCCATTTGGACGTGGGCGGTGGCCTGAGTCTTGGCCTTGCCGTGCTTGTTCTCGGCTTCGCATCTGTAGATGCCCTCGTCGCTCATCGTGCATTCCTTGATCGTCAGAGAGCAGGTGCCATCTGGCGAGGTCTCCACAACGGATCGAGGTCCATTTCTGACGAGTTGGCCGTTGCGATACCACTTGATTTCAGGGGTTGGATCGCCAGTAACAGCACACTTTAAGATGAAGGTTTCACCACGATCAGCCCAAATGTCGACAAGACCCTTGGTGAAGAATGGTTCAGCTCCTTCCTTCTTGACTTCAGTCTTCGGAACTTTGACGCCGACGCTGCAGCTGGTGTTGATGGTTCCATGGGCGTTGGTGGCCACACATCGGTAAGCTCCAATGTCGTTCTCAACAGTGTCATTGATGGTGAGTCTGGCATTGCCTTCTTCGTCATATTCCATGGTGATTCTAGAATCGGCGCGAAGTGGAAGTCCATCCTTGTACCAGACGACTCCAGCTCGAGGGATGGCATCAACCTTGCAGAACAGTCTGACCGGCTGTCCTGCGTTCACCGTCTGATCTTCGAGTCCAGGGTTGATCTTTGGCGCGTACTCCTTGCGATGTTCTTCCTCAACATGTTCAGCAACTTCAACCGAGTAGGTTGCTTGAGTTTCAGCTTGTCCAAGGTCGTTCACAGCGACGCACATGTAGACACCAGTGTCTGCCTCGGTGAATGGAATGATATTCAGACGGCAGGCGCCATCAAGCGAATTTCTGATCTCAATATGGCCTGAAGGCTCGATTTTCTTGTCGTCTTTGAACCATTCGATGGTGGCCGTGGGATTGGCGTCGACGTGGCATTCGATGAACATCGGGTCGTTGAGGGGGATTCTTCGGTCCCAGAGAGGAACGTTGAATCTTGGTGGGTAGCGAAGGTCGTCACGCTCCCGATCTGGATGCTCATTGCCTTTCTGGAACTCGGCTTGAGTATCAGCCTCGCCGAGGTCGTTCTTGGCGACACATCGGATCGTTCCAAAGTCCTCTTCCCGCACGTCTTTGATCGTGAGACAGAAGTTTCCATCTCCCAAATCGTCAACCTTGACGCGGTCGTCGAACTTGATAGACTTGTCGTTGAGGAACCATTGAAGCGCTGGCTTGGGCAGGCCACGAACCTTGACGTTGAACTCCTTCTTCTCTCCGGGGAGAGCTGCAGACGACGTCAATGGAATGACAAAGTGAGGCTTTGATGGCTGTTCTCCTTGATCTTTGACAGTCACTTGGCAAGCGCTAGTAGCACTTCCAGCCTCATTTGTTGCGATAACGCGGTACTGACCGAAGTCAGACTTTTTGGCGGACCTAATTCGAAGAGTGGCAGTACCGTCGAGAGCAACGCGGATTGCGATGCGGTCATCCTTCGTCAGAGGAACTCCGTCCTTCTCCCACTTGACCTCTGGGAATGGTTCTCCACCAACAACACACTGAAGAGTCAGCATGTCTCCTTCTTCCACTTCGGTGTCCTTCAGAGGAGAAAGGAAGTTGGCTCCAGAAGTCGTGTCTTTCGGCTTGGCAGCCTTGACGTGAACCACAGAGCCGCTGTAAACTTCACCCTTGTCGTTGGCAAGTACAACTCGGTAGGCTCCACCATCCGACTTCTTCGAGCTTGGAATAGTCAGAGAGAATTCTCCGCTTTCTGGCTTGTCTTCGGTCTTCAAGTCTGCACTTGGAGCAAGTTCTTGTCCGTTTTTGTACCATTTGACGGTCTTGGGAACTCCTTCCACCTTGACCTTCAGCTCAACGGGCTCACCCTCGGTCACGTTGACGTCCTTGAGTCCGTCGATGACCTTCAGAATGTTAGGTTTGGTAACAGTAAGATCTGCCGAAGAATCGCATTCTCCAGCTGCATTTCCCAAGACAACTTTGTAGGTGGCTCCATCGTCAAGTTGGGCCTTGTTGATAGCGAGCTCGTACTTCTTCGGTCCAATCTTCTTTGGTGCAAAGTGAGAAGAAGGCTTGATCTCCTGGCCATTCTTGTACCATTTGACAGTGCGGACTGGCGCAGAAACTTCCACCTTGAAGACGTCGTCATCTCCTTCGGCGAGTTCCGTGTCTTGAAGTCCTTTCACAATTTCCGGCTTCTCATCTACTTTTCCCTTGGCTTCAGACTTGGCCTTGCCAGTTTCGTTTGACACTTCGAAGGTGTATTCGCCAGCATCTCCAAGGTCTGCTTTCGGAATCGTCAGGCGGTAGGTTTGATCGTCAATTTTCTCAATGACAGCGTTGGCACCAGCAGAAACTGGCTTGCCATCTTTAAGCCATCTGATGTCGGTGGCTTCACCTTCAATCTTGACCTCAAACACCATGGAAGCGCCTTTGGCAACAACTTGGTCTTCCAGTCCCTTGATGATTTTGGGGAGGCCTGGCTTCGGTTTCTTGACCGTGAGTTTGGCAGAAGAGTCGGCGTCTCCAGCAGAGTTGGTGAGGACGACCTTGTAGGTGGCAGCGTCGTCTCTGACGGCATTCTTGATCACCAAAGAGTACTTGGTGCCTTCTCCAGCCACAACGAAGTGAGAATCAGGCTTGATCTCCTGGCCGTTCTTGTACCATTTGACACTTCTTGGCTGGGCGTTGGTTTCGACAGCGAATTCTGCGTTCTCGCCTTCGGTGATGGTCTGATCTTTGAGCGGTTTCAAGAACGTAAGCTTTGGCTCGACAGTCAGTTTTCCGTTGCTGTTAGCCTTGCCAGCTTCGTTGGCGATTTCGACCTTGTAGTCTCCAGTATCATCAACAGCAGAGGAAGGAATTTCGAGGACGTAGTGATTGTCGTCGACCTTCGAAATCTTGACTTTTCCAGCAGCAGAAGCCGGAACTTCCTTGCCATTCTTGTACCATTTCACCGTAGTTGGCGATCCGGCTGTCTCGATTTCCAGCTTGACAGGCTGACCAACTGGAACAACCTGATCTTCAAGACCCTTGACGAATCGAGGCTCCTCGGCTGGAAGTTTAACTGTCAGGGCGCAGAACGAATCAGCAGTGTTGCCGTCGTCGTCGGTGAGGACAATCTTGTAATCAGCCGCATCTTCGTCTCCAGCGTCAGGAATCGTGAGCTGAGGCTTGTTCTCTCCATCGAATCCAGGCTTGGCCTTGTCATCTGGTCCGAGTTCCTTTCCATTCTTGTACCACTTGACAGATTTGGGTTTACGGTTGGTTTCAACGCCGAGGACGACCTTCTGTCCTTTGGGAACAGTCGTGTCTTCCAGGCCTTTGACGATTTCGATTCCAGGCAGCTTGACAGTGAGAGCACAAGAAGAATCGGCGGTGTTACCATCATCATCGGTCAGAACGATCTTGTAGTCAGCGGCATCTTCATCTCCCGTGTTCGGAATAGTGAGAATAGGCTTGTTATCCCCGTCGAATCCAGGTTTGGCCTTATCATCTGGACCGATCTCCTTGCCATTCTTATACCACTTGACGGACTTCGGCTTGCGGCTAGTCTCAACTCCAAGGACGACCTTCTGTCCCTTCGGAACAGCCTTGTCTTCCAGACCTTTCACGATCTCGATGGCAGGAAGTTTGACAGTGAGAGAAGCCGAAGAGTCTGCATCACCAGCGTCATTCGACACGACGACCTTGTAGTCAGCTGCGTCTTCAAGCTGAGCGTTCGGAACTTCGAGCTCGTAGACGCCATCGCCCTTGTCGGTCGCCTTGGCGTTGGGGATCTCCTTGCCATTCTTGTACCATTTGACGCCCTTGACAGGTCCTTTAACCTGCACTCGGAAGGTGGCAGTTTCTCCTTGCTTGACGCTAGTTGGCACGAGGCCAGAAACGATTTCCGGTTTGTTCTTGTCCTTTCCGTCATCTTTGGCGGTGACCTTGGCCTTGCTTTCAATTTCACCGGCGTCATTGCCAGCGGTCACGCTGTACTCTCCAACATCAGCGTCGCTGAAGTCAGGGATCGTGAGGCGGTATTTTCCGTTGCCCAGGTCTTCAGTCTTGGCATTCTTGAGCTCGTCGCCGTTCTTGTACCACTTGACGTCCTTTGGCTTGCCTTCGACTTCGATTTCAAGTACGAGAGGACTGCCTTTAGGCACGATTTGATCGCAAAGTCCTTTTTTGAAGGAAGGCAGTGAGACTTTTTCAGCGGTAGACGTGACGACGACCGTGCTAGAAGATTCGACAGACTGTGTTTCGGTGGACAAAACAACCCGGTATGATCCAGAGTCGGTGAGTTCGCTCTTGTTGATCTCCAGCTTGTACTCGTGGTCGGAAACTTGTTCGATGACAGTCGTCTTGCTGGAAGAGATCTGTTCGGTACCCTTGTACCACTTGACAGTCTTCGGACGGCCTTCGACCTCGACGCTGAGAAGGATCTTGGTTCCTTGCGGGATGGTGAGGTCGTTCAGGCCACGCTTCAATTTCAGCGTCTCATCTGGAGTGACGGTCAGCGGAGCCTTCAAGTTGGCAGTTCCGGCGTCGTTGCTGGCCTCGACGCGGTAGTTGCCCTGGTCAGCGGTGGTACTCTTTTCGATGACCAGTCTTTGAGTTCCATCAGATTCGGATTCGATCTTGACTCGGGCGTCCTTCTTAACCTCCTGGCCGTCCTTGAACCACTTGACAGTTGGTTCAGTTCCGGAGACCTTGCACTCGAATTTGGCCGTTTCAGTCTCTTTAACTTGAACAGCGGCAAGTTCTTTGACGAATTCGGGAGCCGACTGAGCGGGCTCCTTAACGCCGAGGGTGACGTCGCTCCAGACGTCTCCAAACTCGTTGGAGGCAGAGCAGCGGTACTCGTCGGCGTCGCTGAGCTGAGCGTCCTTGACGGTAAGTCTTTGAGTGCCATCTTCCAGGTCTTCGATCTTGATCCTATCGTTCGGCGTGATCTCCTTGCCGTTCTTGTACCACTTGACGGTCGGTCTTGGCTTTCCTGAAACCTTGCCTTCCAGAACGGCCGTCTCACCGACGGTGACGGCGGCTGGACGGACAGGTTGGAGGAAGTCTGGAGCTTCTCCGTCGATCTTCGGCGCTCCTTCGAGGGTCACGATGATCGGGCCTTCAGTCCAGGCGCTGCCGAATTCGTTCTCAGCTTCGCATCTGAAGTTCGAACATGAAGCTTGAGAATCAAAAGCTTGAAAAAGCTTTGGAAAACCCAATTTTTTTACCTGTACTCGCCAGCTTCAGCCTGAGTGACGTCATCGATGGTAAGAGTCAAGGTTCCGTCGTCCTTATGTTCAGCACGAACACGGGCGGACATTTCAACCTGAGGAAAAATAGTACACTTTAAAGCTTTAGGAGAAAAACAGGCAAATTTTAAAAAGTTCAGGAAATTCAAAAAATGACTACAAGTTCGCTCCATTGGCAATAATCTCCTAATCATTTTTCTAGACTTATTTTTGTCCCATTTTCAAATTTTCAGACGTCTTCCCTTCTAGAAACTTTATGTAGATGAAAAACCAACCTCTTTTCCCTCCTTAACCCATCGGATCTTCGGTCGAGGCTCTCCCTTGACCTTGCAGCGCAAAACGGCCTGTTGTCCCTTGGTGACGGTGCAGGATCGGAGCAATTCCACAAATTCTGGAGCTCCTTTTCCGGTTTCCGTCTTTGAGGTGGCAGATTCTGAATAAAATCATTATTTGAGATAAGAATGGGACCGAAAATTCAATCAAAAGGGCTCAAATTTCAGTATTTCTTATGCTTCTTCCAAATCTTTGATTGAATCTTCGGCATGAAAGGAATGAACTATGACTGAAGCATGCAAAGACCACACAAGTGAGGTGCAAAGGTGAGAAAACTACGAACCAGTGGCTGTGGTGGCGACGGAAAGCTCTTCAAGCTGAGTACTCTCGTCCATAACCGACTCCTCGACCTTCTCGCCGAACTTGACGTTCAACGGAGCCGAAGTGTCAGCCTTGCCGACCAGATTCGTCGCCTCGCACGTGTACTTGCCGACGTCTTCTTTCAAAGCGCCATGGATCGTCAGCTTGATCTTGCCGTCGTCCAACACGTCCAACGCCATGTGTGGACCAATCTCAACCGGCTTGTCGTTCTTGAAGAACTTGACGTCGGGATGAGACTCCTTGTTGACGCGGCATTCCAGGACGACGGTATCGCCTTCCGTGGCGAACGTCTCCTGGAGCGGCTCGACGAACATCGGCTTCACCTCCTCGACGTTGTGCTTCTCGAACGAGTACTTCGGAATCTTGACCTCTCCGATGGTTTCGTCCTTGCCGGCCTTGTTGACAGCCTGGCAGGAGTACTTGCCGACGTCGGCGGCGGCGATGTCCTTGATGACGAGCGTGTGCTGACCATGTTCTCCCTTCTTCGAGATGATGTGACTCTCGTCGATATTTACTGGAACTCCGTCTTTGAGCCATTTCACCTCCGGCTCCGGCTTTCCTTCGACGCTAACCACCAGTTCGAGCGGCTTTCCGGCTTCAACTTCCATCGGCTTCAAGCCCTGAGTGAACATCGGCGCCTCGATTTCTTCCTGGATCGCCATGTTCGCCGTGGTCTTGGCCTCGCCGACTTCATTCGTCGCCTTGCAAGAATAGACTCCGACGTCTTCGGATCTCGCCTTCGGGAAGGTGAGCGAGTGATGGCCGTGCTCATCGTCCTTGGCAATGATATTGGTATTGTCGACCTGGATCGGTATGTCATCCTTGAACCATTGAACTGTTGGAGTTGGCATTCCAGTGACCGTGACTGAGAGGGTTAACGCCTCGTTCTCCTTTACTTCCATAGGTTTGAGCTTCTCAGTGAATTCTGGAGCGACCAAAGTTCTGACAAGGCCGAAGTTGGCGGTGGTGGTAGCTTCTCCGACCTCGTTGGTAGCCTTGCAAGAATAAATTCCAACGTCCGAACTAGTGGCGTCCTGGATGGTAAAGGTATAATGTCCAGATCCTTCCTCCTTGACGACGATGTGAGAACCGTCGACGTTGACCGGAGTATTGTCCTTGAACCATTTGACCTCTGGTTGAGGAGATCCAGTCACCGTGACTGAAGCAGTGAACGTTTCTTTCTCCTTGACTTCAAGTGGCTTGAGTTTCTCAGTGAATTCTGGAGCGACCAAAGTTCTTACAAGGCCGAAATTGGCGGTGGTTGTAGCTTCGCCGACTTCGTTGGTGGCTTTGCAAGAATAAACTCCAACGTCCGAACTAGTGGCGTCCTTGATGGTAAATGTGTAATGTCCAGATCCTTCCGCCTTGACGACGATGTGAGAACCGTCGACAGTAACCGGAGTATTGTCCTTGAACCATTTGACCTCTGGTTGAGGAGATCCAGTCACCGTGACTGAAGCAGTGAACGTTTCTTTCTCCTTGACTTCCAAAGGTTTGAGCTTCTCAGTGAACTCTGGAGCAACAAGAACTTTTTCGAATCGGATGCTGCTAGTCGTCGTGGCTTCTCCAGCCATGTTGGTGGCTTTGCAGGAGTAGACGCCGACGTCCGACGTAGTGGTTTCCTTGATAACTAGGCTATAGCTTCCGGAGCCTTCTTCCTTGGCTACAACATGAGAGTTGTCGATGTTCAACGGAGCATCGTCCTTGAACCACTTGACTTCCGGTTCTGGGACTCCGACGACAGTCACCTTGAAGTTGGCCGTCTCGCTCTCCTTCACCTTGAACGAGTGGAGTTTCTCCGTGAATTCTGGAGCTTGGAGATCTCGGACGACAGCGAAGTTGGCTTGAGTGGTAGCCTCGCCGGCGGTGTTGACAGCTTTGCAGCTGTATTTTCCAGAATCTTCAAGCCTGGCCGAGTTGATTGTGATGGAGTAGCTTCCAGAGCCTTCAGATTTCGAGATGACATGACTTCCATCAACCGAAACTGGAGCTCCATCCTTGAGCCATTGAACCGTCGGTTCTGGGACTCCTTTGACGGAAACGCTAAGAGTAGCCGTCTCGTTGTACTTGACTTCGGTGGATACGAGTTCCTTGACGAAGGTGGGCTTTTCGAGAGCCTGAGTGACCTCAGCTTCAGCACTCGATTCGACTTGTCCGGCTGGGTTGACAGCTTTGGCTGTGTAGTTTCCAGCATCGGCCAGGTTGGCCTGCTTGATCACCAAGGAATGCTTGCCAGTGGCGGCATCCTTCTTGATCTCGTGGTTCGAGTCTTCAGCGACAGGCTTTCCATCTTTGAACCATTGGACTTCCGGCTCAGTTCCACTGACTTTGACCTCCATGTGGAGTTCTTCCTTCTCCCGGACGGTGGTCTTCTTCAAGCCTTGCTCGAAGACAGGAGCCTCGGTCTTGGTGGTGACCTTGGACTCAGTGGTAGCCGTGCCGGCCGAGTTGGTGGCGACCGCCTTGTAGGTGGTGATTTCTTCGCGAGTGACCTCCTTGATGACCATCCTCCAATGGGTGTTGGTGGCGTCGTGTTCGACGGCGATTCGGCTCGAAGACGTGATTTTGATCTCCTCGCGTGTGGTCGAGTTGTAGGAGAAGAAGTCGACGTGGGGCTGTGGGGAGCCTTTGACCGAGCAGGAGAGGATGAGTTTCTCGCCGATGGACAACGTCTTGTCTTGCAGTGGTTTGGTGAACTCGGGTGCTTGTGCTGTAACAAGTGAGGTTGCAGGTGGTGCGTTTGTGCAAATGGACAACGGACTTTTAGGGTGAAAACGTGCAATTTTCGCTACAAACTTGAGGACCTTCGAAAAAGTGAAAAACTGATTTTTCTCAGCAGTTACGCTCTATTTAAAAAACCTCTCGAAACGTGTTTAGAAATGGCTCAAAATCTTTAAAAAACGCCTCTTTTCTGTGCAAAGGACAAAGGACTGTCTAGGGTGAAAAACGTGCATTTTGGGCTAGGAACTTGCTCGGAAAAGGCAAAAATTACCTTTGACGGTGAGATACGCTTCAGTCTTCGTGGTGCCTTCAGAATTCTCGGCGACGCAGGAATAGCTTCCTTGATGTTTGACGTCGGAAGAAGAGATCGTGAGGCGCTGGACGTCGTTGATTTGTTCAATCGTCACGACTTCCTGGCTTGTCACGACCTTCTAAAAACACTTTGAAGACGTTCAGAGCTCGACCATTTCAGAAATTCAAAAAAAAAACCCACGCTATCATGGAACCAGGTGACCTTGGGCGCGGGTTCTCCAACGACCTTGCATTCGAATTGAACCTTGTCGGCGACGGTGACCGTCTTGTCCTGGAGGGCGACGACGAACTCCGGCGCCTTATTCGGAGCCTTGTCGAGCTCCTCGATCACAGTCAGAGAAGCCTCGCAAGTCGCCGTGCCGGCGGTGTTCTCCACGATGCAAGTGTACTTGCCGGCGTCTTCCGGGGTGACTCCTTCGATGATGAGCTGCTCGGTGACGTGGCCTTCGATGGTTCGGGTCTGGACGCGGATTCGGGCGATCAGCTCGATCTCCTTGCCGTCCTTGAGCCACTTGCAGCAGACGCCTTTCGTGTCGGGGACGACGCATTCGAAGATCGCTTCGTGGCCCTTCTTCGCCTTGGTGTCCTTGATCTTGGTGATGAACTTGGGAGCGTTGACCGGTGTTGGAGTGCGGTGGAGCTCATCGCGGAACGATTCGTCCTCGGTCATGTCGTCGCCGACGAACTCCTCCATCTGTGCTTCAGACTCGCTCTCGCTGAACATGTCGCTGGTGTAGGTGGTCATGTTCGCCGTGCAGGAGACTTCCCCGGCGTCGTTCTCCGCCTTGCAGATGATCTCGCCGACGTGAAGGTCCGAGTTGAAGCTGTTGATAGTCAGAGTGGAGGTCTTGTCATCGGTGACGATCGTGTACTCCGAAGAGTTCTGGATCTCGCGGTTGTTGATATACCAGGTAAGGTGGGGCTTCGGATCTCCAGTGAAGACGACCTTATGGACGACTTTGGAGCCGGCGCGAGCTCGGACATTGCTCAGCCATTCGAGGAAGTCTGGCGGCTCGCCTCGCGGCAGGACCAGGAGCATGGCTTCACTCGAAGCCTTGCCGTACTCGTTGACGGCTTCGCAGACGACCTTGCCGCTGTAGTCGCAGGTGATGTCCTTGATGGTGACCGTGTAGGTGCCTTTCTCGGCGTGGATCTTGATGTTCTGCGACTCTTCCAGCTTCTTGCCGTTGACGTACCTGAAGCAGCTCCTTTAGCTTCTAGACATACTAAAAACTGAAGTAAGTCGTAATACATTTTCAGGACTGATCAAACGAACCAAGAGACCACTGGAGTGGGTTCTCCAAGGAGGACAGCCTTCAGTTTGAGAGTATCGCCTTCCCGGCAAGTCGCATCGCAGAGCGAAGTCTCGAACTCGACAGGAATCGGCGCGATCACCTTGAGTGGTCCTTCGGTCGAAGCTTCTCCGGCCTAAAATATAACCTCAGACGATTCTTCTCCTCCAATCCCACCTTATTGTAGGCGACACACTTGATCTTGCCAGTCATGTCGGTAGAGACTCCATGAATCTTCAAGGTGAAGACGCCGTTGGATGACGTCATCTCGGTGTCTTCCGTGGCGCAGACGAGGGTTCCGTTGATGTACCACTTGACGAACGGTGTCGGGTCTCCGGTGATCAGAAGTTTCACGTCGAGGGTGTCGCCTTCGGTCAGATTCGTGGGTGGGATCTCGCTTTGGAAGACCGGCTTCGCCATGGGGCGACCTTTCACGACTCCGATCGAGGCCGAGCATTCTTAAACTTGTTTTTCTATCATCATGGCTTTCTTACTGTATTTAAAGATGACCTCTGGAGTACGGTAGGGAAAAATTATGGTACAAAGAAGATTCAATATGAACTTTTTCATAAAACGCTTTACATTATCATTTCTACAGTAAGCCTCAAAATAGCTGTACCTCCTAAAGAATATTGAAATCTCTGCTCTCTCTACACCCTCTTCCATTTACTTGCTATTTTTAGCTTTGACCTTTCCGGTGAGAGAAAAGAGGGTGCAGGCATATCAGACTTTTAAAAAAAGGAATGAATGGACTATAATACAGAATTCTCCGTTTCTCTGCGCCCTCTCAAATTTACTTCCTATTTCCATGTTCCTAGATAAAAGGAAAGAGGGCGCAGACAGTCACTCTTTCAAGGAAGAGCCGTTTATATACCAATTCCAAAAAAATGACCCACCTGCACATCCAAAGTCATTCTCGGCTCTGATGGTGATTCTGCCCTTGTCCTCGAGTTTGGTCGTCACGATCCTCAGCTGGAGAGTTCCGTCCTCCTGCTCGATGGTCTTGACGTGGTCATCCGAGGAGAACTCCTTGCCGTCGCGGAGCCAGGTCACCTTCGGCTTGGGCTTGACGACGTTCAGTTTGGCCTCCATCAGGGTCAGCTCTCCCTCGGTCGTCAGTCGATCTTCCAGGTTCCTGGCGAAGGTCGGAGCATCGCCGACGCGTTTGACGGCGAGTTGAACGTCGCGTTTCTTGGTGCCGACGGCGTTGGTCGCCTCGCAGGAGAGTTCGCCAGCCTGTTCTGGGGTGATCTGCTTGATCTCGATGGTGTGTTCGCCTTCCGTGTCGGTCACCGTGATGTTTCTGGGAACAGATTCTTTAGGAAGAGGCGACGTCTTCTGAAACTCACGGATGCTGAGCGGCCGGTTGTCCGTTGAGGGTCCAGGCGACCGAAGGCTCGGGATATCCTTCGACGTTCGCCGTGTACTTGACGTTCTCGCCCTCGTTGACCTGACGATCGTCCATGTTCGTCGTGAACTTGGGAACCTCCGTCTTGCGGTCAACCTAAATATTTCGTTTTCTCTTTTTTTCCGATCCTTGCTCCGTAACGTACCTTCAACTGAGCGGTCGCCTCGACTTTTCCGGCCACATTGCTCGCCTCAACTCTAATCGTTCCGCTGTGCTCGATCTTGGGTTTGAAGATCCGGATCGACGTTTTTCCGGTCTCGGCCTCGAACTTGACCTTGACCTCCTCGCTGTGCTCCAGCTTCTTCTCGTTCAAGTACCAGGACACCTAAAAATACCATATTTTTCCTGGAGGTTCTAGAGTACGAACCGTCGGAGTGGGGACTCCAGTGACGATGGCGCTGAACTTGACGGATTCGTCGATCGTCGTTTCGTGATTTTGCGGAGTTTTGGTGAATTCGGGCTTCTTGTTGGCGCCGGCGACGTTGACCGAGGCCGACATTTCGCATTCGCCGGCCGGATTTTTCGCCTTGACCGCGATTTTTCCGCTCATGTCCGGCTTGGCTTCGGCGATCGTCAGGTTGTGCTTGCCGTTGCCATCGTTGGAAATCTGAACTTTTTCGTGAGTGTTGAAAATAAAGTGCTGATTCGCGGTTTACCACCAGAGTGCATGCAGAGAATCTACTTGAAATCCGAGTTTTTTTTTTGAATATCGGCTCAAAAAATCTCAGTCTCAAAACCCCCGAGCCTCCAAAAATTCCTCCCCTCGACAGGACCAACCTGAACGCCAGCCGAGTCGGCCAACGGTTTTCCATTGAGAAGCCAGGTGACCTCGTTTCCGGGGCCGTCTCCTTCGACCTCGACGTCCCATCGAAGCGGCTCTCCCTCCTTGGCGTCCTTGTCCGACAGTGTTCCCTTAAAGGTCGGCGCCGTCACTCCTCGCTCCACCTTGAGATCGGCCGTCTTCGAGTCGCTTCCGGCCGAGTTTTGAGCCGTCACCTGGGAAAAAAATTCCTTCAATAAGGCCCCATGACGTCCCAAAAACCTTGACAGTTCCAGTATGGCTGGTCTTGGTCTCGGTGATCTTCAGGGTGTAGATATTCTCCGTCTTGACGGTCGTGGTGGTGGTAGATTCCTCGACGATCTTCTCATTGATGTACCATTTGACGGTCGGTTCAGGGGAGCCAGTGATGGTGACCTGAGATTTTTGAGGTTTCGGGTAAACACTTGGATTGTTTTTCTGAACAAAGGGGATACGGTAGGATTACTGTATTCAAGAAGACGAATCGGAACCTTGAACTCGGCCGTCTCAGACTCCTTGATGGTGACGCTCCTGGGTCCATCGATAATTGGAGCTGTCGCAGGTGGAACGACTCGCATTTGAGCACTAGATTCTGACTTTCCGACTTCATTCGAGGCTTCGACGGTCACTGAAATTCCCAGTCTTTTTTTGAGATTATCATGACCCATACCTCGTCCAGTCTGAGACTCCTGAACGTTCTCAATCTTCAGGGAGGACTTATTCTCGACCGTCGTGATGGTAACGCCATTGACTCCGCTCTTCAGCTCTTCTCCGTTCAGGTACCACTTGTACTGAGGCGAATGGAGGGCGATAACGTCCATCTTAATATTTTCTGGTTATTTATTGATCAATAGAGCCATTCCAAATGCGACATTTTGAATTCTTCAACTCGCAAATTTGGTGCGAAAAGTTCATCTTGAACCAATTTTTTTTCAAATTTCTGAGCCATTCCCAATCTGACCATAGTTTTTTGAACTGTTCCACTCTTCATTTCAAACAGCCATGGTCGCATTTGGTATGGCTATATGCTTGGCGACTTGGGTAGCTCTTGCGACCAACTCTCCACTACTTTCGCGCTGCTATAAGTTTCGAGTTAAAGCTTTCTAACGCTCTCTCAACCTCCAAAAGTCTCTAACTAGCGAGTCAATTCGCAGAAAGTCGGGCGCAGTTTCGAAATCGCTCCATGACATTTATTTTGCAGAGGGAATGCTTGGAAACCGCTACCGATAGATTTAGGATTCATAGAAAGGCTCAGGATGCACCGCGACCATTGCAAGCGACTTTTAATGACTTGCGCTCTGCTCTAGGCTTTACAACTGTCTAACGTTCTCATCCTCTCTGTTTCTCATCATCTCTAGTTGCTGGCCAAGCCGTTTGAAGTTAGATGCAAGACTTCGAAGCTGCTAACTTGCATTTTACTCTCAATTTGCAACATCTTTAAGCTCATGACCGCATTTGGAATGGCTCAACGCGACCGCGACGCTTTGAGCCATTCCAAGTGCGTCCGATGGATCCTCTCAAGTACCTGAACAGTCTCGCCGCGGACGACCTCAATATCCCGGAGTTTGTCCGTGAACTCGGGCTTCTTCGTTTCTTTCTGCTCTTCCAGAACTTTCAGTTCGCATCTAAATTCGACGGATTTTCAAGGAAATCTAGAATTTTTCCAACTTCGTCTCAACAGATCCAGTCGCATTGGAAGCAACGACGGAAACTGTTCCCGAGCCGAAAATCGTCGTGTCGATGGAGGCGCGGAATTCGAATTTGTCGTCGTTCGAAACAGTTACTCCTGAGGAAAAATTCTCGATTTTTAATCTTAGAAACCGTGAAAACTTGAGGAAATAACTCCTTTTTTCAACATTCTGGGAGCGAAAACGGATCAGAAAATTTTTTTTAACCCTAACTTAAAAAAAGGATGATTTTCCAAGCATCTATATATCACCCCCACCCAAAAAAATTTAATTTTCAATCATAATCCTATTTTTTTCTTAATCATACGACAAAAAAACATATGAAGATCATTAGAAAATCAGCCTGACAAATTCAAAAAAAGGCCCATTATATTCCGTCAAACGCGCTCCATGGCAAAAAATCAGCCTGCAAAATTCAAAAAAAGCCCATTATGTTTTGTCAAACGCGCTCCATGGCAAAAAATCAGCCTGCAAAATTCAAAAAAAGCCCATTACGTTTCGTCAAACGCGCTCCATGGCTAAAAATCAGCCTGAAAATTTCAAAAAGGCCCATTTTATTTCGTCAAACGCGCTCCATGGCTAAAAATCAGCTTGCAAGATTCAAAAAAAGCCCATTATGTTTCGTCAAACGCGCTCCATGGCTAAAAATCAGCCTGCAAAATTCAAAAAAAGCCCATTATGTTTCGTCAAACGCGCTCCATGGCTAAAAATCAGCCTGAAAATTTCAAAAAGGCCCATTTTATTTCGTCAAACGCGCTCCATGGCTAAAAATCAGCCTGCAAGATTCAAAAAAGGCCAATTATATTTCGTCAAACGCGCTCCATGGCTAAAAATCAGCCTGAAAATTTCAAAAAGGCCCATTTTATTTCGTCAAACGCGCTCCATGGCTAAAAATCAGCCTGCAAGATTCAAAAAAGGCCAATTATATTTTGTCAAACGCGCCCCAGGGCTAATATTTTTTTCTCCGCTTACCATGACTCTTCGTGATTTCCTTGCCGTCCAAGAACCACTTGACCTCCGTCGCATGTTCAACAACGACCTGAACACCTTTTTTTTTTCAAAAAAGCTTTTTTTTTCACCTCAAAGTGAGCCAAATCCGTTTTGTTCCCCGTCTGGCTCTTCAAGTCGCGTGTGATCTTCGGGGCGGGCGGCTATAAATGAATCAATTTATTAATTACTTGAATTTCAATTCTGAAGGTTTATTTGATCATCTTATAACTATCAAAAACTTAGATAGACTTCAAAAAAAAAAATCAACATTAACTTTTTTAACATTCATGCATCGACAACGGACAAATTTGGCACTTTACCCCCTATAAGTCCTAACCTAATATGTTCAATGTTTGACCTAATCCCTAACTAATATTTACCTTCTCTTCACACGTCTTCTTGGCTTCGGGAGTCGGGGACTTCTTTTTCTTCGTCGGAGACTCGGGCTTCTCTTCCGACGCCTTCTCAGTTGGAGACGTCGGTGTCGGCGACTTCTTCTTTTTGATGGGCGATTCAGGAGCCTTCGCTTCCTGTTCAGAAGACGTCACGCTGACCTCCGTGACAGTCTTGGATTCATCAATAACGCCAGTAGTTTCTTCAGAAGTCTTAGTAGCTTCAGGAGTTGGCGACTTCTTCTTTTTGGTCGGAGATTCCGGCTTGTCTTCAGACTTTTTAGTTGGCGATGTTGGTGGGGAAGGAGTCTTCTTCTTCTTGATGGGCGATTCAGGAGCCTTGACTTCCTGCTCAGAAGACGTCACGCTGACCTCCGTGACAGTCTTGGATTCCTCAGTGGTGGTAGTCTTCTCTTCAGAAGCCATGGTGGATTCAGGAGTCGGTGACTTCTTCTTCTTGATAGGCGATTCTGGCTTGTCTTCCGACGCCTTCTTGGTAGGAGACGTTGGTGGGGAAGGAGTTTTCTTTTTCTTGATGGGCGATTCAGGAGCCTTCTCTTCTTGCTCAGAAGACGTGATGCTAACTTCTGTGACGGTCTTTGATTCTTCGGCAGTAGTTTCTTCAGAAGTCTTCTTGGCTTCTGGCGTTGGTGACTTCTTCTTCTTGGTTGGCGATTCTGGCGTCGGGGATTTTTTCTTCTTGATTGGAGATTCAGGAGCCTTGGCGTCTTGTTCCGAAGACGTGATGGTTACATCCGTTACAGATGTGATCTCTTCAACTTCCTGCTTTTCATCTGAAGTCTTCTTGGTTTCCGGCGTTGGTGAGTTCTTCTTGATAGGGGATTCTGGCTTGTCTTCCGACGCCTTCTTGGTTGGTGACGTCGGTGGTGAGGGCGTCTTTTTCTTCTTAAGGGGAGGTTCCGGAGCTTTGCCTTCTTGCTCCGAAGAGGTTACGTTGACCTCAGTGACGTTCTTAGATTCTTCAGTAGTAGTTTCTTCAGAAGTCTTGTTGGCTTCAGGAGTCGGCGACTTCTTCTTCTTTATTGGAGATTCAGGCTTCTCCTCAGACGCCTTCTTGGTTAACGATTCTGGCGTCGGCGACTTCTTTTTCTTGATCGGTGATTCAGGAGCCTTAGCTTCCTGTTCAGAAGACGTCACGCTGACTTCGGTAACCGTCTTAGATTCCTCAGTCCCGTCAGTCTTCTCCTCCAAAGTCTTAGTAGCCTCTGGCGTTTGGGACTTCTTCTTCTCAGTTGGGGATTCTGGCTTCTCCTCAGACGCCTTCTTAGTGGGAGACGTCGGTGTCGGCGACTTCTTCTTCTTGACTGGAGATTCAGGAGCTTTAGCTTCCTGTTCCGACGACGTGACACTGACTTCAGTCACTGTCTTGGATTCTTCAGTAACACCAGTAGTTTCTTCAGAAGTTTTGGTAGCTTCTGGAGTTGGCGACTTCTTCTTTTTGGTCGGAGATTCCGGTTTGTCTTCGGATTTTTTCGTGGGCGATGTTGGTGGGGAAGGAGTCTTCTTTTTCTTAATAGGAGACTCGGGAGCTTTTGCTTCCTGCTCTGAAGACGTGATGGTCACATCCGTCACAGATGTGATCTCTTCAGCAACTTCGGTATTTTCATCCAACGCTTTTTTGGATTCTGGCGTCGGTGACTTTTTCTCTTTGGTTGGAGACTCTGGGGCCCTAACTTCTTGCTCAGAAGACGTCACGCTGACCTTGGTAACCGTCTTAGATTCCTCAGTGACGTCAGTCTTCTCTTCAGAAGTCTTTGTGGCCTCAGGTGTGAGCGACTTCTTCTTTTTAATTGGAGATTCAGGCTTCTCTTCGGACGCCTTCTTAGTTGGAGAGGTTGGTGGAGAAGGCGACTTTTTCTTTTTGGTCGGAGACTCTGGAGCCTTGACTTCCTGTTCCGAAGACGTGACGGTAACTTCCGTAACTGTCTTCGATTCTTCAGCAATGTTCGTAGTTTCTATAGAAGTCTTCTTCGACTCTGGCGTCGGCGACTTCTTCTTCTCAGTCGGGGATTGAGGATTCTCCTCTGACGCCTTCTTGGTTGGAGACGTCGGGGGAGATGGCGACTTTTTCTTCTTGGTAGGAGATTCAGGAGCCTTTGTCTCTTGATCAGAAGACGTGACCTCCGTGACCGTTTTGGATTCTTCAGTGACATCGGTCTTGTCTTCAGAAACTTTAGTAGCCTCAGGCGTAGGCGACTTCTTTTTCTTCGATGGAGATTCAGGCTTCTCCTCAGACACCTTCTTAGTTGGCGAGGTTGGTGGGGATGGCGTCTTCTTCTTTTTGGTTGGAGATTCAGGAGCCTTTGCTTCCTGTTCCGAAGACGTCACATTGACTTCAGTAACCGACGTGACCTCCTCAGTAACGGTTTTTTCTTCGGAGCTCTTCTTGGTCTCCGGCGTCGGTGACTTCTTCTTCTTCGTGGGAGATTCCGGCTTGTCTTCAGCCTTCTTTGTAGGAGACGTCGGTGGTGACGGCGTCTTCTTCTTCTCGACTGTCGACTTCGCTTCTTCAGAAGCGGTTTCCGTCTTTGATTCTTCTCTTATCTCTTCTTCAGACTTCGTCACAGAGGTCTTCTCCTCTTCGCTCAGGAAGGTGACCTTCCTTTCTGGGGATTTTTCCTTCTTCTCGAATTCCATCGTCGTTCTACTTTGTGTTGACGTCATCTCCGTCGTAGACGTCGTCTCACTGACCAACGACGAGACCAATTCGATCTTGAAAACCGTCATGTACTTCGGTTCAAAGTTAGGTAAACGATAGAATTTGGAAAATTACTGTAGATGGCTGAGAAGGGGCAAAAGTGCCAAAAAGGTTTTTCGGAAACGAAATAAAGACGTGGACACTCGAAGAGGTTCATGCACATGCCGATTCGCTTTGGACCGTTTTTTTCCGAGTTTCGCGATTTTTGAAGGTTATTTTCCTTCATAACAAGTTTTTTTGAGAAGATTTTTTTCAGTTCTAGAAAAATTTTAATGTCGTTTATTTGAATCCTAAAAATATCATTACGCGAAATTGAGGCTGTAACACTTTTTGAACTATGATCAAAGAGGTTTCAAGCGAAAATTTTGATTATGACCATGACTTCTAAAAAGATAAAAAGAATGTATTTTTTTGACGTTAAAATTTAAAAAAATTGAGCATTTTCAAAACTTCAAAATGTCTGAAATATTTTTTTCTGAGGATATGAAAGAGGAAATTGAATATAAAACCAAAATTACCTTTTTTTAAGCTTGTCAAATTTATTTTTTTATTTTTTTAAAATCATAATCAAGCGACTGGAAACAGCTCAAAGTGAGAATTTTTCGTTGTAAAGTCGTAAAAATGTTTTTTTCATGCTGATTCCAAAAAAATACGCTCAAGAACTATTAAAAAGGTGTTTGAAATTAGTTATTTCGATTCAGAATCCGAAAAACCACCTTTTTTGGAAATATAAGCTTTTCAGAAAGTTCGAAAAATCGTTTTTTGGTTAAAATATTTTTCAAAAAAATGCTGTTTTTTGCGCTTCTCAACCATTGAAAAAATAGGTCAATCGTTTTTTCTAAAATTTGAGCCGAGGTATCTCTTTTTGACCTACTCAATGGTTTTCAAATATATTTTCGGATTCAGCGTGAGAAAAAATTTTAGTAAACCTAGTCCTAACCTAATTTTTAACACTTATTTGATACCATTTCTTAAAATAAGGCTAAAAGTTATTTTTGATGAAGATGATTTAGCATTTTTTATGCAAAAAAATCGCGAAACCCTTCAAAACGGTCCAAAACTCATCAATTCATTTGAATCTTCTTTTTTTTCTCATAATCACCTTGGAAACTTCGATGGTTCCTTCCGTGGTAACTGTTGTAGTCGTTGTGGTTTTCTCCTCCTCTTGTTCCGTCGACGATTTTTCAACAACACTTATCTAAAAACGACAAACGTGTGTGTGCGTATGTGTGTGCTTGGGCATGCTTGGGACTTTGCTTGGGACTTAATTTCTTTGGAATTCTAATGGAACTCCGCTTTTTCTGAAAGAAGACGCAGAAATCTTTCAAAATGGTTCTGAATAGAACTTTTCAATTCAAACACCTTAAAAATGTTTTTAAAAAAGGAAAATCCAAGCAAAATCCCTCCAAAAAGCAATCAAGAAATCGACAACGGTGCAGGTGCTCTCGTGCACAATAAATAAATTTCAAATTTCAATAAAAAAAATTCCTAAGACCTTAAGAACTCAATTAACCTTTAAAAAACCCTTCAATCGTGTCAATAATTCAATTATCCCTTCTTGGAACGTGATCACCAACCCATACCCTACCTAAAAAAATAGAGTTTTTAACTTATCTCTTAACTTATTTATATTAAAAACTGAAAAAAACAGTTTTTTTAACCTAACGAACATCCCCTTAACCCTTAAAAATCGCCTCTAGTCTCATCAATCCAAGTCAAGAAATCTTAATCTAGAGCTCCAATTTCAAAATTTTAATTTTCATTCAAACTGAATCATTTTCACCTAAACAATCACCTGAAGCTTAATAACTGATCTTTCTCAATAATCATCCTAAAAAACCCTAAATTTCCCCTAAAACTTGATTTTCGACGTAAGAAGCTTCTCCTCAACCCTGAGACCCCACTTCAAAAGGAAAATCTTAGTTTTATCCATTCTCATCAATCAAATTTGAGCCTAGAGAACTTACTTAATAATCTAATCAAAACTAAATCTCACCTAGTTCAATCTTAACTTCAAAACAGGGCTTTATAAAACATCTACCATTGCTTCAATTTGAAACCTAAAACTTCAAATTGAGACTAAGTCTCTAGTTTGATCAACCCTAAATCAATCAGAATCGATTCTAGGCCTTCTGAACTCAAATATACCTTTTTCTTCTGGACGAAAAATGGTAAACTTGAGATTCGCATTATCATCAAGCCTTATCAATGAAATCTGACCCTAGAAACTTCCCCTATTGGACTTCATTCTCACCTAGCTTAACCTAAATCTAAGCTGTTTCCAAATGGAATGGAATCTTCTTCTCCTGGAAGAAAAATGGTAAACTTGAGATTCGCATTATTATTAAACCTTATCAATGAAGTCTGACCCTAGACATTTCTCCTAATGGACTTCAATCACACCTAGCTTAACCTGAAACTCAGCTGATTCCAAATGGAATGGTACCTTCTTCTCCTGGACGGATTATCTCATTTCTACCACCCGAGTGGTCGGTCTTCATTTCCGCTCTCGTCCGAGATTCAATCCGACGCCCGTCAGCCCTGGACAAGCTGGGCGCCGTACTGTTCCTACATGGAGAAGCAGTGATCGTCGGAAACGCTCGAAAAACGTCTACTACTAGCACAAGAGAGGCGAGATGCTCTACGCGCCGTCTACGCTTGATCAACGACATTATCGCGAACCGACAAACAACTCTTCAATCATTCCATGATTCAGCAGAGAACCTACTCTGAAGACTGAATAAAACTTTCAAACTTTCTCCTGGACGAAAAGCCGTTAACTTGAGACCGAATTTGCACTATCATCAAGCCTTATCAATCAAATCTGACCCTAGAAATTTCACGCAATGAACGAATTTCTTTTCTGATCTACCCTTATCAACCATACTTCCCTACCAAACTTTAAGTTCAACTCAACCTAACACTCAGATGAATCCAAATAGAATGGTACCTTCTTCTCCTCGACGACAAGCCGAGCGCCCGTCTCGTCGGCCCCGAGGCTGTTTTCTGCGACGACAGAAATGGTCGTGGATTCCGAGTGGATCGACGTGTCGATCGTCAAAATCGATACACCGCCGTCAATCGTCGAGACGCGGGCGCCTTCTGTGCTCTCGCGCACCTAAAAATGACTAAAGTGATCAAAAACGGTCCATCAAAAAAAAAAATCTTTTTTCAAGCTGAAGGCCAGAAGGGCTCGAGTAGTTCTCTTCATGATTACAATAAGTACTGCTCCAACCAGCAAAGGTTCAAAAAACCTTTATGAAGGCAACTATTCAAAACAGTCTCGTAACCAGAAGTTTCTGAGCAATTCTAGGGATCACTTAAGCGTGCTGACGCTACTAAAGTGGTCACTAGAAGCCTCCGACAGGTTCAATGCGCGTCCGAGGTTACTTCACAGGACTCAAAAGAAAGGCAAGTACGCTCTAGGGAACATTTGCGTTTTTGAAGTAACTCGAATTGAAACAGCAATGTATGGATGAAATCAGAGACACAATTATTTCTTTGAAACGCAACATTACTGTTTCAAGGTATCGAGAGTTTTGCAACTTCTACAAGAGTTTTTTTCTCTAGACTCTACAAGTCTAAAAGGCTCCTAAATTCAAAAGATTTCGTAAAATAGTTTCTTAAACCCTAAAAGGATGCTCTAGCAAACTGTACAGCTATTCTGTTTTCTCAAAGCAAGTCAAAATAATGATAATTTGAAAAAAGCAGTCCCTAAAGTTGAACCAAGAAAGTTTCTTTTTCAAAGCCTCAAGCCTGAATAAATAAAAGAACTCCCACCTTTCTTCCATTGATGGACCAGGTGTAGGTGGGTTCAGGTACTCCGAGAGCATGAGCTTCGAATTTGGCCTCGCTGCCCCTCTCAATCGTCACGTTCTGCGGTCGGCGGTCAAATTCGGGGGCGAACGGTTTCCGAGTTACCGTCAGCTTTGACGACGTTTCAGCGGATCCTGGAACGGAAAACAAAATGACTTGAAATGCTGAGAAGTATGATGATTAGAACTTCGTAAGGGATCAATGGAATCAAGAAAACAGTCTTCAAAATGACCTCAAGAAGGTTTTTCAAGCTCCTCGGAGAATTAAGGATGAAGAGAGAATGGGACAATGTAGGAAAGAAATCTTTAAATGACCTTAGAACATGATTATTTGCGCTCCAGAGACATAGATGGGCTAACAGCTCGGACCTTGGTAACGCGAACGGGACGCGAATCGGACGTGTCGGGGCATTTCTAGTGACCACTTAAGTAGCCTTAACGCTCTTAAGTGATCCCTTGAATCGCCCAGAAACGTCCGGAGCACGTCCATTTCGCGTTACCAATGTCCGAGAGGGTGTTTGTCACTTTCGTTCCCTCCTCCCCCCCCCCTATTCATTCAGGTGGCTTTTTAAGAAGTTATTTATTGAGCTCTTGATTTTATTAAAAGATAAGTTGATCGGAAATTTCTTATCCCCAGCCCGAGCGATCGATAAATCGGGTCATAAAAAACTCAAAAACTTATGAATCGATCTGAATTCTATTTGAAATAGATGGATTACATGTGCTGGTACTCGGTACTCACTTTTCACAGGGGGTTACGTGATGACGTCAAAAAAAATTCAAGGACAACGCGAAATTCCAAATGGAGTTGAAAGTTCAAAAATCTCTTGAAGAATACTGTTACATGGCTAAAAGGTGCAGTCTTTCAAGGGACCTGAAGGCAATTTTATTGAATAATTTCAACTAAAATATAGGTTTGCAACACAATTTTTTAAGCTTAATCTTAAGTTTGACGCTTGAAAATGTCACAGGAAGCAGAAAATGAGACAAAAAAGCAAAACAGCTCTTCATGTTTCTAAAAAAGTAGAAATACCAAATTTCAAAGCCTACAAACTGTTTGGAAAGATTTCCTACATGCAAGCTTATCATTAACAGAAAGAAATAAGAGATGAACAAAATTCAAAAATAAGGAGTTTTGAACTGAATAATGTATAAAGAACTTCGGAAAGCTCGCTTTTTCAAAAAGTCCTCACCTTCGGAATTCTTGGCGACCGCCTTGATTTCACCCGTTTCTTCCAGCTTCAAGTTCTTGATTTGCAGTTTGATCGAACCGTCGAATTCGCGGATTTCGATTCTCTGTAAGGAAAGGATCAGCGTCGAAAGTTTGGAAAGATCGAATTTATAACCATTAGAATCGGAATTGAATAAAACAATTATGGTAAATCTATGTAGATTAGCTCGAAACTATTGAATCTACAAAAACCTTTTTTTTTTCAAACAAGAAAAAAAGACCCACCTCAGATTGCACAAGTTCCTGTCCATTGAGGTACCAGGTGACCTCCGGTTTTGGTTCTCCCTCCACTCGGACCTTGAAAATGTCCCATTTTCTAAGAAAACCATTTCGAAAATCCATCCAAGAGTCTAACTATTAGAAGTATACGCCCTTTGGACCTTGAAAATGATCGATTTTTTGAAGTAATTGACCTCAAAAAAATTTCATTTTTTTAAGTCGAGGACCCATAAAAAGTCACAAGAAAACTTTTTCCAACCTTCGTAAAAAAAATCAATATTTCAAGAACAATCTTCTAATATTATATTTTTAAAAAGTTAATAGGACTAGAAATCCCATGATATAGCCAAAAAAATAAAATCATTAAACTTTGAAAATCATCGATTTTTTTCTAGTAATTGACTTCGAAAAAAACTTATTTTTTTGAAGTAAAGAACTCAAAAATCCACTAAAAAAAGTCGCAAAAAAACTCTTCAGACCTTCCAAAAAAATCAATATTTCAAGAATACTCCTCAAAATAACATGTTTAAAATTAATAAGACTACTGAAAAAGCCAAAAATCAAATCCTGAGCTTTCCTTAAAGTTTCTAATAGCTTCCTTACACGGGCAAAGTTCAAAAGGTCTGAAAAAGGCGCCTTTTTCTATGCCTTTTTTCTCAACAGGACCTTTTAAGGAGGTGTAGAAAAAAGAGGGCGGTGAAAAAAAGCAGATTCCGAGAAACTTTTGAGACCTTTTAGGAACTCAAAAAGGAGCTTTCGGCTCTTATTTTTGAGGCATTTTTGAGGTCTTTTGGACTTTGCCTGTGTGAGGAGCTAAGTTCCCTAAAAGAACCCCTTCAGACTTTCAAAATTATTCTACAATACACCCTAAAAAAAAGCCCCTAGGCGTCAGAGAATCTCTGGAAAACCTCGAAAACGACGGTATTCTCCTCGGTTTCGGTCTTGTCGACCAGCGTTTCCGTGAACCTGGGCGGTTTTTTCTGCTTCGCCGGTGCCAAAACCACCAAACGAGCCTTGGTTTCGAATCGGCCGACCACATTTTCGGCTCTGGAAAGTTCAAACTGTTGAGAATTCAGAAAAGCTGTAGCTCAACAGGTTGCGGGCCTGTCTACGGTCCACAGGGTCACAAGTTCGATCCCCGCCTCGACTCAACAAAGGGGTATAAGAAATGCTGGTATTGGGGAGCCACGACTTCGAAATCCCCAGCCCTTACACACAAGGACGGACAGATCACTGATATCAGGATAGCACCCCCTCCCGCTAATCGATTTGGGGCACCGACGCCGGAAGAAGAATAAAAACCCAAAAAAGGCCTAAAAAGCATGGTCCCACCTATAAGGCCCCTGTAAAAAGAACCATCAGAGATTGGAAAAGATAACTAAATTTTGGAGAGTCAGAGATGATTTTAATTTCGCAGAAGTTACTCTGGACACGGCACCTTGAATCCCTACAAAAAGTTGAAAAGACAAAGATTGTCCATAGAGCACATAATCCTCAAAATCTGCGGCTGTAATTTCCAAATACGAACAAAACCCCACAAAATGCTTGAAACAGGGAACTGATTTTACTCACAGCTCTTCTACCTTCTTACATTTTTCAACTCCCTTATCCGAATAAAATCAATAAAAGAAGGCTACCTGCACAGAACGGTGCCCGCGTACTGTGCCGAGTCGACGGTCAGCTTGTGGTCATGGTTTATCACCTGAAAATTTCAATACACAGATAAAAATTGGATGAATACTGAAAAAGGACGAAAAACGAGTTTTTCGGCTCAAAAACTTGATTAGAACCTCAATTTTGACGCCTGGACTGCTTGGGTCCATCTTATGCCCGTTGATGAACCAGGTGACCTCGGGGTTTGGATTTCCGCGGACGGTCGTCTCAAACACGGCCGGCTCGCCGTGTTTAACTGTCTGGAAACCGGGAAATTAAGCTGATTAAATCAATACGTAACGTAAAGAAAATGCTTCTCAACTGATGGATTCAACTAAAAATGACACAATCACCAAATGAAAAAAATTTGAAAGCGCTGAACCAAAGGATAGTTTAAAAAAACCCTTTAAAAGTAAATTTGAGCCCAAACTTTGCAAAGAAAATGATTCAAGATGATGGCTTCATGATCCACCTAACATCTCGGTCTCCATATCAAATCACTGAGAAATCATTCAATCAATTCGATAAAAATCGGTAAATTAAATTCTCAAGCCCTAAGCAGGAAAATATAGGATAAATCTTCCTCAAACTTCAAAATAGTCCTAGCTGGGCAGATAATTATTCAACTATCGATCTGGAATGTGATTTTTTCAATTAGTGTCTCAAAAAATCGATAATTAACAGAGAAAAAGAGATACTATTATTTTTGATGGTAACTACTTTACAGCAAGTTATGAACAAAGTTCAAGGTTTACCAGAACAGAATCACCTCAAAAAATCCTCTCCTCATTAATAAAATAATCAATATTCTCAATCAATAGATCATTAAAAAAAATTCTTTTTACACTAGTAATACAAAATAAACTAATATATTAACCTTACCAACAATCAATCAAAAGCAATAATCGATGATGAACAGTAACACCCAATAAATGATTTCCCTAGAACTCTAAAAAAATCAACCTAATCATCTTATCAACAACCAATCAATACAAATAATCGATAATCAATACTATCCTTAATAAACCAAAGAAAAAATCAATACCCTATAGAAATCCTAAAAAAATGTCCACCTAATCATCTTATCAACAACCAATCAATAAAAATAATCAATAATCAACAGAAAAAAGAAGAGAGGAAGAAGAAGAAGAAATTTGTGTGGAAACAGCTTGGAAACAAAAATGTTTTTGATCTCTTTTTCGAGGCGACAGGCGCCACCTCGGGAAAACGAGGTCTTCCCGAAATTACAACCGACCCACCTACGAGATGTGGAGACGAGGACCTTGCATGCTTTTTTTTCCACTTGATTCTTGATGAGGGATTTGAAAATCAACGAGGATAAAAGCAACAAGAAATTATAAAAAAGGTCGAAAATTGTGGAATTTTCATTGATTTTTTGACTGATTGGTGCTTCGCAAACTTAAAAATCTTATCTAATCTGGTAATTTATCATCTATAGCTCTCTCTTAAAGATTTGAAACTTATTTGACTCTTAGAACCGATTTCTGCTCTTTAAAACTGCAAAGTTCCATATATCTTAACTCAAACTGATAATAGTCCATTCATAGCTACTTGGACACCATTAAATCAAAAAATACGTGGAAAAATCCTATAGATCGTCATGAATGAACTATCTTTCTCAGGCTCAAAAATAAGATTTTTATACTTATTCTAGCAGATAGATCTTTAAAATGCGAGCATTACATCTCGGCCTAATAGATCTTTAAAATGCGAGCATCATAAGTTACCTGATCTTCAATGTCCTTGATGAAGGTCGGAGCGCTGCGAGATTCTTCTTCCTGAAAAAAAAACGTGTTGCTGATCAATGGCCGCATTTGGAATGGGTTTATGTTGAAAAAAATGACTCTCGAGCCAAAAATGATAAAGAGGCTCTTTTAAGTTTTGTACCGTCGAGCTTCGAAGAGGAGTCTCATTATTTCTATCTATTTCCGAAACCAAAAGTTCCCGAGGTCTACCTGCTGCTCGACGGTGAGCCGTGCCCTGCTCTCCGCCGTGCCGTGCTCGTTCTGAGCTCGCGCGACGATTTCTCCATCGTGTCGGTCGATGGCGACGTTGGGGATCGCGACGCGGTAAGCGCCATCCGCACCGACAACTTCGACGCCGTCGACGCCGTGCTTCAGCTGGAAATGGATCCGTTTTTTTTACCTCTCTTTCCGAAGCTTCTAGAAAACCATCTACGGTCTTCAGCACAAGATCCGCTACATTCTGAGCTCGTCAAGGCTTAACTGGATAGACTAAGCGCAGAAGATCAAGGCGAGAGAGAGAAGACCATGCTTTCAACTTGATCAACTACACGTTTGGACTTCTAGATCGCCAAAGGTTGTTCATTATAATTTCAAAATTTCTTGTGCAGGTCGATTATACATAGGCTGGATGAAAAATTTACTGAGATAGACCGCACTTTTTTTAGGGGGGGATTGATCAACTACACGTTTAGGTTTCTAGTTCACCAAGGGCGGTTATTCGTCATATCTTCAAAAGTTTTTTTGTGCACCGCCTAGTCGATCTTATCCATCTATAGGCTGGCTGGATGAAAATGTATTGAGAAAGACCGTACTTTTCGGGGGGTAGCAGGCACTTTAGGAAGGGGGGTAGGACCCACCTCGGGGCGGGGTCCAGCCGACGTATGATTATATCCCACTGATCAAAAAAAAAAATAATCCGATTGATTAATTGATTGATAATGAAGTCTTATTATCAGGGCCCCATTCCTTTCTTCAAAATTTCTTAAATTCTGTCAATTTTTCTGTACGACCACCCCCATGTAAAAATGAATCCTATTTCCCATGAGGACCTCAAAAACGCACCTCTTTTCCGCACAAGGTGAAAATGACGGTCGGTTCTGGCCATCCAGCAACGTCCACGTCGAAAACGACCTGAAAATGGAAAATTCAACTTTTTGGGCATCTATCTAGTCAGAAAAAAGTTTCTGGAAGGATCATCAGAACAGTAGAAACCTCAGAACATCATCAGAACAGTAGAAACAGGAATTTACAAGAAAAATTTAATATTCTATTCAAAATTATCGAACTAAAAAATGAAGAGGACGATTTAGCAGACTTTTAAATGAAGCTCAGGAGATTGAAGATGGGAAAAAGCTGAGAAAAATGAATTTATCTACTCATGAGGGACCCGGAAAAGCTCACAGTAGACTTCTCCTGGACGATTTTATCCTCCAGGGGTCGGGTGAAGGATGGCGGCGCCGGTGGGACGCGGACCTTCAAGCGGCCATCGCAGGAAGTCGTTCCGAGTCGGTTGGAGCCCTGGGAAATTTGAAAAATGGTCATAAAAGCCCATTTTCTAACGTTTTTTTAGTAGTATCTTCCACAACTTTCTCAAAAAAATGTTCATTTTTAAGTTTAGCGAGACAGCGTTCGAAAAAGAGAGACCCAGACGTGGTGATGGACATTTTGTCCAAAATTAACCGCTATTGGCTGTACTCTTTTCAATAGAAAAAAAGAAAATATCAATTTCAACTCTGAAATTTCTTAAAAAAATCCAGGTTTTCTGAATTCCTATGGAAAAAAATGGAAGGCCCTTGTAAATCTGAGTTTATTTTAATTTTACCTGACAGGTGACGATTCCATCAAAATGTCTTGTCACATCCTTGATCGTCAGGATGCAGATTCCATCTTCCGAAATGAATCGGACCTGAAAAAAGAAATATAATTGAAAAAAATAAAGAAATGACAGTCTTATAGTGATTCAACTTGCATTACAAGACAAAAAAACCGTGAAAAACCTTTTCGGATTCCGTCAAAGGAACGCCGTTGATGAACCAGGTGATTTCAGGGTTCGGGTCACCGGTAATCACCGATTTGAATCGAACTTCATCGCCTTCATTGCATTCCACGTCTTCGATCATCGCCTGAATAGAATAAATGAGTATTTTTTTCATTTTGGAGCTTTAAAAAGCCCTTCTTAACCCTTTCAAAGAAGCTGAAACTAAAATGTTTCTTTTTCAAGGCCTGAAATTGTTCAGTAGCTTCTTGATGTCCTCATAACCATTCTAAACTTTAAACTTTCAAAAATATGAAAAAAAGAACTTTTCTAACACTCTTAAATAAGTTCATTTAGAAGCTTCATTTTTCGAAAAAAATTATATACCTCAAAAAAATTTTTGATTTTTCTAGACTAAACTTCAAACTATTGGAGAGTTCTGAAAAAAGCTCAGAAAAAGAAACCTTCCCCAATGCCCATAATGGTTATAAGTTCATTTAGGAGCTTCTCAACAACTTTTCAACCCATCAAAAAACTCAAAAACTTGAAAAAACTCGAAAAAAAAAACCCCAAACGCCCATAATGGTTCCAAGTCCGTTCAGGACCTTCTCAAGAATTTCAAAAAAATTCAAACTTCTCAATTTGGAAGCCTAAAATGGCTCCGGATCTTTTTCAAGTTCTTTCTAACCTCTGAACGTCTTCATCAACTTTTTTCAAAACCCAAAAATCTTTCTGAAAAGTTTCACCATTAGAGCCCAACCTCACGAACTATTTTCAAGCTTTGCTACTCATGTTTACCTGGAACTCAGGGGCGACATGGTTCTTGTCGGGGTCGGGCTGGACAAAGAGCTCAGCCTTGCTCTCGACGGAACCGAACTCGTTCTGGATCTTGACCGTGTAAACGCCCGTGTCATCCGGTTGAGCGTCTCTGGAAAAGTATGAGTACATCTACCAGTTCTGGAATCTAAAAAACATCTACAAGTTCAAGCAGATGGAGAACAACTACAACTTCTAGCGGTAAAAGAACATCTACAACTTCTAGCAGAAGGAGAACATCTACAAGTTCAAGCAGAAGGAGAACATCTACAAGTTCAAGCAGAAGGAGAAAATCTACAATTTCTAACAGAAAAAGAACATCTACAAGTTCTAGCAGAAGGAGAACATCTACAAGTTCTAGGAGCAGTAGAAAATCTAGATCTTCTAGCATAAAGAGATTATCTACAAGTTCTAGGAGCAGAAGAACATCTAAAACTTCTAGCATCTACAGGTTCTAGCAGAAAAAGGACATCTACAAGTTCTAGGAACCAAAAAAATTCTACAAGTTCTGGAATCTGAAGAACATCTACAAGCTCCAGCAACAAAAGGACATCTACAAGTTCTAGCAGAAGAAGAACATCTACAAGTTCTAGCAGAAAAAGAGCATCTACAAGTCCTAGTGACAAGAGAACATCTCCAACTTCTAGCAGAAGGAGAACATCTACAGTTTCAGCAAGTTCTAGCAGCAAAAGAACATCTACAAGTTCTAGCAAGAAGAGGACATCTACAAGTTCTAGTGACAAGAGAACATCTCCAACTTCTAGCAGAAGGAGAACATCTACAGTTTCAGCAAGTTCTAGCAGCAAAAGAACATCTACAAGTTCTATCAGAATAAGAAAATCTACAAGTTCTAGCAGAAAATGAACATCTACATGTCCTAGCAGCAAGAGGAAATCTACAAGTTCTGGAATCTGAAGAACATTTACAACTTCTAGAAGCGAAAGAACATCTACAAGTTCTAGTAGCAAGATAAAACCTACAACTTCTAGCATCAAAAGAACATCTAAAAATTCTACCAATCGATGAGAACCAACCTGATCTCGAGCTTGGCGCTCTGCCCATCATACTGGAGACGGAAGTCGTGGGAAGGTCGGAGTGGCTGGTCGTCGACGAGCCAGACGAGCTCCGGCTCGGGCCATCCTTCGACCTCGCACTCGAAGTTGATCACCTCGCCCTCGTTGCATTCTTGGTCCTTGAGCTTGGTGACGAACGCAGGTGGGGCAGCTTCTTTTTCCACCTGCAAAGAAAAGCAAACTTCTGATTTTCTTTCAAATCAAGGTTCATTCATGGCCAGCTCAAGATATAGTAGATCCTAGAGGATCGAAGAAATAGCGGGCAAAAATGAGAGGTTCCTACGTCTCTACAGAAAGCTACAATGTCGGTACAAAATTCCAATTTTTTGCATAGAAAGATCAAAAACCATCACAATGAGCTCAAGGTTACTGTAAGATCCTATTTTTCGCTTCAAGACCCGAAAAAATACCTTCAAGACTCGGAAAAACGCCGAAGTCGACGCCTGTCCGTATTCATTCGTCGCCATACAGGTGTACCGTCCAGTGTCGTCGACCTGAAAAAATTATTTCACTTTGGAAAAAACAGCCTTGAGAAACTCAACAAATGCGCTCTACTGATAATTTCCATAACAGTTCAAAAATAAACTTGAGAAGCATCAAAAAAAGAGATAATTTTTCGAAAAGTCACTGATTATCAATGGAGCGCACAAGATGCACAATAACGAGGCTATTTTTTCAAGCTATTTTCTAACGGCTAATCATCTTTCTGTGGCTGAATATAAGTACAATATTTATCGAATTATTCATTCTAGAACTATAAAAAGCGCACTTAACGATCTCAGCTGAAAAATCTCAATAATAAGACGATCCGCAGAAACTTACATTGACCGGGTCGATGGTCATGGCGAAAAATCCGTCCTCATCCGAGTAGAAAGTGTGGCGCTCGTCCTCATGGAGAAGTACGTCGTCTTTGTACCTGAAATATTGAAAAAAATTCACAAATTTACGTAGGAAAATCGACCAAAAAAATCGAAAAAAATCAAAAAAATTTTTAGACAAGATTTATATGGAAAAAAAGGCTGAAAATAACACTAAATTTTTTTGTGAAATTTTTTTGAAAATTCAGGTAGAAAACCTAAGTTTAAGATGAAAAAGGAGCTCAAATAAAAAAAGAAAAAAATTTAAAATTTAGGTAAAAAAATCCTGAAAATCTAGGTCAAAAAAATTCACAGAAAAAAAGGTGGAAAAATCGTCGATTTTAGGTAAGGAATCCAAAAAAATTTTTTTCAAAAAAATCAAAAAAAGGACAAGTTCAAGTGAAAAACTACAAGTAATAGGTGAGTATTTTTAAAAAAATTTTTAAATCGAATTTTTTTCCCCACACAAACCAGGTGATGTCCGGTAGGGGATAGCCGGTGACTTTCAGACACATTTTCGCCGATGATTCTTGCAGGGTGCGGAAACCGTATTGGGTCCGCGTCACGCGGGTTCCTTGCATTTCCAGCGTCGTGCCAGTTGTTGCTGGAGAAAAACATGTAATTTTACAAATTCTCAGTGGAGCGCGAAAGACATGTGAAAATGAGCCTTTTTAAATTTTTGTTTGTTCCCGTTAATCATGAACATGTTCCTGTACAGATCATATCTTTTGTGATAAAGCCTTGTAAAAAACAACCAATAAATTGATTATCAATAGAGCACGAAAGACATGAAAAAAGAGCTTTTTGACATTTTCGCTCTCGTTTCATTGGTTCAAAGGGATATGCCTGTACAGAATATTCTTTCAATAAAAGTCTTGAAAAAAAAAAACTAATAACTGATTCTCAATAGAGCGCAAAAGACGTTCAAAAAAGCTTATTTTCATGGCATTTTCCCATTTTTCCGACATCGTTCTTATTTCATTTATCAATAGAGCGCAAAAGACGTTCAAAAAAGCTTATTTTCATGGCATTTTCCCATTTTTCCGACATCGTTCTTATTCCATTTATCAATAGAGCGCAAAAGACGGTCAAAAAAGCTTATTTTCATGGCATTTTCCCATTTTTCCGACATCGTTCTTATTCCATTTATCAATAGAGCGCAAAAGACGTTCAAAAAAGCTTATTTTCATGGCATTTTCCCATTTTTCCGACATCGTTCTTATTTCATTTATCAATAGAGCGCAAAAGACGTTCAAAAAAGCTTATTTTCATGGCATTTTCCCATTTTTCCGACATCGTTCTTATTCCATTTATCAATAGAGCGCAAAAACCGTTCAAAAACGGCTATTTTCCTCGAATTTTCCCTTTTTTCCGATCTCGTTCTGATTTCATTTATCAATAGAGCGCAAAACACGTTCAAAAAAGGCTTTTTTCCTTTTTTTTTCTGATCTCGTTTTTTTTTATTCTTAAATCCTCCCAATCAGCAGACCCTGCCAGTCCTGTTCCTCACTAGAAAAAAAATCTTCTACACTCAGAAAAAGTAAAAAAAAATTGCCAGCGACACTTCTGTGTTTGTGATGTACATACTCGCGGTTTCAAGTGCTCTCCCTCTGGTTTTTGCGTCAATTTTTTTCTCGGTTTCATCAAATAAAAAGTTGATTCGGATGATGGGAAGTCAAGCAAAGTTTAATTTTTTTAAATAAGAGTTCATTTTTTTCTCAAAAAAAACTTTTTTTACTTCTCTGTTCCTCTAAAATCAATCTTCTCAACGCTTCATTTTCACATTTTCCAAGAAAAAAACTATAGTGGTCACTTCAGAGGTTTCACAAAGACTACACTAAAGTGGCCACTAAAACCACCTCTACAGAATCCATTATTTTGCCTCTAAGTGGTCACTATAGTACTTTTTGCTGATCCAATAGTACTACTTGCACTTCCAAAGAGATCATTGAAAAAGCCACTTAAGTGGCCACTAATTCCATCACTATAGTGGCCCCTAGAGTGTCCAAACTCTAAAGAGCTTTTAAAATTCTCCCAGTTAATCCACTTCCCTATTCCTAGAACCTTTATTCTTACCTAAAAGCCTCTATTTTCCCCTTCGACCTAAAATTAAGGCTTCTAAACTCGCTGATTTCATAACCCCATTTTAATCGGAAAACCTCTAAAAGCTCAATTTCAGCCTTTCTAAGATCCCCATGAACCCTTTTTCCAACCTCGAAAAGTGACCTCAAAGTAACCTTTTGCCTGCACCTATCCAATGTCCAGGCTATTTATTTTTCCTCTCTCGTCGATCCCGACAAAACATTGAAGGCTGAGAAAATGCTCGGGGCCGAGCCAGACAACTGTCGCCCTTCTGGCCGCTCGGCCAAGCGTCACTCATTGTAATTCGTAATCGCGATTATCGATTGATTGGCTGATCAGTGAGGGAAGTATCGATTTTTTTGTTAGGTTGAAGATTAGAATCAAAGAAGGAAGCTTGAAAACTGTTCAGAGATAGATAGAGCGTATATTAACTATTTCAGAAGGATACATAGAAGGATGTATGTCTAGCCATCAAAAATACTCGTAAGGACAAATTATCGATTAGAAGATGAGTGAGGGGATTATCGATTTTTTCCGAAAATTGTGAAAAATCCTAATGATGTTCTAGCACTTGGAACTCTAAGAAGTTGATTTCAACCAATGAAAAGTTCCTTGAGATCTTCTCGACTATCTAAAGTGCCTCTTAATCGCGATTTATCGATTGGTTGGCTGATCAGTAAGGGGATTATCGATTTTTTCCAAAAATTGTGATAATCTTAATGATGTTCTTGCACTTGGAACTCTAAGAAGTTGATTTCAACCGATGAAAAGTTCCTTGAAATCTTCCCGACTATCTAGAGTGCCTCTTAACCTCGATTTATCGATTGATTGGCTGATCAGTAAAGAGATTATCGATTTTTCCAAAATAGAGAAAAATCTAAATGAAGCTCTAGTACTTAGGTAGCACTTAGAACACCAAAGAGTTGATAAAAATCAATCAAAAGTTTATTGAAAACTTTCCGATCATCTCTAAACCGCGATTTATCGATTGATTAGCTGATCATTGAGCAGATTATCGATTTTTTTGAAAGATAGAAGACTCTATTCAAAAACTCGAGCTTGAATACTGTTTAGAGACAACTTTGAATCAAACTATTCTAGGATAAATAACATTTTTTTCGAAGTTTCATAGAGGTTTCGTAATTCATCAAATGAATATCAGTTAAGGTTTTTCTTGAAAAAAATTGTCAAAAAAATTGAGGTTTTTCTGCAAAATTCCAACCTTCTAAAGCACCACTAGCCCAACCTACTTCACCTTTATTATTCAATAAAAAAAATAATAAAATGATCAAAAAAATCTAGCTCCAATCGATTATTGCTACTTAGATTCCCCTCTGTACCCGGAATTTAAAAAGATTCTAAGATGGAAAAATTGAGAAAAAAGAAGAAATCAGTGCAAATCCAACATGAGAAAACTTCGAAACTCTCAAATTTTCTACCTAAAATGATCCCTATTCAGCCTCACCCGACCTAACACTGCTATTAATTTTTCGTGACTTGATGATCAATTAATGGATCAATTAACTGACTCCAATCGATGCTGCTGCTGCCACCGGAGTAGAGGCTGGTCGAACTTCCCGTTGGCGAGATAACCGGCGGCGATTTGACCTTCTTCCGAGGTGGTCCACCTTCTTCCGGGCCTGAATTTTGAGTGGTAATCTTTGAAATTATGAAAACTAAACAAAGAACATTTAAAAAGGGTAAACTTGGGACCAACACAGTCACAAGGGTTCAAAGTACATAAACAAAATTCAAATAACTGTTTTTTTGTAATCCTAGAGCGTTTGAAAATCGATTTTTTTAACCTGATTTGAAAAATATTTCTTTTTCTTGAATTTTTTTCAAAAAAACATCTGTACCAGGAAAAACCACGAAAACCACAAGAGAACAGACCCAACTCCACATGAAACACTGGACAACACTCCCACAGAACCCACAGAGAAAGTAAAAATAAAAAAAATACATCTCTGAAGAAAAAAAAATCCAAAAAAATGTTTTCAATCTCATTAATCGATTCTTTCCAGTGTGATCGATTGAAAACTACACGAAACATATTATTAAAAAAAGTGGGATTCCGAAAAAAACACGAAAAAAACCACGACAAATCTCAAAACCAACATCAACATCGATGTGACAGGAAAGCCGCAAATTCCAGAATATAAAGCTCGAAATTTAAAGAAACATTATGAACCAAAAAAACTTGATATCGACTTTTTTAAAATTAGAATTCTGATGGAAAAAAATGATCAAAAAAATTGATTTTTTTCTCAACAGAGCGCACAAGTCAACTCTAACATGGCTCTTTTTTCCTAAGCCTCTTTTTTTGGGACTTTTTCTAATTTTAATGAAAAAAATGTTCGAAAAAAAGTTAATTTTTTTCTCAACAGAGCGCACAAGTTATTTGCTTCTTGGCTATTTCTTCCTAAGCTTTTTGGAAAAATTGCTCATTTTGATTTTTAAAAAAATCTCAAAAAGTCTATTTTTTTCTCAACAGAGCGCACAAGTTAACCTCTAACTTGGCTATTTCTTCCTGAGCACTTTTTTTGGGAAAGTTTTGATTTTGATGAAAAAAGCTCAAAAAAGTCAATTTTTCTCAACAGAGCGCACACGTTATCTAAAGCTTGGCTATTTCTTCCTAAGCCCTTTTTTTTAGAAAAATAATATGAATAGGAATTTCAAGGGAAAAATGCAGATTTCTGACAAAATTTTTTAAAAATGTTCATTTTTCTTAAGTGCTACTTCTTCCTAATAAAAATAGCTTTTTCAAAATTTTATCGATTTTTCTGAAAACTTTTGCGGCTATTCCCATCACATCGGACACCTAGCCGAACCCGGAAAGAGGCTGCTCTTCCTGGAGCCCGACCACTCGCTGAACTCGGACTGAGCGTCGGAAACGCCGAAATCTCCAGTGGTGGAGGTGACCTCGGAAGTTCCCGTAACGGAGAAGCCACCAGCGGCGCTGGCTTCCCGTTCCGCAGCTGTACCCGGAAAAAAAACCAATACTCACTCCAAGAAGGATCGACGAGCTCGAGGCCGCCCTCCTCGGTGTCGGTCAACTCGATGATGTACATCACTTTCAGAACCATCTTGGCCGCGGGGGAATTAACAGTCTTTTAGGAAGCAATCTCAGGGAATTTCAGGTCGAATTTGGAAGCATTTAGGAATGGAATCGATTGGGGGGGACTTATGTGAGTGGGGGGAGAAAAAAAAAAGAAGAGTTTCAGCCTCGGCCAACGGTTGGGGAGGCGGGCGCGTCTCTGATAGTGTGATCTCGGGGCCGAGAGCCGTGGAGAGCCCAGAGATTTTGGCAAAAGCTTGGCTGGGTGTGTGTTGAAACTATCCGGAATTTTCGACGAGATTTGGGGGACCAATTGGCAACTTTCCAGGAATTTAACTATTTGATCATTGGAGGGAAAGCTAAAGTATCGGGACCTCCATATGAGATTTTTTCGGATCTGTCTTTTCTTCAAACTGTCATTTTTAGAGTAAAGTTAGTACTTCCAGATCAACATTGATCTGCTTCAGCTTCAATGGATTTTCATATCAAGCTACCGTTAGTCTTCCATAGTCCAAAGTGAAAACTGGAAAAATGACATTAACAAGATCAAAAATTCTGTTCAACACCTGATCCAGTTTCAGCTCAAAAATGATCTTCTCTCAAAATTTCGATGAAATTTTAAATCAAGCTGCCGTTTTTCTACAGTGATTCGGTCAGTTTTATCGGAGAAATCGATGATTTTTAAAATTACAAAATCTTCTCCGATCTCCTATCGAGTTCCAGCTCAAAATGACCTGCTGCAGCTCCCAAAAGTCGTTCCGAAAAACTCAAAAAATGAATTTTCTCTCAGATCTTGTTCGATCTGATTTGATTGGTCAGAATAGCGAGAAACTTTAAGCTTCAGAAGCTTCTTCAACCTTTCCATCAAGTTACAGCTCGAAAAAGACCTGCTCCAGCTCCCAAAAATCATTCCAAGAAACTAAAAAACATTTTTAGAAAGCACCTTTATTTTATGTCTGCTAAATATGATTCGATTGATCCGAAAAATTGGCATTTTGAGACTCTAAAAGCTTCTCCAACCTTCCATCAAGTTCCAGCTCAAAAATGACGTTGTGAAGCTCTCAAGAATCATTTCGGAAATTCGAAAAGGAAAGCTTGTCTATTATTGAATGTCCGATGGGAGATTCGATTCGACTGATTAGTAAAATCGACACTTTTTAAGCCTTTAAAGCTTCTTAAGGCTTCCATCAAGTTCCAGCTCAAAATTGACCTGCTCCAGCTCCCAAAAGTCGTTCCAAAAATTTCAAAAAATAAATCTGATCTTTCATTAAATGTCAGATGATAGGACTGATTCGATTGATCAGAAAAGTGATACTTTCCGATCTCCCATCAAGTTCCAGCTCAAAAATGACCTGCTCCAGCTCTCAAGTACTTCCAAAAAAAGAAAGGTGCTCTCCCATTCAATGTAAAAATGAGAGATTAGGTTCAATTATCGAGAAGAGCGACACTTTCAGATCTCCGATCAAGTTCCAGCTCCCAAGGATCATTTCAAAAACTCAAAAAAGAAAGTTGTCTTATATTTAATGTCAGGTAGAACTGATTAGATTGATCAAAATTGGTACTGTCCGACTCTAAAAGCCTTTTGGATCTCGCATCAAGTTCCAGCTCAAAAATGACCTGCTCCAGCTCGCTCTCTCGCTGAGAAGAGACGCAGGAGGCTCTGCTCCGCCGTCGCCACTCACAGTTTACAACCGAAACCGTGTGCGGGGGAGTTTCGTTGGCTCCCGTGGCCGCCTCAGCCAAGTTGCCTCCCCGTCGGGCAAAAGATATTTGTTTGATGAGAATTTGCGAGAGAGCGCGTTTGTGTGTCTTCCCGGAGCTTCCAAGCAAGAAGGATGTTCTTGTGGGCCATCCATTCGAACAAGCCGCTGGACTTTACCGCCGTTCGTGTTGGAATTTCGAAAGGGAGCTTGACGTTTCATTTTCTTGCAGACTTTTTCGAGGATTGTATCATATTTTGGCTTGCAATGGAGCGGAGAAGCTGAGAAAAGCTACAGAAAAAAATAATTTGCTTCAAAAATATCTATTCGAGAGCAAAAAAAGTCTGAAAATCAAGAATTTTTCAGCCCCAAGTTTTTTTTCCTCCCGCCACATGTGTTTCCACTATTACAAATGTAAACCCCCATCAAAACTTGATAAATTGGTCCGTAAAATACAAAGAAAAACTTCTAAAGAAGGTCAGGGATTGCGAAAAATTAAAAAAACCGGCCCGAGAGAGATTTTTGTGATGTACATCGAGTTGACCGAAACCTTTCCCGAATAATAAATTTGTTTCCAGTTTGATGACGTCATAGTTTCGAAGAGCCTATCGTATGTTTTATGACGTCATAATTTTGAATTAAGTACCGAATTTTTCGATGACGTCATGATTTTGAATAGAGGGTACCGTATTTTATGATGACGTCATAATTTAAAATAGAGTATCGAAATTTTCGATGACGTCATATATTTGAACTACAGTACCGTAATTTTTGATGACGTCATAATTTTTATTGAAGTACCGTAATTTTTGATGACGTCACAATTTTGAACTACAGTACCATAAATCTCAAAATTCAAAGCTCCTGTAAAAATATTCTCTTTGACTCCTCTCTAGTTTTAAATCACCTATAAACTTATAAAAAACAACTAAAATGACGTCATATCCCCTCCTACAGTAACCCAAATCTACCGTAATCCTTTAGGCTTTGAAAAAGTGTCCTACAGTAACCTAAACCTATTGTAAAACATTTTTTTAAAAAAAATCAAAAAAATCTTTTTATAAAAAAATACATGATTTACTGTTTCAAAGTTGAAATGACGTCACCATTTTTACAGTAGCTTACAGTAACCCTTCAATTTGCAAAATCACAATTTTCCAACCAATAAGGGAGTTTTTACTGTACAAACTTTACGAGTTGCTTCGAAAAGCTTCACTAAAGAAAAATGACGTCATCTATAATCTAAATCAGTTACCTGAATCTACCGTAATCCTTTAGTCTTTAAAAAGTGTCCTACAGTAACCAGAACCTATAATTTTTTTACAACTCATAGGTTTTTTTCAGATCAAAAAAACTGAAGCCTTCTATAAAAAAAATAAAAAGAACAATTGTTTCTAGATTTAAATACCAACACCATTATTCTACAGTAGCCAAAAGCCTACAGTAAGCCTAAAAACTTCAAAACTACAATTTTCAATGCAATAAGGGAGGTTTTCACCGTTCAAACCTTATGAGTTACTTCGAAAACTTCAGTGAATAAGAATGACGTCATCTTTTTGCCTACAGTACCCCAAATGCTACAGTAAACCAACCATAAGCCTCGTGTTCCTCGGCAATGTCCCGAATCCAGGCTTTTCGGACGTATTCGGCGTTGGACAGGTCCTTGGGCTTCATTCTGAGAATCACCATGAAAATTCATGCAATCACAAGTATCCTAAACGTCAAAATATAAATATTCAACCTGAAACTGGGAAGTCCGGGTTCATTCGGCTGCAAAACGATGGTGTCCTCGTCGGTCGTGTGAGTTCGAACCGAATATTTGTCTAACTAAATCTTGAAAATAAAAACATACACGAATTGTAGAGAAGTGTGTGTAGGTTGGTGGCGTGAAGGCCTCATTTAATTCCGTAAACATTATCTGGAAAAAAATTGCAAGTTTAGTTGATTTTTTTATGTAAGAAATCATCAAAAAAACCGCGATTTTTTTCTCCAGATTTTTGAGCTAAATTTGATCATTTTTAAGCTTTCTTTTTGTTAAAATTGAAAGATTTCGTGAGAATTTTGAGTCGGATTATCAAAAAAATCGATGAAAAAAAGTGGCTTGATCAGCAAAAAAACTTGATCGGAAAATCTCAATTTTCCCAGTTTTTTTAACCTATTCCAATCCAAATTTGATCATTTTCTGCACCTTAAAAAAATCCAATTTGCTAAAAAAATTGAAAAAAACCAATCCTGCAGTGTAAAAAACTGCATTGAAATGAAAATTTCAGTCAATTTCAACTTTTTTTTTTCCAATTTTTATCACAAATTTGAGCCAAAATCGATAAAATTACACTTTTTCCGTCTCCAGACACTTTCAATCTTCATTTTATACATTTTTCGGAGAACTTTTCATTAACTGGACAATTTTGAAATCCTTTACCTTATTACGGAAGAGGAAAACGTATCTCGGCCGGGCGTCCTCGTCACCTTCCCACACTTGGAAGGCGTCCTGGAAAGTTCATTTCTATTTAAATTCCCAGTTAATTAACACTTCTTCGGGTTCAATTTTTCCTGAGTTGGACGCATTTGGAATGGCTCAACGTGAAAATTTTAAAGCGTTTTTTTCAAAGTTATAGTAAAATTTTAGAGCGTCCGACCTTGAACGACTTGCGCTTAAAAATCGTCTGGAAGCTTCGGAAAGAAGCAAAAATCCTCCGAGAGCCGTTCTATGCGCCCGACCTTAACCTACTTGCGCCTAAGAAGCATTTAGGAACTTAAAAAATAGCAAAAATATTGCAAGAGTTATTCAATGCACCCGACCTTAAACGACTTGGACTGAATAGTATCTAGAAATTTAAAAATGCAGCAAAAATGTTCCGAGATCTCATATTTGCGCCCGACTTTGAAACGACTTAAAGGTATCTAAAATCTAGAAAATACAGTAGAACCCTGAGAGCCGTTCGGTGCACCCGACCTAAGACTACTTGCTCTTAAAAAGCATCTAGGAACTTTAAAAAGCAGCAAAAATCTTCCGAGAGCCATTCTATGCACCCTACCTTAAACGACTTAGGCTAAAAAGCATCTAGAAGCTTCAAAAAGCAGTAAAGCCCTACTAGAGCCACTCTATGCATCCGACCTTGAAACTACTTGAGCTAAAAAGCATCTGAAAGCTTTGACAAGTAGTGAAAGTCCTCCAAGAGCCATTCTATGCACTCGACGTGAAACGAGTTGCGCTTAAGGCTTTCTAAATTATACTGGAAGTTTTTTTTCTTCCATAGCTCTAAGCTTGATTTTACGAATTCAAGCGCCTCGGAGCCATTCCAAATGCGGCCAGGTGGTCCCAGCTCAATATTTCTCGTTCAAAACGAACATGTCGAATAATTCGCCCCAATTTGTTGGTGTCGCCCGGGTACTGTGTGATGTTCTTGGTGAATTCCAAGTCGTGAACCCTGAAAATTCTTGAAAGTATTTGGTTGAAAATGACAAAACTTATGGAATTTTTGAAGAGAAGATCAAAACGACATTTGAAAGACTGATAAAAGTGAAAAAAGCAAAAAAAAAACTTGCGCCCGACCAAAACCGACTTGCGCTTGAGAGGTACGCATTTCAATTACCAAACTTCCAGTTGCGGTCTTCTTTTTAGTGATCACTTAAGGAGTTTTTCCATCTTTTCCATTTTTCTTGTACTCTATATAATAGTTTTGTCTGTGACTAGAACAAAAGAAACTCTGAGGCTTTTTGCGCTTTTTAGTAACTTTACTGTTTCATAAAAAAAGGGGGGAACCTTTGCGGGATACTCGTGCAGAGTTCCAACGCCTTCTGCATGCTTTTGCTGCTGTGCTGGGCCCGGGCCGAATATTTTACAAATTCCTGAATAAAATTCAATTTTTTTCATGTAAAATGAATGGTTAGATTTTGAAGTTAGAAGTCAGAAATATTCAAAGTTTAAAATTCTGCATTTTTTTCCATCATTTTTTTAAATTTTTTTAAAAACAATTTTTTTATCCATTTTGAAATTAATTATTTCGATTCTAAGTTAATACATGAACAGAAAGTTCCTCAGGATCACATTTTCAGATTTTTAAAAAATCAATAAACCTAATTTTCAGACGGGAAAATTAATTTTATATCAGTTCTGGATTAAAAACTTGGACTCATTCTCAAATTATGGAAGAATATTGACAAAAACTATAAATTTGAAGAACCAGAACTGATTTTGATGTGAAAAGACTCATTTCTGATGAATTTGAAGACTTATAAATTCAAATTTTAGTTCCAAGTTTCACAAGAAAAAAAGACAATTTTGAATTTTTTTCAAAAAAATTCTTTACCACCGTCAAATTTAGGTTTAAAAGACGCATTTTCAAAAAAATCACCATTTTTTTAAATTTCGCATAGTAACCTTCAAGCCTCTTAGGAAACGCCAAAGTAGCCCTATAAGGGTTAGGGAAAAAAAAGACCACTATAGAGGCCATAAAGGGGACCCTATAGGGGTTTAGGGCGAGTTCCTTAAGCTCAAGTGATCCCTATAGGAACCTCAAATTTTTTGTTATATTTTTGAAGTTTGAAAGACAAATTGACCACAAAAATCGTCTAGAATGTCCCCTACTCCTAGCTGAAACCCCCATAGGGACCACTTTGAACGCCCCTTTAGGGGAACCTTCAAAAGGTCCTATGGATGCCCCTGTAAGGACCACTCTGGAGTTGTTAAGATTATCTTAACCATTAAAAATATATCATTATACTGAAGAAATGTCTTCAAAAAATCCTTTTTTCCACTTGTAAAAGTTTTTTGAAACTGATTCTGTTCAGAGATTTTTAAAAAACTCTTTTTAATAAATTCATTTTCTCTGAATCACCTTGAAAAAATTCTGATATTGAGTCATGCGGTCGGCGATCAATTTGACCCGTTCGACGTAGGAATGGCTGCCAGCTTCGCATTTGTCAGAGAGGTTCTAAAACTTCCCATGAATATCAGAAAGAATAACAGAAACTCTGAATTGTGTGAAAACATGGAACTGGAAGAAAAGTCAAGAAAAATTGAGGATGAATAAAGGAAAATAGATAGTGAACGGCGGAAGTAGTGAAAAGTCGGTTGCGAATTAAAATAACACAAGGTTTCTTCATGGAAAGGAGTTATAAAGGTCCAGAAGTTCACAAAAAAGAAAGAATTCAGAAGTTTATCTTAAAAGGACAAGGAAAAAAAACGAGATTCGCAAAAAATCGGTTGCAAATAATATGCCATTCAAAGTGATTACCGCTAATTTCAAAACTATCTCTGAATCTCCAAAAAAATTAGTTATCTTTTTTTCTTTCTCTGACGGTTATTTTTGGATTTCGCGGAATCCCTTTTAAACTTGCTTTTTTTCATTTTTTATCTTTGTGCTGCAATGTACTATAGCTCCACGGCTGGCTTGAGCCATCGAAAAAGGGTCCTGACACGATAATAAAAGAGATAGTGCCTGGTTGGTGGAGAGCGCAGACAGGCCACGTCCCTCCCAAGTTGGCCGTGAATCGGCTATCATCATTGTTGTTACTTTCTTTTCTTGTGCAATATTAAATCATTATTTTTCCCTCTGACTTAGAAACTTTTGAGGGCCTCAATAGTCTTCTATTTAATTTTTTCAGGCTTATTTGCCGTTGAAAATCTTTTTTGTACATGTAAGCAAATATTTCATTAATAATTCTGGCTGATTATTTTCCGAACCATGATTTTTCTAACCGTACTTTTCGGACCCCAGCTTTTTTATGCTTTTCAAATTCCAGCCAAAAACAGTTTTTCGACCTTGCTCAAAGCCTAGTCAACTATAACTATGACAAAAATAATGTTCGAAAAAAATCAATGCAATTCTCAAAAGCTAAACACCTGTGCCGACATCATTCATAATTTCGGTTAACATCAAAATGAACACAGAAAAATACCATCAGAATAAAACTAAAAATCTGCAAAAAATAATAATTTGAAAAAACGATCTGAACCGAGGTCTCTGGCTCGACCACAAAATCGCCTAGAATGTCCCCTATAGGGGCCACTTGACATGCTTTAGTGCCTCTAAAAGGAACCTTCAAAAGGTCCTGAGGATGCCCCTATGAGGACCACTCTGGAGTTAAGGTTATCTTGACCAGAAAAAACGAAAGCGAGAAAAGGCGAGAAAGTTATATTGAACCCGTCAAAAATTAAGAGATTGAAAAAAAATTACTTCCTGAAAAAATCGATTGCAGTATGATTCGGAACATACAGTAGCGAAAATGGGCGAGTATTTTTTGGTTTTTCATGCGTTGAAAACAATAATTTCGGCTTGGAGTTTCAACCAATGAAGTCGAATGATGTAACAATTCGAATCGAAGGTTTGGACCAATTACAGGAAAAAAGTTCTAAAAACTTTTTTTTGTCTAATCATTAAAAATAAAAGAAACTCAACAAAGCCAGTAAACCGGTATAAAAGACTCCCAATTCAAACAAATAAAAAAAAGATCATTTATTCGATAAGTTTGTCCAATCTTCTTCCAAACTTCTTCTATTTGCTTTTGTGAAATTTCAGGTCCAAAGAATCGTTTTTAACAACAAGCTCCTTCGAAATTTCAGGCCAAACCAATAATTTTTAACCAAGTTAAAAACGAAAAACCAAAAAAAAAAATACTCACTCCTTTTCGCTATTACGGAACTCACTTAGCCCGGGAGAAGAATTTCAGGTCATTCGCGCCTCTGTTCTCTTGGTGTGCGGTCGCCTTTATTTGCTCTCTGGTCGCCTTTTATATTATGTCACCTACTCCTCAACCTCCTCCCCGTAAACGACATGCTCATGATGGTTCGACGCCTAGGAGTTCTATTCCTCCGAACTCTCTCGTTCTCCGTGAGGTTGCTGCTTTAAAAACTCAAGTCCAGTTGATCATGCTTCAACTAAATGATCTCTCCGCTAAACTCGATGGCGCGCAGTTGGAAACTCAACCTCCTCGTTCACCGGTCGATGTTCCTGTGGCTCAAGTTCCTCCCGCTTCCGACGTTCACGCGAATTCTGGTGTTCTTCCTCATGCCAACGTCGTTCCTTCCGCTTCTTCTGGTGTCCGTGACTCTCAAGGGCTCTCATCTCTGTCTGATCACGAACTTTGGGCCGCTGTTCATCGCGCCTCGTCGACGACTACATTCCGTGAGAAATCTTGCCGTGCTGTCCTTGAAAAGTTGGCCGACGCCAAAACTCCCCAACACGATATTGACGATTCCATTTTAGTCAATAAAGTTTGTACCCATTTGAATATTCCTCCTCCGTTGAATACTCATCGCCATCCTTGTTCTTCTGTCTATCGACCGCTTAAAATTCAATTTTCCTCTGTATATTTTCGCAACTCGTTCATTTTTGGCTTTAGAAAAGCCATTTTAGCTCTTTTTTCCAATGATAATGCTCCTTTTTGCCGTGTTCGCCGTGATATGATTCCCGCTGAGCTTGTTCTTCTCCGTCGCCTTCGTCATCGTACTTTTGTTCTCAATCGTGACGAAGGTAAATTACGTTTTTATCTTAGAGATTTGACTATTGCTGAAAGATCCCAGTGTCTTCCTTTGCCTGTTCCGCGTAACTCTAACAATTCGGTTTTTACTAATGCTACTCCTGTCAATAATATCTCTTTTAACACTAACCCTGTGAATACTAACTTAACTTCTGTTGTGAATGATATTTCTGATCCCAATTCTATTTAACATTTGTGATTTATCATCATCCAGTCGACCTTTTTTTGTAAATACTTTGAACTCTGACCCTCCGCGCGCTCTCTCGCCTATTTTTCCCGCGCTTTCTGATTCGGGTCAAAAACTTTCTTGTCTCTATGCAAACATTCGCTCTATAAGATCTCCTTCTAAAATTGCATTGCTTTTTGATCATTTAATCTTTCATAATATAGATTTATGTTTGTTATGTGAAACTTTCTTGGATTCAACTTGCCCTGATTCACTTTTTTTAATAATCTCATTTACAGTTTCGTGCGGGTAGATCGACCTAAAAAAATTCTTTCTCGTTGCGGTGGTGGTGGCATCATCATTCTCTTCAAAAAAAGACCTGGGAATTGCTGAAGTGGATATCGCCTTGGACACTTTTTTTACCCTGAGCATCTTTGTGAGGTACTTGCTTTCGATTTTGTTTTTTTCCTTTTAAAATCCCTGATTTTTTTCTAATATATAGACCACCTTCAACTTCAAAAAAATAGCACACTTAACCTTATAAAAACACATTTCTAATTTTTCTACTTCCTTCTAATAATCATTTGATTGGTGATATTAACCTCCCAAATATTGATTGGTCTACCTCGACTACCTCCTGTCCTTTATCTCTGCCATTTCTGGATTTTTGTATTACTTCTAACCTTACCCAATTAGTTCATTCCCCAACCCGATGTACTTCTACTACAGCAAACATCTTAGATTTAATACTTACAACCAAACCTTCTTATTTTTCTAACCTATCGATTTCTGAACCTCTTCTGGGTTCTGACCATTTTTCCATTGAATTTTCCATCTCTATCCAATCAAAAGTTAATAATGTTTCAACTTCTCGTAAGCTTAACCTTCGTAAATGTGATTTCTCTAGGGTGAACTATATTATGTCCTCTTTCAATTGGGACCGTCAGTTCAGTTATTTTTCATCAGTAGAAAGCAAATTCTCTCATTTCTTGAAAATTTTTAACGAAACTGTTCGTGACTCTTGTTCTAGCTTCATTAATCCTCCTATCAAACGTCGCCCATTCAACCATGATAATCGTATTCGCCGCCTCAATATCAAGAGAGCAAATCTTATACGTGCAAACCTTTTTAACAATGTCACTCGTCTGCAATTCAATTCATTATATAAAAAAATCAAAGCTCGCGCTTCTTCCATTTACTCAGCCCGTGAAACTTATATTGCCAACAACTTCAACCACGTCCAAATTTCCAAATACATTTCCAAAAAACTAAAATGCCACTCTTCTATCCCTAATATTGCCTTCAATAACTCTCTTATCTCTGATAGTTCGTCTAAAGCTGATGTTTTCGCCCAAATCTTCAGTGATAACTTTTCTAAAGAAAGTTACGATCTGATCCCTATTTTTCCTTCTCGAAAACCCATCAATTGCTCGATTATTTTCACGCCCGATCTTGTTTATAAGACACTCTCAGCTTTGCCCCCTAAATGTGGGTTTTCTCCTGACCTAATCAATCAACTTGTTTTGAAAAGGTGTTCAACATCTATTTCAATCCCTTTGTCTATCCTCTTTAATGAATCTTATTACTCCGGTTCCATTCCCTCGTCTTGGAAATCCACTACAGTTATTCCTATTTTTAAACGTGGAAAAATATGTGACCCTTCTAACTATAGACCAATCTCCCTGACACATCCATTATCTCGCGTTTGTGAAAGAATTATCTGTAACATGATCCGTCATAGATTTTTCTACATTATTTTCTGATTCGCAATTCGGCTTTTTTTAAACAAACGATCCTGTAAACTCAACCTTCTATCTTGCCTTTCCTCGTGGCAAAAATTCTATTGCATCTAAAAAGGTTTGTAGATGTCATCTATTTTGATTTTTGCTAAGGCATTCGATAAAGTTAACCATTCCTTGCTCCTTCTTAAGCTTCGAAGTTTTTGGTCTTGATGAAACCGTTATTCGATGGTATGAAAAACTTTCTGTCTGATCGTTGCTCTACTGTGCTCATTGATGGTTCTCGATCTACTTTTTAATTATGCTAATACGTCTGGTGTCCTCCAAGGTACTGTATCTGGGCCTTTGCTTTTTCTTGATATTTATCAACGACATTGTTAACTTGATAGACCCTGAAACCTCCATCTCACTATTTGCGGATGACATTAAAATTTACGGTTCTAACCCTGAATCTCTCCAACATAGTATAAACTCTATTTTTTTGAATGGTCATCTACCTGGGGCTTGCCCCTTGCCGCTAACAAAACATTTGCTATTCACCTGGGCCCTCGCAATCCTAAAACTATTTATTTGATTAATGGAGTTCCCATCCCTCATAAATCTGTTGTACGTGATCTTGGTGTACTAATCGATGAGAAACTCACTCTTGCTCCGCACATTAATAATATTGTATCTCTTGCAACGCTGAGATCCAACCAAATTCTGCATTGTTTTCGTACAAAATCTCCGGCTCTTCTGTTTCAAATTTTCAACACCTACGTCAGACCTATATTGGAATATTGTTCTGAAGTTTTTAACCCACCTATTAACTCTGACCTTTGCTACAAGCTTGAATCCCCACTCAGAATTTTTTCCCGCAAAGTTTACATTAGGTCGAACCTATCCTTTGATTCCTATTCAGATCGTCTAGAGCAATTTCAACAAACCCCACTGTACATTAGACGAGTTATTTCTGATCTCCTCACTCTCCAAAAAATTGTTTCTGGTCATGATCACTTTCCTCAATTCGAAAATTTTGCCCTCAGATCCAATTTAAGGCGAAATCCACTTCGGCTACGTTCTCAAGGTCAGTTTTCTAACAACTTTTTTTTCAAAACGATTCCTATTTGGAATAAACTTA